ATGATGATATGATAATAACATTTTTTTCTACAAAAAGTAGTCGGGTGTTGGGTTTCTTCCCGGTACTCTGCGCTCATCCTTTGGCGCCGCATCAAAGGTTTGGAAGGTTCGTTGCAAATTCTCATCGACTTCAAAGATGGAAGCCACATTTCCACACCGATAGCAGTAGTTGGGTGCGGACCAGACAGTGACTACAGAACCATTGAACATAATTTTGTGCCCCTCCATGACGAGCTGATGGGCTCGTGCAATCATTTCTAGATCATTTCGTTCGTTGAACATGGTGACAATGTCTCCCCCAAAGAGGTAACCAGCACCTCTGGGTGACAATCCCCATCCCTCAATTTCTTCGGGATCACTCCACATCAGATCGCACATGGTTCCTTCGTGAGGAACTTCCTGCTTTCGATCGATGGCTCGAATTTCGTCTAGGGTGTTGATGCTCGGAGACAGACCTCCGTGGACGCAAAAGATTTTGTCTTCAATGACCGCGGTCAACGATATGTAATCAAAAATCTCTGTACAGTATCTCCAGACGTTGACGGAACCATACTTTCGGAGACATTCATCGTAAAATCCATAAACTTGTGTAATTTGCCGACTTTCGTGGTTGCCTCTGATCAAAGTAATGCGACTGGGATACCTTACTTTGAGAGCCAAGAGCAAAAGCAAGGTTTCCACAGAGTAATAACCTCTGTCGACAAAATCTCCCAGAAACAGATAGTTCTTGTGAGGACATTCTCCACCCACTTTGAAGAGTTCCACTAGATCGTAAAATTGCCCGTGAATGTCACCACAAACCTGAGAAGATTGGATAATAGTGATTGAGAGATATTGAATAGGTGAGAGAGATGATGATGGAGGATAGACTTTTTGAATGACGAATGAAGGATATGCATGCATCGGCAAAATCCAATCACTGAATTTTCTCCAATTCTATGTTCATACATCGTTCCTCAGCTAACTTACTGTAACAGGAGCATCCACTCGTTGCACATTGCTCTCTCGCGCAAGAATTTCTCTGGCACGAAGACACAAGTCTCTCACTTCAGACTCTTGCAAGCATTCACACTTTCGGAGTTTTTCAATTTGATGGTCCAAGTCGGTATTGGTAGAGCCTGAGAGTGTCCTATCCCAAACAGGAAGTGCCGACTGATTATCATTGGCCACAGGGTCCATGTGAGGCATGGTGGCTGCCACATCGGCAGGATTGCTGACCATTGCCATTTTGTTGTCGTTGTCGTTGTTGTTACTAAACGCAGGTGGCGAAAGCTATGTACCGTCCTACCACTGCAGGACAAAAGGATGGTGTGTGAGGGATGAGGTTGGTCTTGCTCGCTGTGGTCCAGAGTTTCTCATTTTCAATTTGGGCCCACCCACCACAGACGAAAGAAATTGAAAACCATAATCCAATGATCAATTGGAATATATTTTATTTGAAAGTGTTTTGGTATTCGACATCCGAATGATTGCGGGGGGGGAATTGGGCAGGTAGCTTTTCTTCTAAGTGTTACAAAATGACCAATGACTACTTCTCGTATTCTCTAAGAGTTCCAAATTCGGCGACCGCGAGTTGGGTAGATAGAAGGCCAGACGGAATACGACCAAAACCAGAGTGTCCATGAATGTCCATGATTCTTTCTGTGTCGCAACAATTGATATTTCATTAAATGACTGTAAACTGCCTCCGTCATTCACTTATCAAAATGCATAGAACTGGCATTTTTGTGGAATTGGGCCTTTCAAGATCTATGCCCTTTTGACATTCAACATAACCTGCCTGGCTGGTTCTTCCGCCTCCTCTGCACATTCAACACCTCCAGCATCAACGCATCATAAAATACTTTTGAAAGATCATACTTCAGTACAAACGACGATTCAACAATAACAAATATATACGATGAGCCCTCTTTCCGACATTGAAGCCAACAACTCCATGAACCTTATCATTAAGGATTCTGCCGAAGAAGTATCCAGTGACTTTCACAGATTGCTCAACGCCTTGAAATCCAACACGAAAATTGTGGCCATTCGCTTCGAGGGTGACTTCTTGGATGACCTCACCTCGTTGGAACGAGGACAAGTCTTGGAGGCCATTGCTGTCATTCCTTGTCTCAGGACTGTTCATTTGGGGGATTCCTTCATTTTTACCAAGGACATTGCTGCCATGTTGAAGTCAATTCCAGGTCTTTTGGAACTTACCATGTCCGACATGGTCTTGCAAGGGATTCAAGTCGACTTTGATCAATTGGAACAAGCCTTGCACGCACATTCCGGTTTGAAATTCTTCAAGATGGACAACTGCGTCACTTCGGTCCAAGATATTGACATGTCCAACTTGAAAAAGTCCGAAAAGAAACTCAGCACCATTAGTTCGCCAGTGGTGCACATGGCGGCGGCTCAGAGTGCCTAATGTGGTAGGCAAGTACAGTATGATGTGGGTTACTACCTACTATTTTGGAAACAATGATAGAACAATAGAAATGGGTATACGATGATAATAAACATTATAGTTTATACATAATTATAAGATTGTGAAAAAGGTCACGGTAACATGTTGGGACGAAAAACAACCATTGATTTTTAAAATAATTATGTGATATGCTTGGGTGCTATACATTTCTCCGTTAGTTGCTTTGTGATTTACTAATAGAACTATTATAGTCAGCCTCAGCTCGATTTTGTTGATTGTGGAAACATGTTCTATTGCAACGGAATAGTACTACAGATGGCGGTGAAGGTTGTATTACTATCGATCAGGGGATCTCATATTCATACTTGGTTGGCATATGTTTATGACGACCATTTGATTCATTTACTAGCATTTTGAAAAGAGTTGACAGTACTACAACTACTCACCTTGGAGTAGCCTAGTATTCTTCCTGCCTGGCTCAGTTCTTCAAGTGAGATCATGTGTTGCTTGATTCTTTTATTCATTCCTCCACATCTTAGCTTCGCATTGGGCAGGTGTATGCGACGACTGTTGGATTCTAAATAGTGATTTCGTAGGATTTGATTTCAGCACTCATTTTGAAATACTAGGTACTACTGGCCGCAGCACTAGTAGTAGCTAGTTCAAATCATCAATGATATCATGATCCTCATCATAATGTTGTTTCGTTGTTGATCGATTGATTGATTCACGGAGATTCCCAATTCTAGATTCGTTGCGATCGCCGTGGGTGCAGTAGCGTTAGCTAAGTATTGATATTAATCAAGAGACAATTCAAACTGGCATGAAGCCAGAAACCAGACAGTTTGAATTTTGTGTGCTCAAACTCACGATCCGTTTCAAATAAATCGCGTTGTTCCTTTGGATTCCCAGGACTTGAAATACGTCTCAAAACGTTACGAAAAAATGATGGTCACAGTTCCCAGTACAAAAACCTTCGTATCCTTTGTCGTAGAGGTGTCGAAATGCGAAATTCTGACGGAAAAACGCATGAAACCACTGCAGGAAAGTAGCATTCGTTCCAAACGGTACCAGGTACATGTACCAGTACAACTCACAAACGTGCCTTGTATTATCGCCGCCTCAAGATCTTTTGCAAGCCCACACGAAGGATCTCACAAGATAACTGAAACAAAACTTGGATACAACAAGAAGGTCACACTGACTTCTAATCCATCACAAACAAAGGTCAAACGTCAGGCATAAAACACTAGATATCAGACATCAGACATCAGACATTAGGATATCATCATGGCAGGTTCTTCCAAGAAAGACGACGATACCAACTCGGTTCGCAGCGATAACGATGAAAAGGTCAAAGCCAAAAAGAAGCAACAAGCTTCTGCTTCGGAAACCATGAGCTTTGTCTTTCAATCAGGCACTCAAACTACCATTCTACTCTTTGTCGGGATCGTTGGAGCCATGGGAAATGGCGTCGTCTATCCCATTTTGGCCTACCTTTTCTCCAACTCCTTCTCTGATATTTCATCTGCGGCCAATAATGGTTTGGCTCAAGTCCGTGAACTCGCCTATACCTTTTTGATTGTGGGTGTCTATGCCCTCGTCATGGCGACGATCCAAACTGGTTGCTTCGAAACCGTCGCCTACCGTGCGACACACAATATGAAACTCCAATGGTTCTCGGCTCTGTTGAGACAGGATCCTGCCTTTTTTGACGTCCACGATGTGGGGGGCATTGCTTCCAATGTCTCGCCCGCTGCCAATCGGTACCGCCGTGGGGTGGGCCGCAAGTTTGGGGAAGGTATTCAATTCTTTACCACTGGTGTGGGAGGCGTTGGCTATGCCATGTACGCCAGTTGGAAGGTTGCATGTGTGGTCTTGGGGTTGACACCTGTCATCTCTTTCATGGGATACATGGTCATGGTGTTGAATCAGAACAAGACCAAAGAATCGACAAAAGCCTACAGCAAGTACGTATTCTGTTGGAACTGGCTGTTAGAAATATATTTCTTTTTTCAGTTGTTCATTCTCTAACTCTTGTACTCTATATCCTTCTTCTCGCTCCAACACCAGCGCTGGAAGTGTGGCGTATTCTACGGTCTCGGGGATCAAGACTGTCCTGTCTCTCAATGCCATGCAAACCATGATCAAGAAGTATAAGGATGCCACTCAAGAAGCCATGCAAATTGCTACCGGTACTTTGTGGAAGATGGGCTTTTTCAATGGCGGCATGCTTGGATCCTTTATTCTCCTGTACTGTGTCCTATGCATCTTTGGCTCCTACCTCCTCTACAATGATATTCAAGATAATGGTTGCGATCCAAGTGCTGGAAATCCCGCTGTCGACACTTGCAGCAATTCCGGTCCGGATGTCTTTGGGGCCATGTTGGGTGTCGCCTTTGCGGCACAAGGAATTACACAAGTTGGATCCTTTGTGGAATGCTTTGCTGCGGCACGGGTCGCTGCCTTTGAAGCCTTGACCGCCATCAATCGCAAGCCAGGCGCTCCCGAAGAAACCATCTATCACGAAGAAAAGAAAAAGTCCATTGATGATTCGACCAAAAGTGCCACTACTGGAAAGGGTTCGGAGCAACCAGTTGGTGAAACAGCTCCCGAGCAACGCATCAAGGCGGTACTTCCCCAGTATTTGATTGATGCTACTTCGGAAGAAGGGAAAAAGCCCGAAAACGTGGATGGACGATTGACCTTTGACAAGGTCCGCTTCCATTATCCTACTCGTCCAGGACAACAAATCTTGAATGACTTTTCTATTGATATTGCAGCTGGAAAGACTATTGCTTTTGTTGGTCCAAGGTAAGAATCTTTGTGTTGGAATTCGGAACGCTATTCAATCTTGCTGAATAATGCTGATCCTGTGTTCGTTTCATTTCTATTTCTATTTCTATTTTTTTCTCATAGTGGCGGAGGAAAGAGTACTGTGGTGAAAATGTTGGAACGATTCTATGATCCCACCGGTGGAAGCGTCTCTCTGGATGGTGTCAATCTCAAGGACATCAATGTCAAGCATTTGCGAAGTATGATTGGATATGTTGGACAGGAGCCAACTTTGTTTGCCACCACTATTGAAAAGAATATTCGTTATGGAAATCCATCCGCCAGCCTAGAAGAAATTCAAGAAGCTGCCCGTTTGGCCAATGCTCACGATTTCATCTCGTCCTTCAACGAAGGTTACCAGACGCAAGTTGGAGACAAGGGAACCCAATTGTCGGGTGGGCAAAAGCAGCGCATTGCCATTGCTCGCGTGCTGGTTGCCAAGCCCAAGATTTTGCTACTGGATGAAGCCACAAGTGCACTTGATAGCGAATCCGAACTTGTTGTTCAGGAAGCTTTGGATAATGTCTTAGCAGCACAAAAGCGAACGACTGTGATCATTGCTCACCGGCTTTCCACTATTCGCAATGCCGATATTATTGCGGTAGTAATGGGCGGAGAGATTGTTGAAACAGGAACCCATGATGAACTCATGGTTGCGGATACTGGTTATTACCGCAGCTTGGTCGAAAAGCAGAGCAAGGCTTCCGCTTCTCGACTCGACAGTGGAGTTTCTTCTTCTTTTGGAAGTGACAAGGATCTTGCGGGACTGGATAATACTGAAACGGTAGGAAAAGGTGCTGTTCTGGAGTTCAAGGATGTATCATTTTCCTACCCCACGCGCCCGAACAAGCAAGTCTTGGGTGGATTCAACTTGACGGTGAACAAGGGAGAAACTGTTGCATTGGTGGGACCAAGGTAAGAATCTGCCGAATGAATGAATCGGTAGCGGTTTTTGATTGTGTGCGACTGAACACTAAACGACTTTGTGTGATGCGTGAAAACAATAGTGGTGGAGGTAAATCGACAACTGTAGCCTTATTGGAACGTTTCTATGGTAAGGATTGGACTGGACCTGTATTGTTTTGTTTTGCTTGCTTTTTACAATTGTCTGACGCCAATATTTCCCCCAGACCCAACGGCAGGAAGCTTGGAATATCTTGGCGAAGATATCAAGAATCTCAATGTCCATTGGTACAGAGACCAAATCGGATACGTTGGCCAGGAACCAACTTTGTTCAACGAAACAATCGCGAATAATATCAAGTACGGTGCTCCCGATGCATCGCTTGATGATGTTATCGAAGCTGCCAAGGCTGCCAACGCATACGATTACATCATGGCTTTCCCAGAAGGTTTTGACACTCCAGTTGGAGAACGAGGAACCCAGCTTTCTGGTGGACAAAAGCAACGGATTGCGGTAAGTGCATTTATTGTAGTCGACTTGAATTATCCATTCGATATATGGCTCACTTTGGAATTGTACTGTTCGTCTAGATTGCTCGCGCCTTGGTGAAGAAGCCCGAAGTTCTACTTCTTGACGAAGCTACCTCAGCTCTTGACAACGAATCTGAAGCAATTGTCCAAAAAGCATTGGACAATCTCATGACTCTTAAGAACCAAACCTGTATTGTGATTGCTCACCGGTTGACCACCATTCGCAACGCTGATCGCATTGCTTTGATTGATTCTGGCAAGGTGAAGGAATGTGGAACGCACGATGAGCTCATGAGCAAGCAAAAAGGCAGATACAAGCGCCTCATAGACTCTCAAACCCGAGATGCCTCTTCTGCTGCTCTTGGCATCAAAAAGACGGAAAAGGATAGCGAGAAAGAAGCGGAAGATGATCAACCTGACTGGGAGAAGGAGGTTGAAGAGGAGGAGAAGGGTGCTTTCAATGTGTCCAGAGCGAGAAAGCTCGCTGCTCCAGATGTTGGTTACATTTTGATTGGCTCCATTGGAATGATCGCGGCCGGTTGCGTATTCCCAATGTGGGGTTTGCTATTCGCCGAGACGATTGATCTCTTGTTTCGACCCACCTTCACCTGCGAAGACGGTAACGCCCAGATTCTTGCTGACTTGGGAGGTTATCCAAACTGCCAAGCGTATTGGGACGACCTTGCAGATAGTCTTCGTGAAGATTCTTATGTTGTTTCGATCTACTGGGCGCTTGTGGCTGCTGCAAGTATCTTTGGAAACATGGCTGCATTCTACGGTTTCGGCTGGGCAAGTGAAAGAATGAACAAGCGAGTTCGTGACTCTGCCTTTACTTCACTGGTTCGTCAAGAGGTGGCTTATTTCGACAAACGCAGCGTGGGCAAGGTTACTGCTCAACTTCAAGAGGATGCCGCACGGCTTCATACATTCACGGGAGAACCAGTTCGTGTCTTTTTGATTGCAGCTTCATCGATTCTTGTTGGTCTTGCGCTTTCGTTTTACGTACGTTACACGTCAGTGGAGGCTTTTTGTTTCATTTCAATTTTGTGCTCTAACTTGTTGTTTTCTCGTTTTTATTCTTTATTTGCAGTTCATGTGGCAATTTGCACTACTCGCTGTTTTCTGCATTCCTTTCATGGCCTTTGCTACGTCTATGGAGATGAAGCAAATGATGGGAGAGGACACTAACGATGGTGATGCAAACGAGGGAAAGGATTCTCCGGGTGGAATTGTTGTGGAAACCCTCCTCAACATTACCACTGTATCTGCCCTCACCATGGAAACGGAACGATTTGCGGACTACGAAAATGCTTTGGAGGCTGCCGAGCCACATGCCCTTCGTGACGGTATCATGCAGGGTGCCTTGAGTGGTCTGTCCATGCTCATTCAACAGTTTATCAATGCCTTGCAGCTTTGGTTTGGCGCATGGGTCTTATTCAACAACCCGGATACCTACGAATTCCGGGACTTTTTGGTGTCCAACTTTGCTCTCATGTTTTCGCTCTTTGGACTCGGAGCTGCCTTCCAAGATGTTTCGGACCGAAAGGAAGCTGAGAAGAGTGCAGGTCGTATCTTTTATTTGATTGATCGCAAGAGTTCCATTGACCCTCTCAGCGAGGAAGGGAAGAAGTTGGAATAGATGATGTTGTGTGTCTCAATTCATTTACTACACTACAGGATTGTTTTTCAAAACACTTAAATGCTACATTTTTCATTTACACTCTTGCGTTTGTGGTGCAGTTCTTCGAAACGAAGCTATCTTTTTCTTGTACTTGGAAACGACGAACCAGCCAGCGAACTGGAACTAGATCGATGATGATTCATTGTTTCTGATCAGTTTGTTGCTTCATGGTTCGTAATTTCATTCGAACCGTCAACAAAATGGATCTTTGGTTCTTCTTTTTTTTCGCACGAACCAGTTCTCACGAATCTCTTGAATATTCTGTTGCCAATGAAACATCTGATCGATCTGCTCTGTGGTATTCTTCTACTGAACTAGTATCATTGGTTCGATGACGGCAAATTCGATCAGATGTTCGGATTTGGTCAAAGGCCTCCACGAAACATCCTCTAGTAGCTAGTGGAATAGAAGTACCGGTGGTACTGTAGGATAGAAATCATCATTGCTTGCGCTTAGGTGGGATCAATCAGAAGCCAAATGGAAAAACTCACTTTATCACTTTACCTTCTTATCTAGGGACAATTCATCACTGTTCGACAAATGAATTTGGCGTCACCATTCACAAACAATCGATCGTTGCAAGTTAGTCTACGGAAGGAGTCTGTGTGATACCGGTTTTTATCCGCACCACTCATCTTCTCTGAGATTCGGCCTGCTGGATTCTCCGCAAGTTGAGTTCTGATTGTGATTGATATTTTCAGTTGAACTGCCAAGTTATTGGTTGTTAAGAACATACGTATGTCATTTTCCTTCTGATCTTCTTATGAATTATGTCTCCAGAATTCTGATCGACGCTTTTTTGTCAGTCGGACAAAGATTTGCTAAGTATTTTGTCAGGATCGTTCCCTACGAAGTTGTGGAAATTGCAAAAAGTAGTCAAGCCCCGGGAACTTCGCTGTTTTTCGCACTCGACCTAAAAATTTGTGGTCATCACACAATTGAAAATCATGGCAACAACGAAATCCCAACAACAGAAGGTAGCTTGCAAATGCTGCCAAACGGAAGGAAGCGATGGCAGTTTCACAGGATGCGGATGCACCTTTCATGTTGTAAGTTTATATGTGCCATTGAGCATAAAGTTGGATCCAGAAACAGGATCTTCACCCTGCAAAGGGTCATCGGTGTTCTTGTTGCTCCCATTGGCGATCAAGTCCTTCACTGACGCCATGGAAAGCCACAATCAAGTTGCAACCATCCACCGTTGCCTCTCTTGAGCCTGGTTCTCATTCATTCATTCATTCTATTCTATTCCATCTATCTATTTCAGAGATGCCTTCCACCAAGCGTCATTAGATCTGCAGTGCGCTCCTCGTCAAAAGCCAACGACAAAAAGGAGCAACAGGAATGTCGCCAAGACTTCACCTGTCCCTTTTGCAACGATGACGTATCAGGGATATATCTATTTCCCCTCCCATTCGACAAACTCGAAAAGGCGATTAATCTGAAAACGAAATCGTCCAGCCACCAATCGTCCAGCCACCTTGCAGGAAGCAAACGAAAGCACGACGGTTCTAATGCGGATGAAGTTGCTTTCAGCGTCTATTCCAAGTGGCGAACGGGCACACGTGGTATGCTTGCGGACAGTGACCAACACCGAACTGGACGATGGACCGATTCTGAAATGGCCTTCGTCGACCACATTGTGACTTCCTTTGATGAAGGAAAGTTATCCATTGCAGAAGGTGTCAAGCTGAATACTTTGCTCTGTGATTTACTACAATGCAAGTCCAGTCGATTGACCAAGAAAATGAAGAACGCCAAGCTCAGTACGCGTGCATTCAAGGCTGCCCCAGAAGCACCTGGAGTGGTGAACCGTGAAGACTGTCAGGTACTTTCAGCTCTGCAGGAAAAATTCCTCAGTGGGCGTCCTACCGAGGCCGCTACTTTGGAACTCGAATTCAACTTTGTGCAGCAATGGCGATCATACTTTTCCAACTTTTGCATGCAAGCTGGCTACATGTTCCTCGATTCCAATGATTGGATGTCGAGTATCGAAGATCTTGAACAAAGGGCCTCCACCGTGGAAGAGAAATTCCGAAAGGTCAAACGAAGGAGCATGTCCAAGGCTCTAAACTCGGAGAGCAAAAAGCCGAAGACAACTGCCACAAAAGCGGTGAAAGAATCTCTCCCAACGCCGCCTTCACCACCAAAATCCGTTCCATCTGCTGCCCCCCAAGAAGAAGAGTCTCCAACACCTTCCTTAATGTCTGTCTTTGATGAAGTGGAAGAAGCAGAAAGCGTTGGTCGTCGACCTCGAACATTCAGCGAAGATTTCGACAATGTCCTCGAAGACCTTGCATGTGGAGGCACAGGAGAGGGTATGATGCCTCTGTCTCTTCCGGATGTGACAGTTCCAAACCACCAGTCTTCATCAAAAGATATCAATGCCAACACGGCAGTCCCAAGCACCTTCCAAGACCTGCTTCGTCTATTGATGGAGGCCCCAACCAGTCCTTACCACCATGCAGACATTTGGGTGCCTTCTTTTGTAAACGAGGGCGGCGAGAATATTCAGTTGCTTCATGCTGGATACGCAACACGAAGAAACGTCCCAGAAGCAATCTTCAGCTCCATGAATGCCTTTGGGGAATACAGCAAGTCTTTCACCTTCAAGCCTGAGCAAGGTCTTCCAGGTCGTGTCTTCTCGACAGGAAAGTCCTTGTGGATCTTTGAGCTTCAAGATCTCGACCACCACAGCTTCACTCGTGCTTCTGGGGCCAGCAATTATGGCTTGAAGACTGCCACCGGAATCTCACTGAATACCCCAGGAGTTGGGAGAATGGTGGTTGTTTTCTACAGCTGCCACGAGATCGCCGAGGACAAATCTTTGGCCGATCAGCTTGCTAGAGAGCTTACCAAGTACGCACCCCAACCGAAATGGAAGCTTGTGATTGACATCAATCAAAACATGCAACCACACCAATCCTCTGCCAACCAAGCCTGTCCACAAAATGACTTCCATACCGATCTTGAAGAAGAGTTGATAAGCCAATCTGGTATCGTGTCCCCTTCCTTGTCCTCTCAAAAAGAACCAACAAGGCCGACGAGCCCTCTCGAAGTATCCAGTGTGATTGAGGACTCGATCGAAAGCGAAATCATTTCACTGTTGGGGAATGAAACGACCGAGTTGAATGGGGCGGCGTCTTCTTCTACTACTTCGTCTGCATCATTGGATACGGAAAAAATGGTCCCTCACTACATGACGATTCGACTTCTTTTGCTTCGCCCAGCATCGCGTCGGACATCACAAGAAAACGAAATCTTGGAGGTATTGAAGAGTAGCTATCTTGCCTACATGAAGGGCAGTACTCGTCGAAACAGTGGCGAACTTGCGAAATTGTTGGTTCGAGACTGGGTCTGCATGAAGTTTCATGACGGATCGTTTTCTATTGGTAGCCCGAGTATGCAAAACTGCGACTTGGAATCCAAAAGCGGTGTTTCGCTACTAGGACCACCAGCACATGCTGCTGTCCCAGCAGGGAAGAAACTCAGCATGCTGCAAACAAAACAAAAGAACCTTTGCAAACCTGCTGCTACACGGAGTATGGAATCTATGGAAGCAAAAAGCAGACGGATATCAGTCGAAGATGTGTTTCAAGGTTGCAGCTAACCATGATGATGCACTGTAATGACGAGTGCCCCTATTAATACGTGTACCATTTTGATCATGAACAAACATTGCGCAATCAAGCTGATATAGCCTTTGGATCTCTTTCATTTATACTTTTTTTAAACACAATAAGAATACATGTAAATACTTTTGAAACCTACAATCTATCTACCGGTACAGTACTATTGCCCCATTGCTTCCTTTGGTCCACACGAAGTTGAAATTGTATCATGGAGAGTCAGTCAACCGAAACTTATTTACGGTACTGGTACTGGTACCAGTACCGGTACCTACAGTCACTGTTGGTCACTACAGCCATCGTCTTGCAGTCGATTCACACCGTCTGTGAGTCGCACGTAAACGAGCGAAGGGTCTCTCGCTTGTTTACGTGCGACTGACAGACTCTATATGATGAACTACAGACGATGGCTATAGAGTGACGTACAGTAGGCTTTGAAGGCCTGCCTGTCGTGTGTGCGTGGTAAGAAGTCGGATGGTGGTGCTGCAACCTGTCGTCTGGACGGCAATCATTTCTTTGGTAGCAAATTTGTGTGTGATGTTCGGCCCGGCTCATCGGAAGGTTCTTGATACGAAGTCGGCCCGATGAGTTGGGGATTTTGGGGACTCCCTTGGGGGCTGTTTTCGATCGGAAGCGTCCCCCGATACGAAGGTTTTTATGTTAAATTACTGAAACGCCGACGGAATGAATCGATTTGCACTACGGGCAAAAATTGTGAAACTTGACAAAGCTTTTTCGATTGCCAACAACACTGGCCAACGACGAAATCGATCGTGATGGCTGAAATGAAAGATCCTGCAGCTTGCAGGACATGTGGCTACTGGGGAGCAGACATTCGCATCAATAGGTGCGGCTGTCATATCCATTCAGTGAGTTCAATTTGTTACCTTATCTGTTTCGAGGCTTTGAACATCGTCGTTGCAACATTGAGCATCCGTGGTAATCGATTCATTCGTTCTCCAACCCAGAATTTCTATCGTTTGAACGTGTGCAGCGGTTCTCCCCATCTCTCCCCAAATCGGGACTCATCGTTGGTATTTTAAGGCGTGAAATACCGCGAATTCGCAGTTTTTTAATTAACAGTAATCCCCAAATATCCCCATCTGACACATTATTTTGTTCGCGATTGTGTTCTAAACAGAGATGTCTCCCCCGGAATTTCGTAATTAATGGGATTACCAAGGAAAACGGGGATGGACAAGGTTGTCCTTGCTGCAACACAGCTGTCACTGGATTGTACTTGAAGCCCCTTTCCTTCCATGACTTGGAAGATTCTGTCCGTCTGCGCAAGGCGGATGTGCTGAAGAAGAGCAAGAGCAAGGTCTACAATGATGATGATGCGGATGTTGAAGCCAGATATCTAGTGTTTTCCCAGGGACGAAACACAGTCAGTAGTACACTTTCCGATACGGACAATGCACGCACTGGACGATGGACCGAAGGAGAAGTTGCTTTTGTGGATCATTTGGTCCAGGCGTTTGATAAGGGCGTACTTCCACTGCCACAAGGAGTCAAGCTGTCTACCTTCTTGGGCGACGTTCTCTTGTGTAAAGCCAGTCGATTGACCAAGAAGATGAAAAACGCCAGGCTCAGCACACGATCTTTTGAAGTCAAACAAACGCAAGTTTCAGTACCGACAAAAGAGGATTATGAAGTCTTTGGTGCTCTCCAGGATCGCTTCATTTCCAGCATGCCGACCAAGGTTGCGCAGTTGGAACTCAAGTTTAACCTTATCAAGCAATGGCGAGCTTACTTTTCAAATCTATGCATCGAAACTGGATTCAAAGGACTAGACGCCAACGACTGGATATCTAGTGTGGATGAATTTGAGTGCATGGCTTCCAAGACCGAAGAGCAAATGCGCATCGTTCGCCGAAAGCGAATGGGATTGGGTGGCTGCAGCACAGGGCAGCATCGTCCATTGAAGCAAGCACGAAGCGAGCCCATGCTTCAAGAGATTGCTTCAAAGCCCATGCCCACCTCATCTTCTATGTCCGCCTTTGGCATGGAGCTGACTGTGAAGTCCTCTAGTCCCGGCCCTCCAATCCATCAACGGGCACATTGCGAGGATCTCGACAGTGCCATTCTGTCTTTGTATGATCAAGATGAAAACAATTTCAGCAGTCCTTTCGACGAAGACGACGTTGCACTGCCCGTTCCGCAAGCTCTACCCTCTTCGGATGATCCCTTCTTGGCGGAAATTTCTCGTTTCATGGAAGACAGGAAGCTTCCCTTTCAACATGCTGACGTGTGGGTACCATCATTTGCCCATGGAAGCGGCGAGGAAGTTCAGCTGCTTCATGCGGGGCATGCCACCAGACGCGACCAAGGTGGGATATTATTTGATACTCTGAAGACATTTGGAGAGTTTTCCAAGACTTTCACATTTCGTCCGAACCAAGGGCTTCCAGGAAGAGCTTACACAACTGGTAAAGCTCAATGGGATTCCCATCTATCCAACCCAGCATTTTTTGCAAGATCCAAGGGTGCAGAAGCGTACGGTCTCCGTACGGCAATTGGAATTCCCATCAGCACTCCTGGTGTAGGTCGAATAGTTGTGGTGTTCTACAGTTCGTCGAAACTTGAGGAAGACGAATCCTTGGTATCCCGATGCACCAGCGAACTTGTTAGCTACGTGCCAACACCCAAATGGAAGCTAGTTATTGAAATGGGAAACCCCCGGCCTAAAGAATTGAATCAAGAAGGCCACCCAGCGATCACTGAAGTGTGTACCGGTACTTCTGAGCACACTGGTAAATCTGTCGTTGTCGACCAGATGATATCCTTGCTTGGAAATGAATTGGCCTCTGCTTCGAACTCGGATCGTCCTCCACAACAAGATATGTCTTTGCAAATGATGGGAATGCGAATCTTGTTGCTGAAACGTCCTTCCAACCGATCAGAGAAAGAGAAAGAGTTGGTTGAAATCCTGGAAGGAAGCTACAACGCATACGCCAAGGACAACACGAGGAGTCAGTCAGAACTTGCGCGTCTTCTTGTCTCGGAGTACATGTGCTTGAATAAAACAATGGACCCTGGCAATTCTGAATTCTCAGGGAGCGAACCTCCAATGGAGGCACTGCATGTGCAGCATCAAGAGTCAGCGACCATGCCATCGAGGGTTTATAGCAGCACGCAGCTGGAGGTCCCTGGTGCGATTCTGCCACCCTTGGGCAGGCGTAATGTTCGCACCAAAAACGTTCGATCTGATGCTAACATCCGTCGGACGGTATCTGTTTCTGGTATTGGACCAGGAGGTGCTCCTGTGCCCGACCCAGTATTCAATGATCAGGCACCCAGTTTCTGATATTATTTTCGCTTACTGTGCATGTGGGAGGTTGAGCTTTCTGGTATTTTTTGGGATAGAACCAATATACCAACAAGAGTTCTCTAGGTACCAAGTGTAATTTAGCAACACAATATTTCAAGGGAAGATTATTTTGAAAGACAAAGTACACGTACAACGTATTACTGTGTCATGTCTACTCCGAAAGCACCGGTACCCCTAATCCCTGGTACCACTTTTCGATCAGATTTCCCCCTGCGGTCCTTGAGACTTTATGATTCGCCTGTATTTGATTCTTCATGCACGACTCGCGCGGTCAAGGGTCATTCCTAACAAAAGAGCGCGTAGAAGGTAGTACGTTCTCTACTGCTGTACCGTTGGGAGTTTTCCTTGTGTGTCTCTTGATGATGATTTCAAGACAAAGAGCCTTAACAGAAATCAAAGCATTACTTTGAAACCAAGAGGTGCTAGAGTCACAGCAACGAGGCAACAAGCATTGCTAGTACAGTCGAGCTATGCAACGGTTGTCGACCATAAAGCCAGATATTGGCAATATTAATTTTCTGAAGAAAAAGAAAAAGAAAAAAGGAACCAGCCTTGCTGATACTGAAGATGATTTGGAATACGAGCACTATGGTGAAAAGAACTCTGGGTCCACGACATCAGGCAATACAGCAGATGATAGCTTTGGAGACTGGCAACAAGATCCCAATGCGTCCAACAACAAAAAAAGTGTTAGGCGGGGAAGTATAGCAGGAAAAATTGTGAAGGAATGGAAGAAAAAGAAGAATACAGGCGCCACTCAGGATGCTGACGATGATGACGCGGCTTACGAAGATCCATTTGCCGGTGGAGGTTTTGATGACATGTCCGTGAATTACGGACAGGACGATATCAGCGTTGATGCAAGCAGATGTGACACTTATCTAGAGGATGATTCTGACGCTAAGGCTGCATTTGCAGAACAACTACTCTCACCAATGTCAGCTCTACGAAAGGGACAAAAGTCGAAGTCAAACACCAAACAGGTGAAGAAAAAGATACCGCAGATGATGACGCTGAACGAAGCTGAATCTGATGAAGGCGAATCGGATGATGATGGCGATGATACTAGCAAAGGTGAAGCTACTGGTGAAAGCAGTAGTGAAGAAGGTGTCGACGACTACGATTCTTTTTTCAAGTTCCTTGACAAGGAGAAGCAGGAAGACGATACTAAGGAGGAACCGGAAGAAGAACCCACCGAAGGAGAACCAGTGAAGAAAACGAAGAAAAAGGTGAAGAAGATAAAGCGAGATGATGGATCAGTTCTATCAAAGAAATCGAAGAAGAAGTCTAGTGACGAGAGGTCTGTCATGTCCAAGAAAAAGAAGAAAAAGGTGAAGAAGAAAAAGAAGAAGGTAGATGATGGCGAGGATGCCATCACCACCTCTGATCTTCTTGGCATGGTGTCCCCCGAGTCAACAGACGTCCTTAAGGCGCTTGATGAGGAAGACTTCAAATCACAACCAATTCCTCCACCTCCTGTCAACGACCTTTCTCTTGACGAGCCCAATGGGACTAGTGCTGCTGCGTCTGAAGAAGTCTTAGCAAATGCTAGGGCTCGTCGGACTCTGGCAAGACTCAATCCTGCACCTGCGGAAAGTGGACTGGGTCAAGGATTATCCCTCGACGCCAAAATGGGGGATTCTAGAGTTGACAGGGCTGCACGACGAGCGATTCGGAGGTCCAGTATCGGTATTGTTGGCGGAGACGAAGCACCAGCAACAGCCCGAGAACGGGCAAAGTCTCGATTTGATGCAATCACGGATGGAAAGGCAGCGAATCGTCCACGAGTTCGTCGGAAGAGTATGGATGTCAGATTGTCAGCGCAAGAAAGTGAAGAACTAAGGCAGCGGATTAGTTCATCTCTGAATTCTCCCGACGATAAGGCAGCAACTCGGCAACGTCCGGCACCGAATCGTCCACGATATCGCCGGAAGAGTATGGATGTCGGTCTGTCACTTGAAGAGAGTGAGGAACTAAGGTCGCGGATTGGTGATTCTCTGAAGAAGGCGCTGGATTAAAAATGACATGGTGCGTGCAATGGGCCATGGCAGAAGTCAAGAATACAATGAAATACATAACACAAAAACACGCAAAACTTCTTCTATCATGTGTTTCTATATTGTGTTTTTGTGTTTGTTAGTCTATGCAAAGAACTCGCTATTGCGCGTTGTCTTTGTTCTAAATAGTTGGCTGACTTTTTCGCGCCGAGCATCGCTGCTGGATTCGCGCCACTGCATGGTCCCTTTTTCCTCATATCGCTCCACAAAGCGGCCACCAGAAGATTCGTATCGCTCCACTATCTCTCGGATAATGCGACTCTTTTCTAGTTTTCGAAGCTTGGAATATTCTTGTCGCTTTGAGTCTACAAGCTGTGCCAATCGTAGGTTTCCTGGGTGTTCCTGTTGATGGCGACCCCTTCCCAGAATGACGTCGGGAGAAAGGGGTTGCATTATTTCGCCATTTGTCATACTCCTTTCTTTTTCCTCCGCCTGTTTTATTCGTAGGAGGTATTGATCTAGGTAGTCAGTGGAAACAGCATCGTGGGAAACTGATGGGAGGGCTGATGCTGGTATATTGAAATCTTCAAGCTTTTGCTTGACTTGTACTTCGTTTCCTGAGAGAAGACAGAAAGAAAAGAGGCATCAACAATGATAGTTAGACGCCGGTTGATTTATCAGGCACAAACATGTCTTGTTTTTGTTGTTCTTGTATTTACCAAAGTGATCTCGCAATCGCGATCGGCCATCTACTCCAACTGCCAATTGTACAGCTGAAAGCATCGGCACCAAGGAACCACTGTTGTAACAAAAGTGCAGCCCCATATTCTTGATGGGCAAAGCCCTTGAAAAGATAGATCCCTTTTGTATGAATTCGTTGTGTGATAGTATGTTGTGAGCTTTCGAGTCGAGATTGTAAAATACTCGAACTACCCCCTCCTTTTGTGCATCCGGATCACTGGTTTCGATGACAGACATCAGCATGTACCAATGCACCCGGAGCTGTGCAATGAAATTAAAAAAGACAAATAAAGTCAGCATCGTTCAGCTTTTTTTAAAACTGATTTGCAATACAAATGCGATACAAATGCAAAAAAAAAGGCAGCTCTTACAGCATGTCTGCACATACCTGACTTTGGATGCTCCGATACCCAAGAGATCTTGCGGTTTCGTAGAGGATTGTTCGACCGGACCGGTCTTTTACTGGTAAAACCTGTATCGCCCCCGTTGATAAAGCGAGCTTATCGTCACCGGACAGGTCATCGTGTGTTATTTTTGTTGCTAGCTTGTCCATTCCAAAAAGAGACAGCTTGGTTTCAAAATGGAGGACAATCCGATGAGCGGCCTTGATTGGATTAAAGTTTTCGGAACGGAGGAACATCATAAGGAAGGATGGACTATCGGTGTAACTAGGATTGAGGAAGAGGGCTTTGTTGTAGGCTTTCCTATTCCGGACCATCGAGGCTTGTTTCCGTATCCGATCTAGCAAGGTGTCGACGATGGGGCCACTGGGCTCGGTTGTTCGAGGATGAAAGCCATGAACTTCCAGCAACACCCGATGCCGGTCTATAGGAGACAACGTAGAGCTTTCACTTATTATCAGTTCATTCATCTGTGAAGCTCTCCGTCTTTCATCTTCATCAAGAAAATCCTGGCACATTTGCATCAATGATGGCAATTTTTTTTTGGGGTCTATCCTGTGGGTTTGTGAATTGTTGCCCACGCCAACTGTGAAATGCGCCAACTGTGCGACACACCACGTCAATTGATTTAACGACAGCTGACAAAAACAGCTGTATTTGACGTTCGGTGCAATGGAGGCCAATGGAAAATTGTCGACGTATTTAACGACTGCTTTACGAAAAGTAGAAGGAGGGGATTGACTGACTCACTCATTCTGAGGCAGAAGCGACGGATTTGTGCCAGGTGAGATAAGAAACAACTGCAAAGACAGCTGTCCCAGGTGCAATTGGATCGCTTTTAAAATTTCTTCTCATTTCTCAAAAGGTGACGGAAATGCACCGCGTCTTTCTACAGCACCTACAGTATGATTGGTTCGCTTCGTTATGCGGCTGTAGCTACTAGCTAAAGAGGTCTATTATTCCCTGTGCTTGAACGATGAATGAATCGTGCAGCAGCTAAAACAAAAACGCTTTATTAATACAGTATGCTCTAAATCGATACGAAATAGAGAAGATTTTGTCACCTCCGATTGATGTTTCATTTTTTCCCTACTTCCACTTTTTAATGATATGAATCAATGCTTGATTCATTCATTCCGATAGTATCCACAGGAGCTTGTGGGTGGTTCTGATCATTGTTCTGTTGTTGTGGTGAGTGAATGCTCACAAATATGTGCATTAATTGCATGCCACTAGCGGGAATCTAAGAGGTAGGCGGAATTCCAATTTTTTAAAGTGGTTCTAAAAAGGTGGGTATCATCGGAAAGTATCCATGACGATGGTGGTAGCATTCTTTCATTGCGCTATTGCATCTGTGTCTTACTTTTCCGACCAAATAGACTGTAGCTGTACGTCCGTCCAACCTACGTTGTTGGAAATGCGCGCATACTGTACCAACATGCGCGTATCCGATCGTGATGATTTTCTTTCGTTTGTTTGACAATACGACGTTATTTTGAACACGCTTCTATAAAATATTGGAATTCTCAACATCGACCTCTCTTTTCCTCATATAAAGCTCCCTTTTTTTGTATGATACCATCCAATCAATAAATAATACATTGCTGTCACAATGATACAGCTTTATCGAATAATTGCTGTTACGCTGTTGCTCCTGCTAACGTTAGTGGGGGCAGCTTTGAACGAATCATCGTCAGCATCGGCAGCATTGGAAGGACTTCCGTGGGGAACTGTGAATTTGCTGGTCTTGACGGACGTTCATTCTTGGATTGCTGGACATGAACGACACGAATCCAATATGAATGTAGACTATGGGGATGTTCTGAGCTTTGTGCAACGTCTGCACAAATTTGTGGACTCACAACAAGAACAAGATATGGATTTGTATTTGGTCATGAATGGAGATTTTATGGATGGAACCGGACTCAGCACGAGGCCACCAAGGTACTTGACTCCGTTGCTGAAACAAATGCCCTTTGATGTCATAAACTTGGGGAACCATGAACTGTACGATAATGCTACGATCGACTTTATCTTGGACGAGTTCATTCCAGATTGGAACGGGCACTATTTGACGTCCAACACGCTCTATGAACCAACTCGACAGACTCTGGGAAGTCAATACTGCATACTGAGAGGAAGGGCATCCACAACCCTTACCTTTGGATTTCTGTTCAATTTTCAAGGGCATTCCAAGAATACGATTGTGGAGAATGTGCAAGATGTGGTCCGACAGTCATGGTTTCAGCATGTACTTGTGAACGAAGAATATGACACGATACTGGTCATGGCACACATGCATGTGACAGACCCCTTGGTGCAAATCATTCTTGATGCCATACGAGAGCACACGAATTGCTCGGTGGCATTTGTGACGGGGCATACGCATCTAAGAAGGTACGAGGTCTTGGACGAGAATTCTGTGAGTTTTGAAGCTGGCAGGTTTTTGGATACCATTGGCTTTATGAGTTGGAATCCTGCCGATGCGGCTATCGACTCGCCATTATCACCGGAAGAGAAATTCCCGCATTTGTTCATTGACACCAGTCGAGATATATTGACTGAAATCTTGCATGCCACTGACAACTCGACAAACAACCTTCCAACAATGGAAGGAATCCGTCTGACTGACAAAATCCATACAACCCAAGGTGACATGGGTCTACTGAAAACGGTTGGTTGTTCGCCCCATGTCTATGAACTCGCAACTCCAATCAACGAGAAGCTGTCCTTATGGGGGCTGTATATTCATCAAATCATTCCGGAGCGCCTGCTTCAGACACCGGGGAAAGTATATGTCGAAGGGACAGGATCTTTGCGATATGACCTGATGAATGGCAAAATTCTTATTGACGATGTGATATCCGTATGTCCGTTCAATCAAACCATACTTGAGGTGGCGGTAGACGTTCCAGCTACAAAGCTACTTGAGGCTCTGGGTATTGAAGTTCCTCCACATTCGCACGGTGCACTCAAACCAAACTCCATTTTGCCAGAAGGTAAACAACTGCCTACTTGGGCAATTGCAACGACGTTGAACACTGGAATTCTGGACTTGGATCAACACTATCGAGTGTTGACGCCTCTTTACTATGCAGATTACCTGAAAGGACGAATCGCCAATGTGACTGGTACGCCAGCGATTGATTCGATCACAGTCAAAAAGGCAGACAATCCTAAACTGAACGAATCGACGACCGATCTCTGGAAGGACTACATAGAAGCAAACTGGAAGTGCAAAAAGTCAGAGTCGATATTGGAAATAATCGACCCCCCACCGCCACCACCAATCGAATCGGATGAGCCGCCGCCAGAAGAAAGGCCACTGGTAGTGGCATTTTTCATTTGCTTTATCGTGTTGGGCCTTTCGGCATATAAGAAGCGACGAATGCAATACTTTTCCTATCAGTCGATTCCAGACGCCAAGGCAACAGAAGCACTGTTTCGCAAAACGAGTCAAACTTCTGCTATGTACCAGTAGCAGTAGATATATATAGGGTAGTAGTTGATAGCCTATTATTCTAAAAGTCTAGCTTTGTGAATTGTAGATCTGGTGCAGCCACAAAGAGGAGGAACTTGAGCAATGATCTGTCACCATGTGTCCATCTCACACAACTGGACTTGGAAACTCGTTCACGCCTGAGGGTGACAGCCTTTTGTTATCGTCGTCATCGTCGAGTTTCGTTTCCACTGGAATTCCCGATCGCTCATTGTGTTCACTGATGGAATCCAAACTGATGAGATCGGAATTGATGGAAATGGAGGAAGTCGAGGTGAATCGTTGCTTGGATTCTGCCAATCGGGCAGCAGCTTTTTCTCGAGCCAATCGGAGCTTGAGAGAAGAAGTCTGTCGGGACAGTGATATTTTAGGACGTGCATCCACTGGGCTTGCAGTTTTGGCTTCTTCGATCGGACCCAAATCAGCGCTGTCGAATGTATCCGAAGACAGAGATCGTATCAATTGCATGGTTGCAGTTTCCTCCTCACCGTTTTTGAATACTTTGTCTTCCAACTGAGATGTTTTCTTCTTCACTTCTTGTGCGACCTCCCGCTTGAGCTTGCACATGGATAGTACTTGCTTGCGAACTTGCGCCTCGCCCTGTTTTTCCAATTGCGTCTTGGTCTTTTCGCTGGTGGATATTTCTGTTAGAATTCGTAGCTTGGCTCCCATAAAATCTTGATCCAAAGAGCCTGGTTTCTCGTGCAGTGTGAGAACGATATCATTCCATATGTTTGATTGGATGTGCAGTTGTTGCTCTGCCACCATTAGGAGGTGCAAGTGCTTGAGCACCTGCGCTTCTAGCATTTTGGAAAGCCTTTTTTCCATTGATTCGGACATTGTTGGTGCAGCAGTAGGATCTGAATTGGATTGATGTGCAGCTGGTGGTGATAGATCGTCGTCCTCCTCTGTGGCTTCGAGTGCTTCTTCGGGAGATTCGCGCCGCATATACTCGCCATAATGATCATATGGGACATCGTATGCCGCTCGTTGTCGCTTTTTTAGCTTCACTTCCCACTGATTCATACCGGCCTTCAATGTACGAATCTCCTTTCTCTGATCAGCCATTGCTTGTCTCCCTGCTATTTTTACTTCCTGAAACTTGGCCTTTGTTCTGGATATGGCAGTTTCCAGTTGCTCAATCGTTTGAGGTGCGGCTTCCGCCTCTTTGTCTTCTCCTAAACCTTCATGAATCGGTGAAAGACCGTCATCATCTTTTGCATCTGAACCTACACCCTCTCTGCGGCCAATGTCACTGATGAGATTGCGAGTGCTTATCAAAAGGCCTTCTAGGAATGGCATTGGGTATATAAGTCTTTGTTTGTCTTCGACTTGCTGCTGCTGCTGTTGAAATGAGGTTCCTTGTTGGGTGACGGCGATACATGTGCCAGAGACGGAATAGTGACGGCCCTTCTATTTTTCCGCACCCCAGTACCGCCCCAAGCAAATCGCTACAAGATAAAATTGGGCGGAAATTTTGCAACGTCATTAATTGGAAAGTAACGGCTAGGACCAATCAGATACATCAAAAGTTGACATTTATTGTTTGAAACCGGAAACTGGAAACTATCTGCACCTCGACGGCTAATTTTGGACGGCTAACACACTACCTACCAGTACGATGAAGGTAGATAGATTCCACAAATATGATAGTCAAATCCCTTCTTTGGCGCCTGTAAGGTAGACGTAAACGCCAGAAAAACCACGCATAAATGTCTCTGAACAGCCCTCAGGTATGCACCAAGCCACCACCAAGAGCTACTAGCCCTCCTCCTTCCTCAATTCTGCCTCAGGAGTAGTGGGGATAGGGTATGGAAAACCGGCCACCGAATCAGGAGATCTCAAGCTCGTACTAGATTCGTGGTAGCTCTCATCGTCTCGAATTCGAGTATCCAACGAACTGGAAGAATCCTCGGCTGCCAAAAAACCTCGAAGGCGCTTCTTGGATTCCTCCAGTCGTTGCTTTGCCTTTTTTCGTTTGGCTTGCATGGATACTCGTTGGGACATTCGTTTCGATTTGGCCAATCGCTCTTCTGCCATGATTCGGCGGCGTTCTAGTTCCATTCTGGAAGCATTGGATCTGCCAGATTTGACGGACGAATTCTCATGATCTTCACCTGCGCCGACGATGTTAGAACTGGATGATGCTGATCTATTCAGCAGTGCAATGCTGTCGAGCGATTTTCGAAGTTCCGCACGACTTCGTTTTCTTTTTATTGTTTTTGGCTGTTGTTGCTGTGACGGCACGGCTTCTGGCATATAGTCAAGTTCATCGTCGGAAATGGTGGAATTGGAAACGAAGGATGCATTCTCATCATCGTCATCTTGCTCTTTAAGAATTGTACTGGACAATGATGATTTGAATCCACATCTTTCTCCGAATTGAATACTACTCTCTCCCAAATCTGACTTACTGGTGTCAAACGAGTGTGGACTCGATCGTCCTACTTGAACCTGCGTTTCCTCGGCTTCTTCGATTTGACTACTGCTCCCTCCCATTGCCGATGTATCAAAAGAATGTGGGCTCGATCGTCCTACCTGAGCCTGCTTTTCCTCTTCTTCTTTCATCATCAACGACTCGTCTAATGAAAATTCCACCCGCACCTTGTCTACCAAAGGTCCATCTGCTTCCAGTGACATTCGTTCGGCAATCGTACTCAGACGTATCAATGATTCACGCTTCAATTCGGCTAGGAATGGAGGCTCCGAATCCTCAATTCCTTGTATCAGTGTGGACCGTCGTCGAATGATGTTTTCTTTGACTTGATCGGAGACTGCTTGGCCTCCCCTCAGCTTTAGCTTGAGAATAATTTTACGTTGCTTTTGTGCAATCTCATTGTAGGTTTCCATCACATCCTTTGTTTCCTTTAGTTTGCTTTCTATTTGGAGCATCACTTCGGCCTTCCGTTGCATCAAATCAATACAGGCTTCGTCCATTTTATCCTTGGATTTGATATACGCCGCAAGTTGCTTGACTTCGTTGCTCTTGTGGACCTTGAAAATGACTTCTTGTGCACGAAACATCGTGAGCAAGTGCGCCTTTTTCAGCAGTCTGACTTGCAAAACCGATTGGACCATTAGTTGCCACAGAAACGCACTGGAGCCATAGAATGTCTGCGACCACAGGATTAGAGTTGTTGTTGAATTGGGTGGTGGTGGTTGTTTCTGTTTTTGTTTTTGTTGTTGTTGTTGTTTTTGTTGTTGTTTTTGAGACGAGGAAGCATGATCCGAGCTACCTGATGCTGCTACTACTTCAGGTCCTTTTCTCTCAATCAATCTTTCGGTAGTGTCCGATCTGCTGCTTGTGTAGGGCCTTGCAGGTCCTGCTTCTCGCATCAAGACAGCATATTCATACAGACTAATGTGCCGTTGTGCTTTTCGTCCCAATCGATGAAGGTTCCGTTGTTTTTCCCACAATTCGTGCGAGAGCTTTTTGTGCTCTGCACGACGAGCTGATTTTGACTGTTTGCCCTCCAATTTCAGTTGTGATAGTTGGCTTTTGGCCGCTCGCAATTTTTGACCAATGTCCGATCCATCATTATCATTATCATCATCATCTTCTTCTTCTTCCGTCGGGTGCATGTTCTCCACCAGTTCGTTCCATTTGACGATGAAACTTGTCCTCAGATCATCCAGCACGTGGTCCATCCTCTATTTCTTTTTGCTGTTCCCAATACAACAATCAATCTGATAGTAGGTCGTAATATTGTTTGATGACCAGGCAGTTTTCCCTTGCCGGAAAATTGCAGGAAACGGAGTTGATAGAATTAATCACAATCAAAGGCTTATTTTTCACAGGGTGACGGTGAAATAGGTGACGGAGGCGAGAATTTGGGGCAGAGGAAGAGCTCAAATTTACTTAGGTAAAAATTCAGTGAGACATGAAATTTGACTCGAACAAATTCTCATTGGCCAGATTGGTCAATTCAAAATCTCCTGCATGGCGGGAACATTGTGTGCAGTGTTGGAGATGCGATGAAGATGAAGATTCCCAAATCCATGTCACAAGCTAGGTCCCGTGTGTCTGCTGCGACTTCAAATCAGCTGGGAAAATTTAAAACTTGACCCGTGTCCAGTTCTGACCAGATGGTGTTCTTGCATTGATACGCGTCATTTCGCCCATCTGTCAAAAAAAATGATCGCGCCTCTCTGAATGTTGCGGGAACATCAACCAATACCAGTACATCCTTCTCATTATTGCAGGATACCCATCCCATCACTTCTTCAGACTTGCAATGATTCCTTCATTCGTGTCTTCTCGATTTACTAAAAAGGTAATTATTTAGTTAGTTAGTTAGATAGATCATGTTATAAATGTATTCATGTTACAGTACACAAAGATAGATAGATAGAATGCAAAAACTTTTTTCTCTCAAAAATGGAATCATACAGCAAGTAGTAATGGGTAGATGTTGTTGGTAGTCGTAGCAGGCAATGCATGCCCTTCCTCGTCCTGGTTATTTAGGCTCTCCTCTTATTGATTTGCCTCGGGTTAAAGACGAATCCCACACGGGAGAGTTTAGCGATTCGATCCACAGTCATGTTGGATCGCTTGGGGCCATCTGAGACAAACAGCTTGAACTGACGTCTCTGACACTTGGCCCAAATCGCCAATTGAGGATTGTCCGGGAACTTGGTTGGGACATTGCAATGGCCGTACTTATCTCGGAATTCATAGAGTTCATTGAGACGTTCTTCCCAAAAGGCAGAGTGGGGATCCCAGACAAAGGTCATCTTGTTCAGGGCCTCAATGCGAGCCGGGGTGATCGTGGAATGAAGTCCTTCGTTTGACCTCTTGTATTGATGGCGTTGGCGCTTGACCCATTGCGCTAAAGGGGGGTTCTTGGGCCAATGGCTTGGGACACAGCAATGACCGTGTTCTTTCTTGAATTGGATCAGATCTTGATATCGATCATACCACCTTCCAGATGTCACGGCTTGTGAAATTGTGGAGGGTGAGGCTTCTTCAGAAGCTGCAGCAGTGGATTCGGTCGGAGAAGCAGCAGTATCTGGATGAAGGTCTGTGCTTGCATGACAAGTTTCAGAGGAGGACGTTGCGGCTGTGGGTACCACTGGAGCACTCTGTGTTTGTGGATGATTGCTACTCATGAGAGAAGGGGAAAGACCCAAGGAGTTTCCATAAAGGGTAAAATCATTCTCTGCATCAATCACAGTGTTTGCTTGATTCAGTACCTGCCGAAGCAATTGGTTTTCGTTAGGACGGGCGCCAGAACGATTACCAAAGGCTGCCGAGTTTTCATTGATGGGTGTGGGTTCAAAATCAGCGCCGCAGTGAAAGAGACTTGCAGCTGTCATTTGCAACTGAGGATTAGCCCGGGACAGGTCTTGAAATTGGTGACCCCGTGGCAAAGATGTGAAGACGCTTTGGTCCATCACTCCCAACATAGAATATAGATTGTCTTTCTCCATGTTAATATTATAGGTTCGTTTGGTTTTGTCCTGATTGATGAATTGTGTGTGTATTGAGGATGATGCGTTGCACCTTCGCCGTGTGCAAATCAGAAACTTTCAAAATCAGAATACTCCCCCTGTATTTGTGTGAACTGATGGCAGGTGTTTTAGATATATCGGCTTCGTGTTGATGCGCCCTGCTGGGTACCGTTGTTAAGTGAATCAAGAGGTTTCCTTTGTTCCTTGATGCTTGGAGGAGAGCCCAAATATTTTAATTCATTTATAAAACAATCAAGTTTGAGCCGCTGATCATAAACACGAAGGATCCACAACTGAGGCGCTATTGTCCCTGTTATGCACCTTCGGACTTGTGTAGAAACCTGTACTTGGTTCAATGGGAAAGAAGCTTCGCTCATTGAATGCCAAAAGCGCGTACACAGATGTTTATTAATTGTTAGATGTGTCAAGCTACACAAAGTGTAAAACGCTCGTACAAGTGCCTAATAGAAAAAAAGCAAGGCTCATCCAGTGAAGAAATTACCTTCTTTTCGGTACCGGTACCTACCGGCAGTGTGCGAATAATATCACGAACAGGTCGACAAGAAGAATGTTGGAAAAACAGACAGCATTCAATCGCAGATGGAAGCTTCTGAGCCACCTTTGTCCCTTTTGAGCCAGCTTGCCCACTGGTGGCAAATAAAGGGAAATACGTGTGGGCTGTCGACCATTCGTGTAGGCTGCCGATCATTATCAGACTGCCGGTATCTTTGGATTGTTTTGGAGCGGTGATAGTGTCTTCCATCCACCTATAAGGCCTCAAACACCGACGCAAATGAACTGAGAAGGAATCCATCATCCATTTGCCGGTAACTTCTGGATCATGGCGATTTTTTTTTTGTTTCCTGTGGGAGCTGTGATATTGTTTGAATGAAATGCTACGAGTGCTTTGACGAGCCAACTTCTAATATATTATAGATCTCAATCGTAGCGAATGCTAGTTTTGTGGGAGCCGACATATTGTCATGAGTCAACTACTTTTGAGAGTTTCGATGCAAACGAAATGATACCAATATTGTTTTCTGAGCCAGTCGTAATCCCAAATCATCATGGTTCGTTGAAATGGAGTTCCCTTGCTCTTGAATCGAAATGGATGGAAATTCTTCTCTTTGGAATCACTTACAGTAGGGGATATTATTTCACCAGTCACAAGCCTCCTCCTACACACAAACGTACCTAAATGTGCCTAAATGTGTCTAAATCCAAACTCACAGGAAAAGGGCCAAAAGCAATGCTTATATGTATTGTGATTGAAAGCTATGTAGTCCTACCGGTACATCCAACGCTGCTTATTTTTTACACTAACAAGAGATATTTCCCAAGTCAAATCACAATAGTTGTCCAAGTATTTGTCAAATACTTTTTTTTTTAAAAAGCCTTGACGAGCCAACTTTGAACCTCAAACAATGACGCAAATATGCCTGCCGACTGAAAAATCCATCACTACCTACTGTAACTGTCGATCTTGGCATTTGTTTTGGATGTCTGAGCCTGAAAGGGAGATTCCCCTTACTCCTACAGTATCCAATCTAAATTTTATTCGACCAGGCATTATTAGCCTCCTACAGGTATGGTACGCATATACGTGCCTAAAAATGTGCCTGCATCCAAACTCACGGAAAAGGGCTTGCCTTGGAACACAACTATATAACATGGGGACCTTGACTGTTGCGCAATCTATAGATGAGGAGTAATCATGGACACCTAAACCAAAAACATCGGATATCGATAGCTGGTGTTTTCCATCCCAGGAAGCACTTCGACCAATCTATGATTGAAGCTATTTTTCAAACTGCCTATTTATTAATTTTAAAAAAGAAACAATGTGCGTTACCTTCTGCGTGAAGATATGATCATTTACAGCATGAAAAGCACCAAGGAAATTGCCATTAGCAGCATTCCGGCAATGAAGGAGTATGTTACCACTGTATCCTCCGGATCGTAGTGGTGAGCTGTGGGCAATAGTTCCCGAATGCTGATGATTACCATCATACCAGCCACTATCCCAAACAGAGCCGCGTACGTTGCGTCGTCGACCACGGCAGCCAATATTGCCCATCCCAAAAGAGCTGCAACGATTTCTGACGCTCCAGACAAAAGGGCCCAAAGGAATGCTTTTGATCGGCTTCCAGTAGCGTAGTAGATTGGCAAAGCAACGCACAGACCTTCGGGAATGTTATGAATCGCAATGGCGCACGCCAACACAGTACCCACAGAAGGATCATCTACGGCAGCCACAAATGTTGCCAATCCCTCTGGAAAATTGTGCAATGCAATTGCAAGTGCCGTGTTCATGCCCATCTTGATCAGCTTGCGCTGCTCCTCCTTGTCTTTCGGAGACTCATCGTCAGAGATGCTGTCTCCTCCGACGTCCCCAACCACAACAGGAGCGTTACCATTTGAAAGGGGCAGGTTTTCTACAAAGTCATCATCACTTCCCTTTGCACTTCCACCGTCCTGCTGATCTTCGCTCTCCTTGGCTTCCGAACTTGGAAGCTGCGTCGTGCGATTGTTCTCTCTTTGGTGTTGCTGTTGTGATACTGGATTCACAGGTCCAGCATGATGATGGCTGTCTTCGCCCAGTAATTTGGCGACAACGACATTCAGCAACTAAATAACATAGTAGAACGGGGGGAAATGAGAAAACCACTCCAACAATTCAATGAATTCAATGAATCGAATCACGTACAATCATCAACACGACACCACCGAAAAAGCAAAAGGTGGAATAAACATAGGCCTGGCTCCTTTCATATCCAGCATCTTCGAAGCCCACATAGGATTTGATAAAGATTTCCACAAAGGAGACGTAGGTCATGACTCCAGCTGAAAATCCAAGGGAGGCTGCCAAGACTCGTTGGGATGCCAGCTTGACAATGGACGGGAAAAATACGACTGCCGCACCCAATCCAGTGGAAGCTCCAGCACCGAATACCATTGCCAAAGCAATAAGAACATTGTCTCTATTGTCGGCTTCCATTTTTTCGCTCTATAAATCTCTTGGTGTATAGCAGAGGGTTGTTGCTTTTTCTCTGTTACGATGGTAGTAGTATTTATCGGCGGGCCGATTTGCAGATTTTCAAAAATGACATGAGAATTGGCTCATAACCTGCTATAAAGATGACGGATTATGAGTAGAAACCCCCTTTGCTTCAACCTCTCCATCGAATTCCAAGTGGAGGCACTTGCGCTATTTCTTGTGACGCCGCGCGATCTTGAAAGTTGAGGGAAGCGCGATCTCCACTCGTTTTTAATTGGTGGTTATGAAGACTCAGGAGAGAAGCACGGACGGCATAAGTTGCCTTCGAATTTGACACTTTTTACTCCGAATTTTTGAAAGGGAAGCGTGACCTGCATGATTTGACTCACTCCCTTCCCAAAATCAAAAGGGAAGTTCAAATGCAGTACAGTACAGCACCATAGTTTCGTATTATATGCAGAAATATGACTCTCTGGACTTAAGGTAAATGGAAGGAAAAATGCCGACGAGCCGACGGAATTGTCAAAGAATTGCCTTCTGCCACCGCTGCTTTCTACCTCAATAGTCCATTGATGCCATTGAGTCAGCGAAATATCTTCTGTAATTGCAACAGCAGTAAGTTTCATTACTTTACAAGAAGTCATAAAACAGAGCAGAAGCGAAAACTTATCATCTGTATCATCTGAAGAATCAATCTCTCAATTGCTCGTCTCATTTTCCATTTCCCTGAATCTTATTGTCTAGTAAGATCTTCCAACCAAAGCAAACGCGAACTCTAAACTTCCACTCTAGAACTGAAATCATGAAGTCGAAGAGCCCCCTTATGCTGATTGCCCTCAGCCTTCTCTGCGGCCTCATGGTTGCTGAAGCAGCCACAGACTACATTTCTTGTGATGATCCCTGCAATGGAGGTGATGTGAACTATGATCTTGTCAGCACTGTGGAAACCGTTAAGTTGATGAACTACACCTATCGTGGCCGATTCTACAAGTCTGGAACGGATGACAATCGAGGCATTGATGGTTTCCCAGAGTCTCGCTTTATGGGTCCTACGATGCGGGTCAAACCGGGTCAATCCCTGTGGATCAAGCTTAGCAACGAAATGGATTCTTCCGATATTGGTCCTACCCCACCCACTGCCGCAGACTACTGGGTCAGACTCCAAAAGCCAGGAGAAGCCATCAAGTACAGATACTACCAATTGCCCGTGGATGATCCATCTCGCATGTTGGTGGATACTCCCAACATCCCCGGTCACTTTGATTCCACCAACCTTCATGTGCATGGATTGGATGTGGAGGTTCACATGTTTGATCCAGTGGGCACCCACAACCCCGATGCTCCTCACATCAAGATTGATCCAGGCGAATGTTACTGTTACAAATTCAACGTGCCAGAGCACCATCCTGAAGGACAGTACTGGTACCATCCACATCTTCATGGATCCTCTGCTGTCCAGCTTTGGGGAGGAATGTTTGGTTTGCTCTATGTGGACGGTGGAACTCTTGAGAGTGAACTCGAGGGATATGGAATTACCACCACCAAAGACTTTGTCATTTGGGATCCAGCCTTCCAGAACGTTGACAAGGACACCCACAACATTGAAGTGGATGAATTCCTTGAAGGCCAGACCACCCTTTCCAAGATTCATCCTTTCTTGGTCAATGGAAAGATGAACCCAACGTTCGAGACAGCCACTGGACAAGTTCTTCACCTTCGAGTTCTTTGCGCAACCATTGAAAACGAAAACACTTTCATTGTTTACGAGGAAGGACGTGAAGAGGAGTTCTGGGATGACGCTGGATTGGACTTTTGGGTCATTGGTGTTGATGGTGTCATGTTCCGCAAGCCCAGCCGAAAGCATATTGCAGTCTTGGCAGGAGGCCAACGAAATGAAATTTTGTTGCAATTTGACAAACCTGGAAACTACGTCATTCGTCAACACGGAATTGATGGTATGCAGTTCTTCGACATGCGTGGTCACCCACATGTAAGTCTTTTTTACTTTACGATTGCTTCTGAATATTGAATGAATCAAATCGTCTAACATGCCTATTACATTCTTGTTCTTCTTAACTATCTCTATCCCCAACTGACAGAATCAAACACTTGCAACCATTCGTGTCACAGACGATGAATCAGCACCAAAGCCTACCATCCCCATTGATGAAATGATCTTCACACCTGGTTATGATGAAAGCGAATCTATCCAAGCGCATGAAATTGTGAAATCCGAAAACATTGTCTTTTCCATGGGAGCCGATCGCAACAAGGCACCATTTCCACAGTACTTTGTGAATGGAAAGGCCTTTTCTCCGGATCGTCTTGACTTTTTGGCTCACCCTGGAGAGGCACGCGAGTATGTTCTCATCAATGGTAATCACAATGTACATCCTTTCCATATTCATGTCAACCGATTCCAAGTCATTGAAATGGGTAGCGAACTATCCACTGAAACGTACCCGGTTCTCAAGTCTGTCATGAACTTTGAGCCTGGCCTATGGCGTGATACAGTTGTGGTACCACCCAATGGCCGAGCTCGTATCTGGGTCAAGTACGGAAATTATACTGGAAAAACACTCTTCCATTGCCACTTTTTGGCTCATGAAGATACCGGTATGATGTCCACTCTTTTTATTGGCGAGCCCGACTTTACCTTTTCGAGATGGAAGGTCGCCAACATTGATACCGTCATTATGATGTGCGTTGGAGCCACCGTCCTCGTGGTAGGAATCTTGTTTGCTGTCTTGTTTTCGAGGAATAGCGCTCCAAAGGATTACAGTTCTGTTTCAACCATGAACGATGTGAAAGCAAAGGTTTTGGATTAGATTTTTTTGTTTACGAGTACCGCTTGAGGTTGGATCTACGGTAGTTCAACAATTATAATTTTAGATGCCGATTCTTCACGATCTCACGAACCCAATATTCTACTGTAGCTTCAGTCCGAACCTGACAGCTGTCACCCAACTTCTCGGATCGTATGGTATGATGTGATACTGTGGCGATCTCTTGAACCCGCCAGTATTTAAAGTGCTGTCAGCGTTCATGTCATAGAACCGAACTTCTAAACGGTGTACCGGTAGTACAGCAGTACTATTTCTCACGATATCGAAAGGACGGTTGGTTCGTTGACACTGTAATCATGATGTGTGAGTACCGTTTCAAGGGAGCACAGTTCTGATTCGAACATCAAAGATGTGAGTGCCAAGGTTTTGGACTAAAGGTGAAGGTGGCGTCTAAATTATATTCTTCTGCTGTAGTGGTGCCGATACTCCACGATCTCATTAAAACGCCAATATTAAATAAAGTGGGGACTCGCCGTTGTCACACACCCGAACTTCTCCTTTCGAACAATTTTCACCATGCCGGTTACTATTTCTTGCGTGATGGATGCTGCTCTGTATCTAGAAACTCCTAGAGCCATTGTCACCAAACCGAACTTGCCGTACCTCATAATTGCTATTTCTTGCTCGACCAACTGATAACACTTATTGTTTCTACAAGCGCTTAACTACATCTGGGTTCGCATGGGATGCTGACGACATTTTCCAAAAGGTCACATGCGGCACTTTATTTAAAATACACGGTTGATTTCGACACATAAAAGAATGTTCGATTTAGCCAAAACCGAACCGCTCCAGTGGAACAGACAAAAACCACAGAATCAATCAATTCAAATATTCTCATAATTTCAACAGATAGGGAAAAAAATCAGACTTTTTCGTCATGTGCACCCCAACAGGAATGTCAAGATTGACCATGGTAAAGAGACCAATCCACAATACCTTAAAGGTATGTGGTACAAACGAGAAAAGTAAGCGTACTACTGGTGCGAGTACAAACTTCGCCGAGAGGTGTAACTTGGCAACGACGTGCCGCCGCAGTCCTTCGCGTTTTGATGCTGCCACCTTCGTTGGAAGGGACACAATGGCACCAGCTCTGCCCTGTAAGGAACGTCACAATATGGCCCAAAGTATGGATAAGCTGCTCCGCGAAGAGACAGCATCCCCAGCGCCCCTCATCAAGCCAAGAAGACGGTGCTCGTTATGCCCTGGATCGCCATTCGATCAAATGTTCGCAGAATCATCGTCTAGCGAGCCTCTGGCTATGCCAAGAAGATCAATGTAGCTCACTTCTCATCTGTGTCGACAGCTCTGCAGATGCAGGGTACCAATTTTGAAAGAACTCAGACAAGAGAGGAATCGTGCCTCACTGCAACACACACAACGATTTGATGTCTTGTGTTGACTGAGTTCTTAATAGAACCTCTAGCGATCCACGACCGGTACCAATGATACAACGTAGTAAATAATAATAAGGAAGAATGTCACGTATCACAGAATCAAATCTTCGAGTACAATCCTCTTCTCCTAGAGTGAGATCTAGTAGGAAAGTCTATCACATGTCATGGACTGTGCCATGCCCACTGTAGAAACCTTTCGCAGTTTGGTGCTCCTTTTCCTTGGAAGGCGACAGAGCTTGACTGCTGCTTCCAGTCTAAAAGCCAAAATCCTCCTTTTAGCAGACTTATTCCACTACATTTCTTGACCTCGATCGCTTCTCCACACCCGACTAAAATTCAACAAAAAATGCAGTCGTGACGATCATGTCAAAATCAGTGCATTCAACGTCTTACCGGTACAGTGATATTGCAGTGCATTCGCTATTTTCCCTTGAGAGGTTCCACAAGACTAGCTAGAGCTTGTGACACTCTTGTGCGCTTGCGAAACCTTGCGAAATATCAATAATTCACTACCATAAGCAATGCAATAAAATTTTTGAAACCAAAGAATGTTCGATTTAGGCCAAAGAATGTTCGATTTAGCCCAAAGCGAACTCCTGACCACCAGAGTCATAAAATTGTCACCTTTTCATACATCTCCAGAGATAAAAAACAAACAACCCAGGTTTTTTCATCATGTGCACCGCAACAGGAATATCAAGATCGAAAATGGTAAAGAGACCAATCCACAATACCTTAAAGGTATGTGCCACAAACGAGAAAAGTAAGCCTACAACTGGTGCTGCGAGTGCAACAAACTTCGCCGAGAGGTGCACCACCAACTTGGAAACGAGAAGTTCTTCGCGGTTTGATGCTGTCACCTTCGTTGGAAGGAACACAATGGCACCAACTCTGCCCTGTAAGGAACGCCACTATACGGCCCGAAGTATGGATCGTCACTACATGGTTCAAAGTCTAGATAGGCTGCTCCGCGAAGAGACAGCATCCCCAGAGCCCCTCAACAAGCCTAGAAGATGGTGCTCGCTATGCACAGGATCGCCATTTGATCAAATGTTCGCAGAATCAGCACCTAGCGAGCCTCTGACTATGCCAAGAAGGTCAATGTAGCGCGCCAATATTCCGTGTTTTAAAAATCTGCAGATGCAGGGACCAATTTTGAAAGAACTCAAACGACGAGGGGCGCCGGGAGCGAGGAGTCGTTCCTCACTGCAACAACAATAACGATCGACGTCTTGTGTCGAATGACTTCTTACTACCCACGACCCACGTCAGACTCTACAACACCAAAATAAAAAGTAATAGAGACAGACATATAACATACAATGATATCTTAGAGTACAAGTTCTCTTCGCCTAGTGTGCGAGAAAAGTCTACCAAGAAACGGCCCAGATCGTACACGCATTTCGGTAGTTTTGAGGGCCTCTTGGTGAGGTAGCGGGGTGCTCTGAGTCCTCAGAAGGCGTCAGAACATGAAGCACAACAAGCGCGCAAGGTGGTGTCACTTCACCACAAACTGTCTTCTTATCTTTCAATGCGTACATGCAACTGAAACATCAGAACTTATGTCTCCTGTATTACCAAGTCATATTGATTCGATCCAGAACCGCTAGAGGAGGGACTAGCGACTTGTTTCAAGTTTAGCCATAGCTTGACTTGTGATTCCAGCCGCTATTGACCGAAGAACTCGCTCCTCGAGTCAATCGACTCGCTCATGTCAGGACCATAGTTTGCAATTTCTTGATATCTCTAGGGTATCGCTTCTCCACGACCTACTGTACTGTACCAAGCTTTAATCGTGAAGACACTTCAAATTCACTGCGTTCCACTTCTTATCAGTGATAGCAAAGTCGCTATTATCCCTCGGGAGGTTCCACAGTCCACAGCTCCTAACATGACTAACTAGAGCTTATGACGTTTTGAGGTCGCCGATTGGGCTTGCGAAACCTTTCAAAATATCAAAAGATATATTTCGGGTAATCGAACGAAATTTTGACACCAAAGAACGTCTGATTTCACCGAAACCGAACCGTTCCAGAGACGTCAATGCACTCACAAGGGTGCAAAGAAATCAATCATATTTTCATATTTTCACAGATAGACTTTACAACAGCAGAAACATCATGTGCACCTCAAAAGGAATGTCAAGATCGAAAATGGTAAAGAGCCCAATCAGTAACATCAGTGCAAGTGCAAGCTTTACAGCGAGGGACGACCTGGCAACGGGGAGCAGGCCTTCACGTTTTGATGCCCTCACCTGCGATGGAAGGGAGACAATGGCCCCAACACTGCCTTGCAGAGAACGCCACCTTTTCAACCAAACATTTGATAGGCTTCTCCTCGAAGAGATAGCATCACCAGAGCCGCTAGTCAAGCCCAAAAGACGTTGCTCAATGCACCCAGGATCACAATTTGATCAAATATTCGCGGAATCAACATCTAACGAGCCTCTGGTTATGCCAATGAGATCGACGTAGCATGACATTCAGAAAATTTCCACTGGGGCAATTTTGGAAGAATTCGGAAAGACGAGGAGACACCAATCACTATCTGATGTGTCGTGCTGAATGAGTTCTTCTGAAAACAAACCTCTTGCTACCCCCGACCCGTACCTAACGATAACAGTACAAAATTGTGAGCAAGTTCCATTTCGTTGCGGATATTTCTATTCAACACAGATACTATATAAAACATAAAATAATAGAGAAAGATATGTAACATAAATCAAATCCTAGAGTACAAGTTATCTTCGCCTACTAGTACGCGATAAAAGTGTAATAAGTGGCCTTGCCTGTGAGGTGGCATGACCTATTGTGTTCTAGATCGTAGAAACCTTTCGGTCGTTTCTGTAGGAGCTCTCGCCTTTGGCGACTCAGTTGGGTGTTCAGTCTCCTCACCAGGGGCCAGCTGAGAAACCATAATGAACGTTGGGGTGCTTGTTGGCTGGGAGCTGACTTCAGAGGGCGCAAGCAAGGAGCCAACTACATCCGTTGGGCTTCCAGTAGGCTGAAGGCTTTCTTCAGATGGCGCCAAGATAGAAACGGAAATTTTGGTGGGGCTGCCAGAAGGTAAAGCAGTAGTGATCGGTGCTTTTGTTGGATAGGTACTCGGGACAAGGCTCGGCATATCGCTTGGAACAAGGCTTGGCATATCACTTGGAATTTCGCTGGTCGTTGATGGACCAGTACTGGGGACAAGGCTCGGAAGATCACTTGGTATTGCGCTAGAATACGTTGGAGCAGAAGCAGGGCTAGCAAATCCAGGTGTCGAAAATTGCATACTCTTCATGCGCCCATAGTTACCTCCACTTTCGAGGATTTGTTCGGCATATTCAACAGATGGCCCACCAAGTAACAATGCATACGAACCGCCGTACTTTAACCCATCGCCGTAGTCATCATAGATTGTGAAGACATAGTCACGAGCAGGAGGAATATCGAAATACTCTGAAACTGTATCAGCCCAGTCGTTATTGTTTCCCTTTTTTCGGCCGGCGACAATCTCTTTCTCTCCACTTTCTTGGACCAACTCGAGTGTCCAAGCTACCTCTTCAGGCCAGCAATCCATATAAATGACAATCCACAATCGGACCATGCCAGCCGCAATTTCTTGGGGGTCTTTGGATTCGCTCAAAACTGAGTCCAGTGCAATTCCAGTGCAGTTGAACGAAGGCAGGGCATGCTCATCCAATCGACAAACCCATGGGCGAATAAAAGATTCGTAGTGGGAGCTCACGCGAGTAGAGACCCCTGGAAAGTTAGGATCACCGCATTGCATACCCCAACTAATGGTTCCTACTTGTGTCACGCTTCCTTGTTGACGATCGACGGACAAAATTGGGCTGAGAAAGTGAAAGATAAGATGTTAGAAATTATTGTGGCACATCGAACAAGGATAAACATATTCTTCTGGACGTACCCTCCACTGTCGCCAATGCATGCATCACGTGGATTTCCGTCTGTGAAATGAGTACACAGCATGTCATCGAAGATGTAGTCAAGATATGTGGTGAATGACCCCTCTTGGTCAAAACCACTCGATCTTCGGCACTGTTCGTTTTCGAGGAAATCGAGTTGAACCATTTGAAGGTCATCGGCAATTTTTCCAGCAGAAGTCACACCCCATCCGAGTGCCCATAGCTCTTGATCAGGTACAAAATCGGCTTCGCCTTGATATAGTGTGACGGGTTCATGCTCGAACACAGGCTCATCCAACAACAACAGCATCAGGTCACCTTCGAGAGTGCTGTTGTCGAACATTGGATGCACTTTCTCAATAATAACGCTTCTCTCTTCAACACCGCTATCGTACAGATAATTACTATTGTGTAATCCGACGCGTGCTGCATCTATGATTGTCTCTCGGCAATGTGCTGCTGTCAGTACAACTCGAGGACTGATGAGAGTTCCTCCACATCTAACAACTTGTTCGCGATTTGACAAATGTGTCATAAAGGGGAAAGCCCCTTTCTTTGTAGGCTGTCCACCAACAATGCGAGGTGTAATAGACGCATCAGTACCCAAAACGGATGACAAGAGCAGTGAAAGCTGCAAAGTTCGAAGCATCTTGGTTGCTTTCTCAATTATTTCAATGGTGAGATTCGATATTTCGTCAAAATACCAAACGAAAGATCTGGAAGTGGCTTGCTCTTTTTCAAACGGTAAGAAAGTAACGGTATTTAGTCTTGGTCGCGTATTTATATCGCCAAATCAATCGTACGGTCTGTAATTTTGCCAACTCCGGTGCGACAAACGATGAACCAACACTACTGTATGACACCCACTAGTAGATTTGAGGAAAAGTAGGTAGTAGAGGATGAAGCTTGGAACAGTACTATTACAGTTAATTTTAAAATTTGACGCAGACCATTGCCAATTTATGCTTTGTTTGGGACACACATGAACCTTTCGCTTCCTTCAGGAACTGTGCAAGTACACGAATCGTACATGCAGCATTCGCCCACAGCGGTATTACAATCGGATCGAATGGTACATGAGTTGGGACCTGCAGCACCATCGCATACACCAGTACCTGGATATTGTCCAAAGTCGAAAAAGTCTCCACAGTTGTAGTCCGCCGGGGTGGACTCGCCATCAATGCGGCAGATGGTAGAACGAATGAAATCGTACGACTCCGCAATTCGTTGCCCAATTCCTGGTGCATTTGCATCGGCGCAATCGAATCCCAAACTGGCAATTCCAATTTGAGTATAAGTATGGTCAGCTTCAGTAGGCTCTTGGCGTGACTTGATGAATTGAGGTCCTTGTAGTTGAGCTTGACTGTAACGCGTATTTGTTGGTGTCAGTGGAACTCGCCATTTGGAGTTTCGAATAAGCAGAGGGCCGCCTGAGTCTCCTTTGCAGAAATCTCGAGGAATTCCATCAGAGAAGTGAGTACACATGTGATCACTTTGAAGAATTGATGAATACGGAACTTCTCTTAGAGTCCCATCATCTTGTGTTGTGGTTCCCCTGAAACCCATGCAAGCTTCGTTTGGAACGTAGTCAAGTTCAACAACTTGAACCTTGTCGGGCAGCTCCCCACTGTCGTCAACACCGTAACCGACAGCAACAATCGGCTTTCCTGGAACCAACGCTGATTCGTCTTTCGCAATTTTGACGACGGGGACCCCGACAACAGGGGAATCGAGTTCTAGAAGAACAATATCATTCGTCAAGAACTCATCATCCCACTCAGGATGGAGATGTTCTGCAACAACAGTGCGTTCTTCATATGCTTCAGTAGAATCACTCGTGTCCCATCGTCCAATTTGAACCCTCTCAATTCCCGGCCAGCGACAATGTGCTGAAGTAAGAACAAGGCTCTGAGAAACAAGGGAACCAGTACAAATAAGCTTTCCGTTGTCACGGGCAAGGTAAACAAGATGAGGGAAGCCAAAGCGATCAGCATCCTGTCCACCAATAATACGGGCCTGTTTGGCTTCAACTGAAGCGGCCAAGGATCCTAGAACAAGCAGAGGTGATAGGATCTTCATTTTCGTGTTTTATCGACAATCAAAGTTCACATGATGGAAAAAATCGTTGTCGCAAAAAAGCCCGTCACGCGCGAGCGAATCACCATGTGCAACGGATTTGGAATTTTCTTCAAATTAACGTCACATTTCTCTAGATCATTCTTTGGCGCTGGAGATTTTAATAGACATGCGTATCGAACAACGACTCTGGTACCACAGTATTCTAAGCAAGATCTAGTACAGAATTCGTTATAAAAACTATTGTCACAACAACTCTTAATTCCGGGCCAAGTCTTCAATACTTTACATATTACCACCTATGGCCCTCCATCCGATGAAGCGAAGGAAGCGGACGATAAATTTGATGGAACGTTTTCATCGGTCAACATTTGACTCAGCATTTGACTAGTTTCAAAATACCCACTTCGCGAAGCAAAGAGTTGCTGCCTTCTAGCCATAGTTTCTCGCTTCACATGGACCTGGACTTTAATTCGGCCTGTGTGGCGACCATGCCTCTGCAGTTGTCGATACACTGGCACTGTCTTTTCTTTTTGATTCGGGTCCAAAGTAAGAAGCTCAGTCAAGTCAAGACATACAGTACACATATAGTCATCTTTTGATAATGCGTCAAAGTCGACCATAACAAGGAACAATTTCGATCCTAGAGGAATTTGTCCGCGTTTTGTACGAAGAGAAATCTCTTCTTCCTTCCACTCCGGATTCAAGTTTCTTGATTGGTAGGAGGTCCTAGGCCAACGTGTGCTGCGGAAAAGCACCTTTCGAAGCCTGCTTCGAAGATTGCCAGAAAGCTCTTCGAGGAGATCATTTTCCCACATTATCATCACATATGGATCAGCCAACCCATTTGAGTCAGCTGGTGGGAGATCCATACAAGAAAAGCTCTTAAATGTCAAAGTGAGTTCATTTTCCAGCACCAGGGCCCCAAAACTTCCATTTGGCGAAATGGAAAACGCCCCGCGAATTGGCTTATGATCCGAAGTAATGAAACCAGGACACGGCTCATATGCCAACGGCCGCATATTCTTCTTGATGCTTGGCATAGACTTGTAAAGTATGCGATCAGTGTAGCTTGGGGTTCTTTGCTTCTTGTAAACAAAACCGCCCTCTCGTTCTACTTTGAATGTCGGGGGAAAGTTGCAAGGCAGCGTCTTGAAGTCAACCAATAGGTCCCCAGACTCGATACCCTTGCAGAGCTCGTCGTAGGAGTATAAAGTGGCATAGTCTTTATTGTTGATCAACTTCAAAGCCCTTTCGACATTTTCTTCATGTTCTCCTTCAGGAGTGAACTTTGTTCTAAAGTTCAAATCGCCAATGACAAAAGTGTGGTCACTTGACAAGGACACATCAAGTTTGCTGCTCAGAGTACTTGTCTTTCCTTCCTTAAAAATTGATCTTACATTCCTGCACCTTGTCTTGTAGTACTGTTCGCCTTCGTGCGCTGCCAAATGAGCAGTAATGAACGATATCTTTGTTTTCATGTAGCTCAGCGTTAGCACTATTCCACCTTTGTTAGCAAGAACATTTCCAACACCAGTGTTTGCTCCGGTTATCTTGATATCCTTGATATCATCTATTACCCATTCTGCAGCCCATACGTGTAGTCTCATTTGGCCTCGAGCCTCCTCAGCACATTGGAAGTAAGCCTCCCCAAGAACATCGCGAACTTTCTGTCGAAGTGCTGCTGTGTCGTGTGCTTCCATCGCTCGAAGAATTTCCTCTTCAGATATCTCCTTTTGCTCCTGTGTCTGTTCCTTTTGTACTTTTTGCTCTTTGGCGGCCTCACTGTGATCCCCCTTCCATGTCGACTCCTGCATCCCAATGACGATCAAGTCAAAGTGGCCAGCGAAAAGAGATCTAACTCCTGGTAATGGCGTCACCTGATTGCAAGCACCATCTGGAGGAATCCATGACATCATTGATTCCACTGTAGGTTCAGCATTCCCAAGGTTCCCCGTACAAACCAATATTTTCAGATCTTGTTTGGTCGGTCGCTTGGCGGCACTAGCCAGACGTGTCAGAGAAAGACGCTTGGACAGAGGTTTCTGAGAGCTCGAGTTTGACATCCGAGCGCTGTGGACGGAACCCAACAGTGCTGTACTGGCTGTTCGATTGAATCCCGTCAAGTACTCTTCCGGCTCTAAGCGAGCCATGTAAATTTTTGGATAAATATACACCAGAAGAGCAATGAGTGCGTCGAAGCTGTAATTGAAGCTGAACAGTGCAACAATGACGTTTCCGTTCAAAGCATTTGTCTGATCCAGAAACACTACACCTCCCCGGATTGCTGCGAAAACGACGTGTGAATAAATCATCACTCCCAGACTTCTAGAATCATTGATGACAGATGCTGCCTTCCTCGATTGGAAAGTCAGCACGGATGCCATAAGCAGGAGCAGACATTCCCACGCAAGCTGAATTGCCACCCAAACCATACTTTGCGACTCGCATTCCAGCTCTCGGATGACAAGTCGTGGATCATCAAATGAGACTTCTTGTCGAAATTCGGCTATTGGGGGGTCGTTGATGGTCCATATAATCATGCAAATCCCGACCACGAAAACCGTCAATGCCACTCGTACAAACAGCCGATTGGAATTCAGTCGGACTCTCTGCATTTTCTTGGACGAGTTCATCAGCCGATTGATCGCTGCCGTCTTTACCAGAACTGGAACTAGGGTCACTGTGTATCCCAAAACCACCAACCATTCCACAGCCATGCAGAGGAAGGTGGTCGGTCTCAAAAGCATGAGATAGGCCGCGATACAAACGAATAAAAACCCAATCAACACCAGGAACAGGAATGTCGGCTGTGCAAACACCATGACTTTGGTTTTGCTGTATTTGGAAACCAATACAATGCCAAGGGCCGACATGACAGCTGTCGAGATCGATATTGCCTGTGCGAACGAAGTGTACCAAGAATTGTAGACTCGAACAATCACCTCTCGAGGGAATCCCGCTGGAATGTAATTTTCCAAAGTGTCAAGATTTTCGACCACCCATTCGCAGACTGCTTCACGAGCATCATTTCCAAACCTGTCATTATCCTTAATGACCCATTGCCGCAAGATATCCCCCATTTCCAAGGAGTCAATGTTAATATTTTGAAGAAATTCATGGGCTGGTGATCGGTCTGCTTCTTCCATGTCGGCATTGAATCTAGAGAGTGATACAGCAAATACCTTTTTGAGGGCTTGGACTTCGTCATCGCAGGATCCTAGTACATCGCCTCGGCGAATGCTCACATCCAAATCGCATCGCTGGTCAATGGTCGTTCGTCGTTCCGAACAATCCGCCGTTGGTTTGGGGAGCAAGACTGGCTGGAAACTCCAGGGGGTCTCGTCAAACATTTGTTGAATTTCATTGAGACTGAACCACCACATGAGAACTGGCGATTGGGTTGCCGCTGCCGCCAACCAAATTTCGGCCATTGAGGTCATGTTGTATCCTCCATTTTCCTCCAGAGGACCATCTCGCTTGAGGCCCACAATGTTGTTCCAAAACAATTGGGAATCCAAATGATTGGTAAAATCACAGGGGGGTCCCACAATGTATCCCGTACAGTCCAACGTCCGGGAGCAGTCGGATTCTCGAGTCGTCTCAAAATGTCCCATGAATTGGCCTTGCAAAAAGTATTTCTTGCCTTCTTCGTCGCTGGGTGGATACCGAAAGGCCACCCCGTCGGGTGAGGAACACTTGATGGAGGATATCTCGTCGCAATACTGCTTCCAGGTGGTTGGTCGTTTGAAGAGTTGTGCGAGTAATCGTCGATTGGATTCGCCCTGATATCCCAAAAAGGAGGTCAGCTGTGGATAATCCCGGGCCGTGGAAATGGGAAGAAAGAGACCCGTAGCACCCAACATTCCATTGGGAGAGGGAAGACTGATTTCATCTTGCTCGAACAATTCGTTCAGAACGTCTTTTTGACCACTCCACACGACTGGAAGCACATGCACACAGGCTTCTTCTGTTTCGTTGCATCCGGCAATGACTCGATTGGACATTTTCAGGCCTTCCGGGCTGTAGGACGTGGTGGAATACACAAATTCATTTTCCATCGAATAAAAGTTTGCCAAATGGGTAGAGTCCCCCGTGAGGCCCACCGTTGCAGGGACTCCCACCAATTCCATCAATACAATCTGATAAATCCAAGCGGTCATGACACTTGATTCCCAATCTCCTTGATGTATTCGTACTTCTAGGTAAGGGAACTCGGATTCTCGACACAATGGGTCTTCGTCGTTCATAATGGAAGAAGAATTGACATTCTTATCGTTCGAGTTGCATATCCTCTTTTTGTTGAAATATCGAGTCACGTTCATTTTGTGCAAGCAACCTCTTTGAAATGGATTGCTGCAGGTTCCTGAGGGTAAGCATATGGATTCTGTGGAATCATAGCGATTTTGGCACATCAAGTCTGACGTGCAAGGTATAGAGGCATGACTGATGGAAAGGAAGGATGATATCGTGATGATATGCAGGAAAAACTTGGCTAGGCTTCGGTTTCTTGAAGATGTGAATGTCGTTGTTCTTGTTCTTGTTTCTGAAGGTTTCATCCTCCGGCGCGTATTCTTGATATTAGATATATTTTGTTGTCGTTGTTGTCGTTGTTGTCGTTGTTGTTGTTCTTGCATCATCATTGTCATTTTCAAAGCAATCGACCAGGGACAACCTGTCGATTTTGGCTTTTGAATGGGAACAAGATAGGTGTCGGTGCGTTGCGTTGCGTGAAGTGGTTGACATGAGCAGAAACCACCTCGAAAGAAGCTTCCGTGAAGTGTTGGGTGGGATCGAGAAACTTTTTCTTAATCGGCGACAATAATTGGGCACTCTTGATACTTTGCTGGTCCAGTTTATAAAGCACTTCTGGACACATGTTATAGAATCAGGCATAGGTATTTATTTATGACGTGTTCTTTTCACTCTTGAAGGGCTTCATATTTAGGACGGCTCGCGAACTGTATACCAGGTGGACGTGTGCTATGAGTAGGACCCCCTTGTGAAGCAGAGTGAGTACCGGTACCGGTACGATACCAGGCAGAAACCCTCCTGATGTATACATACCGGTAATATTTTACAACGAATATGAAGTACATTTTGCAAACTGGGCTACTGCTGTAGGACGTTACTATTTCTTCATTGCAAAATCAAAAAAGTCTTCTTCCAGCTGAACTGTTTCCAAGAATCTGGTTTGGCAGGCCTTCTTTTCAGCATCGTTCATGGTTTCCACTTCCTTGTCAAGCAGAGATCGTAAGTATTCCACCACACTGGTAAAATAGTCACCCGAATGCAAGTCCACCCATTCGTAACAGTAAAAGTCCTTGCGCACGTGCTCCTCTAGCACGAGTTCCCCCCACGACAGGTAGGACCATTCGCACGCGACAATGACTGCCAGCATTTCTGCCAGACTCCCAGTAGCAGCCACGGAAAGCACGAAGTCGCAAAATTCAGTGGTACAAGCGGCATTGGGAATCGACGACCTTTCTTCTTGCGAAACTTTGAGGGCCTCAAAACTGCGTTCGAAATAGGTATTTTCCTTGCCCGTAAGCAAGGCTAGGAACTGACAACCTGGAATTCTATCTTCCAAGGTCTTTGCCTTGGCAATCATGGATGCGAATAATACAACACCCGAATCCAAGAATCGATGGTCTTGGATAAGATCTATAATGATTGTTGTAATTGGGTTGTTAGTTGAGATTGATTGATTCATGGCAGAGCGATGAGGCAGGGCGGGAAAGAGAATGAATTTGTGAGAAACCCGGAACCACGTAAAGCGAACAGCTATCGGAGATCAGGCAATCAACATGAAGCAACGACAACTCTAAGGCTCACATACATTTCTTCAAGCAGTCATGATCGATTGTCCCCGCTGCCAAATCTTTGGTGAATTTGTGATGGATGACACGATTCCATTGATCACCAGCAGCTTCACGGAGTTGGTCTGTGTATCGCATTGTATTGTATTGTATTGTATTGTATTGTGGTATGTTGAATCAATATATGGTACTAATCAGGATGATGATGGAGTGCTCCAATTTGGCCTTTATGGATGGTCGTGGCGGCCAAAAGATTGTGAAGAAGATCCTCTCATTCGTCATCAGGCGCACCAGGTTTGGATTTGATGCGCGCCTATGTCGCGCAAAGTTGCACTATGTATGGAACAAAATGTACGAGTAGGACCCGCTTTGTGAAGCAGAGTACTGTACCGACACGATACCCCACTCATTCGGTCGACAGTTCAAAAGAACCCCCCCGATGCACTATACATAGGTACAACAATAGAACATGTCACGTTTTGAAAATCGGGATAGTAGTACTATAATAGGATTTTCAAGATAATATTATTTTTAGGACTAGGACGCACCTTACTGTACTATTTCTTCATTGCAAAATCAAAAAAGTCTTCTTCCAGCTGAACTGTTTCCAAGAATCTGGCTTGGCAGGCCTCCTTTTCAGCATCGTTCATGGTTTCCACTTCCTTGTCAAGCAGAGATCGTAAGTATTCCACCACACTGGTAAAATAGTCACCCGAATGCAAGTCCACCCATTCGTAACAGTAAAAGTCCTTGCGCACGTGCTCCTCTAGCACGAGTTCCCCCCACGACAGGTAGGACCATTCGCAAACGACAATGACTGCCAGCATTTCCGCCAGACTCCCAGTAGCAGCCACGGAACGCATCAGGTCGCAAAATCCAGTGGTACAAGCGGCATTGGGAATCGACGACCTTTCTTCTTGCGAAACTTTGAGGGCCTCAAAACTGCGTTCGAAATAGGTATTTTCCTTGCCGGTAATCAAAGCTAAGAACTGACAACCTGGAATTCTATCTTCCAAGGTCTTTGCCTTGGCAATGATGGACGCCAATAGTACAACAAACGAATCCAAGAATCGATGGTCTTGGATAAGATCTATAATGATCGTTGTGATTGGGTTGTTAGTTGAGATTGATTGATTCATGGCAGAGCGATGAGGAGGCAGGGCGGGAAAGAGAATGAATTTGTGAGAGACCTGGAACCACGTAAAGCGAATAGCCAACACAAAACACTGGAATTTGTTCAATCAACATGAACCTCTAAGCTCACATACATTTCTTTAAGGAATCATGATCGATTGTCCCCGCCGCCAAATCTTTGGTGAATTTGTGATGGATGACACGATTCCATTGATCGCCGGCAGCTTCACGGAGTTGGTCTGTATATCGCATTGTCTTGTATTGTGGTATGATAGTATTCTATTGATAGTAGTCGAATGATGATGATGATGGAATGCTCCGATTATGGTGTGTATGGATATGGTCGTTGCAGACAAAAGATTGTGAAGATCCTCATTATTCTCAAATCATCATCATCGTCATCAGGTTTGGATTTGATGCGCGCTCATATCGCGCACTGTGATGGAACAAATTCTCATGCCATCACCTCCAAACAAACGTCACTCTTGCTTAGAATTGTATCTACTATATTTGCCATTACTGTACCGGTATATAGTATGCGTCAACTGGTCCTCACTCACATTCTAATATACTCCTTCAACTCGTGTTGTCATGTGGAGGCATGGATGAAGCAGCCGTTGCATTCCAGCTTTTCTAGGACGATAACAAAACAGGGAGGAACAGGAGGAGGATCATTAGCATCGTCCTGGAGGAGAAGAAGGAGCAGCAGTCCGCTCAGAATCACCACACCGTCCAAATCGAAATGTCAGCTCAGTGCCACAGGAAATGATGATGATGATGAATGGTGGGACCTGGAAGAAGATATGGCCGAGATTGCGGCAATGGGAGGAGATCCATCCTTCTTGCTTCCAGGTCTTGACGAACCGAAATCAAAGAATAAAGGCAATGACGACACAAACCAAGAGCGTAGCATACCGTCCAAGGCCCCACAGGAGTCGTCGTCGTCGTCGTCATCACGGGACCTGGAAGACGAGATTGCGGCAATGGGAGGAGATCCGTCGTTCTTGCTTCCAGAGGACATTGAATCAAAAGACAACAATAATCGTGGTGGTGAATCATACAACGAGCGAAGTATACCATCCAAGGTCCCACCAGTGCCGCCATCGTCATGGGACCTGGAAGAAGACATGGCCGAGATCGCGGCAATGGGAGGAGATCCGTCGTTCTTGCTTCCACCCGATGAACCGAAACCAAAGAATAGTGATGGTGGAAAATCAACATTCCAAGAGAGTAGTAGTATATCATCCAAGGTCCCACCGCCATCGCCATCATCGTCATGGGACCTGGAAGAAGACATGGCCGAGATTGCGGCAATGGGAGGAGACCCGTCCTTCTTGCTTCCACCCGATGAACCGAAATCAAAAGGAAAAGATGGTGGAAAATCAAAAGAAAACCAAGAGAGTAGTAGTATACCATCCAAGGTCCCACCGCCATCGCCATCATCGTCATCATCATCGTGGGACCTAGAAGAAGACATGGCCGAGATTGCGGCAATGGGAGGAGATCCGTCCTTCTTGCTTCCACCCGATGATGAACCAAAGTCAAAGGATTTTGTTGGTAATGTCGTTGACGAGGATACTAGCATTTCCGAGTTTGATAGAAGCAACATAGGAGGCGATTCCTTTTTCTCTTCTTCTTCTTCTGACAACAACAACAACAACAACAATATTATGGAACGGGATGATCGAAGATTTGAAATTGAAGCCATGGGAGGTGACCCCTTTTTCTTGACCAATGACATTGACCAAAAAGTCCTGCAACAGGAGGAAGAACAAGAGGAGGAGGAGGAGACATTGCCCGAAGCCTTTTTGGAGTTGGCCACCATGGCAGGAGCAGCCAGCCCAGTCATGGACCTGATAGACCCTGCTGCTAGTAGTAGTGAACCGATGCCATCGAGCGACACGAAAGCTCCCAACAAGCCGCCAGTAGCAGCAGACACCATCCCCTTTGTTCGAAATAATAGCCGAGGAGAAATGGATTTGGATGATAACGATGACAACGACGACGACATGTCAGTAGCTGCTGCCGAAATTGACGCCATGGGTGGTGACTCTTTCTTTTTGACAAACAACGGCGACGACGAGGATGACGAGGATGATGATGATTCGAATGAGGATACTAGTAGTACTACCAAAAGTGCAGCGTTAGACGAGCTGAAACAATTAGCCATGAGCGGCGGCGGAGGCGTAGCTGACATGTTACAAGGAGGAATGGACCAAGATTCCTCAGAGAAAAATAATGATGATGATGATGATGATGATAAATGGGAATGGGATGGTATCGTCGACGAAGAAGCACATTTGGGATTCCTGTAGCAGAATCAAGATGCGAGACTATAGTAGACATACTCCTCTACCTTATTGAATTTTTTGTTACTAGTCCTACTTTTTGTTTATTAAAATAAATATATTATAATGTTGCAATATACCATACCGTACCGATACAATATATCTCACACTATCATCACCGCCGCCTGTCTGTTCCCCCAAAAAAAGAAAGACAAGACAGCACAAAACCTTTTTTTCTTTCCCTCATTGTATACAGTATACAGTACATAAGGAGAGCATTTTCTAAATGGTAGGTGACAGACTGGAAAGGTTGGCAAATTGGCTTTGTCCATAAGCAGTGGTACTCAAATCGACTCTCTTTTGTTCCAAGTACTGATCACAGGACTCGGCAAGACCCCGTCCTTCGTTGATCGCCCAGACCACAAGAGATTGTCCTCGTCGGCAATCGCCTCCCGCAAAGACACCTTCGACGTTGGTACGGAAATCACCATAGGTCGCGTGAATGTTTTGACGTTGGTCGACTTCCAAACCCAATTCGTTGGCCACGTAGTCTTCGGGGGACAAGAATCCCATGGACAAGACGACCAGATCGGCAGGCCATTCGCGTTCGCTGCCTTCAATGGCACGTGGTCCTTGATCGGTCAATTCGACGTCTTGAGTGACCAAGGCCTTGACGTTACCATCGTCGTCGCCAATGAATTCCTTGGTCATGACGGAATAGACTCTTGGATCCTTTCCAGTAACCGCTTGGACTTCGGCATGACCATAGTCGACACCAAAGACTCTTGGCCATTGGGGCCATGGATTGTCGGGAGCCCGTTCCATGGGTGGTTGAGGCATGAGTTCAAAGTTGGTGACCGAGTTGCAACGATGACGCATCGAGGTACCAATGCAATCTGTTCCAGTATCTCCACCTCCAATGACAATAACGTCCTTGCCGGCGGCAGTGATCCAGTTGTCCTTTTCCCATTGAGATTCGAGGGTACCTTCCTTGGTCATGAGGAGCTTCTTTTGGTTGGCAGTGAGGAATTCCTGTAAAATCATAATATAGCAATGGTAATGGCAATGGCAATTAGTTCTCTGTTGTCAAGTCATACAATCAACAACATATAATTGTATCAATTTTTTCTTTTCTTACCATGGCAAAGTGAACACCCTTCAATTCACGTCCTGGGACCGGCAAATCACGTGGCTTGGTAGATCCCAAACACAAGCAGAGAGCATCAAAGTTGGATCTCAAGTCATTGACATCGACATTGTGCCCAATATTGGCATTGGTAACAAATTCAATGCCTTCCTCTCGCAACAAGTTGACACGACGATCGACAGTTTCCTTTTCCAACTTCATGTTTGGAATTCCGTACATTAAGAGTCCACCAATACGATCGGCCCGTTCAAAGACAGTGACATTGTGTCCCTTTTGGTTCAATTGATCGGCAGCCGCCAATCCTGCAGGACCCGAACCGACCACGGCCACGGTCAAACCAGATCTTTCTTGAGGAATTCGGGGAGTGATCTTGCCATCCCGAAAGGCACGATCGACAATGGCATATTCCAAGTTCTTGATGGTCACTGGCGAATCGACCAATCCTGCCACACAGGATCCTTCGCACGGTGCGGGACAGACACGTCCGGTAAACTCAGGAAAGTTGTTGGTGGAATGCAGACGATCAATGGCATCGTCCCATTGATCTTGGTAGACGAGATTGTTCCACTCCGGAATCAAGTTGTGAATGGGACATCCCTGATGAGTCTGGCAAAAGGGAGTACCGCAGTCCATGCAACGAGCGGCTTGGACCTTGCGTTCCATGGCCGTGTGTGCCACATCGACGTCGCGGTCGGGGACCGGGTTGATTTCTTCCCAATCCTGGACCCGCTCGAGAGGATCGCGGTAGGGTTCGGGGTTGCGTTGGTAATTCAAGAACCCACGAAGCTTTTCCACGGATGCATACGAGTTGTCACGGCGACGGACTCTATAGATTGTTTTTGTTGTGGTTGTGGTTGTTGTTGAATCGTGATACGAGTGAAGTGAAAGAAAGAGACAATGGTGAGAAAATGGAAGGAAAACAAAAAGCATGTAGTTAGTAAGAATAGAATCAATACGGAAATTGACGCAAATGTATTGTATGCATGGAAAGGAAGGAATGCAACATGTATCGTATTGTTCCATCCCATCCATCTACAGGTACTGTGACGGCAGTGTCCATGGAATGAATCATCCAAAAACGAATGAAAAAGCGTCGTTGGCTATTCTTCGCCTTTTTCTTTTCTTTTCTCTTCCATGCAATCCAATCCAATCCAATCCAATCCAATCCACACACTAACACAAGAATGCTTACTCACTTTGGTTCATTGTCATGATCGTAGATTCCCTCTCTCCAAACTTCATGGCGACCATCTTTGGCAATTGGGCTGGAGGCTCCTTCGGCAGCTTTTGTGCTTTGCGCCCGAATGACTTGTTGGCGAAGACCAGTGGTGGTTGGATTGCGACGAACGGCAGTAGTGGCCAACGAGCGGCACCTTTGAGACAACATGATAGAGTAACAGGAAAGGATGTATATATATAGATGTATGTATATATGTGTGTGTGTGTGTGTGTGTGTCGCTTGTGCTTCAGTGATGAGATGAGATGAGATACCGTAGAGAAAAAAAGGTCACAACTGCTGAATTTTTTGTTTTTCGATGTGGGAGTTTGCAAGTTCTGTTTCTTCGGTCGGTGCTTTCTGGTTGGCAGAAGGCGGCATATAATCCGCAGGGGTGGTGGTGAACTTTTCTCCCGCCACCAACACCTAGTACTGGAATCTACCTACGACAGCTTGTCCTTCTGTCCTTCCGACGAAACTTCGTAGAATTCTACGAATTAAAAAGTACGAAGGACAGGGTCGACGAAGGGATCGCAAGCGAATGAATGCAAATCCACAAAATACCGAAGAAGGGAAATCCAGGCGAAGATTCTTCTGACAAGAAATCGGAGAAGTCGAAGATACGCTTTTGGGACGATGATATCAACGAAACTGCCGCTGATGTTGTCTGTACATAAAAAATACATTTGCAAACGAAGAGCAACCATGATAACTCATCCAGACTTTTTGGTGACATGAGCGCATATAGTATGATATACACAACGGTTTCTCATTACCATAGAGCATGAGACAAAATAGAAGAAGAAAGCATCAAGATTGATTGATTGATTGATTGATTAATTGATTCATTGATTCAGTCAGGAATGCTGGAGGCTGCCAGCCACGTCGTTAAAAGTCAAGGCACCCTGGCTGGTGGTCTTGAATAGTGTTTGTTGCTGTGAAGCATAATGGCAATCTCGATCGTGGCTGTCATCAAACACAATGATGATTGAAGGGAGGGGGCTTGGTTTCAAATTGGTGGTTCCGAAGCGTTTTGTTGCACCGAAAGAACTGCTGGTGCTCCAGGACCCAGGACCCACCCACTATTGGGCTCCTAACTTGTGATGGAGGCTACGCAATTGCGTTCGTCCCACTCTTCTTTTTCCTTATATATATATATATATATATATATTTATATATATATATATATATATATAATGAAAAATGTCGCAGCCAACGTGGAGTTGGTGCGTTGTTGCTGATGACAACATAGTACTACTATATACTAGCTACTAGTATTCAGGCACACACCAAGGAGAGCAGCAGTGCAAACAGCAATAATGGTATCGCAAGGCACAAGGCACAAGGCAATGCAATGCAAAAAAAGAAATCATCTTTGTTTTTTACAGGCACTACACCACTTACACAAAATGTTAGCAAAAGAAGACGTCAAAAGAAAATCACTTTGCTACTATTATGATGATGATGGGACAGGAGGAACTATGATACGCGGTGTTGGAACAGCGGAGGAAAGCACCAACTGAAAGTCGAATGCATTGTCCGAGTCTCCAGTACTCTTACAGCTTGATGTAAAAGACATGAACTGGAAAGTTTACTTTATCTCGAGTTGAAAGCAAAAAAAATGATATCAATACTATGTAGCTTTTTCATTTTATTTGGCGTGGCGTGACTCGGTTCGCGGGATTAAATCAGTCGAACCAGTCGATAGATATAACAACACACAGCATTTTGCTATTCTACTGTTTTACGATTGCTTATTTTAATATTAATACATCTTACATCTTACATCCCTCACTATATATCATCATCATTATTATCATCATCATCATTATGGTTCTCTATCTACTGTACTTCAAGGCCGAATTGGAAAACGTCGGAGAAGTCAAATTGCGGACCCACGGCATTCATTTGCGAATCTCGGTCCGCAATCCTCAAGACGGCAACGAAACCCGAGACAATGTCATTGTGGACCCCAGCGAACCATTGGAACCAGAAGGAGGCGAATCGAGTAGTAAGGAAGGACCTCATCATTTTCGTCTCAAATGGGAGGGCAGCAAGAAATCTTCGACACTCCAAGTTTTGAGCGAGGCAGAAGCGGCAACCGCACTCAAGAAATCGAAAAAGAAGAAAAATAAGGGCAATAAGGCGAATGATGATGGTACACCACGAAGTTACACGGCCGACGATGCCGGGGACTGGGTGCCGATATTGGCTATGGAATGTCGTGGGTTGGAACCGTATGCGTTTAGTCCAATGAAGGATGAATTTGTTGTCATGAGCGAAGGCGGGACAATTTTTGACGACGACATCGAGTTGGGCGATGGCGATTGGGCCGAGTACGATGCGGAGAACGATGCTCCAATCTCCATGGAAGACATTTCCTTTAAATTTGAGGCACTGTAATAGTATTGAATCATAAAAACACTGAATATGACTTTTATTTGTACAATGTTTGTCTCTTTTTTATTTTATACCTTGCTAAAGAATTGAGGTGCCACATCTACCAACCATTCTTCTCGGACTTGGGTCACACCCCGAATGTAGGTCTTCTTGGTGACTAGCAATTCGGTATAGACAACACACTTGGGGGCAGGATTCCTATTGAACAAGGTCGAAGTGGGATGTATATTCACTTCGGCATTGCCCACCTTGGTTTTGAATCTACCGCCTCGTTGAAAACCTTCCAAACTACCGGATCCCTTGTGAACTTCTTTGGATTTGCTGATCCGAGAGGCCGACTGAAGAAAGAGGCCAGCGCAAACGCATTTCAAAAATTGCTCCATATCCTTTTCTCCACAAGACTGATGAACATTCATGCCTAGACCACGTTGACCTACGGTATTCCCACAAATGACGCTGAGCTGGTGTCGGACGTCGTGGGCTCGAATCAATGCTCGGGCACTAATGAAATTGTGTTGACACCAGGCGCCATGGAACAATTTTTGTTGGCCATCCGCTTGGGCGTCTCGTTGCAACTTCTTTTGGGCCTTGGACGAATAACGCTTGGGGACGTAAATGGCTTCTCGTTGCCAGGCCCTGTACACGTTGAGCAAGGTGGGCAAGTCGCCTGAAACGAATAGAAATGGTGAGTGAGAAATGAAGGATTTGTCGTATTTAATAGTAATATGTTAGTCCCACTAGCCACAAGATATGATGACGTACCTTCATAACTGACAAATCGCCGATGCGCCAAAGCTGCCTTGGTTGACAAGCTATCCGGTCCCCCTTCCATAGCACCGTTACTGCCTGGTCGATACATGATATTCTCCGCGCTCAGCATGGCCACTGCCGTGAGCATTTCAGCCGTACATTCATACTTGCTGCTTTGGAGTAGCAAGTGTGCATAGACAGGATCCACTGGAAGTTTGGCCATTTTCTTGCCATGAGCCGTCAGTTCCATGGACTTTTCCAAGGCTCCCAGAGCATATAATAACTGAGTGGCCTTTTTGAGACTGTCCATACTGGGTGGCGTCAAATAGTCAAACTTGATGGGATTGTGGACTCCCATTCCCTTGAGCATCAAGACGACTTGGGCTAGGTTCACTCGCAAAATCTCGGGTACGGACAGTTCTTCCAAAGCATCGTAGGCATCCTCGGTGTACAGTCGAAAGCAAACACCTGACGACAAACGACCGGCACGACCAGTTCGTTGGGCTGCCTGTGCCTTACTGATATCCTTGACCGTTAAACTTTCCATTCCCGTTTTTCCATTGTAATCTCGTGTCTTGTGCTTGCCACAATCCACAACGTAACGAATTCCATCCAAGGTAACTAGAAGACGGTAAGTGTGATGAAGAAGAAGAAGATGATGATGACCTACCATAACCATCAATAACAGCTGCACTGCTTACCTGAAGTTTCCGCAATGTTCGTTGCCAAAATAATCTTTCGGACGCATCCTGCTGGCTTGGGCTGAAAGGCCAACATTTGGGCTTCTGGTGGCAGAGCGGCATAGAGCACGCAAATCATTACTCCATCAACAATGGATGCCACCTTTCCATCTAGATTCGTCCCCATTCCCTGTACCATTTGCACTATATCCCTGGAAGTGAGCGCCTCCTCCAAGGTTTTCTCAGCTTCCAAATGTCGCCGCAGTAACGAAGCCAAATCCTCAATTTCTTCCTGCCCCGGCAAAAATATAAGTACATCCCCATCATCGGCCTCTTGGTGTATTTGCATGGCTGTTACCAACGCAGATTCTATGTAATCCTGCAAACAAAATACTTGGTTAGCTTGACCAAGACGACAAAGTTCTGCACCACATCTGATGTACGAATAATACTCACCTCTTGAGGTTCTTGCGTGTACACCACTTGGACAGGAAAGACCCGTCCTGGGATTTGTATCGTGGCAGCACCTTTGAAGAAATTCTTGAAGGTTTCAGTGTCCAAGGTTGCAGACATGACAACTACTTTCAGCCTTGGGAGACTATATTGCTGCGCCTTTTCCTTCATACGTCGTTTTATCAGCGCATCCATACTACCATCGTCCTCGTCTTCCTCATCAGCTCCCTTCAAATCGTAACCCCGAGCTACCATTGCACGACTCACCACACCAAATAGAATATCCGTCTGGAGAGATCGCTCATGGGATTCATCCAGCACCACCACGCTATACCGAGACAGGAGTGGATCCGACATGCTCTCCCGCAGCAGCATACCATCCGTGGCGTATATTATTCTAGTGGTTGGTTGGGTCGAGTCATCAAATCGCACTTTGTATCCCACAGCAGACCCAATGGTACATCCTTGTTCTTCTGCTACGCGCTTGGCAACGGTAATGGCAGCCACACGCCTGGGTTGTGTCACACAAATGCTTCTCGCAAATTTTCCTTGATTCCTGCAGAATAGGTTGGATTCGTCGAGATAAGCTGGAATCTGTGTCGATTTTCCAGAGCCTGTTTCCGCAACGACAAGAAGAACATCATTATCCTGCAGAGATTGGTTGATTTTCCGCTTGAATTGATAGACTGGCAAACCGGTACGGATTTTGGAAAGCTCGGATTTTCGTTTCTGCATTTCGGATCCAGTAGAAGAAGGATTTTTCACTGGAAAGGAGGCCCTTATTTTCTTCTTCTTATGACCGTTTTGTTGTATCGAAGATGGATTTATTGTGGAGTGTCGTTTCAAGGGTATTTTTGTGCCCACATCTTCCTCTTCGAAAGGCAACATCGTTGAACCGTTTTTTTGAGTTCATCATTGATTGGAATATTGAATGATGGGCATCAGGCGGATGATGGCCAGACGTCCTGTTCAATTTTCAATTTTTGTTCTTTATTTTTTGTCAATCATACGAGTATACTGTAGCAATCGCATTGTCAATCAATCACTGTTGCACAGGTCGCAGTGTACAGGGACCGATGGTGTACTCAAATGCACAGCCCAGATGCACTTCTTTTCTGAGCCAATAGATATTGAAACAACACCAATATAAAACGAAAAGTGTAGCAATGTGAAAACGACAGGTCGAACTATGATCCTTCGGTCGAACAAGAGTCTAGTTAGAATTGCTGGTCATCTTCTCATCGGGAAACTACCAACTGATATTATGAGACAAATGTATGGCTATAGTACAACTTTCTTCAGATACAACAAGCCCATTCTTCTATCGGCGAAAGGTGGTTTTCTCGTCCCTCCTTTGCTCGAATGTAGTGCACCAAACTATTGAATAGAATGTCATCAGGTTCATCACATCGAGCAATGTACCCATCCTTTGCCATTTTTGCTATCGCATGAGCTTGATGCCAAATCAGTGTTTTCTCAACACTGGATTGGCCATTATGGATCTCGCTCCCAATAGCCGTTCCTGTCAAAGGCAAGAGCTCAGCGGTACAGTTGTACTCGTTCTGAAGAGTTTCTTTCCACAATTTCCTGTCTTGCTCAAAGGTGAAGAGCACCTTACATCCCAGCTTGACCGCGTCTTGTCTTCCCTTCAGATTACCTAAAGCCTGCAATAGTTTCTCGGAAACACACCTGCGAATGTCTCCTTGCCCACTGTCATTGGAGACCGAAAGAACAAGGTGATCGTTGGAATTCTGGAAGGCGGCTTGTCGTTGATCATCGGCCTGACTCAATGAGCTACTCTTGCACAGGAGGTTATACCAAATCATTCCGTACAAATAGCTGGGACCTTCCTCAAATGCTTCCATGGCGACTTGATACGATGGACTCCCAATGCTATTTGGAATCCAGCTGTGTTCCACCAGCGCGTCCAATGAAAGTGGAAATGGAAGCTTTCCTTCCAGTTTCGCCGCATGCTTCTTGTTGCCTGTAGTGCTTTCCAAGGAATGTTCGAGGCCCCGTTGCAACAGGTATGGCTCGTAGTTCTTCCAGCCATCGCACGCCCTCGTAGGATCAAACTCCAACTGTCGATTGGTCACTGCCGCCAAGAGTACTGCTTGAATCGCGTCCAACCAAGAATCGGGACAGTACCAAACACTCAAGATGCGATTGGATTTAGAGTTGGAAAGTATCTTCCATTGGTATCGATACCAGAAATGCTCCACGGTGGTGTATTTGAAAAAGGATTGGAGTGTGTATCGATTGAATTCTTCGTCGTAATGACGACCATCTCCAACCTGAGTGTGATGGGCCGATAGATAGCTTGTTTCATAGACATCCAGGAACGGAGTCTTTAAAAAAGTACAGACCTTCTTTTGCACTGCATACAATTCATCGGACCGTGAGGTGCTCATGTACTTGATGCGCTTATTAAGCTTTGTCAAACGGCCACCGTCGTCGTCTTTCTGTAATCCTTCATTCTCCAGGAGTGGAATATGAATGTGCATTGCCGTCGGCGACTTCCAAAACAGCCGAAGGTTCTTGGATTTACTCAAGTAATGCTCTTGAATGAAACCAATCAAGGTTTTCATTGCGGATGCATGATCTTCCCATCCATCAGCAGATTGTGCTTCGAGAAGATCCCAGGTCGAACTGCCTACAATCAAAGCCACGCTTGTCGTCTCTGCTTTGCTTCCACTAGTTAGTGCCTTCAATTTGGACCCCAAACGTCGTTCCAAAAGCTGAATCCAGTCCTTGACTGTCGTCGTGTTGAGCGGCATTCCCACATTTGGAATTTCGGTCTGCTTCCATGACTTGACGAACTGCTGCATCAATGAATCGCCAAACGCCAGGATATGTGGCTCCTTGTACGATGATGATTCGTTTAATTTCGCACTGGAGATTTCAGAGTCCGAAATTGAAGTGCTAGTCCAGTCCAAGTACAATCTTGTTCTTGGGGATGCTGAAAATTTGGAATCATTGCTCGATGATGATTCTTCCCAATCCATGTGCATGGTAGGAGGCTCAAATGGCTGCATTTTTGGAGGTGCCAGCTGCACTGGATAATACGAGTGTGTCACTCCGACGGCCCCGCTAGATTTCCATCGTTCTTTGGTTGGTGGGCTCCATGATCCCATTCCACAAGTGTATTGAAATGTAACTGAAATGGTTCCATTCAAGAGGTGTCCATGCTGCCAGCTTGGAAGAAATGGCGATTCAATAAATTTGAGTAGATAGGTGCCATTGGAAAAGTCTTGTATCTTTGCAACAGCAGCTGGTGGAGGAGGTCGGGAGGTGGCATTGACATTGTTGGTGGTCTCCAACAGGTAATCGTGATAGGTCACATAAAATTCATCTCCACCAACTGTTTTAGGATTACCGTTGGCATCCAATGATTGCAGTATCCAATGCGTACACTTGCTGATGATATTTACTTGGCTTGTTGGCAATGGGCATAACTCGTTTGCCACATTTTTGGTTCCGTCCGATGAGTTCTCTTCAGCATTATTTGCTGGAGGCACATCTGATATGTCACCAACAGACATTTGCAATCGACTTGCAATTGATTGATCTGGCGAAGCTGGAATCCAAACCGAAACTTCTGGCTTGGGGTTTTGCCCAGAGCATAATGCTTCGGATACAACTTGTTTGGATGTCGGCTTCTTTGGAGTAACAACATCATCTGTATTCTTCAACTTGGTTTGAGAAGCCTTGCCTCCTACATACGTGTTCTTCTCACTGATGTGTTCTCTAGCTGGGTCTTGTAAGTCTACTTGTAATCCAGCTTGGTTTATGCTTGATACCTCCGCTCGATGATGCAAGTCTCGTCCCGATGATTCAAAGTCATCGTTACGATGTGAAAAATCTTGAAAGTCTTGGTGGTGATTCCAAACGGTTACTGCAAAGAGGAGAATAACTAGTTTGTTGAATCTTGATAGCGGAAAGCATCTTGAGAAGAATCTTGGACTCTTTTTTCTCATGTCATTGTGCTGGATGATACCGTTACCGGAGGTATGTGCGAGTTTTATTAGGAACCTTTCAGTTCCAATTTCGTATTTTGACATGAGATATTGGAATACGCAATTGAGGCCTTTGTTTTTAATCATTTTAATCTACAGTAGGAAAGAGAACATGATCCAAAGAGTTAGGCTGGTTTCCAACTGACCTCCACCTACCGGTACAGATCTTGTGTCCTCCCCTAGCAACTAAACTCATTCAAATCAAGGCACAAAATAAGAATAATCCAGCAAAGGCAAGAATGCCAAAAGTTTCGATTGCAGCTCCGCCACTCTCGGGGGCACACTGCTGCCAACAGTCCAATAGTTCCTTCCACTTGGAACTACTAGAAGAACACAGGCTGTCCAGTTGGAAGGATATTGCACCCTCAAACATGCCGTCCATATTTGTGACCAAAGATACATTCCATAATGATATGTCTTGATCAAATGCCGCGGCATTTTGAAACATACCCTCCATTGTCACCACGGATGACACGTCCCAGTCCGATATGTCTTCATTGAATTTTGTCATGGACGCAAACAGGTATGACATGTCATTCACTGAGGACACACACCAAGATCCCATGGACGCCCCGTAAATTGCCGCTATCGCTTCCTTGTCGAAGCAAGAAGACACGCCATCGGAGGAGGAACGAGCAACACTGGTGCAGTCGCTCGTTACAAACAGAGTCACGACATCCTTCAATTCAATGCTACTTTCAAAGGACTTGCACCTCCGAGTGAAAGGGGGATCGTTTCGGTTATCACCAGAAATACTACCATCAAAGCAGCGTCCACAAATGTCTGATGGGTTGAATTGGTTGCAGCAACCAGTTAGATATCCCTCCGATTGAAATTCAATGCACTGCTCTTCGGCCCCATCCTTGCTGAGGCTCTCCTTTCGGATTTCAAACTCAGCCTTTAGATCCAAACAGGAGCGTGTAATGGAACCCACCTTTGGCGTGGCGTCAGTCAAGTCAGCAACTTCGTCATCTTTGAAGCAAAAGCTACACTCAGCTGCACTCGTGGGGCGACACTGCTGCAAGTCCAGTAATTCCTTCCACTTATTGGCACTACTAGAAGAACACAGGCTGTCTAGTTGAAAGGATACTGCACCCTCAAACATGCCGTTCGTGGTTGTGACCAAAGATACATTCCACAATGACAAGTCTTGATCAAATGCCGCGGCATTTTGAAACATACCCTCCATTGTCACAACGGACGACACATCCCAGTCTGATATGTCTTCATTGAATTTTGTCATGGACGCAAACAGGTATGACATGTCATTCACTGAGGACACACACCAAGATCCCATGGACGCCCCGTATATTGCCGCTATCGCTTCCTTCGCGGAGCATGGCAAACCAGTGGAGGAACGAGCAACACTCGTACAATCACTCGCGACATATCCATCCACAGCTTCCTTCAACTCGTCGCGACTTTCAAAGCACTTACAGTCTGAGGTGCAAGGGACGCCGTTTCCGTTATCGTCCGGTTCGCCGTTGTCGTCCAATGTTGGAGGAGCTGTTGCTGAATCACCAAATGATGTTGGAGGAGCCGTTGCAGTATTATTACACAAGGATTCAAAGTTGCTTCTCCAGTCGTCACCCCAATTGCACACTTGCATTTGATCAAACGAAGTCGCACCTTCAAACATCCCAGACATCCTTGTGACGGAAGAAATGTTCCAAGACGAAAGGTCCTGATCAAAGGAGGTTGCATTGTAAAACATTCTCCTCATTACACTGACTTTCGCCGTATTCCAATCGCCAAGAGGTTGATTAAAGGCTGTGGCTTGCGAAAACATTTCCTCCATTTTTAGCACAGACTTAGTATTCCAACTGTTGAGGGGTTGATTGAATACATGAGCTTGATTGAACATGCTGCCCATATTCAGAACTTGTGAGGTATCCCATGATGAAATATCTTGATTGAATACTTTGGCACCACGAAACATGTTTCTCATGTCGACAACTTGTGGTGTATTCCATTTGTTGAGAGGTCGATTGAATGCTTCTGCAAAATAGAACATTTGAAACATGTCTCTAACGGCAGAGACGTCCCATTCTGACAAATCTTGATCGAAGGATCTTGCCCTGGAGAACATGATTTGCATCGTTGTGACTTGGGAGGTATTCCATTTGCCAATAGGCTGATTAAAGCCTGGGGCATCTGCAAACATGCTATTCATGGCTGTGACGTGGGATGTATCCCACTCTGACAAGTCTTTATTGAATTCTTGTGCAGAATTAAACATGTTCGACATGGAAGTCACTTGGGAGGTATCCCACCTCCCAATATTTTGATTGAATGCTTGGGCAGAATGAAACATGTGTTCCATGTTGGTAACTTTTGACGTATTCCATAACGACAAGTCTCGGTTGAAGGTTCTCCCATTATAAAACATATAGCTCATGTCTGTAACCTTGGAAGTATCCCAAGCAGAGATGTCATCATTGAAGGTCGAGAGAGAAGTAAACATTTGGTTCATGGAATTGACATTGGAGACGCACCAAGATCCCATGGGCCAGCCATATTTTTGGACTATCAAGTTGTTGCAATTATTGCTGTCTGAACAACTATCTTGATGAAACTGCCGAACTGCTGAATATAGCTCGTCTCTTTCGTTAAAACAATAAGCGTTGGGTGCCGCTGATGAACAGTCCAAATTGAGAATAATGGCTATCATAGTGTAAACTATTAGGGTCGAGCAATCGGCTTTCATCTTCAGCGCTCGGTTTAAAAGGTGTGGAAATGAGAGCGAGGTGATGATATCTCCCGTGTTCATCCCATTGAAGAATTCATTGATGGAGATTCAGATGACAAAGTCATAATGTTATATTATGGACTCGAAATGATATTCTGTATTGGCAGCTCAAATTGAAATTATTGGAATACAAAAATTGTATTTTATTATGTACTCCTAATAAATAATAGTTGTATTTTAATTTTGAAGGATACAAATTACTTATCCCAGTAACCTTCATTGCCGCAGTCATGGCATCTTTTGTTAACTCTAAAAAGTTTGTCGAGATACTGGTGCGTTATTGGGCTTGTTTTCCGGTTGATCTGGAAGTGCTGGAACGACAACATCAGTTTCGCCCACCTCTCGAATGACTGCTTCCAATCCTGCCAATTGGGCTTCCAAAAATCTCGAGTGTTCATCCAAGCGTTCCCGCATGCGAATCAAGTGCTCCACTTTTCCTCTGGTACAGTAATCCAAAAGAGTGTCCATGTACTTTTGTGGAATGACTCGTAATCCAAATCGACGAGATATTTGCATACATTCTCGAGCACCTGGTTTGCGCCGAGGAGCCTTGGCCGGTGTGGAAGATGGCCTATCATCGTCCTCCAGGTCGGCTCGTGCTGCTGCTGCCGATTGCCGGATCGCCTTGGCGACAAGTGATGGAACATCCAACTTGGCACGAGGATTGGCAGCGACCACCTTCTTGACGGCTGCCACAATGGGTGCCACGGGGATCTCCAATTTGCCTTGGGGCTCTCGGGTCGTAATGCAAATGGTGGGAGCCTTATTGTTGCTATTAGCATTGTTGCTATTAGCATTAGTGACTGGAGTTGCTGCTGGCTTCGTGACTCCAGCTGCTATGGCTGCTGATGGGGCTGGCTTGGCAGCCGCGTTGGCAACCATTGGAGCAGAGCCAGCTGTAGCGGAAGGTGGTGGTGCCGCAGCGGCAACTTTAATTGCTGCTGGACCTTCATTCCCTTGCGGCTTGTCACTTGTCACACTGGTGGACTTTGGTGGGATCGCCGCTGGCTTTTGTTCGACAGGTGCCGGTCCAGATTGCGTTGCACCTTTTGGCACAGGGACAGGCGCTTTCTTCGGTGGTTGAGTCGTTGCTGGCTTTGGTGTCGGAGCAGCGGCATTTGAAGTCGATTGAGCAGTGGGTGGTGCTGGCTTTTGCACGGCTGTTGCAACAGGTTGCTTGGGCTGCGGTGGAGCTTGCTTCACTTGAACGGAAGGCGCAACGGGAACAGCCTTCTTCGCCTCGGCAGCCTTTGCCACGCTGGCAGCCCGAGCCTTGGCGGCTTCGTTCCTTTCTTTGATGGCATGTGCCTTCTCTTGTTCTACTTGGTGTTGCTGCTGTTGTTCCGTTCGGGCTTGCTGTTTGCTCGTTGCCTTTAGTACTCTACCGCTTCGACTCACAATGTCTGCAGCAGCCACGGATGGCAGTGTCGTCACCTTTCTAGCAGCACTAATGGGAGAAGAAGTCGGGGCGGGAGCAGGAGTGATTCGGGCCCTTTTCGAACTGCTGGGTGGAGTTTGCTTTCGTTTGGAATCACTACTGCCCGGAGTGGTGGAGGAAGCATTCTTGGGTGGTCGCCCTCGTTTCCGAGGTACTGGAGTCTCCACAACAGGTGGTGCGACCTTGGTGGCTGACTTTGGTGGTCTACCGCGGCGTTTGGGTGTAGGTGTCGCAGCGGGAGTGGCAGGAGAATTGGCAGAGGCATTCTTGGGCGGCCTTCCCCGTGGCCGTCCAGTGGAAGTGGGTTTGCTGGCAGACTTTGGTGAAGGTGCTGGTGGGCTAGCCGCTGCTGCCGCAGCAGCCTTGGCAGTGGCACCTGATGATCGTCTTGTCTTGTGAGTCCTAGTGGTGGTCTTCTCTTTGGAACAGGAGGGACAATGCCAAGCAGCAGATCCTTTGGGAAGCGATGTCAATGGCGGGTTCAAGCAATATGTGTGGTATTCTTCATCACAGCCATCGCACAACAGTAGCTTGTCCTTGTCCTTCTTGCCAAAACAAACACGGCATCCGCAAAAGACGCAAAGTGGAATTGCCTTGTCATCATTGCAGAATTTGCAAAAGGCAGAAGCTGTACTGCCGCCATCTTCGTCCTCCTCCTCTTCGTTCTCTTGACTGAATTCCTCTCCTTCTTCTTGTTTCTTTCGTTCCATTCGTCTTCGCTTCCTGGACATCTGATGCTCTCTTTCTTTTTCTTTGATTTCTTGTAGTGCTTTTTCTTCTTCCTCTGCTTGACCAGCCGCATACTTTTCGTCCGATTTCCATTCCGAGGCGGGACCATCTTGGGGATCGTAGAGAGTGACTTGACGACGGGATCGTTTCCCTCGTAGTTTCGGGGTCTCGGTTGGTGTCTTGACTTCCTCCTCCTCTTCCACACTTTTCTTGGCGGGTGTCTGGGTTGTTGGATCTCCGTCTCTTGTCGAGCCATCATCCTTTTCGTCGTTTGGGTTGGCCACTGCCCGCAAGCGTCCCATTTGTCGGACTCCCACTGCGGCTGCCTTCCACATTTTCGAATTACGCTTGACCGAGTGTTCTTTGGTCTTGCCGGGAATCACAACCGGGGTTCCGGACAAGATGCAATAGGGACAGGACCAGTCTCCTTGGGGTAATTCTGCGAGTGCCGGCCGGAGGCAACCCAAGTGAAATACCAAATTGCAAGTGCTACAGCAGAGCAATTCACCACCTTCGTTACAGACGTCACATAAATCATTATGTTCGCTAAGAAACTCTTGAGAATCCGTGCTTCCAGTCGTCCTTTCTTCTTCCGCTTCCTTGGACTTGCCAGATTTTGCCTTTGGTTTGGCATCCTCTTCTACTTCTTCAATCTCACTACTACTATTGCTGCTGCTATCATTGGCGTCCATGCTTCCCCCAGCTTTGTACAAGGCGTATTCAAAATAAGTAAGCGCATAGTAAGCATTGGACTTTCTTCCAGGCCCGCTTCGTTTTTCATGGCCGCTGTATATTACGCAATCAAGAATCAAAGCAACGTGTTTTGGATAACATGATGTACAATTGGTTTCATTCAATGATAGCGCAAGGCACACCGAGAAGGAGACAATAGAGAACAGGAATGGAATGAACGTGAGTGAACTATGATCCAATTGACACTCAAGCCAGAGAACCCTCCAAACAAATCTTATGTATATACGCACTGTTCCGCCTGCAATCCCTTCAACGTCTTTCGGAGATACGAACGTTTTTGTTTCATAGTCCCACGAAGCGATTTCAACATGGCTTCCACCTTTTCATCCCAGACTTCTTGACGAGGAGCATTGCAAAGGTACTTTTTGGCCACCATGGTTTTGGCGTTTGTGGTTTGGCTTTGACAACAAACAACAACAACAAAAACACTTCACTATATACACAGTTTGAAGTTGTAATCGATTCGATTGATCGAATACAGATTTTATTTTCGAAAATAAAATCGCAATTTCTGTATTCCAATTTTTTCATTTGACTCCACCCGCATATACTGTACACAGTACACGTGTACGTGTACTGTAGTGTAGACCCGGAATCATCATCAATTCGATAATATTGCACAGTGCGTCCTCCCTTCATTATTGCTGCATCGTGTGGCATCGCATTATATATATATATATTATACTTACCGCATCAGGTACAAAATCATAGGCAAGATAATCAATAGTGTTAGTGTACAGGGTAGGGTCGACATAACGTGCCGTAAAGGCTAAAACAGAAGAAACAGAAGTCGACTGAGTCGAACAAACGGTCGATTGAGTCAGTCGGCCGAAAAACGACGATGAATTTATTTATATGTTGTCAACTGCGACATGATGCGACACGGAGCTAGAGGCAAATGTATACTATAAAAATAGCTTAATTTCTGACACCCGAATACCAAACCCCACCGTACATCTCAGTTTTTACGTGCACACCCACAAAGTAGTAAGCAAAGCTGCCATGGGAAAAGAAGACGGGCCACTTTGCAGACAAGGTACCCACCGGATCACGAACACGATCACAATCACGATCGACCAGCAGTGGATGAGCGGAGGGCGCTGAAGGTTTATTTATTCTGGCTGGAACATGCAGCATTGTACAGAATTAGCATAGCATGAACGACATCAAAGCGGAAATAGCGAAGCTGGAAGCTTGTGAGAACGACCTGAAAGAATGTGAAGACAAGGTGAAAAAATGCAAGGATGCTATACAAAATGATGACACCGACGCGTACTTCCAAAATGCGTATCAGGGTTCAAAGGATGTAAAAAAGGAGAAGCGAGCAGAGTTTCTTGTGGAAGAAGAAATTCATTTGATGAAAATAGGGAATCATCTGAGGACCAAAGAGAATCAACTGAGGGCCGAAAAGAGCATTTTGGACGAGAGATTGAACAATGCCCGACAAGGATCCCTTGTGAACATTCGCAGACCAGTCTAATGCCAATGTCATCGTTCCCTCCAATCTTTGGTACACACGAGATCAAGGCCTTTTGATGTCGCGACTCAGCTATGAGATGAATAATGCAAGCTTAGACTGTAACAAGTGGTGGCAGTTTTCTATGAATTTGAAAGAGTTGGATGGATATGAAGCTATATGGAAGAAAGTGACACAAGATGGTCTAACATTTGATAAGGATGGTGAAATGGACGAAGCAACAAAAGCTTGTTTTCTAGATGCGTTGAAACCCTTGATGGCGTCTTTTGAACCAAAAGCTTTGAAGTATCCTTAGAATTCCTAATGCGGAAGCATGTCCTAATGCGGAAGCATATTCACTACGAGGACGTGGTGGGCAAGATGTTTCTGCAACAATTCATCTACAACGTGTTCTCCGCTTTGCTTCTTTCTGCTTGCTCCAAGGCAGGAGACTACAAAGCCGATCAAATGGTCAGGCCATCGCTACCGTGTCTCTTTCGCGAAACGCCAGACGAGAACGCTTGGCGGTATGGCGACTTTCAAGCCAAACCTGATGCAGTGAGCTCGATGGACTCTGGTTGCGACCCATTTGCCATGATGGAGCTAAGAACCCTTTATACAAGGCGTAACGCTACAATAGTCGATGAGGAAAAGTGCACAGCAATGCTCCTTTCTACATTGATAGCGCTGGAAAGACAAGGCACAAATACTTCAAATTTGTATTTTCCCTTTATCATTGGAAAGGGTCATACAGCGACTCTGCATGCTGCCCACTTTCGACAACAGGACAGGAAAGAAGTCGGAAAGACTAGCAGAGAAAATGTAGAGAAAATCCCAACAGTGTCATCTGTAGGAGGCTTCGACTTGAATTCGAATGAGGAACGAACCAATCTTTTTGTCGCTCTCTGTGTCATGCTGCACAACATCAAGAAAGCATTTAGCGCGGAGGAGAATAAAGCAGGAATGGAAAAACACAAAAAAACCTTGGCGAGAAGTAGGCAAACGTTTCCAAGTGTCTTTGTTTCAACAAGGACGGGTTTCAGTACTAGTACTAGTTCTAGTACTAGTAGAGAAATGGAAACGCCAAATATATCACAGAGAAGGAAAAGAACAAATAGTGGTGACGAAGACAAGGACAAGGACGATCTCGCTCGTCAAGCGGCAAGATGCGGCGGGTTGTTTTGTGCCATTGAGCATCCGTGGCCTCGGCCCATTTTCATTGGCGAGGATTTCAACGTCGCATATCAGGGAACTTCGCCTTATTATTTTCATGCCACTCATGCAAGCACGGGGGTAGAATGCTTTCTAAAACTATGGCGCCAAGATGAAGGAGGCTTTGACGATGTAAGGAATGAAATGCGATTCTTGAAAGAAGCTCAAAATCATGATATTGCGGTTGCAAAAATGATTACCGATGATGTGGTACCTTTCAGTCTACATGACATCAACTTTGAAGTGTTGGCGACGGAGTACATCGAATCGTCCCCAGTGTCGTCCGTTGACGAGCTTCTTGAATTTTCATTGGCATTAATGCGCGTTGTCAGCAAACTGCACGAGAATGCTCGTATTCTACATTGTGATATCAAGCCGAACAACCTTCGATGGCACTCGTCGCGTCGTCAAGTTTATTTGATTGACTTTGGCCACGCCCAACTGGTTGAAGGAGCAAAATACTGCAAGGCAACAAGGGATTTCGAGGCTCCTGAACTTAGAGAGAAAATGCTTCCTCACAGTCGCGAAACCGACAGCTACTCCGTGGGCGCAACCATTTTATGCGCTTGGAATGACTGCAGTCGCCATGTGAGCCTTGGGGAAGACACCCTTGACAGCAGGAAAACGACGAAACTCCGAGTTGTTGGGGAGTCTTTGATGGCCCCTGTCCATGAGCGCGTGTCCCTGAATCATGCAATTTGTTCTTTGCTGCAAACATTGGAAGAATGAAAGGTCGATCATAAATTACCGAGCCCTTCTCGCACGACTAACTGTACATGAACAAAGTCCTATTCATTGCTCGTAACAAAGACGAAGCTGATATATCCTATTTGGCTCCTACCGGTGAGACTGGACATGCTCTCAAGTAGAAACGACTGATTTCTTCAACCACACCGTAATTTTATAAACCCGCGGATAAAAATTCCTTGAGCGACTGTATTATTTGGACCAAAATATTCGTCCATCCCGCCGCTCCGACAGAAGTGCCAGTGTTATGCTTTGGAAAGGACGTATATTGAGTGGTTTCTGCTGAACGAAAAAAAAGTTACCATGGTAGGACACAACTATTGTTATTTGTACCATGGACCAAAGCAATCAGTGTGGCATTGTATGATGATTGTGCATGCCATCCCACTCCTGCAGGCATGTCAAAGGAATGGACAGCAATCGAAACGCAGCCACCATGCATCCATTCGAGTGTCCAGCCAGAAAGATTCCTTTGCCATTTTAATTTATAAGGACGATTCCTACTTCTCATATACGCGGCCCGAGGCAGCCTTTTCAAATTCTCCAGGGGGGACTTCATGGCATCAGCAACCATCCAGAACTCGTCACATCAATTTCCCAGTTTTGAACGGATGGAAAACTGCCAACGGCTCAGGTTTACAACTCTCAGTCACCTGCCACGTGCCACATGTGTAGTGATCCAAACCCAGTGCAGAGTTTCATGTATCGGATAGGTGCTTCAAACTGCTGCTGCAGGAGAATATCAACAATTTTGCCAAAAGCGCACTCTACAATAAGCGAGCTAGCTACCAGTATAGAGTAAGTTGTGATCGATGGATCGAATACAGGTATTATTTTGAATAAGAAAAGCGCAATTTCTGTATTCCAAAATTTTCATTGGACCACCATATTATATCCGGAATCATTTCGAGTCCGATTTCAATGACTGTCAATAATACACAAGTACTGTATTGTATATCATTTCCATTACCGCTATGACTCTATTATCTCAACCATAGTTGATTACATTGGGTCAGCGAAATATCTTCTGCAGTTGCAGCAGCAGATGATCAAAAGTAACATTTCTTGTCCTCACAAAACAAGATCAGAAGCACAGAAAGGTATCAACTGAATACCTACAGAAGAAGAATCAACCAATTGCTTGTCTCATTCTTTGTCTAGTAAGATCTTCCAAGAAGTCATAAAACAAAGCAGAAGCGAAAAATTATCATCTGTATCATCTGAAGAATCAATCTCTCAATTGCTCGTCTCATTTTCCATTTCCCTGAATCTTATTGTCTAGTAAGATCTTCCAACCAAAGCAAACGCGAACTCTAAACTTCCACTCTAGAACTGAAATCATGAAGTCGAAGAGTCCCCTTATGCTCATTGCCCTCAGCCTTCTCTGCAGCCTGATGGTTGCTGAAGCAGCCACAGACTACATTTCCTGTGACGATCCCTGCAATGGAGGCGATGTGAACTATGATCTTGTCAGCACTGTGGAAACCGTCAAGTTGATGAACTACACTTATCGTGGCCGATTCTACAAGTCTGGAACGGATGACAATCGAGGCATTGATGGTTTCCCAGAGTCTCGCTTTATGGGTCCCACGATGCGGGTCAAACCGGGCCAATCCCTGTGGATCAAGCTTAGCAACGAAATGGATTCTTCCGACATTGGTCCTACCCCACCCACTGCCGCAGACTACTGGGTCAGACTCCAAAAGCCAGGAGAAGCCATCAAGTACAAATACTACCAATTGCCCGTGGATGATCCATCTCGCATGTTGGTGGACACTCCCAACATCCCCGGTCACTTTGATTCCACCAACCTTCATGTGCATGGATTGGATGTGGAAGTGCACATGTTTGATCCAGTGGGTACCCACAACCCCGATGCTCCTCACATCAAGATTGATCCAGGCGAATGTTATTGTTACAAATTCAACGTGCCAGAACACCACCCCGAAGGACAGTACTGGTATCATCCGCATCTTCATGGATCCTCTGCTGTCCAGCTTTGGGGAGGAATGTTTGGTTTGCTTCATGTGGACGGTGGAACTCTTGAGAGTGAACTCGGAGGATATGGAATTACCACCACCAAAGACTTTGTCATTTGGGATCCAGCCTTCCAGAACGTTGACAAGGACACCCACAACATTGAAGTGGATGAATTCCTTGAAGGCCAGACCACCCTTTCCAAGATTCATCCTTTCTTGGTCAATGGAGAGATGAACCCAACCTTCGAGACTGCCACTGGACAAGTTCTTCACCTTCGAGTTCTTTGCGCAACCATTGAAAACGAAAACACTTTCATTGTTTACGAGGATGGACGTGAAGAGGAGTTCTGGGATGACGCTGGATTGGACTTTTGGGTCATTGGTGTTGATGGTGTCATGTTCCGCAAGCCCAGTCGAAAGCACATTGCAGTCTTGGCAGGAGGCCAACGAAATGAAATTTTGTTGCAGTTTGACAAACCTGGAAACTATGTCATTCGCCAACACGGAATTGATGGCATGCAGTTCTTTGGCATGCGTGGCCACCCACATGTAAGTCTTTTCTATGTCATTTCTGAATATTGAATGAATCAAATCATCTAACATGCCTTTTGTAATCTTGTTTCTCTCACTATCTCCAAATGGCAGAATCAAACACTTGCAACCATTCGTGTCACCGACGATGAATCGGCACCAAAACCTTCCATTCCTATTGATGATATGATCTTCACACCTGGTTATGATGAAAGCAAATCCATCCAAGCGCATGAACTTGTGAAATCGGAAACCATTGTCTTTTCCATGGGAGCCGATCGCAACAAGGCACCATTTCCACAATACTTTGTGAATGGAAAGGCCTTTTCTCCGGATCGTCTTGACTTTTTGGCTCACCCTGGAGAGGCACGCGAGTATGTTCTCATCAATGGTAATCACAATGTCCATCCTTTCCACATTCATGTCAACCGATTCCAAGTCATTGAAATGGGTAGCGAACTATCCGCTGAAACGTACCCGGTTCTCAAGTCTGTTATGGACTTTGAGCCAGGCCTATGGCGTGATACAGTTGTGTTACCACCCAACGGCCGAGCTCGTATCTGGGTCAAGTACGGAAATCACACTGGAAAAACACTCTTCCATTGCCACTTTTTGGCTCATGAAGATACCGGTATGATGTCCACGCTTTTTATTGGCGAGCCCGACTTTACGTTTTCGAGATGGAAGGTCGCCAACATTGATACCGTCATTATGATTTGCGTTGGAGCCACCGTCCTTGTGGTAGGAATCTTGTTTGCTGTCTTGTTCTCGAGGAATAGCGCTCCAAAGGATTACAGTCCTGTTTCTGTTGGAGATATAGATGATGATGGGACTGAACAAGATACAACTGAAGACAGAGACGGGAAGTGAAAGGGTATCATCGTGAAACCTGGACGATCGGAGGAACGATACGGTCGTAAGGATGAACGAGTGTTTTGTAGAGATAAATACTCCGAAGCATTGGTAGAACTGCGATAATCCGATACGTTGCCATCATCATGCGCCAAACAAGAAAGTATATTTTCCAAACGAAAAATGAACCATAGGCCCTAGTGTCAGCTAGTTATGTTATATAGACGTGTCGAATGAATGAATCATCATCATCATGAATCATCATCCGACTGAAAACAAGCCAGAAATCGAACTCGGACACTCTCATCATGTCTTTCTAGCTCTTCCCTGGACTGACAATTTTCTAGTAAAACTTGTAAACACTGTTGTTCCGTGGTTCCCACGCGATAGGCAACTTCCAAATATTCTTTGGGATCGAGGTTCTGCTCCTTCCAAAATCGAGCCACTTGCACATCAACATCTTGGGAGGATGTCGAGTCCTTTGGATTCAGCAGGTTGCACGCCACTTCAAACCGATCTTGACTTCCATATGGCAATGTCAGTGCTTCCACAGAGGGCAAGCCACCATCTTTTTCGCGGACAGCCCTGGTGAGGGATCGGGCCAATGTCTTGGAGCATTTGGTCGTCAAGCGAAGGTTGTAATTTTCGACAAAATGAGGAGGGGCACCAATAGTGCATTGTCCCATGGATGGTGGGATGGGTGGTGACATTGTTGGTGCTTTAGGGGTTTGACCAGTGGCGTCGTTACCACCGTCGCTGCTGCTATTGCCAATATCATCATTACTACTTGCTGTTGCTGGTGGGGAACGAAAAAAGTTGGTCTTTTCCCGACGAACTTCAGCCAATGGCTTTTCCGTAGGATGGGCATGGCCATAGTACAATACATCAACTGGCATATTCTCTCGGTGCAGTAGATTCCAACCAATTGTCCAGGCGACCCATCCCGAAGGCACGGTGGTCGTTGGCAATGACACTGATAATAATTCATCCGACTTTGGCAACAAGCTCGTATTGTTCTTCTCTCTATGTTCAGCGCTTTTATTGTAATATTCTAGCCAATCATCCCGTGTCACTTTTTCACAAGTATCGCCTATTGGCAGAATGGAAATATGATCGACAATGCCCACAGTTGGATGTTCCAGGTATTGTTGTTGTTGTTGTTGTTGTTGTTGTTGTCGTTTGGGAGAACTTGTACTTGTGTCGGATGACTGCTGCTCTCGTTGTAGTTTCAAAGGAGCCAAGACTTGCATGGCATTACTGGTGATGCTTGTAGCCAAACTTACAATGGCCCAAGGGGATCCTGCCAAATGAAAGGAAGTTCGATCGTACTGGGTATCGGCAAAGGCATGGATCACCAGGCCGTGCTGCAATTTTGGTTGTTGTTGCTGTGCGTCGACTAGCAATCGCTCCAAAACGTTGCGATATATTGGAAGTCCTGCAGAAAGATAAATGTTGCAGGCTACATGGCACTTGGATATCATCATCATTGTATAGCAACTGTTGTGATCGTGGGGTGTTGACTCACCATTTTCCATTCTTGGTGATGTGTCGTCGTCACTTTCAACGATTTGAAAGTCGGACATTGACGTCCGTCCGACACAACTGAAAACGGACATATTTTATGACGGACCGTCTGACCTTTGCAAGACGTCCAGTGATCCAAGCCATCAACACAAAAAGCTTCCCTTTTCTATTCCATCAATCCCAACATCTTTACATTCACATCCTACTAGTGACGAGACCAGTCAGAAGGTTGCACGAAAAATCCTGACAGAGAGGAAGAGACAGTCGTATTTCATGTCTACTGGAGTTACCAACGCATCATTTGTGTGCTTCTTGTTAATCATCATGGGAACAACGACGCGATTGATTCATTCGTTTGCACATCACGCCAATGCATTCTCTCATCGAGCAGCATCATCTTCCATACAAAGACAATGTGTAGGAACCAGATGTCTATCATCATCATTGCCAAGTACTGACTCAATATCAGGAAACTCTCTTGGTCATAGAATACAGCATCGAAATCGATTCACTTCTGCAACAGCAGCAGTGGCCAGTTCTAGGCAATATCATCGCATGGGCGCATCCTCGTCCGTGCGTCTATTTTCATCGACCGCAGCGGAGGAAGACTTCTTTGCCACCGAAGTGAGCTCGTTCGAGTCCATGGGAATCCAATCTCCCATTTTACTAGAGAGACTGCAAAAGGCTGGGTTGGAGAAACCTACTCAAGTCCAAGCCAGTTCCTTTTCCGCCCTACGAGAAGGCACCAAGGGGGTTACCATTGGTGCGGAAACTGGATCGGGCAAGACTCTGAGTTATTTGTTGCCACTATTGGACGATATTTTACAACAAAAGCAAAAGATTGCCAACGGCGAAGAGGCGGCCCTCCAGTACGATTATGCCCGTGCTTTGATCCTCGTGCCCAACAAGGAATTGGTGCAACAGGTCGTTCGCATGGCAGTTCCATTGTGCGGTGATAGTGAAAGTGATGTCTTGATTAACTCTTCAGTATCAAGCAGCAGCAGTAGCAGCAGCAGTATTGCCGATCCTGCCACAACGGTTCGAATCGCAATCATGCCTGGTGGACTCGCAGAACCCCTCGACTTTCGGCCCTTTCGAGAAACCAAAGCCTTGGGTGGAACTGAACCTCCCATTGATTTGATCATTTCGACGCCGGCAGCAGTGGGGCCTTTGGGACCATCACCCAAACATATTGAAATGTTTGCTGACATTCAGACTTTGATCATTGATGAAGCGGACATGTTGCTAGATGGAGGTTACATTCGACAACTGGAGAATGTCTTGCTTGGATTCAAGCGGGCAGATCGCTTGGACCCAGCCTACGGAGCTGCCAAGACCCAGCACGTCTTTTGTGCTGCCACTCTACCAGATATGGGGCTTCGCAGCGTAGATGCTTATCTTCAAAAGAAATTCCCATACTCGGAACAGATTCAAATGGAGGGAATGCACAATGCTAAGCACTATGGACTTGCCCAATCTACTGTGTGGAAAGAAATTGAAACCAAGAAGGAAAGAATGGAACTACTGCAAGAAATGTTGCAGATAACACCGGAAGAAGGTGGACTGAAAGGAGAAAAACTAATGCTCTTTGTAAACAGTGTTGATGATGTGGAAGGGGCCCATGGAGCGCTCGAGCGGGCTGGTGTTTCTTCGGTTCCTTTCCATGCCAAGATCAAGCTTGGAGAACGATCCACAAACTTGGACCGCTTCCGCCGATACAACAAAGACGAACCAGATGCGGAGGATACTGTTCCCGTTCTAGTCTGTACTGACTTGGCAAGCCGTGGTCTCGATGTCCCAGGTGTCAATGTGGTTGTGCAGCTTCAGTTTGCAGGCAATGTCGTTTCCCATTTGCATCGCATGGGTCGATGTGGAAGAGCAGGACAGCGGACTGGACGAGGCATTGTGTTTTACAACTCTGTGGAAGCCGAGCTGGTAGAAGTATTGATCCAGGCAGAGGAGCAGCAAGAACGAATGGTACTAGAAGGTGATGTCATGGACACCCCGGATGATGAAGAAGACGAAGAGGGAGAAGGGAAAACTAGGGGCAAAGTAAAGAAGGCGTTTTCAAGGAAACGAGGCTTTACCAAAAAGAAAAAGAAAGAAAGGCGAGAAGCTCGCTCCGAACATGAAGCTTAGTATCCAAGATGCTGTGGTACTTTACGGTTGGAGTAGAAGCTAGGTCATATCTACCGGTACCAGGTAAATCCTCCAAACTTTTATTATGATAGTCACTCCAGTTTTAAAAATGATAGTCTTATTGTGAGATGCTATTCTGTTCACTTAGAATCTTGTTTGAGATGCAAGAGTGTGCACTGAGAGTCCTGTGGGACGGAAATGTCGTTTCACAAGAGGCTCAAAAGACACTGCGATGATTGCTTGGGTACCGCGCATCTTTGATAGGAACGTCCATAAGCGGCAAAAAAACCTGATGGAAGTTGAAAACGACTTAAGCATTTTTTACGTCGCTTCAACGCATTTTGGGCCGCACGGCCCGTCACTTTTCTCGCCAACACCAGGTATCTTTCCAACGCACCACTCTTCAAAGTGACTAGCCAGGGGTGCTTCCTTCATTCATTGTCGAAACTTCCTAAATAACGGGATTCTTTTGAGTTGTTGGTTTTTTCCATTATTAAGTGTTTTTGAGATAGACGGGATCCCTTTTGAGTAGCTTGCTTTATCGTTATTAAGTGTTGCATTCGTAGTCCAGAATACCGTCCTTCTTCAATTTCGCTCGTTAAATGACGATAGACACCCAACATCTCAACATCAAAGCCCCCGTGATCTTTCAGCATCATTATTCATTCGTTCGAACTTACAGCATTATTATTCATTCGTTCGAACTCACACAAGTCTCAAATCGCACCACAAAACAACATCAAGATGAAAGATATCTATTTGAGCTACACCAACGAAAACTTACAAGTTGCACAACACATCAAGGATGATGTTGAGGCTACCTCAAACCTTACAGTTGCACTGGAAAAAGACGACTGGGAGGAGGAAGAAGGAGAAGGGTCGAGTTGCGAGTTCCAAGAGCATCTAATGGACGCCAAGATGTGTTTGGTCCTAAACACGGAATGTGGGAACATCACGGCATGGATCATGGATCCTGATATCACTCAGATTCAACAAGGTTTTACTCGAGCACGAGATATCGACCTTCCACCCCAAATTGATTTCTCAGAATCCTACGAAAAGGGAATCGATATATTTCGATACGTCCTGAAGGTTTTGACAGGAAGTGGTGATATTCAGATGGAACCAGACCATGAAAGATATGCAATCCAAGAGGAACGGACAGTTTCCAGCGCAAGCATACCTGCTGATTCAAAGAAGAGCCCCAGCAGCAAACCACCAACTTCACCAGTCAAGAGGGCAGCCAGAGGCTTGAACCGCATGATGCGCAAGTTGAACACGAAACGAACTGTCCAATAAAATTCATTCCTTCCACATACCTCCTGTCATTGAGGTGTGATGGAATGGTGCAACTGCTCAGTCATGGAGCAAATGTACCTTGATACACCACTATTACTTAGGGCTACAACAAGAAGAACCTACTTAGGGCTACAACAAGAAGAACCTACTACTAGTGTAACATTAGATCTTATCTTTCAATTCCCACACAATTGAATACTCATTACCGGACACAAACTTCTGATTTGGCCTTTTGTGAGTCTTCGAATTATAAATTCACTACGGCATGAAAACTGTTGAGAGGGGTTCTATCCCAGTCTGAGGTCTGAGCATATCACGGGTCTGAAAAGTATCCAATGGTGAAGTCCTACCAGCGAAGGTCAGACCATAGGAATGACAAAGTGACTGATGACTACAGTATCAAGAGTGAGTCACGGATTGTGCTTCTCGTCAAGATCTCAATCTCACTTTATTGCACAGTGCAAATTAAATCCAATAACATCATGTGCTAGCGGTACCACTCTTTATAGTCTGTATTTAGAACGAGAGCGAGTTCAGGCATTCGTAGATGGGGGACAGATAACCTCTTGCTCGCTCGTCAAGAATAGTGCTAGGCTAGGCTAGGCAGGCCGTCGTCCTGTTGTACCTCATTTGATCTGATTTGAGATCTCACCTTGTACTAGCACAATGCAAATGAATCCAATTGCATGTTGCGCTTATCGTCAGCACCTAGTACTACCGATATACTGAGAGCGAGTTCTTCAGGCATTCGTCGTACACAAGACAAGTGATGTTTCATCATAGCCAGCAATAATGGCTCCTGGCTTACGATTGTTGATGGTTCGATTTCTGCATGCATGTAGGTGCCTGGACCGTAAACGCTGTCTATCCAGCCAGAAGTACAGATCCAGTATGCTACTGTAGAATGATTGGTCTTGTTGCTGATTGACTGACTTACTCATTATCAAGTGACTATCCAGTGAGGGTTCCTGCGTGATTGATTCAATTGAAAACAATTATGGTGCATTCTGAAAGGGCGTTTGGATACCGGTTTTGTAAATAAGAGCCTGTGGCGAATTATGTGCAGATGACCGATGTGGCATCGCACTGATAAGTGTTTGAAGCATATATATGTATCAGTTGCATAAATATCTGAATACCGGATCATACGTTCAAGTGAATCGGCATGCAATGTTCTATGTCGCATTGAAACTTTTAACGGAGTGTTTTTCGCGTGCTTAAAAATCTGCGAGCGACAAACGCGTTGTCGTTTGCAGCTCAATCCGATTAAAAGAGCTCATCTACCGGTACCGGTGTTGACGGGGTTAGAACTCACAAATCATACCCACACCACAATCCAAAGAGACTTCACCACAACGAAAGAATGGAGATCTATTTGAGCTACAGCGAACCAAACCTGGAAACTGCAGTCCGTCTAAAAGAAGATATTGAGTCATACACCAGCCTCAGCGTTTCACTGGAAAGTGAAGACTGGGAGGAGGTCGAGGATTGCGAGTTCGAAGCACAAATACACCAAGCGGATGTCCTACTAAACCTCACAGCCGAAACTTCCAACATTACAGCCTGGCTGATTGACGAGGAAAAACGCCTATATCGAACGAAAGAGCCACCAATGGAAGTTTCACTTCCACAAACTGTCGACATCTCGTACTCATCGTATGAAGATGGGTTCGCAGTACTACTTGGCCTCATTTCTAGGCATATGGATCGAAGATTTGGTCCTCTACAGATGCAGCATGAATCGGAAGAAGAATACGAAAGCAGTGTCGAATTGGAAAGCACACGAGAAAGCATGAGGTGTCTAGCTTCAACGGCAAAGGTAGATTCTGTTCGCCCTTTGGGATCAGACAGTCAAAGAAATGCGAAACACGAGATGTGTCCGAGAGAGATTTTTTCAAAGTCCAAAATGGAATCTGAACGTACCTTGGACCGCGACGAAGCATTGAAAGCGAGGCGGAAGCAACGATCATCCCGTAAAAATCGTCTCCGCGAAGCACGATCACATCGCACTGTGCCTGCATATTAGCTAAGCACTTCCCCATTGGAAGACCATTGAAATGCAAACTAGTTTAACACCAGAACCTAATTTCCATCTATGCTGTGTATGCACAATGAAAAGCTCTACAAGGCTCAAGTACATGTAGTTAAACCTCTATAATACTGCTTGAACTGCACAGAGTATCGTTTGGATGTCTTACCGTCATTTGCCAACTGATACTGGAACGGGGATGTTCAGCACCACCAGCTATTGCATCAATGATTTCAACGGCCTTGGTGCTACAGCGTGGGGCATTGTCACAACTATCACCGAAGCGAACCACTTCGCTAAAGGCAACAACATGTGCTGCAACAGATTACTACTTAACATTTTATAAAGTGATAGCAGGTATCTTATTGAATGAATGAAGAATCAATCAATGAATCATAATCAATAAAATAATTTTGGGGCTCTCTGCAATCGATTAAGTCGACTGAAGAAGTTTGGACCCCAACAGTATCGTGTTAGAGGTCATCATTCCTACATCTACCTACACTAGCACCCGATCTTGGATCAGGCTTGCTCTATCTAGTCTTGGCAGTCCACGCCAGAACAAGAGAGATAATCCTTTATTGTGAGACACCACCAGCGCATTTTTATCAAAAGTATGGTGGGAAGCAAAAGCGAACAAAAAAGAGGGCAGCCGACGGCATCTGCTAGACACAAGACCAGGGACGATATTCGTGAGATTGTCATGCTGAGATAAATAGAAATGCTACATTACTAGATTGCATCATGACCTTTCCGCTTACAGTATCTATAACTTTCCCCCTTCCAGATCTAAATCATGGGCACCAAGGGAATGATGATACTGATTTGGTCGCTGACCTGCCTTCGATATTGATTCGATTCGATTCTTCTTCTTCATCCTTCATGAAGACTGCTTCATGCAGACTTTTTTCGTCTCCTCCTCCTCCTCCTCTTGCGAGTTTGCGAACCAAGTTGATGATCTTTTCATTTTATCTTATTTAATAAAACCATTGGGTGGTTATATACCTAGAAAATGGTGGCGGAATCACGTGGCAATAGCGAAATGCCAACATTTATTTTAATATTGAATATGTATTACATGAAAAAAATGGAATGTCACGGAGAGGTCATAGAGTACCAGGTACCCAGAGTATTTTTTTACTTGAAATCATTTACTGGTGTCGCAATTCAAGAGTTGCACACGAAGCTATGGTTGCAGAGCAGAGACAACTCATTCAACAACGGCGTGAACGAGAGGAAAGCAGCAAAGAGGATCCCGTGCTGTCTGCGGCAGATAGTACTAGCGAGGAAGAAAAGGACATCCCGACAAGCATATCTTAATCGTCTGAGGTCAAGGATTATGTAGATGATCGCACCGAAGTCTACCATCGTCTGCTACAACGATTGGGGACATTGGAACAGAACAAACCAGTTGAAAGAAGAAGAAAACAGTCTTCTCCAGGGCGCAAACAGTCTTCTCGAACCAGACGAACCCGACGAGGAGTCAGTGTTGAGAAGGTGATACTGGCGGAAATGGTAACCAAGCTTGATATTAGATAGTTGATGCTGCTAAATTTTAGATTGTTAAAGATTACAGTACAGCTACTATCAAGAACTTCTATTGATCACGTTGCGCAAGCGTAGTGGCCAGCCAATTTCAGCCGGCATCCGCCTTAAGCTGCTCCGAAACCGTGGGCAAACAAAACAAGAGAAACCCTTCATTTGAATCTCGACTTATTTCTTTCTTGATCCATTCAAACTAGATCCCAGGATGGTGCCAAATGTCACAAGTGCAGCTCCGAGTAGAACATGCAGCAAGGTCAGCGTGCTATCAGAACTTTTCGATTGACTGTCATTTCTTGCGTCAGAATTTGTCAAGGCCAAAACCTTCTTCTCGGCCAATCCGGCGGGTGGCATCACTTCGACCCACTGAACCACCCAAGGAGTACCCCGGGATGTCAACAGAATGTCTTGTAATTTTCGAAAGAGTTCATGTACGGCATCAATTTCCTTCTTGTAAATGCTGACACTTTCACAGCTAATGCCAAGGGGGACCCCAATACCAGAGCACTCTTCCAATATTTCCTTGAGCATGTCGCACAGAAGCTTCACTGACTCATCGACTGGCTGTTCGGCATTCAAAATCTTGGACTCCGTTTCCTCAGGAACTCGGACACCCAACCATTTGATGAAATTCATTGTCTTTTGGCGGGATACCGGAGCAAAGGTCAAAATAACTTTTCGGGGAACAATCCCTTGCTCTCGACAACTGGCGGCATAATCCTTGAGCAGCCGAATGGTGGGTTCCGCATCGTATACGGCTTGACTAATGAACCACTCCGCGCCTGCCTTTTGTTTCCTCAACATATTCAAGTGCTCGGTCGGGTAGTCTTTTTCAAATGAGCAAAACATGTGAAGAATAGACGACATCCATCAACGATTGCTTGAATTTACCTTTTCCTCTGGCCTTGGCAGCTTCCAACGTATGTCGCTCAGCAATGCAAACGCAACCAAATTCAAGTCCCTTCTTGGCATTAACAATCTTCATGGCTTCTGATATGGTAGGTCCAACATATTCCCCGGTACTGGATGCTCTTCCAACTAGGTTGACAGCGGAATGACCGTGTTCCGAGACAGCAGTATCGATCCAATTGTCAAATTCTGCATCCGCCACACACTTGTAGACACAGCATGGCTTGTTGGCCGTTTTCGCTAGCAAGCTGGCATACTTGGACGAATTCATTAAATGCCGAAAGGGGAAAGGTCGCTTTATATCACTTCTACCAGGCTCGTCTTGAATATCGTAGACAATGAAACCATCCGTGGCCAGTGCCCTGGACCGAGCCGCAAATTTGGTGGCTATTTCGAGACATTTTCCGGGTTGCGTTCCCTCGCCTGGAGGTACCTCCCCTAGGAGAAAGACTGGTCTGGCAGGATTGGCCATTCGCCTTGACAAGGGATCATCTTGTGCCGAGGATGTTGCCATGTTAAGAAAAACTCAATTGACAACTGAAGGTGTAATGAATAAAAACGATGTGTCGATATCGTGTGCGTGGAGAAGTGCTTCTACGCGTGCGATGAAGCTTTGATCGGAACCCGATGAAAATATGGTCAGATAAGTCGACTCATATCCCCCAGATCTGTGCAAAATTCCACTCACACGTGTGACTGACCGGTAATCACTCAGATCTTTGTATCTGTGTATCTTTTTCGTTCGAAACAGTGAATGGGTCTCTCACTTTTTACCACCATTCACCTTCGTTCCACTTAAATAACCTACAAAACAAGGATGACAGACATCTACCTGAACTGCAATTCATCCAATCTCAAAGTCGCAGAAGCTCTCAAGAAGGAAGTTGAATCCCGAAGTAAGCTTGCCGTTGCGGTACTAGATAACAAGGATGATGAAGATGAAGAAAACCTCGACTTTATGAACAACATTGCTCGGGCGAAGCAGATGATCATTATTCTTACAAAAGGTCATGCCACTATTACAGCCTGGGTCATTGACCGCAACTATCACCGAATTGAAATATTTCACAGAAGACAACAAAATACTATGATGACGATGACGAGGAAACCCCAATACATCGACTTTTCCAAGTCGCAAAGCTCTGGAATGCAAAAACTATTAGCTTTGCTACAACCGACTACGGAAAACAAAGTGATGTTATCTGGGACAAAACGTCCACCATATAGCATTTCCAAAGTATGGAAGAAGCGAACAAAGGGTGCAAGAACCAACCAGCAGGGTGCTCTGCTATTACTATGACGCTAGATATGGAGCGATCGGGAATGCTCACTAGTAAGAACTTGATAAACCCGATATAACTACCGCTAGAGCATAGGTAGATTAGAAAAACAATATACAGTGTAATGGTTATCCTACCACTAATTGGTGGTGACTTGAGTTTATAATAGCGATACAAGCAGTAGTACCAGGTATAACCTTGGTATGACCGTCTTTCGAGACTCAATCACTACCGGTGACTGTCATGATACGTGTACGCAATGGTATGCGTTTTGCAGTACAGTACAATTTACATGGGCGCTGTGACTTGGAATTAGCGGAACAGTATGAGGTTTTATGATGGTATCTGGTATGACCAGAATCGTTATAATTCTTGGAAAAACTAGACACAAAGGGTACTCGTACCACACGTACAGTACTGTTCGTTTTGCAATACTGCATGAACAAATACGGAGTTTAAAGCAACCTTTTTTAATTAACGAATGACATGAGTCAGCCCAAGAAAACGTGGCGAAACGTACGATATTTAACGAAATATCTTTTAGCCCTGTGGGTAACAACCTTGTGTGAAGTTTCGGATTTTCATGTGTTAAAACTTTACACAGTTACGAATATTCGCACGAACAGAATTCATTCAACACACAACCAACGAGTAAGGTACAATCAGTCAACATGTGTGGACCAACCGAATCCTTGTCAACGGCAGATCTCAAGGGTCCCAAGGAAAAGGCGGATATCTACTTGAGTTGCGACGAACCAAGCATTGAGTTTGCAGAAACATTGAAGAAAGAAATCGAGTCTCGATGTAATCTTTCGGTCGCTTTGGACAGAGACGATTCTTGGGAGGAAGATTCCAACGATTGCGCCTTTCTAGAGCACATGCATCAAGCCAAAGTGATGGTCCCTATTGTCACAGAGCACGTGAACATTACAGCCTGGATCATGGACTACCGACCAGCTCGTGGTCTCACGGCACAGCAAGCATTGGCCCACCGCCTTCACTATCAACGATGCTGCAAACCACCCGCCATTAACTTTTCCAAGTCTTACAAGGAAGGGTTGCGAGAATTTATGGATATCGTGAAACGGAACACTGGGAGCAGACGATTTCGTAAACCAAACAAGGTATTGAACCGAATCAATACAGTGGTTCGTAAAGTGAGAGCTCGCTAAACGCATCGTGGCAGCAGTTATAATTTTTGAATAGACATTAGATTTTTATACTTGACTCAACTAAGCTTATAACATCATTTTGACACATAGATTACGTATGATAGGGGTCTATTAAAAGACTCGCTCACCAAGTTTTAAACCATGGTTTGCTTCTCGCCTCATTTCCTCATACAGTTTTCAATGTAGATACCGGTACACGTGAATGTGTACTTGCATGCTGTTTTCGTGCGGTTTGACTGCATGTTCGTTTGTACCGGTACTTAAAATCATTCGTCGTCAGTCGTCAGTGTCGTGTACTGCTTCCTTCTGTTTAAAAAAAACCTGAACGCGAAGAGCAGAAGAGCACTTGAAAATTCCTACCAATAGTAGTAGAAGTTTACATGAAATGTGAAACAGTTGACTAAGTGATTACAAGTTGAAAGTTTCTGGCCACGCACGATCGCTCAGCCGCGAGCTCCCAGAGTACACACAGTCGTACTGTACTGTATGTGTACTTACTTTTTCAGAATTAGCAAAAGATTGTAAGTATCTATTGAATCATTCCAAGATGTGTGCTCCAGAAGAATCCATGAAGACCACAGAAATCAAGAAGAAGGCAGACCTCTACTTGAGTTGCGATGAACCAACTCTCGAATTCGCACAAACACTCAAGCAGGAAGTGGAATCTCGCTGCAATCTTACGGTTGCTTTGGACAACGACGATTCTTGGGAAGACGCCGAAGACAGCGACGTTCTAGAAAACATGCAGAAGGCCAAGCTCATGATCGTTGTCACTACAGGCCATTCCAACATTACAGCCTGGGTAATGGACTACTCACCAGAAATTACCACTAAGACTACTCAACAAGCAATTGCGGAACGGTTCAATTTTCAAAGATGCTGCAAACCACCTGCCATTGACTTTTCCAGGTCGCACAAGGAAGGATTGAACGAGTTCATGGATCTCCTGAGGCGAACCACTGGATGGAGACGATTCACTAAACCAAGCTCGAACAAGCTGTGGAACTCAATTGCCAATGCTATCTTTATCTAGGGTCTGGCTCGTGACAGAACCTAGACATTTTCCCCTGATGGGAGAGCCACACAATTTTTGCTACATATGACCTATATAGAATGTACACTTTCACAAGATCTTGGTTTCAGTGAATTTTTGGCTTTGCCTTCTGTCTTGTGCTCCTTGGTTGTTGTTGTTAGTAGTATTCGTCTACGGTTCTTTGTACTATGCTGATACTGTATTATTCTATGCTTCTTCTCTCAGCCTCCCCGGTAAACATTCAGAACACTGTTAGTGTTGTCTACAAGATTGTGTCTTCACAGCATGGTCTAGATGGTCTGGAGCTCCATTGAAGACGATACCTCTCAGTTCCGCCATTACACTTTGAACTTAAAAAAGTGTCTGTGCAGTTTTGGCGGCGCGTTATTGTCTTGCAGGATGTCGGTCCCATGTCGTACAATTTTTTCGTCGCCTCTCAAAGTGAACAAAAATCCAAAAGTGCGAATCCGCTCACGCGATTTCCACCACGACATATGCGCTGAAGTGTGTCTCACTTTTTTTTTCTTACACGAACAAGTTTATATTTTAATTTTTTAAAAAATAACCAACACACAAAACACAAAACGACAATCATGACCGACATCTACTTGAGCTACAGCGAACCAAACCTTGCATTGGCCCAAGACTTGAAACAGGAAGTCGAATCCTGTAGTAGTCTTTCTGTCGCTTTGGAAGACCATGATTGGGAAGAAACCGACGAGTGTGACTTTCAAGAACACATCGATCAAGCCAAAATGTTCATTTTGATTGCCACTCCATCCTCGAATATTACAGCCTGGGTCATTGACCACAACAAATCCAACAAACGTCGAAGCCTAATGAAACCACCAACGGTCGACTTTTCCTCGTACGAAGACGGCATGCGAGTTCTCAAGTATGTCCTTCGAAGAGTGATTGGAAGCAGACCATTCCAAAACCGACGACCGGCAGCGACAAAAGAAGCAACCAAAGACAAAAAGCCCGAAATTCCACAAAGGAGCACCTCGGTCTCGAACGAGGATGATAGCCAACAGGCATCATCAAGCTTTGCGGAACCAAACCATCAATTGCCAGCAGAACGAAAGTCGAACGGTAGTCTTTTGGAGGCCATCGCCGACGGATTTAGCCAAATGCTACAGCGGGGACTTGGATCCACGATGGATCTTTAGGACAACACCATAGTTGTACCATTAATCGCACCTTCAGGGAACAACGCTGAAGCCAAGGCTATTAGGATTAATTTTGAGAAAAAATGTTAAATATTATTTTCAATGTTTATTCCTATCTTCATGTTTACCAGCGATGCAACAGATGGTGTTCATAGTAGTATTAGCACAAAGATGTAGTTCATGGCAAAGGTTTTTGGAGATGCAAGAGCATCATCCAATCGGGATTCTTGACGCCATGCACCAAAGTGACGGAAAACCCACCTGGCTTTAGAATCTCATAGGGAAAGTACTGCACTTGGAATTTTGCCGGATACCCTGGCAAGGACCAGTTGGCCCAAGTCAGCTTGAAGCCGCATTTCTTGACCAAACTTCCAGTGGCCACATCCTCCCAAGGGAGTTGTTTGCGAACCTTTCTCATTTGCTGACAAACACAGGCCACCAGTGGAGATGACAAAGCATATCCCATGCCAAAGGCGTATGGCGGATAGAACTTGGCAGAGTATTCTTCATGGCTAATGTAAAAGCGAGAGGATGTGTTGCGGTCGGGTTCCGTCTTGACGGATGGTTCGCCGTAAAATGCAATCGCTTCACCTGTCGTTGGGTCTTTTCCCGAGAGCTCGAACCGCAGTTGGGTAGTATTGACATACGAATCATCGTCAGTCTTGAAGAGAAAGTCGTAGCAAGTGGTTGATGTTTCCCAATCATCTTTTTTGCAGTTCTCATTGTACAAATGATGAAAAAAGTGAAGAATCAGCATGGTCTTGCGAGTCAATCCGGATCGATAATCTTCCGGAGCATCGACAAAGACGATGTCGTGAAAAGTTCGGAGCTCGAGATTGATTTCAGATGTATAAGTTTCCCCGCCCAAGACAAAGAACAACGCTTCTTCCTTGCCCCAAGAAGCCCTAATTGCCTGTCTCGCGGCAACGTTGTTGGGAGCGGACAAAATTCCAAACACAATGCTTGGCTCGGATTTTAGATTGGAGCCTCGGCTCAACGGCAGTTTGGACGAGTACCGGTAATCAAATGTTTGATTGTGGATTGTAAGGTCAAAAGTTCCAAAACTTAACTCCTTTTTTTTGCCGTTGCTAGACGGAAGGTCATTGCTGATTGGTAGGAGGGACGATGATGATTCATGATTATGATGATGCTGCTGCACGAACAGTTTGAATGTAGAACCGATGAAAAGGCAGAATAAAAGTAGAAGAAGCAGCCCAAATTTTCTTCTGAATATCTTCATGAAGAGAAACTGATGAGTGAATGACAGTTGGACATGACGGAGTTCAGTGGTAGATCATTATATTAATCGTACAGTAGGTGTTGAAATATAATGTCCACTCTTCCTACTTTTGTTACATATGGGGGATGGAGTTGTCGATTGCTTCGACTCCTCATGTATGTCGGCGCATCGACAACAACTTTTGACGGTCGAAGGCCGTTCGGCCTTTGTCCGTCTGTAACACAATGTAGTCAAAGTGATCGAACAGTGTGCCTGCGGTCTACGTTGGAATATTCAATATACCCGAATATTATGCGTCAGATACATGTAGTGATTGCAGCGGTTCCAGATTCCATAGGTGCAACGTGCAAAACCAATAATAATCCTGTACGTACAGGTGAGACGAGTATTGGTGAGAGAGAGACAAGAGAGCAATACCAAACAACAGCCCTTCTCGCAGCTTACACACACACACACACACACACACACAAGGCATCGTCTTCTCATGGATGTCGAGCAACACTTTGACGATGACGAAAAAGTGCAAGAGGTGGATGATACCACCACCGATGATGATGATGATGATGACGATCATGCCGTTCACGACTTGGGCGCATCAGCATCCAATAGTGATTTTGATGACGAGCAGGAATATGGTGATGAGTACGGGGACGAGATCGGTGATGATCAAAAGGAAATAGAGTTTGGCGATGAGTACGGGGACGAGTTGGGTGATGAGGAGGACGATGCCGAGTACGGCGACGAATATGGAGACGATGAGTTTGGTGATGAGTATGGGGATGAATACGGTGATGAAGATGGCGAGGAGCCAAGCGATGACGATGTCATCCCGTTACCGGTTGGTGAAACATCTGAATTTGATAATTCGACTGCCAATCCCAGTTCAATACCAGCTGAGCAAATAGAATCATCGTCTGATGTTCCGTTGCTGAATGATGACAAACCACACGACGCGATTCCTAGTGAAGGTTGTTCATCTATGGATAAGGATGCTGAAAACGACTTGACACCAACCTCTCGAATGCAAGAAGAGAGTCAAACAATGATACCACCACCGCCTGTTGATACCACAGATGCGTCCCAACCACCAAAGGAAGATATCCATGTGCCATCGAACAACGGTTCATCCAATTTGTCACTGGCCGAGATGATTGCTGCGAGAAAAAATTCGAATGCACCCTCTCCAGTGAAAGATGAAGAGACCGAAACAACGATACCGCCACCGTCTGTCGATACCGCAGATGCATACCAACCACCCACGCAAGATACTCATGTGCCATCGAGCAACGGAACATCAAATTTGTCACTGGCGGAAATGATTGCTGCGAGAGAAAGTTCTGATAGTAGGAAGGAATCGCCCACTCTATCACTAGCAGAGATGATTGCCGCAAGATCACGAACAGAGAAAGCTACCGAGAGTCGAATGAATGTTGTAACGCCAACAAAGACACCAGTTCAATCCCAGTCCAATCCCCTGTCAAGGCTGAAAGACGACGCGAACGAGAATGACTCATCCAGTCTGTCGCTAGCACAAATGATTGCTTTAAGATCATCTGGCAAGAAAGTCGACCAAGCTCAAAAGCCACAAGCTTCAGCCTCGCCATCCATTTTGCACCTCATACCTCCGCCAAAAGACAAAGAAACGTTAGGTAGCTCGGATCAACAGGACTCATCGAGCATGTCACTAGCCGAAATGATTGCGGCAAGATCTCAAAACGGTACTGCTACTAAAGAACCCACCCCACTAAATGGGAAGCAGTTTTCCGAACCCATGGGAAGAAAGCAATCCCATGTGTACAAGAACCGATCCAACGTAATACAACAACAACAACAAGAACGACGACGGAAGCCAACTCGAAAGCCTACAAATGGAACCAAACGGCCACCGACAACTTCATCCAAGCCAGTGGAAAAGCCTCGACCAACGGCCAAAGCTGCTCCAGCTTCACCACCACCACAAATTCCGTGCACCATTCATCGGCGCCAAAATGCTAGCTTCAGACAGAAGCATCATGTGCCTTGGAGAAAGTTTGAGGCACGACGTCGAATTGAGATGAGATATCGACGCAAAATAGTCGAGCAGGAATGGGAAGGGGCCGCCGATATATTGCACCAAGGGATTGCAAGTACCAAACTGGCGGAGCGCATTATTGTGGGTTTTGTCAAGGCCAGCCAACAGCTGGCGTCTGACTTCAAAGCAACCTCGGAGGACTCCGTTTTCAACGACAGTGGAAAGGTTGTCCAGAGTAGCTTTACCCAGCGGCGACTATCTAAAATTAGAGATTCGTCCAATGATATCACGGGCATCTTTGGCTCGTCATCTCCTATTTTGGCTGCCTGTTTGGAATGCTACGGTATCCTTGCGGAGCAAGCGGAAACACTGGAGGAGGTGTCTCGCCAGATTTCGGCGGAATATTTTCCCAGGTTGAGAGAGATGCTTGCCGACCTGGAAAAAGCCAAAACCGAATCAGAATCCAAAGTGAAGCGTGTCGTTGAAGAATTTGATAGATATGAAAACAACACAGCGTCTTCCTGGGGTAAGTACATCTACTGTCGAATAGCTATTTCCTCCTCCACATGAAGTCTAATAGTTTGCAGCTATTTTAGATTCGTTCGAGTCGCTCCAACCGTACAGCCCGGAGCAGAAGCAAAGGGTGGAATCACCCAGGAACATAACGCAATCTGATGGATGGTTCATACAACAATCGTACTGCCATGCCGTTTTACTACAACGAGGCTATCTACTGGAACTGAAGGCGAAGATGGATGGTGTTTGCAATCGAGTGGTAACTCTGGAAAATTATCGACTCGGAGAAGTCCGGTCGATTCTGCTAGATGGTTTCTACAACAAACAACTCGAACTGTTTCAGCAGCTTCCTCTCTTTGAGAACGAAATGGTTAAGAACATGACCGACGCAAGAATTGACGAGGAATCTTTGGAAGAGATTCTTCATGATCGATCCAAAACAAGGCTCAAGTATTCACAGTCACACCGTTCATCCATTCTGAACCGGTCTTCCTTGAAAATTTCCGAGAAACTCGAATCGGATACCGTTCCTTCCATAGAAAGTGAATTTGGGAGTCCACTTGAGAGTTCTGCCGTTCTCTTGGCTACAGTTGTGGAGTTGCAAAGATCTGGTACTACCCTTAGCACTTTTGTATCTGTTTCGTGGAAGCGGACGCTGGCCGTGGTACTCGATACTGAAATCGTTTGCTTTCTGGAGCTACCCAGAGGCCAAGGCCAAACTGAAAAAGAGAGCGTGGAGGATGCGTTCCACTCACTGTGTCCCTACTTTCAACTTGATACTAACACTCAACGCAAGAGACAGGACCTCCTTGACAACTTGAGTCCATTCCTAACCTGGCAGCTGTCCAAGTGTAGCGTGGATATATCCAACATTCAAGACAAGACTGTAGAAGTTACTGAAGCCGGACGTCGAAGGTCATCATCAAACCTCCTCCTTCCTCTGGTGAAAAGAGGAGAAGATGGGGACGACAACGAAACCGATGATGGAAGTTTCAAGGAAGTAGAAACGAAATATGCTTTGCGCTTTTTTTCAGCCGCCGATGCATCGAAATGGCTTGGAGCATTCGAGAAAACAAAAGGGAAGCTACATATTGCTAGCGATGAATCCATTAGTGCATCCTCTTCCATATCGATTGGGACCTCTGGTGACAAGACGTTTGGAACGTTTGAGGGTGAGGGCGGTGAGGATGATGATTCAAATGGTACACAAGATGGCAGTACTGCATCCAAATCGATTGGCGCAAGAGACGAGAACGGTGACGAGACACTCAATGGCGAAGATGGGAAGCTGTCTAGCGTGAGTCTGTGTGATTGATCTAAAAGTATCACTAGATTGAACTTTGGCATCGCAAAATAATTGGCCCACCAAGCATCTTTCTAGCGTACACGTACTATCCAAATAATGTCCAGATATTGTTCAATGTACTGGGATATGTTCCGGATCCTAAAGTGCTGGAAAGTAACGCAAACCAATATTGAATACAGCATTGCCAGCCAGTACCTGGTACCCTGGTATTGCCAGCCAAGCCTATCTTGGAATCGATTGATTACTATGACTACAGTACTGTTCGGAATTTCAGTCCAAGATGATGCCATCCAAATAATTTAAAATTGTAATAGGGTGGAATTAGAGTGAGTTGAAAGCTGTGAACTTAGAATTACGTTCTCGGGTTTTCTTCTAAAGCTGAGACGCATTCATTTTGCCACATAGGCCTACCGGTATTACAGTGCCTAACGCTAACTACACAGTATCGTTCATGTCAACGTATGCGAAAAAGTGAAAACCCTACATTGCGTCTGCCCATCTCCCCGCCAAAAGTTCCTGGACAAATCTCGTCTGCCAATCTCAAATCCTTCATTCTGTTTTCCATAAATGCGATGCGACATCACCCAAGATAGTCTGTATTGAAAGATATTAAAAGAAACCTAACAACATACTGCCTTCCGATTCCGTATTATAAGGTGTCGAGGGGTTAATGAGTAATCAGGACGAGAATGTCGATCTGGTCGAGTCGTCCGGTGCAGCTGAGGTTCAAGAATGTGATAAAACTACGGACATCGAAGTGATGCCGCAGCATCTGGAAGCGTCAGAGTCATCGAAACGCCAGAGCAAGACTACAAAAAGGGAGACTGGAACAGCAAAGAAGACAATAAATCGACGGAAAGCTGCCAACATATCGTCAGATCCACCTGGAAGAATATCCAGCAAGAAAGGAAGTAGAACAGCAAATAAAGGAGGGAACTACCGAGCCCTGAAAGTCACTTGTCCGCCACCTGGATCAGACTCGACCCGACGCGTCCAAGGCCACGATGAATTGATGCGATTGGAGTCTCGGCGTCGTTTGGAGATTGCACAGCAGATGGAAATGTATCAGGATCGTTGGCATGTTGCCAAAGATATCCTCGATTTTGCATCTGAAAGTGTTGGCAGTGCTGAAAGACTCATCAATGGCTTTATCAAAGCCAGTGAAGCCTTTGCGTCAAATTTAAGAGCGATATCGGAAGACAAATACATTGATACAAAGGGAGAAGTGGCAGATACGTGGAAGGCTCAGAATCGACTGACGAAACAGCGAGACTTTTCCGATACGATTGATATTCTTAGTCCCATTTCTTCCGCCATTTTGGAGTCTCAGTCCGCAATGGCGAAACAAGCAAAGGCCATGGAGAATGTTTGCAATCAAATATCTAGTAATGTCTTGGCGGAACTGCAAGAATTGACGTCAACTGTGCAGGGTGGGGCGAGGACACTAAAGATTCATGGGGGAGCTATATTGGCAGAAATGAAGCAAGCTGATAATGATGTCACAACAATATGGGGTAAGTTGTGCTTGCTGCTGCTAGTATTGTAGTACTGTATGCCGAATGCTTCGTCTGATGCTCACCATTACGCTTTGTCAGATATCTTCGATGGTCTCGTTTCCAATGATTTGATCGAGCAGAGTACGCATGGCGGCAGTATGCACGGAGCTAGTGTGCATGGGACAAAGGTGTTCAATGATTTCATGGACATGATCGACAAGAGCACGCACGGGGCGAGCATGCATGGGGGTGTGGCTGTATCCAGTATACGAGGTGGAAGCATGCATGGTGGGGAGATTTTGCGACGAGGAAACCAAGGGAAAAAGGCAATGCTGAAACGAATGGGTGGGGGGAAAGATTGTTGGCTGGTAGCCCAATTTTACAAGGTAGCAGTACAGCACCAGGTGTTGGCCATGGCTGCGACACGGGAGAAAATGGACAATCTTGTCGACAAGATTATTGCCCTCGAAGAGAAACGGGTCTCTGGTCTTCACACACTTCTTGCCACTGGGTTTCTTCAACGGAAAAAGGCCCTCTTCGCGACATTTCCAAAGTTCAACGAGATTGCCTTAAAGGACCTCGAAGGCGCCGATATTAGCGAGGAGTCATTGGACGCATTTTTCGACAACCGATCACTTGAACGGCTGAAGCATTCGAAGTCACATCGCTCTTCGATAATGAATCGACGTTCTGTGCTAACTGGTTTTACTGGACCTCTTGAAATAGAAAACACCATTGAAGAGTTTGGGGACCCCTTTGACGATCTTAGTCAGATCCTTTCCTCAAAGGTGGTCGAACTGAAGAAACCTGGTGCTCTTTACATGATGGACGCTGAGTGGACTATGGCGTTGGTGATTGTCTCCAAATTCGGCATATTTCATGTAATCCAGGCTCCGATAGGGAAGAGCATCACAGAGGAAACATCGTCAGTTCAGGCGTTCCAATCCTTACGGCCAGACATGGACTTTGGCTCTCCTAACGCTTGGAAGGCGAGAAGTGAACTCAGGTTGCTTGAGACACTGACGCCGGTTGTGTCTTTGGATGTCACCCAATGCATTTTCCAAAATTCCACTTTGCAAAGGCGTGAAGTTCAGGTTTTGGTGACGGGAGAGCAGACCACAAGGAACAAGTTGTTTGGAACCAGTGGCACAGTCAAGTGTACCCTTCGTTTGAAGTCGCCAATGGTTGCAAAGGCATTTACGGAAGCACTCAAGTCGATGAAGAAATCCATCCTTTCCCCTAACAAAGCCAAGGCTGAACCAACGAAGAAATAGAATGGCACATTGTTGGTTCATGCTAAAGTATAATTTCAAACTGAACTTCATTTTTGTCATTGGTTTCGTAACGCGTAACGTTCACAAACGGTTCCGTGGTGACGCGTCCATTTTCAATTTTGTAAAGGTGCGCGAAATATGATCGCTGAACATGAGAAGTCGTCAGCTCAAATTATATAAAATATAGAATTCTCTTTTCTCTTTGACATCTGCCTTTCATTCAAACAGTGAATTGCCATGAGGACCCTTCGGCATTCCATCAAGAAATCAACCCCAAGAAGAGCCGTATCAAGTGCTGGTGGAGCATTCCGGCGATTGCTGACCCCAGTGTCGGCGCAACAACCGATCACCGTAACTGAAGAGAAGCGCAATTCGAACTGTCGATTTTCCACAACACCAAACCTTAAGGGAATTCAGAGACTACTCCAATACACTCCACCTCCCCAAGTCATTCCTGCGACTCCAGCTGAACGCTCCAAGGTTTCTTCTGCAAGCAAGCTACGAAGCAGGCACTTCAAGCGTATTCGTGCCAACAAGCACCGCCAACGAACAAGAATTCTTATCAGTGCAAGCCTCGCATTTCTGTACTACTGCAAGTCGGGAGACCAAACCTCAATACCAAACAAAGTCAATTCTAGATTGTCCATAAGAGGCAGTTTGCATCTTCTCGCAAAAGCACCTAGCATACTTGAAAGTCCGTCGACGACCTATGAAAAATTCCTCTCGCTGAAACGCAAAACAGGCTATAACAAGGTTTCACTTGGGGAGAGGTCATCCAAGCGACTGCGAGTGGAGGGAATAGCACTCAGAGAAGGACTTACAGAAGCATCCGAACGCCTTCAAAGTGTGCCACCATATCCAACAGCTGTGACACAAACGAAACCTAATTTCACCAATTGGCAGAATGTCATTACCGAGGCTTCTGAACGACTTCAAAGCGTGCCGCCGTACCCAACTCCATTGAGCATCAACCTACCTGTTGCTGTGACACAAAGTGTTAAGAACTTTGCTGAACGATTCCCTGTTATAGCTGCAGCTATGAAGCAGAATGTCAAGAACTTTAGTGACGAAGTCACCGAGAAAGTGCACGTTGCGGCTGTGGGGCAATTCAACACCATTTCCGAAGGTGTATCCGTCAGGGTTGCTGCCATGAAGAAGAATGTTAAGAACCTCACGATGATATTGCCGGTTGCTGAAACGCGGCAATTCCTAAAAAAGTGGACTCGGCTTCCGCTTCCAGCTTACTCCCATCCTCTCCTTCAGCAAAAGCAGAAACAAGAAAAACGCCGTGTTTAAAAGAGCGTCAAGACAAGATGCAATGAAACCTTTCCACGAAAAAACCGGGATGATTCAGACAAGGGAAAAGCAGCAACAAGTGGAGGAGGGATACGAAGCTGGTTGCTGCGCTTCACCTTCTTGCATGTTGACAAGATGCAATGAAACCTTTCCACGAAAAAAACGGGATGATTCAGACAAGGGAAAAGCAGCAACAAGTGGAGGGGGGATACGAAGCTGGTTGCTGCGCTTCACCTTCTTGCATGTGGGTGTAATGAATGCAGTGCAGTATTGTGAAAATGGCTATGGTTTCGTGAATGTAAGGTAGGGGGTTGCATCTTGTGTGCATATTAATTCTATTAGCTTTCTATTTGTTCTTTCTGTTGCCCCTGGATAAGAGTCCACATTTACACGTTAGCTAGGCAGCTGCTGCCGGGAGTGCTGAAGTGTCATACCATCCCAAGGCATTGTGGATCATGCCCTCCAGGTATTTAGCACAAACTGGTGACACCATCCAAATTGCAAGCAGGCGGCTGAAACATTCGGATGCCCGATCGTGATTCTTGCATGCCCTGTGAATCAGACCCACATTGTTTAGCACAATCATGGATAGCAGACCATTGCTACCGTTTAGCATCATCACCAGTCGATAAATTGACATGGCGTTGCGAAGGCACGAGTCCCTGAGTCTCGAATCCGCCTTTGTTGCATTTGCCTTTAATTGCAATGCCAATGCAAGATTGAAGATTTGAATCGAGGAAACAACATGAGTAGCAATGTGCCTTTCCAACGAAACCCTTTGTGGGATAAAGACAGCTTGATCATACAGAAAGCCTGCTTCATCATTGCTGCCATCTCCTCTGTCTAGTAGACTAGTAGTAGCGCTCTGCAAAATCAGGTGATGTATCGCTGTCGCGCACGGTTCAGAATGAACGTTGTCATTTGCCGCATGAGACCTCAGTTCCTTCTGAAACTGCCTCATGGAAGCTTTCAGCATGCATATCGCCTCGTTGTATCTGGCTGATCCTATCATTGACACAGCAGCGTTGTTTTGGTTGATGGCAGTCCTGATCCTAATCGTACTCATCTTTGACATTTTTTCAAGTTGCCCACTTTTGAGAATTGTGGGTACAATAATCCTTTCTGCTCGAATTTTACCGTTGTCTATGCAGGATGAATGTCAAGCACTATAATGTGTTAACGCTATTAGCCTTCCCAACCCGAAAACGATTTTATAGGCCCTTCTGCAGCGATTTGTTAGTGTTCACGGGATTGTTATTTCACTATGGCGATGATCAAGAACAATACGGACGCCCCATAAAAAAGGTACCAAACGTTGCGTTAAGTCACCGCTTCGCATAACAGCACTTCCCGAAACTGAATCACCTCAAGCATTTGTGATCCACGTTTTGGAAATAATGAAAGGAGAGTTTTCTGAGTAATTTTGGCGTTTCTAGAGGAGGCGTACATTTATCGTGGCGGCTTTTCGGTGTCGAAAAATCTGAATGCGAAAATGACTACTTCTTGTTTTATACACGTTTTCCAGTTCTCGTAGACTTGCGCCTCTCTAAACGTTGAAGAAGCCGAGCCTTTTCCACAAACGAGGTAGAGAAAAGTCAGAATGCACGAATGACTTCACAAAACGCACGCCGCCACCCAATAAGTATGGACTAAGTAATGTCGATTCATTCGTTCTAGTCAAGTGTGGTCACGCATTTTTCCACGTACGTCATGTATTTGATTTTTGAGCGGCACGTACAGTACGGTACGTGGTACCATACCGGTACTGTACTGTAACGTCTTGCTCATTCATCGACAACCAAACGTCAAGCGGGTATGTATGCTGGCAACCATCAGTCTGTTTCATTCTCAAGAAAAGTTGCTGTAGGCATCAAAATCATCACCAAGACAAGATGGAGCCACCCTACCCGACGTGGTCAGCAAAGTCATGCAGAATCATCGAATCGATGCCATAGCTTCATCGTCTTTCTTTTTGTCAATCTCCTGCTACTCTTAATGGCAAACGAGGAATATTCCTGCTTCTGTCAAGCGTTTAGTCCATCGGGATCACGAATATCTCTAAGATCCCTGCCCCCAAAAAAACCATTTCATGAGGAAGCAACAATTAGACGGGAATCTGCGAAATCTCGAGTGGATGATTGGTCTGAAGTATCTTATTTGTCATCCAGAAATTCAGGCGCTGACGCCTTAAGGCACAGCATTCAGTCGACATTGTCAGAGATTGAGTCGTTTTCCAGAAACAATGGCGTTACTTTTGTTAGTCATGAAGATTCTATTCTCAACGATATTCATCAACAACAAATAGTTGATGCCCAGACAATGGCATCGACACTGCCGCCTGAGGATGATCATGAGGCAAGGCTATCATCCACAACCACCAACCAAGACAGTAGTAGTATACCATCATATCAGTGGCTACATACGGAACGGGCACATAAACCGTTGGCGATACAAACCAAACAGCCAATTTTAGATGATACGACAATCGCTTGGATCCGAGGACAAGCCCATTCCATCTGGAACGACGCATCGAAAACGGTCGAATCTCGTTTTACCTACCAACGCAAGGGGAATTATGAAGTACACCTGTCGGACTTGATAGAGCAAGGATCAAACGTAAATGCAAGACGAGAAATCCGTCAAGCCCTTCAGCAAAAAATATATCCTCTGGTTCGCGAAGCCTTTGGTACTTCGCTCGCCGATGATCCTTGTAGTTTGCAGTTTTGTGTGTACGATGCCATTGTCATTCGATACAACGCTACCGAAGCTGGACTGTGTGAGAATACAATAGAATCCGTGACTTTCGAAACTAAACTGGGAGCAGGTCAGCCTCTTCATCGTGATCTGGGCCTCGTGTCAGTTAATGTCATGCTGAATAGTCCAAATGAATTTGAAGGTGGTGGAACCTTTATGGAAGATCAACTACAAGATCTGCTGTGGGAATCGTCTACTCGGAAGGATGAAGAAGTAGACCAAAATTCATTACCACTTCCGCTGAAACCAATGGGCGGTCCAGGGCATGCACTGTTGCACCTTTCCAGTGACCGTCATGCTGGAGCCAGTACCCGACGTGGAGTTCGAGACATCTTGGTCTTCTTTCTGACAGCTTCAAAGACGGCAACAGATCTCGACAAGGACCAGTATTCCACGCCCTTGCTGGAACAAGCGGCGCGTTTGAAGTCTACAGCTCGAGCCCAGTGTGAAAAATGTTTGGTCAAGTCTATTAGTTTTGACGAGTCATGCAAGAGTGCGATTTGGCAACCATTGGCATCGGCCATTTGTCGAGCCAAGTATCAGCATTTGGCCATCCAAGCAATTCCCACCGATGGGGAAGCCTGGCAATATTTGGGCATGGCACTATGCGACATTCAGCAAACACTTGGCATGTTCATCATGGCAAAGGAACAAAGTGGTCTGGAGTTGGTATCAGGCTTGGATGTAGTGCTCGAATATCAGCAACGACTTGTGCAGCTGTCAATTTCGATATTGGAAATGGCGAAACAGTTTACGCCGTGCGATGCTCGAGTTTGGCACAACCTTGCTTGGGTACTGGATCAGACTACTGGCTTGACCAACAAACCGGAAATTGACCACGAAATACAGTCAAACTATTCTCGAGCAATGGAACTGCACCAAGCCTTTCAACAAGCAGGCTGCGACGTCGGTATTGACTATGATTCTACCATTCTAAACTATGGTCTCTATCTTGCTAATGAAGACCACTTTTCCAAAGCTGTGAAAGTCTTGGAACTGATACGACCGTCTGCGCTTCAAGTCCAACAACAGATGATGGAACAAAAATCCCAAACACAACAGGAGCAAAAGCTCCAACAAAGGTTCGGACTGATACAGGACGCCCAACGGTTACTTTCATATTGCCAACGGCAGCTATCATAAAATAATTCTTGGTGTATATAGTGCTCTTTACTGAGCACCCATTGGGGAAACGACAAATGAAAGAAAATAGGCCTATGCTTATTATTTTATACATTCTAAATCCCCAAATTACCAATTTTCCAATGCAGGCCGGACTTCTGTTTCAAAACTCCAGCAAGTCTTTGGCTGTTGGGCCACTGCCCAATAGGTTTCAGCAATCGCATTGGGATCAATTTTCTTTGGATCACTATCATCTTTCCCAATTTGTCCATCAATAATAAAGAGTCCTACATGAACTCCTTTGGGATGCAAGTCTCGAGCCAATGACTGTGCCAACAGTCGTTGGGCCCCTTTGGGAGGTGCAAATCCAACAGTAAAAGGTTTGCCTCTCATGGAAGCCGTTGCTCCTGTTACTAGAATGGCACCTTCTCCTTGCTCAATCATTTTGGGAGCTACCAGTTGGGTCAGTTGGAGCAAACCATGAACATTCGTCTTCATGGCCATGTCGAATGCATCTAGGTCAAGTTTATCCCAGGTCTTCCAGACTCCATTACCAGCATTGTACACCACAGTATGGATATTTCCCAAGTCTTTTTCAATGGACGCGACAGCGGACTTGACACTGGCAGGATCTGTCACATCACAGGCGAAACCTTTGGTATTAGGAATGGTAGATTCAGCTGCTTGGACTTTCTCGAGGCTTCGAGATAGTATGGCAACCTAGGAAAATAATTGACTTGTGTAAGTAAAATGACATGGCGTGAAAATTGACAACCCTGCCGCTGAGTGATGACTGAGGCTCCTCGTATGAAAGAAGAATGCACGTGCATTTTCGAACATCTTGACGAGACATCTCATGAAATCGTAAGTCGTTTCTCTCTTCTTGCTTACCTGAAAGCCTTGAGACGACCACTTTCGAGCGGCGGCAGCTCCCAATCCAGGACCGTATCCAAAGACGGCGCAAACTTTGGATGCCATGATGTCAAAGAAACGGGTTTGTTTTGCGAAGCAGCCGTGGAGACGATATTTCCTCTTTTCTCGTAATGGGTGATGCAAAAAGAATCTTCTGGATTGACGCCTTCTATTCGTGAATTCACGCTCCGGTGTCAATAAACGCGGGTTTGTTGCAAAAGCGGGTGTGGAGACGATATTTCCTCTTTTGGGTGATGGGTGATGGGTAATGTAAAAAGGATCTTCTCACACTGACTTCTCGTGATTCATCAGACTTACTGAAGGATATATCATTACCGCGCATTTCCGCACGAAACGTATATCAAAATCATATACTTTTCCGCAATACCTGGAAATCATCTACCATACGATTACTAGTGAAATTTTAGTTCCCGCATGGTATTGCGGAAAAGTATATCGGCACTCCGGGTTACGAATACACGATGCGAATTCAAGTTGGGACTCATTTTGTTACGTAGAAATCGTACTAATTTGAACGTAGACCAGAATACTGGTCTGGTTTCAGATACCGCACGGTATATATTCAAATATGTACGAAAACATCAAACATCAATATCGATGGAACGAACAAATGAAACGAAACGAGACACGAGAAACCAAGATATTTATGTAAATGTAATACCTCTGGCCTCGCTGTGGATTTTCTCAATAATGGCTCACTGCAAAACCTGTACCAGGCAAGGGTTGGTGGCATCGCTTTTGTCAACCCATCATCTATCAACGGAACACGCTGCATGGACGGGGATACCACAAAACTTGCAACAAAACTTGCAACGGTGCGCTCCAGGTCCTTCTTTTGCACAAGACTCGGCTTCGCATCCAGCACATGCACATTTGCCCACTTTTGCTGGCGTTGTGCAAGGTTGAAATCCTCTTGTTTTGTTGCCAAACATATCAATCAGCCGTGGACGGAAATGGGCTTTGATTTCCACCACATTATTGGGGACACGATAACTTGCTACTTGATCCTCTTTGTGTTGGCGTCTGTTGAGTTCTTGTTGATATTATCATGGCCATGATGAAGACAAAGGACCGTCAGGAGCATTATTTTGGCTCTCTTTTGTGAAGAACATGCTGTATGGCATTCCTTCTTCATCTCCAGTTTCGACAACACTTCTTCATCCCGTGACTCAACAATCAACACTGTTCTGTGATGGCTGGTCCATGAGGCTATCGATGCTTTGATTTGATACCGGTCGTTGTTTTGCTTGGATGTCTGTGTTCTCTGCTGAGAAGATCACTGCCAGATGGCCGATATCGTTGTCAAACCGATGACAGTCTGTTTGCAACCTTGCCTTTTGCAGCGAACCATTGGGTCCAGCAGAGATACAAAAAACTTCTGGTTTAAATCCAAAATTGGATTGAGCCCAGAACACTAGTGGCGGCTTCTGTCACGACGAAAAGCAGGGATGTGGTGGAGTGGCGATACCGTTGTTCAAGTTTCGCTCCTAGAACGCATGACTTCATAGCCGAAGGTCTCCATAGTATAATATAACACCCCAGTATAATATAAGATATTAGTTGACTGTGAATCGTTTATTTGTATGTTTTTTTTCTTGGCACTTCTTCCCCTAGAATCAACCAGACATATTCTCTCCTAAGTATCGGGTCGGCGGCCATTTTGGTATCTATTGGAATACTACGTGTCAATTAATTGAGAAGGGCACATGCACTAGTACCTCACATCCAAACAACGAAGTATAGAAAAATATAACAATCATTTCTACTAAACTTTTTAAGGTCTTCCCCCCAAGATATGACAGGGAATTGTTACTTCATCTCCTCCTTGACCAAAATGGTTGGAGTATTTTCAATTTCGTCTCATTGTCGGGGCAAGAGTTAGAGGATGCACGATGTAGACCCCCTTGCAAGACTGATCACCTCTTTTGGGAAGGTAACACTTCTTCTTGAAGTACTACTACTATAGAGTAGTACTAGCTAGCCTAGTACTAGGCAGTGCTGGGCGTCGAAGATATGCCCCATGGTCCAATCACCACGATTCACAGTAGCTGACACATCGTGTTTCCTCCAGAGAATGCATGCCCCCCAGCTGGCTGGGGCGTTCCCTCTTTTCTCTCTTTGCGTGTCCTTGATGTGTTCTTGGAGTGAAATATGCCATGATATTTAAAAAATTGTGCCATGAAGCATCAAACGATATCCTGTGCTTCTATCCACGATAAGCTATGTTTATATGGTGATGGGACGTACAGACGTTACCGTATATCAGACGATATACGTTTCAGCTGGTCACTACAGTCTTCGATTCAGATCACAGATGACTGTCTGGCTGACGTCCGTTCAGGCTCGCGTTGTCTGTCCGACGTCCGATCGGTCCTGCTCATTTGCTGGCGGCTGAAGAAGGATGCGGGACCGCCCGGCGGTCCCGCATCCTTGGTCCTGGACCGGTGATCGGTACTCTGATCACAAACGATTTATTGGAAATCTTCACTACAAAGTCGAATTTGTTGTTGGTAGTTGGCACTGTGTCTAAAAATGAATTTATAGATCAGAAACGATTTGGAAACCAGGGATCCATTCCTGCTCCCTGCTTCTGAAGCTTCAGAGCTTTTCATGTAGGTATACTGCAGCCGTACCATGCTGTACTTCATCCTGCAAAGACCACGGTACAATTCGGGCAGAAAAGAAAATATTGTACTCACAATTCTCAAAAAGTGTGCAACTTGAAAAAATAGAAAAGATGAGTACGATTAGGATCAGGACTGCCATCAACCAAAACAACGCTGCTGCTTCAATGATAGACACAGCCAGATACAACGAGGCAATATGCATGCTGAAAGCATCTTTGAAGCGGTTTCAGAAGGAACTGAGGTCTCATGCGGCACATGACAACGTTCATTCTGAACCGTGCGCGACAGCGATACATCACCTGATCTTGCAGAGCACTACTACTAGTCTACTAGATAGAAGAGAGGACAGCAATGATGATGCAGGATTTCTATATGATCGAGCTGTCTTTATCCCACAAAGGGTTTCGTTGGAAAGGCACATTGCTACTCATGTTGTTTCCTCGATTCAAATCTTCAATCTCGCGCTGGCATTGCAATTAAAGGCAAATGCAACAAATGTGGATTCGAGACTCAGGGACTCGTACCTCAGAAAATCCATGTCAATTTATCAACTGGTGATGATGCTAAACGGTAAAAATAGTCTGCTGTCCATGATTGTGCTGAACAATGTGGGTCTGATTCACAGGGCATGCAAGCATCACGATCGGGCATCCGAATGTTTCAACCGCCTGCTTGCAATTTGGATAGTGTCACCAGGTTGGGCCAACTACTTGGAAGGCATGGTCCACAATGCCTTGGGATGGTATGACACTGTAGCATTCCCAGCAGCTGCGGCCTAGCTAACGCGCCCCTTTTTGACTCAGTCCATCGAGAAACACAAAAACAATACATAGAAACCTAATAGAATTTGAATATGAATGTATAAGATCCACCCAAGGTGGAGCGCAACCCAGCTTCATAGCCCCCTAGCTGTTGTCACTATTGTACTTTTTATACTTAAAGGTACTGTATATTATAAATACATCTGGATTCTAAACAAGCAAGATTCTTTCCAAATCAGTCAGATTCAACACGAACCTTGTACTCCGAAAACGTTTCCCGAAGCGTCATTACACTCTTAGCATCACGGCCTGCTGGGATGATGACTCGGATGATGTCTTCACTTGCGAAATAGTAGAAGGCGTTCTCTTTAGTGCAGTTGATGTAGTCGAAGCTGCTGGAGAAGGTGTTCCTCCTGCTTTTACCAACTGAGTTTGCTGTTTCTGCTGATGCCGTCCTTTCATTCCCTCCAAAAGCTTGTTTGGCCCTGGACCATTTCCCAAGGCTTGGTGAATTATTCCCGCCATTTGAATTTCCAACAAATGCATCGAATCCTTGGCCCGGGCCATCTCCGCTTCAATCTTCTCCTTACCCGCATCCTTGGCCATGGTCTTGGCCATTACCTTGTGCTCCAACAGCGCCACGTTCCCAGCCGCCTGGACCAAATTATCCGCCGTTTCACTCGCATCCAATACGACTCGACCAGCGTCCGAACCGTACTTGTGTTCGACTATATCAGCAGCCACGGATCCCGTCTTTCGTACCAAACCTCGACTGAGTTCCACCATGGCTTCCCCGACCAAGGCCGTAGCGCCCAGTGTTGCCATGCCAACCTTTCCCACCACCTTGAGAGCCTCGGCGGATTCGGGCGACAATTGTTCATGAAAGGTGGATCGGCGATTTCCCTTGTTGTCCAACTTTTCCACCACTATTCCCAATCCCTTGGAGGAGGCATCTCGGGCAGTTTGCACCAACCACACGGTCGAATCCTTGACTTCAATGGATGCCCTCTTGGCCGCACTGGACAAGGCTCTGGCGACATAGGCATGATTCTGATCGACATTAATAGGATATTGCCCAGGCTTGACCCAGGTTTTCAATACAACACATGCCTTGTCCAACTGGCCCTCAATCAATCGGCCGGATTGAATCATGCCTTCTTCCATCAGCTTGGCACTGGCGGAAATCAAGACGGCCGCCGTGTCCCCTCGTTGGGCCATTTTGGCAATGTGTGCCTCTTCTTGTTGACTGAACCGCAAACAGACAGCTCGCAATTCCAGCAACAAATTCATTTCAGAGTGGTCCATGAACTCCCATTCCATTTGGGGCGTAATCAAAAAGTCCAAGGTCCCTTCAATCACAGGATCGCAATGTTGCCATCCCGCCACTGGAGGCGACAAGCATTGCATCAATGTTTTCAGCGTAATCAGCTTCAAACTGCGGGCTTTGCGTTTACTGGACCAATAGAGTGCCCAGGGACAGAGGTGATCCCAGTAACACTCTTCGGAAAAGCTGGGACTCGAGGCCAAATACGCCAACGATTCCAGCAACTGTGGAGATTTTATATCGTGGTCGTGATATAATTTGTAAAAGTATAAAAGCTGTTCGTCATGGAGATATTTCATCAAAATTGGCTTGAGACAGACTTCCCAGTTTTGAAGCTTGGTGCGGTGAGAGAGTGGAATCCGTCGCCGCGGTAGTTCATATTCATCTTGTTGTTGTTGTTGCGTTGTATTATATGTATAAGAAGACTCTTGTTGTATTAGGTGAAGCGCCTGATGTTGTTCCAGCTGTTGCGCATCCGATGAATGCTGTTGTTCTTGTTCATCGCCGCTACCACCACCAACGGCATAGAACGACAACGAAGATGAGGATGAATTCAGCAACCCTATCGGAGTCGAAGAGAAGGATGACGATATCGACGAAGCTACAGAAGTTGCTGTTGTTGGGGTCGTCGATTTCATTCTGGTAAAGGATATCGACGACGGGTTGATTGGAGTGCAGTAGTATTCGTGCACTGGAACCAAGTCGTGTTCATCATGTTCATCTTCCAAATCCACCAGAGAAATTATGTCAGGTCGGCCCATGGAGGCTATCGTCTTTGTCACCACCGCGGGATCTTCAGTGGCAGCAGCAGTAGAAAGCGTTGATGGATCCGTCACTAGGTTTCCCCCTGCATTTGCACTCGCTTCTTTTCTTGTGATTGTTCTCCCAAACACCAAAGTTTCTTCTTCCTTTGTTGGAGAATCGGCTGTTTCATGAGGTGACATTCTTTATTCTGAATGAATCCTCAATTTCTAGATGGTGAAAAGAGGAAACACCAACCAAGAAAGTGATGATTTCTTCAACACGCAACAAAACAGTCGCTGGTGAAGTAATAATCCACGATTTTGTTGGATGAATAGTTCCTTGTTGTTGCGCCGTGGTTTGGTTTCTGTTCTTTTGTTTTGGCTATTTTTACACGTTGCTTCTATTGCATTGTCTGTCCTACATCCGGTCGGCATACATAGCGCCAGCCTATCCCGTGAGAAAGGCGAAAAATTGAATTGAAAAAGTGGGAGTGAGTGGCATGCGCGGGGTAGACCTCACTCGAAGGAGTCGAAATTGGAAGCAAAATCCACAATACAATAGTCCATTCCATCCACACTGCATCCCAGCCTAGGATGACCTCTACTACCCGTAATGCTTTACTACTAAGGAAAGCAAGAAATCGAAACATGAATATGCTTCATTATTGATTGATTGATTCATTCAAAACAACACCAAACTAAAAGCGGAAGGTTCAAGAATAATCCTGCTGTGGCGGCAGTCAACATTTTCGATTTGTGGCAATAATAATAAGATAGGATAGTGGCAACCTTGGAGCAGGGGGCCGTGCCGCATGCCTGTTTCCTTCCGAACGAATCAATCAATCGCCATCCGTGCTCGTCATGATATTCTCTTGTCGGTTGGAAGACCGGTACTAGTACTGTCTGACAGATTTTGAAAATTTCAGATTGCCCATTTGACCAATCAAGATCCACTTATTGCGCTGATCTGAAAATTTTATGCACCGTAGAAGATGGACGTACGCCAAGTATCATATCGCAATCTTGCGCTTCGTCTCATTCTTTTTCAGAATATGGCTCTCTTCTTTCTAAATGGAAATAAGCCTGAACAATCTGAGAGCGTTCTTATTGAGGCACCACGAACCATGACGAATACCATCACTGACAGCGATGGAAACGAGGCTTACCGAGCCTTCATGAACAAGTTAGCTCAGTGCAATGTTGATCAATATGTTGACTTGCCCATGATTGCCGTCATGGGAGATACGAGCAGTGGAAAATCCAGTCTCCTTTCCATGATCTCCCTGGTGGAGCTTCCTAGCAACGACAAGTTGACCACTCGGTGCCCCATCCGACTTCAGATGCGCAAATCGGAATCCAAATCAGCAACCGTCAAGGTAATTTGGAAAGATTCTCCCGAAGGATTTGATTACAACTTTATTCCGAAGGAAGTGACAGAGGCTAATTGGGATGACCTGACAGGATACATCTCAGAGGCTCAAACCCACATTGTTGAGAAACAGAACAAGGAGGTTGCTCGCGACGTTGTGAGTGTGGAGATGACTGGTCCGCATTGCGAGAACCTCACGTTGATTGATCTCCCAGGTATCGTCCGATCTCATGGAAAGGATGAGAGTGCCAGCCTCTCGGAAGACATTCAGGCATTAATGTCCGACTACCTGACGAACCAGCGGTGCGTGATCCTCGCTGTGCTGCCAGCCAACGTCGATTTTCACAACTCGCAGATCATGGCAGAAGCTTTAAAGGTGGATCCTGGCACAAAGCGCACTATACCGGTACTGACAAAACCTGACTTGATTGATTCCGGAGCTGAAAGTAGTGTGAAGGAGCTTCTTCTCGGCGAGAAGACCCAACACTTCGAAATGGGATTTCACATGGTGAAAGGTCGAGGTCAAGAAGCACTGAATAAGAAGACAACGATCGAAGAAGGATTGACTCAAGAAGCGACCTTCTTTTACAACACGGAACCATGGCGTGGGGTTGAGGACAAGAGCTTGTTTGGTACAAAGAATCTACGTATGAAGCTCGGGGAACTTCAGATGAAGCTTATCCGTCTTTCCTTTCAAAATATCGTATCAGAAATGAAAGAGAAGCGTGAGTCGGCGTTCTCCTCTCGACAACAACTTGGTGAGATTCCTTCCGAGTTCATTGAGAAAAGGGCATTGTTCCGCAAGGTCGCGGACGATATTTGCAGATCCATCAGACCATTGATATTTGGTGGTCATCTCATTGGAAAAAGCAAGATGTTCAAAAGGAAGCCCTCGGCAGAGTTTCATGTGGCATCAAAACGCTTCAAGGACACTCTTAGCAAAAGTCGCTTGGCAAATATATCCAAGATCGCTGTTGGAGTTGACGCGATTGCATTTGTTAACTCAAACGAGGTCAAGGATACTGTGCGATACGTGAAAGGCAATGACGTCTATTTTAAGAGCATTAGGCAGAATAAGCTACATATTTTACTTTCTGGCCGCACAGCTGACGATGTCTACGAGGACGGAAACCATGTGAAGATTGTCGACAATAACAATTATGCTTACATCATGAAACCAGTTCCAATGGAATCAGTCCGCCGAGATCCAGAATGGATTCGGAAATTGATTGAAGAGAACCGTCCATATGACCTTCCAATTTTTATCAACACGGAGGTCTTCAAAGGTATTGTGGTTGATTTAATTGATGAGGATTGGCGGCTTCCCGCTGAAGAACTGTTGACTTATACGGCTGGCTTGTTGGAAACTGCGACTTGTAAGTACATCAAAAGCATTCGTGAGATCGAATCGTTGGTCCAGTTTCGAGAGTTCTTATTATTCAAGTCTACCGAGCTGGTGGGGACTTTGATGAAGGAATCCAAGGTCCAAGTGTCACAGTTTATCGATCGGGAACAGGTTCCTTACAGCCAAAATCATTATCTCTTTGAGAATCTATCCAATCTTCGATCTCAGCGATTAATGAAAGAACTCCTGTCTTTGATTGGCACGGGTGGTCAAGACAAAACAATGGAAAAAGGAGCAGTTGTCTCGGCCGTCAATCTTGTGTTTGAGCGGAACCAAGCGAGATCGATGGACGATCACATGGCCGAAGAGATGCAGCATGCATTGAATGCCTACGGCAAGGTCGCCGAGAAGCGTTTTATTGACACAGTTCCAATGATCTGCATTGAAGTGATGGAAAAGTATGATCGTCGGCTGAATGATATTTTGTCCAATGATGTGATTGACTCGGAGATTGATCGCTTGGTCGTGGCCCCGCCCGAACAGCAGCGCGCCATGGAGAAGTACGACAAAGAGATTGCGACGTTGGATGCTGGGATTGCTGCCCTCAAAAGGTTGTTCTGAAACCTTTTGATTGGACTGAGACCATTATTATATTACAGCACCTATTATTGTTCCTCGTATTGTTCCTCGTATCTACCATACTGTATGCTACAGTATAACGTATTGAAATCTCTTTCATAATCGACTAGATCGAATCTAAAGTATGCATGAATGTAGTCGAATCAATCTACCAATGCGCGATCACTGCGCAAACGCCACCACACATTTTGAACCTTCGTACATGTATTACGTACTGGACGCTACGCGGGGGCTACGGTAGTCGTAGACAACGCACTTGTCGGTCAATTTGACGTGTGAAATTGACGGGAAAAGTTCAAGAAGACGACTGATTGGCGGTGGCTGAGAGTCACTTACTTGTGCATCATTGCAGAGACTATTGACTTGCCTTTTTACTTGGACTACTACTGTCTATATTGGATTGACCTTTCGATTGTATTTGATTGATTTGCTTGTTTGAAAACAACGACTAATGGGGATTGAGACAACCACAACGAGTAACACCACGAATAACACAACAACTTTCACAGCCCCAAATTCTACCGCAGCACCAACAACAATGGCTGGTAACAAACGCAGACGTGCTGACGAAGATGGAGGTCTTGGTGATGAAAAGACAGCTCAAACATCCAAGTGCAAAGGAGCTACGACCATTCCCATCTTTCTAAAGAGTGAGTCGTTTGCATTGAGTATTTGCCTTTCTTCCAGAATACCTTTTGCTTCTGGTTCGTGCTTGGGCGTTTTCTGCTTTTCTGCTTGCTTTTGTGTGTGCAGTTTCACCATTCCAAGCCTTTCTCTCAACTCTCATTCACTCTCCTTGACTCATTTTGCAGAAACCTACAAGATGATCGATACTTGTGACCCCAATATTGCTTCATGGTAAGAACATCCTTGACGCTTCGTATCCACTGTTGAAGCTGTTCGTTGCTGTTCCCAAATTTCGCTGGTACATTCGCTACGTGAAATGCACGCAAACGAATTTTCCACAAATCTGGGAAGGCGATGGAATGATTTCCAGCAGCTTCGATTTTGAAGTTTGAGCAACCATGAATGAATTCGTGTGTGTTCCATTCCATGACACCGTACACACTTCGTATCTAACCAACCATCTCCAATCCAACACTCGTTGCTTGCCATGTGACATGTGACAACAGGACAGCAGATGGCGACATGTTCGTAGTCAAGGACCCTGATGTCTTTGCAACTTCTGTCATTCCAGCCTATTTCGATCACAACAAATTCAGCTCGTTTGCCCGCCAATTGAATTTCTATGGTTTCCGCAAGATGCAATCCAAGCCCATTCGAAACAGCGACTTTGACGCCAACACGGCCAAGCATGTCACCTTTTTCAATGAGAATTTCAAGCGCGGACGTTGCGATTTGCTCAAAAACATTCAGCGATCCACTCGCGGCGGTGGCAACACGCCCGGCCAAGATCAACAACGCGAAGTCCAATCTCTCAAAGATAAGATTACCACCTTGGAGACGACCATTACCGAAATGGGCGCCCAGATGGAAGAGCGGATGCGTCGGTTGGAACTAGACATGCTGGGACGCATGGAACAAATGATGTTGGCCATGCAACAGCAACAGCAGAATGCCTTTTTGCAAAAGCAAGCAACAGCACCGACCTCCAACGACTCTATTGCATCCAAAGCAACCATGAACACTCACATGACTGCAGCCACCAAGAATGCCTTTCATGCGGCTAACGCTCAAAATCTATTGAGACCCTTTGGGGGCATGGATCCTTTGGCAGGCTATGGAGGTCGGGCCACTTCGATTGGATCCTTTTCCGGGCTGCAAAATCATTTTGCTGGACTCGGAGATTCTTCGGCTCTAGGCATGGCCAAGAGTCTGGCGTCCCACCACGGTGCTGGTGGCGCTGGTGCTGCCTCTCAAGGTGGGGCCACTTTGCCTCCACATCCCAAACAAAAGCAACTCCCAGGAGGTCCTGCCTCGATTCCTTCCACTCTCAACATTCCTCCTGGAAGACTCGCGTCGTTGGGCACTCTTTCCAATCTATCAAGAAATATTTCCAATCTGTCTCGTGGAACTAGCATCGAATCCCAGTCATCTGCCTTTTTGAACAATCATGCCTTTGAAGACAAGATCTTTTCCATGCTCGTGGCGGGTGAAAAACAGGCAGCCTTGAATGCTCAACTCAACCTAGATCCCATGAATCCAACCCCCATGTCGGATACCATTTTGAGACAAGCCATGGCCAATGCCAATGCGCAAAATAATGCCAATGCCATGCATCACGCCAACAATGCGGCGGCCATGCAAGCTGCGAATAACATGGCCAATTTGGCGGCGGCAAATGCTGCTGCGGCGGCAAATGCCAATCATAACAACAGCAACAGCAACAGCAACAGCAACAATACGAATAGCAGCAATGCTTCCATCGCATCCGGTCCGGCTGCCGGGGTTAATACGGCCAGAATCTAAAATAAGGAAAGAATGATGGAGGAGGAAAGTGGTAAGAAAGCCAACGAATGAAACAAGAAAGGAAGGAAAGAATTAATTATGATATGGATATTGATACACAGTATTGGTAAGCCAAGAATACGTATCCTAACTAGTTATAGTATTTATATATGTGTCTTTGCTCCTCTTGCAGTGTTGCTTCACTTCCCTCCTCTGTTCCCTACTGTAGTAAAGTATGTATAGGAGATTGTGATATTGAATAGTACGTGTAGTTAGTGAACAGAAGAAACAAGATCCTGTCAACAATGTATTATACTACCTAGTACCAAGAATGAATGAATGTAGGTACCTATATACACTGCTGAGCTACTGCTACTGTAATATTGGGTACCTACATACATGCTACATAAAACACAAGTGCACCTACAGTATCCACTTGTGGCATTCGGTACTCCTCCTCTAGTACAAGGCTATGGTCATATCTCAAGAATGATGAATTATACAGTAAAGGTACGATACACCATCTCCCCCAAGCATTGTTGTTGACAGTGATGGAGTAAGGCAGGCATTATCCTCACATTAACTCCTCATTCGCTCTCCTAGATATAGCAGTAGGTACTGTAAGCAAGTGGGTGCCTGTGAGTAGTACCGTATACTAATATATTATGAAAAAGAGGATATAGAATCACCCTTTCTTTTATTATTCATACACAAAGAATGAAGCAAGCGCAGCCGAGAACAAGAACAATCACCTGTCAGCCAGCCAGCAGTCAAGTGACAACAAAGGATTTTAGGAAGGGCAACGTACTGGTACCTCGTACGCAACAATCAATCATCAATCATGATGCAGCCAGATGATCATGTTCGATGCTACCAGGGTGATGATACTGCTTTCTGTTTTTTTATCAGTGCACCATGCGGAAGTTGTATAATACTACAGTATAGATACTACGACTAAAGAAGAAGAAGGTTCGTCGTGACCTTTTCGATGAAGAATGAATGCAGGAACTTCAAAACTGCTGATCTACTGGTACCACAATATATTCCACTCGCCTTCTCTGCTGGTTGATGGTAATTGCAGATTCGGATCGTTCAAATGATGGTGTACCGGTACTCGATCGTGCTGTGTTTCGTTTTTGGTGCACCGTGTGAGTTTTTGTTTAACGACTGCACATGCACAGAATTTGATCACTTTTTCTTCTGCATATTTACACTGGTACACTTTTGTTAGAGCCGCCAACACTTCCGTTTCTGCCGAAATTCTGAATTTTTTACTTAACACTTTTTATTCTTGGAGTGGCAGCACTCCGAATTAGTTCACTTTTCCATATTTGATCGGCGAGTATGTGTGAGTCGCAAGACAAAAGTTTTTTACGCTACAGAAGCAGGTGCCCAAGACACATTCGCCAAAACGATCACGAAAAAGAGAAGTTCCAATCGGAAATCCAACGCATCACAACAAAAGAAATACAATACAAATACTCGAAAAATCATGACAGCCTCTGTAGCAATGACCAACTATTTCAATTCCCTACGAGAGAGGGAAGACTTTGGATCCTTTGAAATTGTAATGGACAATCCACGTACATTTTGTTGTGCACCACCGAGACCTGAAGATTCCACAAAATCAACCACGAGTCCCAAAGAAGCCAAGAGAGAAAAACGATGGAGCCAATCCCTCGATCTCTCAGATGCTGCTATTGTCTCCATATGTGGCGATGCCCCATTCATTCCTCAACGAAGATTATCCTTGGATGCGAGTATTCGCATTGATGAGGAGGAGAAGGAACAACAAGAAGACCACGAACAAGAATGCAAGGAGAGGAAGGAGCGTGCATCATCATCTTCATTGTCACCAGTTCGTCGCCCCGGTACACCAAGGATGACAAGGCGAAAGGGCCACAACCTGAACAAGTCGGTTCCTACCTTGTAAATACAAGGCCAATCTTTCTGCTGGGGCAGAGGACTGACGAGACGACAGCAGTAGGACTAAGAATGCTGCTGGGGACAATACAATAGAAACATAATTTTTGAGGGCTGAACTCTCAACAATTTTCATAAAGTAACATACGAAACTAGACAATGAACGACAACAATGAACGACACAAACAAGAACAGCTTTCTACTCGGGTTTCGAAAACTGCATAGGGAAAGGGGGAGGGTGTCCCCCGTAGTTTTGGGAAGGAAAAAAACAGGGGAGATTCCCCCACTATTTCGGAGGCCATCCAGCGTGACGCGCGCCCGCCAGTCTGATGGCATCTTGCAACAGAGACGTGGAATGTGTACCAATAAGTGAGGATGTCGCACTTTACTTTCCCCACGGATTTCAATTTCGTCGGATCAGAAGAACCTACTGCAAAGGCACTTCAGAGACAAACCTTTCCACAACTGAAGCAAACCAACAGCTGATGAGATAAGCCAATCAAACAGTAATATACTTCGATACTGAACTGAGCAAGTAAGGGATCACCGCTCCAGAATAGGTTGAATCAATCAATCTTTCGAATTCTGAATAGTTCAATTTAGGGGGAATTCATATCACCTGAATTTGAAAATTCAAACATGAACGAGTCTGCTACAACGGAGACAGTCGTGTCTGCTGCTACAACGGCGACGTTCACGGCTTTGGGCTACAATGCTGCCTTTTGCAGTCTCATAGCCACCTGTGCCATGATTGCCTTTTCAGCTGCGGTTCATTTTGGAAAAAATGGTCAATTGGCACCCCGCACCTGGTCAAGACCAAAGGAAGTCCTGAAGAATGTACTTTCCAGACCCTACGGCCTCTCCTGGATTCCGTGGACATTAAATTTGACTTATCATGAAATGCTGGAAGGCATCCCAGGAACAGGGACTCGTAATAAGGGGAAGCAAGGCACCTTACTGAAATGTAATCTGGATGGAATCATTATCATCAAGTTTCATTCATTGATGCTGAAGGTTGCCTTTTTGACTTCTATTTTGTGTTGCGTCATTATTCTACCACTGAATTTGACGGCACCCTGTAACATTACGGATTCGGGTGCTGAGGTGTGTAAGAATATTACACATATGGATAACTACGCAATGACAACGATTGCCCACATTCCGCCGATGGTATTTGTGGATGAGGCTGTACTACCGAATGCTACGGACACCAGAGGTGGATTTCGACTGGAGCCCTTCTTTCAAAATCTGAACCGATACTTTGTCAATGATTCTGGAATCACACCCCGTCTGATTTGTATTGTCATCGTTGCGTGGTGCATCTACACGTACACATGTTGTAAGTGTTGTCGTCACAATGGTTGGCATTTACAATTTCCCTGTGATTGATTCAAGCGTTCCTCACCCTGTCAAATCATCGTCTGCTACCCCCACTCATTGTAAAAACAGACTTGGTTTGGAATGAATGGATCGAAAATTCTGCCCTCCGGCGGATATATTTCTTGGAAGCAGAGCATTTTGACCACCGGAAACAAGAATTGGAATACTTGGCCAACTTGGATGTGGAGTATGAGCGACCAGAAATGAACTTGAAGCAGTTTTTACCGCATCCGGAATTGAGGGAGACGGTGCCGCCCGTGTCGTTGTACTCGGCACTATACAAGTTACCGCCCTGTGATGTCATTTCGGTTGATGAACAACTCAAGGCTACCATTGAATTTTTCGATAAGTGTGTGCCCAATCAACCTGGATTCAGTTCAAGTGTGGCAGCAGCAACTATATTACCTGATCCAGCCCATCTTGCGCTGGTATGGGGCAAATTCTATGCCTTGTCGACCCAAGTGCGACGGCTCCGCTTTATTCGGTTTCGACTCAAGGAATTGCGATCTGAAAGGCGAGAGAATATTCACAATATTTCGGTTCAGAAACTGGCGGAACTCAATGGTGATCAAGAACAAGGTACCTCCCCGATGAAGAAGGTGAATAGTGATGGTAGTATTTCTGCCCGAAAGAAAAAGGACGCTCGATCAAACCCGAAAGGGCTAAGTGTTCGAACTAGCTTTATTGATCCAGATGACCCAGATGATTTGTTTGGTTACAACAATTTCCAATTGGATGATCTACATATGGAAGAGAATATCGAATCTTTGGCAGTTTTTGAACGGGAGTTTTCGCAGAGGTACGAAAGCGAATGGAACCGAAACAAGATCCATTTGCCATTAACAACGAACTAACATTTTTTTCCCTGTTGCAGTGCTGCTTGCTGCCCCAATGGAATGTGCAACGATTCGAGGATTCGATATGCAGACGTTGATACATTATTAGAAATGGAAGAAGAAACTCAAGACGCGGTGGATAAAGCAAGAAGGGAACTTATCGCAGCAAGATCTTCCCAAAAAAGGTCTAGTACTTTTAGAGCTGCAGTCCGTGAAAATTTTGAAATGCTAGAGCTAGAGGAAATGGATGCAGTAACTCCGCTTCCTCTTCCAACTAATCGCCGATTCAGCCAGGCACGTGAAGTCGTATCATTGGGTCAAGACCTTGACGCTTCCATTGCTCGCAAACGTCGATCGAATACTGACTTTTCTAATCGGGCCGATAGCGGCAGCAATCCGTTCGAAGATTTGAAGCCCAATCTCTCGGGTGAGTCAGGTGTATCTGGAATTGAAACCGTGGACGCCTCCTATCCCACCACACATCGGCTCTGGGAACTGGCAAATCGAGTGGTTCTGAACAGCGAACGGCCTTGGAGTGTTGGACGACGACGATACCGCCGAATAGCCGATGGGAGATGGAAGTGGACATCCTTTTACTCTTGGTGGAACGATGTTGCTCTGGTGGAAGAAAACCCGGGGGAGTTTGAAAGGTTTGGAGGGGTGGCGAAGAATGCGAAACCCAGTACAAAGAAGGTGATCAATTCACTGATCGAGCAGCAAAAATATGCTGTCGTTACATTTACGTCACGACAAGCAGGTGAGTTTTGTCAGTTCATCTGGTGTGGAGTAGATTGTTGGATGAATGCTTACTTTGAATTGCTACTGCCCTGTACTACTTTCAATTCTTTAGCGGTGTCGGCTCGACAATGTGTTGCTGATGCCAGTGGATTGGATCGTTGGGTGGAAATCGACAGTATCCCAGTGCCTCCATTGGCTGATTCACCACCAAACAACATTCTATTTTGCCGCGGTTGCTGCAAACCAGTCACAGTGACCTTGAATGACACATCCAAGAAGGCACGGAACAACTTGTAAGTCCTTGAAATCTTGTTCAGTGACATTGAAATTTGTCGAGCTAACACTGCATTGATTTCAGGACAATAATGACATTGATCTTCTTTTGCCTGCTGTATACGGTCCCACTCTCGTAAGTGTGCATTCCAGTCCTCATATTATACTTTTGTTCGGAGATCTCACTCGGTTCTTGTTATATCTGTAGCCTGACGTCTACATACTTCTCGGATACAGCCCAAGAAGCGTGGCCAAACTTTCCTCACCATAACCTTCTGTCAGGTTTTATCAGTGGTGGATTGTATACTATTTTCTTTTCGGTCTGCCCTTTCATTTTCAAGCTCTTTGCCAATTATGGCAGCAACGCTACCAGTATTCGTCAAGCGGAACTCGGAGCGCTGCGATACTATTGGTTTTTCATTCTGTTCACAGCATTTGCAGGACAGTCACTTGTTTCCATGACTATCAATGGGTATCTGTCAACTTCAGCATTGGGAAACCAAGCTTCCGTTGTGGTGATGCACGTTGCAAAAACAATCCCCACTTCTCAATCGGTCATTTGGATGAATTGGATTATTATTCGAATTGGCTTTACCCTTCCAGTGAACTATTTGCTACAGTTCAATACATTCTTGTTCAAGAATTGGCCAGGGATGAGGTGCTGTTCAAGGCTTGTCTCTGGAGGTGGCGCTGGGGGTCCTATGCCATACCGAATGTATGTTGACGCTGGCCTTGTCTTTTTGTGTGTTATTGCACTTGCCCCAGCATCGCCATTGGTTGCTCCAATCGGTACAGTCTACTTTTTGGTTTCAACCCCAATTCTTCGATGGTTATTGATCTTTGTCTACCGGCCAATGTATGATGGAGGCGGCATGAGGTGGACATTCCTCCATGATATGATCATATCAGCAATGGTGACCTCGCAAGTTCTGCTCCTCGCAATGATGCTTCTTAAGAACGCCCATGGACCAGCTCTACTCGCTGGGCTTGCCGTCGTTCCCACGCTGACATTCAACAACTTCGCGAAAAAGCGCTTCCTCCGTCCCTATTCGGATGCTGGTTTACTCCAAACAAGTCAATTGGATGGTTGGGACTATGTGAAATTGAGCTCGTACGATAGTCGGGAAGAGTTCCGAAAATGGCTTGTGGATTGTCATAAGGCCAGCTTTATTCCCATGTGCCTGGCTGGAAAGGATAATTTCTTTTCCTATGAGCCGGCAGTTGCCCTTCCTGACGACTATCAGTCACCGAGGAAATCACCCGGCGCCGTGCTCTCTCCCAAAGCATCTGCTGAGGATTTGAGCAATAGTGTTGGTAGTCTCTCTGATTTCCAGAGTCTCGGAAGTAGCAGGATGGATGCGCTAACAAAAGAACAAATGGCGCAAAAGGGAGCCATGTTCCGTCGGATGTCCTTGTCAGGCAGAGGTTCATTTGTGAATCCTCAGACTTTTTTCGATGGAGATCTCTTTGTATCTGCGGGCGAAAGCGACTCGGAAATAGGGTTGGGTCCCCCACATACTATTTCAGACCTAGGATTGGGTAGTCCACATAATGTTTGACTAGAAGATGATTAAAAGATACAATATTCCAACCTACGATAATAGAAAGATGAAGAGACTTTTATTTCTACGATACCAGTACCCTGATACCATACAGTAGGTAGTACGATAGAAAGATGAGTGAAGCGACATATTGTTGTTGTTGGCCCTGAAATATCTTCGATTCGGACGAATAGATTTTTTGAAATTGCGCCAGCCCGAATTTTTTGGCAAAAGCCGCGCGAACGGAACCTGAACGGAAATGTATCTTGTGTGTATTCTTGTCTATTATGGGCCAGTCCCCCCAATATTATGGTGACAGGCATGTGATGTGTATGTGGCAATCCAACGAACCCGTCGGTTCAAAATTCAGTGGACTTTGGTATTTCACAGACCACATCTTTCAAACGACTCGCTCCATTGGAAATCCATCCGAAAGCAGAAGAGAGCAATATAACAATATGTCTTGCCTAGCACCATACGACGGCAATGAAACCTTTGTTCAACGAAACTATGATGTAAGCGCCAAAGATGTGATGCTGAAGATTTTGCAACTTTGGTAGCATTTCAACTAATCCTCGCATTGTTGTTTTCTTTTTTGTTTCTCAGCACAATGGTTGGACCAACTATTTGCACAACCACGCCCCTCGTTTCGGGTACACCAATAATGTAATGCATTGGCTAAAGGGGACGGAATCACAACAAAGTGCATACATCAAAGGGTTGCAATCGAGTGTGGTTGCCATGTCGGTTCTGTTTGTCCTTTGGATCGGGGCTCTGGTATTCTTCAGGATACGAGGCCCCTCCTATTTTGGATGGTTGTCAGGACGCAGACGTGAGCTACCAGCAGAACCAAATGTCAAGGGTGTCCCGCCGATGGATGAAGACGAAATGCATCTCTTGGAACACAGTATGGTGACAGTGGATGCTATCAAAACAAGGAAACAAAAACTTGGTCTGTCACTGGGAAAGACGAGAGAGGGTGCCATTGTGGTGTATGATATCGATGAGAAGGGCTTGTTCTATGGTTCAGACATTCAGGTTGGTCACCGAATAGCAGCAGTGAACGATCAACGATGTACGGGTGATTTGAAGAGAACCATTCAAATGCTACGAGAATGTGAGGGACCCTTCACCATCAAGGTGCACCACGAAATTTGTGAGGAAGACTTGGCTATCATTGAATGGGATGCCGTATTCGACAAAACTGTAAAGCACCAAAAGATATTTCGGCACATTATATTCGTTGCGCTCGTTGTGATTATTTCCATGGGAATTGTGTTAAGTGCCGATGGGTAAGTTGAAGGAAGCCACATCCTTCCCAAACGATGGATTGATTCGTTCGATGGCGTTGCTAATAAAGTATGTCCTTCTTCTTTTTGCAGAGTTCAAGCGTTGTCCAAAGTTGTGGATCAAGGGGTCAAGACATTTAACAAAATAGAGGAACGAGCCCAATATGGCTTGGATCTTTTGGATGACATTCAGTTCTCTGTCACGAACGTGAAGAAAGATGGACATTTTCTCTTGGATGCAGTCAATAAAGTATGTCCAAAGAAGACTGAAAAGATCTGTTCAGATCTTAAGGATCCCAGCAGTTGCCAAGAAGATCTTGGGCTTCCGTTTGTACCAGAACTCCAAAAAGCGATCTCCTACATCAACCATGAGACGGGGATTCAAGAGAACATTAAGGATGCTCGCAACGAACTCGATTTCCTGATCTCTCACACCTTTGGATTGAGTGCTGATCTGGAGAAAATTCACACGCTTCTTTGGGCTTTGATGGTCATGTCCATCGCTCTGTCCTTCTTATGCGTTATAATTGTCGCTGGGGTTGGTTTTGGAAGGCCCGAAATTGTGGGTTTCTTCCGGCGCTCGTGCGTCTTTCCACTCTTTGGAATCATGGTGTTTTTCAGCTTTGCTCTGTCCGTATCATTCTTGATGATGTCGCTCGTAGCGGCCGATACATGCTACGATGATCCAGGACCCAAGGTTGCTGCAATGGTAGAGAGTTCCTACACAGGTGGCTCGTCAGAACTGATGGAAGACATTATGCTCAGAGTCTTTGAAGGTTGTCAGGTGCCATCAATTCCACTCCAAGAGAATGTTGAACAGTTGCGAGACGATATCCTTTTTTTCGAGCAATTCAGCTCGAACTTGGAGGTATTTGAACCTGATCGTATCAATACTTGCGGCGCTTCGCCATGGACATTTTCAAAGCTTGACCTTGCCATCAACAACAGAGTCAATGAGCACCTGTGCACGGCGTCGGATCATCTTCGAGACTTTGGAGACTTCTTTACTTGCCGATTCTGGTATCCCATTTACTTCAAAGCAGTTCATGAATCAATCTGCACCGATGGAACAGAAGGATTGGCTGTGATTGCAACAACCCAAATCATTGTTGTATTTATGGCGTTGCTGGTTCTGACATACCGAGCAGCATTGTGGGACGTCAAGGTATCGACTGTGCCCAATAACTCAAAGAAGACACTTGTCAAGAGTGCAAAGCCACCAACATCAGAAGGTACACTGATGACTGCTACTTCTCGACTGACAGACGACAGTTCTTCCGATGCAGATTCGGGTGAGGACAGAAGTCCATCCAACAAACCAATGGTTATTGCAATCGACAATATGGAACAGCATAGCCGAGAATCGCAACCATTGGCCATGCCATCGATCGACTACCCTGATGAGGAAGAAAAGAAGGAAGACAGCCCAGAGAGCAATCCTCTTTTGGTTTCAAAAGATGTGGTTCTGGAGCAAAGTACTTCTCACAGATCAATCGTTATAAATGAGACCGCAAAGGAAGCACCCTCCTCTACACCCATGATTGGAATGGCAGTACTTGAATCAATTGAGTTGGATCATGATGGAAATTCAACCGTATCTTCCGTTGACCCCCCAACCTTCAAACGCCAAAGCTCAAACGCTAGTAGCAAACAGTGCAATGTAGTGTCTGAAAATAAGGAAGATCCCACTTTGTTACTCTTGCGGAACCAAGGCACATCCATCAAGAGTATGTCGGAGCTTTCAGCGACTCAAGACGCGGATGAAAGCATTGACTCTGACTCGATTTATCTATCGAGTGACATTGGGAACGCCTCGATCACCTTTCCAGATCTGTTAAGGCCGGGACACTTGGTTGCAGAAGATAGAATGAAGTCAATCAACGAAGATGGTGTTATTTCAGACTCAGATATTAAATTCGTGGCAGCTGATGCAGAAAACTGCAGCGTCGAACAGAGCCTGGACGATTCGAAGGTCTCTCTACATTCATTGAGCAGTGTGAACACGAAACCAGTTCACTTTAGTGGAATCAACGTTTCGACAAGGTCGATGCTTTCATCCCGCGATATTGAAAAGAGCAAAAGACCAACATTGGAATCGAACGATTCGCGAAGATCCATCCATAGTGCCCCTTCGATCATGGAGAGAAAGTCAAGCGTCTCTTCACAAGATGAATGTTGCGATGAGTCGATTACACCCGTTCTCGTGGAGACGAAGGCTCGTGGACGACTCAGAAGAGGCACTAGCATTACTGTTTTGCAATCTAATAGTGACCATGGGCTCACAAAGCAAAACTCTTCTGCAGCAATGACAGTGGATTCAGCTAGAATGGGAGATATGGAAGCTGGGGATCTGCCGCCACTAACGCTACGGGCACCACAGCCTCCAGTGGACATGGACGACTATAATGACGTAGGTCAACAGCCTGCCCCCACTCCGCCACCCGTGGACATGGACGACTACGACGATATGGCACAAGATGCACCACATGACGAGGAAGATACAATCTCCCCTTCCCAAATTTTGGCGTTGGAACGAAAATCCGAACCAAAGCAACTGATTGCTGAGCTCGCATTTGATGAAATCCCGATGAACCGAGCATACACATCCGTGTACTCTAACATCGACTCGGTTATTTCAGATGCTGAAGCGCTTATGGGCGAGAAGAAAGATAGGGTTTCAAAGCAATTGACCAGGGGTGATAGTTTCTCCAACCAATCGGCTCCAGGAGCCCCATTGTCTCGGCCTGCAGGAATCCAAACAAAACAGGTCTCTGTCAGCATGAGTGAGGGAGGGGCTGGTGATATTGAAGTGCAAGACTTTATGTTTTGATTTAGAACAATGTATTATGTATATCCTAATAGTTAAACTTTTGTTACATACAAATAACTTGGCTATCTTGATGCCAATTATTGGGTTATAGCTTTACCACTACGCTTTACCTCTGTCCGGCATCTACCAGAATAAGATTCTTATCGGACAGTCAGTCAGTCCTACCTCCAAAACTACAGTAAATCAGGATCTACTGTAACATCGCAGCCTGCACTTGGTTTTGATTTGACTTACTGGCTTGACGAATACATAATACATGACATCCAAGCTCTCTTCGCCCAATAAAAGAATGAAACGCACACGACCTCTGTTATTTGGCATTAAAGAAAATGAGCTGAACTCTCGTCTAAAGCTGATTCGAAAGCTGGTGGCCAAGCCAATGCCGATTGACCCGGAAACCAAAATGTTGAACGATCCTACGCCAGCTTCGATCAGTAGCATTCTGATTGGCAATAAGTATCATTGTTGCAACGTAGATTGGTTGGTGGAGAATGGAGTCACTGCAGTCTTGAACTGTGCTTCGGGTGGAATTTCCAACTTGCCACTTGACACTCTGGTGGAAAAGGGGATCGAATATCAGTTTACCAACGTTCGACGAGACGACGTGGACTATCCTCTTTTGCATTCACTTTCGGACGGTGTCTGCAGCCAACATTTGGAAATTGCCAAAAAACTGTATGCCAAGACGCTTGAGGCAAATGGCAAGCTTTTACTATTCTGTGTTGCTGGGCAAAATCGATCTGCAACTTTGGGACTTGCCGTGCTACTGCTGTATGGACATCCGTTGGAAGACATACTTCAGAGTTGTGCAGAGCAACGCTCCTTTGTGATGGAGAACGAAGGCTTTCAGCGACAGTTAGTGGAGCTAGAACATTTGCTCAAGACGACAAAGAAGATCAAGGGAGTATATTCTCACGCCGATGCAAAATACAACAGCGAAAAGCAATCTCGAAGGAAGTCTCAACTAACGAAAGCGGAAAACATGGTTGAAGTTGAACTACTGATACCTGGACATTGTAGTATGGACGTCATGATACCTGAAGTATCAACAATTGCGGCCGTGAAGCAGTGTTTGGTGGACGAGGCCAACAAAAATCTTTTGAATGATGAAGGACGAGTTGTCGCCAAGTCCTGGGTCGTCCTTGCTGGTTTCGGCCATGACCCCATGTACGATTTTCCGTTGGAGACGGCTGCCATTGATCTCCAAGTGCAATTGGATCGAATGAAGGCCATGTTCCGGCTCGAAATAGTATCCACTCCGCCACCAACAGACGCATCAAAGGACAACACACCCACGAAAGGCAACGACTTGGAGTCACCAAGAAAGACTCCAGAAGTGATTCGAATCCGCTGGACATCCAAATGCCGATTTGCCTTGGTGATTTTCTCTGCATCCTATGAAAAAGACGGCCAGACTTTTGAAGAACCATGGACATTTGAGCACAAGGAACGATCGAGCTCCAAATCATCTCTCTTGCAGAACAATCTGATTAATACCGACCTTCGGGCATGGGATTTTGAGACCGGACAAGCCTTTGCCTCTTGCGACCCAATCGTCTTTTCATTCGCCGACGACCCGAGGGATCGACGTTCTTTCATGAAGATCAGTACTCAGGCCAATGCGCCCCAGCAGTTTCGGGCCCCCGGTGAGGGTGGCATCCTAGGAATGGGCGCCAATGCAGTTGTTCATCACGTAGAACTGGACCCCACTTCGCCATTGTTGACACCTCGAGATTGGGAGAAATCCGACGGACTCAGCTGGATGGACGCATTGCCACAGCACTGGAATGCTGCAGTGAAGCGGCCATTTGGCTTGTCCAAGATGCTTGCCTCGATGAAATCTTCATCCGAGGCAGGACTTGCAAAGCGTGTTCGTTTTGCTAATAGATTGAACAAGGACGGCCGAGTACTCCGCTTTTACGGTCTCGGGGTAGCCCTTTCGGCGAACGCAGACAAACCAAGTCAATACAAGTTCGAAGTTGCAATTCTATCTCGTTACGAAGAAGAATTTTCTACCTATACCATGAGAAAGTTCTTGGAGGACTATTCGTCCAATCGAGTCACATGTCCAAAGGTTATCAAATGGCGCAAAAAGTTTTCATTAATTTCCGTGAAGGTCTTACTCGTCTCCTTGCTGAATGCGTTCCGAGACTTGACGTTGGTGGGCGTGCGTGCCTTTGATTTTAATCATCTGAACAATGTGCTGGTCTCTCGAGACCACCAAACGGTCAAGCTATTGGATATTGATGGCATGTCCAAGGGAATCATTGAATTCGATTCCGACTACATTAATGGTGACGACGACGACGGTGGTGGTTGTAGTGGTAGAACCAACACCACCACTAGCAAGACTACCGGTGGCAGTCCCCGCAAGTCCGTTCACAAACCAGCTTTGGACGTGGATCTGAATACGATTCTTCCCAACATTGTCTATGAATTGTTGCTCGGAAAAGCTCGTCCTCCAGGCTTTGTTTCCAACAAAAAGAGTGAAATCTGGAGAGCCCCCAAGGAAAAAGCCAAGGAACTCATCAAGGAAGTGATTCGTGAAAACTTTTTTCATGATTCGTCGTCCATGGCGTTGGAAGAACCGGATGCTATCGAACAAGAGGAAAAGCATCTTGGTCGATTATCAGAATGGTTTTGGACCATGATGAAGAAACAGGAACCTTGGGGAAATTGGACCAAAGATATTTACGATGCCATGAGATGCATCGATCACTTGCCAATCGCATAGTAGTAATAATACTTGATAGCATGTAGTCCACACTACTGTACAGTATGCTAATGCCATTTCTCTCTCATTTCGGAATAGCACGAATGGCAATAATGATTGCGGCTGCCCCACCACCTAAAAATAGACTGGCAAGCGTCAGCAAGAGACAGTTTCTCGTGACCTCCTTGAACGATGCTAACAAATCTTGTTCTTCTTGGTTGTAGTCGTCGTGAGATGCTGTTGTTGATGTTGCTGGCTTCATCATCGTGATAGTAGTACGGTAGAGACGCTGGACAGGGTTCAGTTTTCGTCGTTCAATGAAATGAACCGTATTCGACTCGTCCGCCGCAAAGGAAACGGATTTGTGAGGCATGCCTTCTTCAATGGCACTTAGTTTCAAATTGTCTTGCTTAATGTTGTTGGAGCTGTTGTTGGTCGCCATGTCGTCGTCACCACCACCAAATGGTGTCAAAATGGAACAAAGCTCAGGCAACTCTTCCCATTGGCTTTGTAGCGATTGAACAATGTTGTTTCTATCTTCCTTGTTGGTCGTAGTGACATTGTCATTGCTGTCCGTTTCCTTGATGGTGTTGTTGATGTCGGCTTCCTTGTTTTTGTTGTCGTTACTATGACCTTTTTCATTGGTCGAATCATTCGTCTCATCCTCGACCAAAGACATGATCTCATCCGGATCATTGATTTCATCGGGATCAGCCTCGCTATCATTATCATCGGAAGCAATCATTCGTGTGAAATCACCATTGGCATCATCATCATCATGTTCCTTATTATTGTCTGCGGTATTGTTGGTGATCAAACTGGCCTCATCATCACTGGCTTCCACAATGGTAATGTTTTTAAGATAATCCAGTGCTTCTTGTTTGAGTTTGGAAATACGTTCTTGTTGGGGTGTCTCATCATTGTTCTCGTTGCTTGTATAATTGCTGTCACCACCAGAAGTCTCCACATTATTATTATTATCATTATTATTGCCCAATGGTAGATCAATGGCGGATCCCAAGGAAATCAGATCATCATCGTCATCATCATTTATTAGTACCATTTCGTTCTGTGGTGCTGATGATGGCTTGGGCTGTTGTTGTTGTTGTCGTTGTTGCTGCTGTCCTTGCTGCTGAATCTCCAATGGCAGTGATGATAATGAAGAAAATGCAGATCTTGATGATGATGATTCGAAGAAGGACAACGGTGAAGGACAGGAAACCGCAGTGGATATGGTGGAAGCCGAAGACGTTCGAATGTGCCGTGATGATGCTGCTGCTGCTGCTGGTAACGATTTCGTCCTTAATTCTCTCGAAGCCTTCAAACGTTCTTGAAGCTCTTCGAGTTTGGTCATTAATTGTTTGGAATGAAGAGATTGTCTCGTTGCCAATGGTAATGGAGGTGATGGTGATGTCATCACATGAATAGGTTGTTGTCTTGAGCGGCTGTTTGTAGAACCATCTTGTACGCTTTCCTGCTGGTTATTTCCATGCATAGTGTACAGTAGTGTGTTGTTTGGAAGGCTTTATATATTAAATCAATTATTATAATATATCATCTGCTGCTGAAAATGACGTTTAGAGTGAAAGTTCGAGTGGTACAGAAAGTATCTGAGCTCACCATTCATTCGTCCATTTTCATTGGCGCAGCTTCGTCATTTTCTAAAATTCTCTCTCATTTTCAGCTTCGAAAAAAATTGGGCGGGAAATTCAAACGGGTCGACCGGCGATGAGATTGCTATCCAATGCGGATGCGATGTGAAGAACTTTAGCCCCGCCAATCGACTCAGCCGACCACTCAACGAAGATCCAAACCCGACACCACCCATTCTCAAACTCTATATTTTGATCAACGGAATGAACGAAACGCTTCGTTCATTCTCAACCATACAAAGGATTGCTGCAAAACGAAGAGGCATTATTCACAGTCACAAACGCACCACCTTTCCAGCTTTGGCGCTCTTACAAGTCTATTCTACTTCCACATCCAACAGTTGTGCATCTGCCTACTGTCTTCCTCCTATTTTTCTTGGAACATCAGCACGACATCACAGACACCATTCTTACGGCTCTTCTACTCGCTCTTTTCAATCCACGTTTCAACGAGAAACTAGATTCTTCAGTACGATGACTGAAGATTCCACCACAAGTTCCAAAATTCCGTCCGCACCCTTTGCCTACCTTTCCAAGGATACCGAATTGTTTTTGGATCTTTCCGGTCTCGAACAAGTCTTGTCCGAATCCAACGACCAACGTCAACAGGCCTATGATTTGGGAAATCAAATCAAAGCAGCCTTGTTGAAATGTCGGGCGTCCTTGGAACAACATCAAACTGCGAACAAAAAGAAGGAATTGCAAGACTCCTTACAAGCCTTGGTGCAACAAGCCTTGAACTTTTCTTCTGCTTCTGCTTCTGCTTCCGACAGCGACAAAGATACTACGACGAGTAGTGGTAGCGTCGTTCGCATGGGAAATCTCAACAACAGCCTGGCCGATTATTTGCGTCATCAGGCCTATGAACATTTCATTGAAACTGGAACTCTTCTTTCACCTCCTCCTCCCAACACTGAATATACGGACGAGGAATATTTGGGTGGAATTTTGAGTTTTGTCAATTTTGATTTGAAACGATACGTCATTGGAAGGGGGACCCATCGGGATGCACATTCGGTCTTGATTGCAAGAGATATGGTGGCAACCTTGTTGGATCATTTGCTCCAATATGACTTTCGCAATGGACCTCTACGACGCAAATATGGTACGTATATTTATAGAAAATTGGCGGCGGGCAAAAAGGAGAAGATAGAGTCAAAAGTCTAGAAATGTCCGTCGTCTCACTTCTTTTTACAGTCTCAGTCTCACTCTCTCTGTTTCTCTCTCTCTCTTGCGCTCTGTGCAGACGGAGTCAAGTACACTCTCAAGACATGCGAGACAGTCCTCTACGAACTTAGTGTCACTGGATGTCAAGAAGCCATGGAGGCACAACAACAACAGCAACAACAAGAAGGAGGAGGAGCTTCCACCGAACCACCTCCCTCCAAACGATCCAAATCGGAGAAAAGCAGTAGCGCTCCAGCATTGAAACCTTCTCCCTTTATGAATGTGGAAGCCTTGGAAGCGCTCCGTTTGCGCATGGTGGAGAAGGATGAGTTGCGGGAAAAGCTCATAAAGAAGTGCCGGGATGGACAAAAGGCTGCGAAACAGGCCATCTATGCGCTTCATCGGGATGATTTTGATGGAGCTGCTCAATTGCTACAGCAGTGCGAACAATGCATCTTGGAAGAATTGGAACCCATTGTCAAATTGGAACCCAACTTGCGTCACGGATCCTACTCCAATGTTTTGGAAGAGTATGCCGAAGCCAAATTGTACCAAGTATGGTTGGTGGGAAAGGACAATGGTGGCGATGGTGAGGATACATCAATGATCCAAACAACAGTCCCAGCCAAGGTGGTCCTAGTGCCTGATGATTTCTCCAAGATCCGTCTCGAACCCCAAGAGTATCTAGGTGGATTGTGTGATTTGACGGGAGAGATTGGTAGATTTGCTGTCAAGAAGGCAACCATTCGTGACAAGGACAACGTCAAGAATTGTTTGGAAACTAACATGTCGGTTCTATATGCCATGGAATCGATGGGAAGGATCCCCGGGAATATTGGCAAAAAGGTTGATCCTCTTCGAAGAACGGTTGAAAAGCAAGAACGAATGCTGTATGAATTAAGTCTGGTGGAAGCCACTGGTAGAAATACCATTGTTGCAGGGGTAGAGGCTAACGCAGAAGAATAATTGCTAGAAAATCAATGATATAGGCAGCATATATAGGTATGCGCATCTTGACCAGTAATATAATCGAACATTCACTGTGGGCCAAATAAATGACAACTGAAATCTTATTGCAAAGATCAAAGAAACCCCCCATCGTACGTCCATCAACCGGTGGATCCTGATTCTCATTAATTTCGACGGTCGTCATCAGAGCTGTGAAATTAATTTTGAACTGCACCCGCCAAGCTTCCATAACAGCAAACATTGTACATAGACCTGAAATCCTTCAACACTCACTTTCATCAATATGAGCAGCTGCAATAATTTGGATGGAGCCTTTACAGTTCAGTCTGACAAGTGCAAATATACAGAGGATGCCATTGTTTCAGATTACACGTACGTGCTGTCATAAAAGAAGACCCGCCAAGAATGATGATGCAATGCCAAAGCGTATCCAGAACAATTTTCAGACGACTCATCTAATCTCACACTATATTGCACTATTGTTTCAGATATGAAACGACAATTGTTGAAGGCAACGTTGTCAAACCAGTGTCCACAAAAATGCAATTCAAAACAGAGCGAAAGGTTCCAAAGGTAAATTTATGATGCACTGTCATTTTTCGTCGAGTGACATAAAAATATATGCATTTCCTCACGAAATCCTTCAGGTCGGTGTCATGTTGATTGGACTTGGCGGAAACAATGGATGGTACGCCTTGTGGAGGATGCAATGCACCCGTATATCTGTCAGTGTTGTTTTTGCTCACATCATCCTTTCTCTTAATTGTTCAGCACGTGCGTTGCCGGTGTGATTGCCAACAAGTTGGGATTGAAATGGAATACCAAGGAGGGAGAGAAAGAATCTAATTACTGGGGAAGCGTCATGATGGCATCCACCGTCAAGTTGGGGAATGATGCCAAGGGGAATTCAGTGTACACTCCTTTGAAAAATATGCTACCCATGGTGCACCCAAACAATGTCGTTTGGGGTGGATGGGATATCAACGGAATGCACTTGGGCGGTGCCATGAAACGATCAAATGTTTTGGATTATGATCTACAACAAAAGCTATACCCGTACATGCAGGATATCAAACCACTGCCGTCCGTGTACTTTCCAGATTTCATCGCTGCCAATCAGAGTGAACGCGCTGACAATGTCTTGACAGGATCCAAGCAACAGCAAATGGAACAGATCCGTAAGGATATTCAAGAATTCAAGAAAAAGAATGGACTGGATAAAGTTATGCTATTATGGACGGCCAATACAGAACGGTTCGCCAGTATTGAAGAGGGAGTCAATGATACTGCCGAAGATTTGTTGACCAGTATCCAACGTGACGAGCCAGAAATCAGTGCATCGACCATCTTTGCCGTTGCTAGTATTCTAGAGGGATGTACTTTTATCAATGGATCTCCACAAAACACCTTTGTTCCTGGAGTTGTCGAACTGGCCCGCCAAAAGAAAGTCTTTATTGCTGGAGACGACTTTAAAAGTGGCCAAACAAAGATGAAGTCTGTCTTGGTTGACTTTTTGGTCAGTGCAGGAATCAAGCCCGTGTCCATTGTCTCGTACAATCACCTGGGAAACAATGATGGAAAGAATTTGAGTGCTCCTAGTCAATTCCGATCCAAGGAAATCTCCAAATCCAATGTCGTCGATGACATGGTGGCCTCCAACCGAATCCTATTTGAAGAAGACGAGCATCCTGATCATGTGGTGGTCATCAAGTATGTTCCATATGTCGGTGATTCAAAGCGAGCCATGGACGAGTATACTTCTGAAATCTTCATGGGGGGTACCAATACTATCGTCATGCACAACACTTGCGAAGATTCTCTCTTGGCCACGCCCTTGATATACGATTTGGTCATTTTGGGAGAATTGTGCGAGCGGATTCGCATGAAAAAGGTGGATGACTCTTCTGATAAAGATTCGGAATGGGAAGCTTTTCATCCCGTCTTGTCCTTGCTGAGTTACATGCTCAAGGCCCCTCTGGTCCCCAATGGTGCCCCTGTGGTCAATGCCTTGTTTGCCCAACGACAAGCAATCATCAATGTCATGAGAGCATGTTTGGGACTAGCTCCGGACCATCACATGACTTTGGAACATCGATTTGAGAGTAGTCTACAGGAATTAGCCGCACAGCAAGGGAATGGAAGACCGTTAAAGAAGGCCCGCACAGACTAATAACAGCAGGACCTGAACCTACTAAACTATACCACATACATAGCTAAAGAAGATTGATTATTGTTCAAATCGGAATTCCTCACTGGCATGCTACCGGTGTAGCAGTGATCCAATCATCTCCACGAAAATCCAGGCATGCAAAAACGATGACTCGCCCTCGTTTTCGTTCTCATTTGTATCACAGGTATCTTCGCAAAGAACGTGCCGATGTCAACGTTGGATGGAAATTTGGGGTGTATCGTATTTTTCCGAAATTGCAATCCAGGATCTCACAAAAACTAAAATCGTTGCAACATTCAACTGCAAAACCAGCATGATTCCGATGAGGTTGGTTCCTCCTTCGTGAAGCCAACATCATGAAGGTACTCACTTTGTTACTACTGTACCGGTATACCACCATGATGATCGATCAAATGGTCGTACGAGTCAATGAGGGAACCAACCAATATGATATGATACTGTATGATTCAAACCATGCAAACAACAGTAGTCAACATCTGCGGCCTCCTGGTAATCTACAACCTTACTTCAACCTATTGACTAATAAGGAAGAATCATCCGCCAGCCAGCCAGCAAGGAGCCATATGGACACGAAGCAAGGAGAACGAATCAAATTCAAAAATAGAGCTGCAGCAATTCACTCACGGATGCCACTTGATCCATGAAAGATTTCAGATTGATTCGACTTGAATTAACAAGGTTATTTGATTCCAATGATGCTTCGACTTGAACCAAGCGGAAACGATAAAGGTTATATATACCGGTATTTCCCGGTATGTTACCAGTAACTGGTAAACTGGTACCGGTATGTTACTACCGATAGCCGATAGTACCAAAGTGCGTGGTATCCAATCCGACTTTCAACTTGAACCTTCCTTTTCCTCTCTCCCCGCCTTTATTGGGAGGAGCGCAAGATTTTCTCAAGGCAGCAACACGAACCCCGCGCCATATTGTCCAATGTCAAGGAGAGTCACAATGCCTCCCTGCGACCAGAAACCTCAGTCTAATCCGAACGGAAGGCATGCGCGCGTGAGTTTCGTGCGGGCTTTTTGGCGTCAAAAAGTGATTCCGAACAGAAACTATTATTATTTGCAACGGCGAAATGCGTTCGCCTCACCGGAGAGGTCACTTATCCTGCTTTGGGATCTGTCGTAGAAACCTACATGGAATTGGTGTTCTTATGCAACATTTGCGATTTCACCGAATTTGCGTCGCGATGTCGCCGAATTTGAAAAAATATTAGCCAAGATCAGATCTCTTTCATTAATCGGTATTCCTTATGTATATTTGGGGACCTTCCGACACCTGACAGTGGTGACCTTCCGGCACTTAACAGTGCGCTTCCACGCCGCTGGCCACAAACTGGATCGGCAATGCTGGAATTTGAAACGGCCACGTAGAGTCCGAGTAGAAGTTGTACCACGTTTCCATTCGGGATTGACGAGAAGAACAAAAGAGAAGCGAGCCTCTTGGAGTGACACTCGCCTTTCCAAAATTTCCCAACGAAACTTCACGATTTGAAGCTCATAAAAACCAAACCACCATCTTTGAATCTCAAAGTCTTTTATAGAATAGAATACAAAATACAACACAACATGACCAAGCACGTTTCCTTTTCCACATGTACCATCCAAGAATACCCTGTCATCTTGGGAGACAACCCAGCCTGTGCCGCCGGTGTTCCAATCACTCTTGGTTGGGAACCAGTGCAATCCAGCACCACGGACATGGAACTTCACGACTTTATGCGTGCCAAGCAACGCCGCCACGGTCGAGACTTGATCATTCCAGTCCAAGAACGCACTCAAATGGTCATGAACGCTGGTTCCTCCATGGAGGAAGTTGCTGACATTGTCTTGCAAGTGGATCAAATCCGCAAGGATCGTGCCGAAACCTTTCACACCTCTGACTTCGGAGAAAAGATGCAAATCTTCCAAGAGAAGTTGGAAAGACTTCCCAAGGGAATTGCCAAGAATCTTCTCAAGCTAGGAAGAGCCAACAAGAACGCTGTTGGTGCCCGTACTGCCTAAATCTGCTGTACAGTATGTCCTGTATATACTCAGTCGAGCACAAGCTACTCAAGAAAATACTACTACAAGAAAACAATACCATATCGAAAGATACAAAATAGAACCAATAGAAGAATATAATACGATCATAAGAATAATAACTTAATGACATACCTACAAAATAACACTTTTAACCTTGTCATCACAGTACCGACCGGTATCACCGTATGGGTGGCATCACCTCATCTTGATAACCTCCTTCGCGGATGGCTGACTGACTGACTGACTCACTCTCAACTTCAACGGCCAAACACGATTGGCGTTGGATCTTGGTCTTCGCGTTGAACTGACCTGTTCGCCACACTGACGTGCGCGCTTGCAACTATTCTTGCTTGCAAAACGAAAAAACCTTCGTTGCAAAGACATTGTTTAGTCCCTAAATGACAGCCATCTGAATTCTGAAACGTTCTGTAGCGCATAATATAAAAAGGTCAATGATGAAAGGATTATCTTCATCCCGCAATTGAATGCTGAACAGCTTCATTCGCAAGCGCCCAACATCCATGCTTATCCTGAACTCCGTCCAGACTGAAAATTGACCATCCATTGAACTGAAATCATCCAATATGAATAATAATTCTGCAATGATGATTCTTCACTGTTCTGGTCCCGACGATGTCTTGTTGCCAAGAATCCTATCCTTTCTTGCATGGGACGAATTGATTGTGCGGATAAGCCTGGTGAATCACTCTTGGAAACGGGCCGTCGCCTATACTCCAGTTTGCTCTTTTCCGATTTCCAGGGATTCAACTTCGAAAATGTTGGTGGATCAAGTCCAATTGCGCTCGCTCATCGAACGGCTTCCTCGTTTGCAAAAGATTATTGGGCATTGGGAGAATGGTGATGGCTGCTTACCAGAAAATTCTTTGCGTCTCATTGTCCATGGGTTCAAGGAATTAAGGTCGTTGGATATTTCGGGTGAGGAGCCTAGTAGAACGACGACCATATATCATCCTCAGCAACAACACGAACCAGAGTTATTATCACTCGAGAGCACATATGAACCTGCCTTGATAGAGAGTATATGCTCCACTTGGAATGACTCTTTGTTAGAATTGGATATATCACACAATTCAAAAGTGCAATTGGATTTGAAACTTTTGGCAAAATTGGCCAAACTCGAAATAGTAAATGCCAGCGGATGTGGCCGAATCCATGGGCGATTATCGGACTTGCAAATCCTTTACGAGTTGCAGGTATGCGATTTGCAGAATTGTCCATTGGTCGAGGGACATGTGCGTGATTTGGCTACATGTCCCAAGTTGCTCTATTTGGGCTTGCGTGGAACCAGTGTCCATGGAAGACTAGTACTATCATTTGATGGTTTGCAACCTGGAGACTTTGAGTCACTCATTTACATTGATTGGATTCATGGTGGCAGCATGATGGAGCAACAAGAAGCCCAACAAAGTATTGGAGCCGACGACATTCCAGGAAACATATCTGGCATCTTTTTGGGAAAGGAATTGGCGTTGGTGTCCAGTGCACCGATGGCGGTCCAACGAGTCTTTGACCTGGCACAAATCCTTCCATCTTTGCGGTTGGATCTTTGTTCGTTCCATCTATCCAAAGGATCGCCCGACTACTATTCCAAACCGAATCGCTTGAATGGACTCTATACCCGGGAGCCCCCCTTTCAAGTGGAATTGTTCCATATTCAAGGCCGAAGGGGATGGCGGTGGACCAATGGCACCAAAAAGGGAGTCTGTGAGATTCAATGGCTGGATTCACTGACAGCTTTTGCAACCAAGAAACAATATGTCTACTATCAATTGGAGGTTCAACTGTTTACGGGAACTGATGATTCGATCTATCAAGGGTTTTCAGTGCCACCCACCGAGGAGGAACACAACGATCTCATGTACAAGAAACTGATTCAGAAACGACGACGAGCAAGACGACTACAACGAGAAGAGGGGGGCTAAATTGTGATGAATATAGCTACGAGGCAGAATGGCAATCAATCTCAAGTAGCAGCTAAATCAACAGCTAGCTAAAGGAGTGAACGGAACAAACCACCAGAGACGCAAGATGAAGATTGCACTACTATCACTATTTTCGGTTCGTCACACTGTTAAGTTTCAGTCTGGTGTGGAACATTATGCTTCTAAAACAAGAAGGCAGATATTCGTGTCAACAACCAAAAAAGCCAACGAAACCACCAATTGTTGTGTTGTTCTCTAGATTTTGAGTCCGTTGGCAGAAGCCTTTTCCACTTGAACTTGCTGCTTGTTGTGATGTACAATGACACTTGGACGTGGAAAAAGGATGCTCAATTACGGTACTGGTAGCGCTGTCCTGGCTACAATGATGTTGCAATTTTCAGCAGCCCAAACTCTACCTAGGGTACTAGTAGCTCATGATTTAAAAGTGCAGAGCGAAAGAATACTCCAGTGATGTCATTGTAGTTCCAGCTGTGGCATCATCTGATGAGAGTAGATAGATCCCCACAATGAAACTTTCTGTTCCAGTGTGGCTGCTTTCTTTATGTACCTTGAGCAGCTCCTGATGAAAGGCTTTCGGCGTGCTGACTGTAAGGTAGTAGCGCATGATTCAAAAGTGCAGAGCCATACCAGAAATTCTAATTCCAACTGCCGTGGCATCATCTGATGCGAGTAGATAGATCCCAAACAATGACATTATTGGTTTCAGTGTGCTGGCTGCTCTACGGGTCTACTAAACAGCTCTAGGGTATTAGCGCATGGCTTGAAAGTGCAGAGCTATAGCGGATGCAGTTTCAACTACTGCTGTGGCCTCAAATGATGCGAGTAGGCAGATAGATCCCCACAACGACACTTTTGGTTCCAGTGTGGCTATAACTGGCCATCCAACAAAAGCGCAACGGTTGGAACCTATTTGACGACCTATGTGAAAGTTCAACTTTGGAAAGCATTTTGTGTGACCTCTTATATTCGTCGTAACCTGCGTAGATCAACTACAGTTAAAGCTTAGATTCTTTGGCGGTATGCGCTATGCTCTGCGTGACTTTTATCGTCAGCTGCCGGGACTCTTTGACTTGCTGACCTCCCGAAAATGACACTTTTTTGTTTCAGATCAAGTACAGTTCTGTCTTCATGGCATTCATCAGGAAGATGCGTCATTTTCGAAGAATTCACCAAGAGATGCACCTTGATTCTTCCGGCTGGAACCAAAAACGCCTCAGAACCCAAGAAACAGCTTTATGGAAACATCCGTAATGCACGATCATCGAGTGGGGGCATACATCACGTGGGTACACAGCATAGTTGCTTCAATTGCGATCATCCAAACATCAACCGAAAGTTGGGTTGTCTTGGATCATGGAGGCTGGAAGGTCGCAAGGAAAGAAATTCATTTGGTTGTGCTTAATGGTGGGATCTTTTTGTTTTACAGGCGTGTGTGATGTGTGACAGCACTTCAATTGCGATCCCTTCGTAGCCGCAATCGCGGATCTTGGAGCTTCTTCTCGAGAATAACGGTCGTGGATTTCTGCTTCTGATGAGAAACACCGTTGGTCGCACAGTTTCGCGGGGAAAGAGTTGTGTGATCTCCCTAATTGGTTTCGCCATGCGGGGTTTTTCAAATGCAACAAACCGAATATCGGGGTTCGAGATAGTTCCGAAAACACCCGGTATTGTTCTGCTTACACATCGAACAATAAGTCTCACTGCCAGATCATCCAATAGTTTCGCCGTGGTACCAAGAGCTCACCTGTTTTTTGGTCACAACAACTCTATTCTCACAATCCCAATATTCAGAAGTAACAACACAAACACAAAACCAAGAATAACAAAACGATGAATACCCTCAACAACGTCATCCGATTCAATGCTGAAGCAGCTGGACTTATTCTATCTGGCAGGTACACCAATGCCATCACCATTCTGTCGAGTTCCTTGCAATGCCTTAAAGGGGCAAAGAGACAACGCGGCCGAGGAAAACAATCTTCGCATGCTTCCGAAATTGGCACAACGTCGTGTCTATCATCCTCGGTTTCGGCACCATCGTTGAGTACCGTATCATCACTAAATATTCCAGCACAATCACAAAGATCGTCTGGATACATCTTTCGAGAACCAATCATTGCCTGTGGTGATGTGGACGACACACCCGCCAAGTCTCGCCAACGAATGGTGGCCATTGTCCTCTACAACCTCGCACTAGCCCATCATTTGCAAGGTCTCCGAGTCCAGAAGGACTCTGCATCCTTGAAAGCTACATCCCACCTCCAAACGGCACAGAGTATGTACGAGGCCTGCTTGAAGATTCAAATCAAGCACCAATTTGATTTGGGTGACTTTTACAAGCTATTGGTCCTTCCCAACAATATCGGTCAGGTTGCCATGGCTTTGGGCAAGACTCAAAGCGCCAAAGGATACATGACGTTTTTGGCCAAACAGTTGGATCAATTCCTTCAATCTCCCAGCTTTCCGTGTCGGGAAACCGAAATTGAAGAGTTTCTAAACAACACCATCGGGCAGACGAATCCATTCGGGGCAACCCAAATTGTGCCTTGCTAAAGAAACAAAAGCAAGCAGCAATCCTTTGTGGGAGTAGCTACTCTTGCAGTACATTTTTGAATAATTATACCACACCATCGAACAGCATACCCAAAATAAACAAAATAATCAAATGCTAAAGCATATTGCACTTTTAAAAAACTACCCAGGACTACTGCATTACACTGTACATCTACAATCTGTTCTGTCCTCAGCAGTGACAAACACTCCAATATGCTCAGCATTTTCTCTCGCCATATGATAACCACGCAAATTTAGAGTAGAACGCACCAAAAAGACTGATGCCGCTTGTACCATCACCAAGGAATGGGAGCTCAACTGCCAAAACGCTGCATCGAGTGCAGTGATGAACTTGATACTGAAAGAACATCTTCTAGTATGTTTCTCGAATGAACCAATAATCCTTTCAAAAGGCAAAAAATCTATACAGTATTTTTTAAAAGACTATACATGTCGAAATAAAATCGTATCAACGCCAACATGACCCTTGGACTTGAAACATGATACACAAACAACCGGCACCCTGCCAACCGCCCTTGTAGCAAGTATTTTAGGCCTTGAGTAACCCCCTCTGCTGGCCTTTCTTTCAAGTGTCTTTTGCGAAAAAAAGAAGACAGGGAAAGACTATACATCCATATTCAGTGGATACACAACCCCTCCTCTATTCCAACTTTGGAACAGCCTGACGTCGGCGTTGGCGTCGTTCGATTCGCTCCTTTCTTATTAGTTCCAAATCGTCCATCCTGGATGTCAATTTATCGAATCTAGTATTGGCAACATCCAAGCGACGCTCCACCCTTCTGATCTCATCGCCTCTGTTGCTGTTGCTATGATCGCTATCCTCATCCAATGTGATTGGGGGTGGGGCAACATTACAGAGACTGATATTTGATAGAAAGAGCCAAACGATATTAGGTTAGCATCATGTTGTTTTGGACGCGTATATTGCTCCACCGTAACTCAGGAGTCGCAAAGGAAAGGAACAATGATCACATCACAATGTTACTCACATTTCATTACTGTCAGGTTTGAAGACCTCATCATCCACTTGAATCAACTGAGGGCTGGTTTCGTCTCGCAGTGGGATGTTTCGGATTCTAAATCAAGAAGCAATGAGGAATCATCGAAAGGAGTGCAAGAAGATAGGTGAGATATTATCAGAATCGAACAAAATTCAGAAGCATCCAAGAATAACGCTAACAATATAATGCTAGCTGCATTCCATCGATGATGATTAGCCGCAAATTCACTTACAACTTTAGTCGATCAAAAGAAGATATGTAAAGCTTGCTACCTGATCGACGTCTTGGAGATCTTGTTTCCTCAAAGGAATCCACAGAAACAGAGTACCGATCTGAAGAGATCCATCCCGGTTGCACAGGAAGGCCATCACGGCAGGCTGGATGATCTCCCAGTATCATGGGCAGTTCCACAACATCAATCTCGGACCAGGAGACACGTTTTGTCTCCTTATCTTTCGAAGAATGATTGGAATCATCTGCGGAGGTTAGGGACCTGAAGGATGACGAGGAAAGCGAAGCTAATGATGGGGCCATCGAGGACGAGGATCTTTGTAACTTCGTCTCTAGTTCAGTGCACGACGACGAGGCTGACATGGTAAGGCTCGGTTGTAACGTGTTGTTTTGGAATTGAGTGTATGTATGTATGTGTGTATATATACTGTATGTGTGCTTGATACGCCAGACGCCTTGCCGAAGATCCTTTTGCAAACGATGGAGTGTTTTGCAGTCTTGATGCACATGTAAATCAGATTTCCAAAAACGAAACGTACAAAGCCTCGCATGCGTCGCTCATGAAGCAACAATTGTTCTATAAATGTGATTTTCAGTTGTTAAGATACTTAGGCACTTTTCAATCACTATTCCGCCTTGGCATTTAACTAGTCCAGTTTTGAATTAATAAGTAGAATCATTCTTCCAATAAAATGCATGTCGTAGCGGTTTCGCTCGTGATTGAGACAAATAACACTTATCTGGATTGCGTCCCTCGACTAAGCTTTCACGCTCACCATTTCAGCATTACCAGTGAGTGTGATGGATTCGAATAAATGAAGGCACGTGCTTTGCAATGGGTCGCGTCACATTCATTCAACATCTCTCAAAATGAATTTCAGAGATAATAAGCAGTACGGTAAGCAGTAGTAGGAATTTCAGAGAGTTTACTTCGAATATCCAAGACTCCCATGTTTCACAGACCAAAGCATTACTAACCCACTGTTGGTATGCACAGCCACTTCGCAGGAACCACGACATCTTGCAGTCCTGAACCTCACGTCCATTTCTAGATTGTATTACAGCAGCACAAACAGACTGTAAAGAAGTTCTTCCAGCAAACCGGCCGTCACCTCTTGCGTATTTCGTTTGCATATGTATATTTGATCCTCAATGGTAATTATTCGTCTGAGCAAGCAAGCATGGGGCTCTGAAAATTCCGCCGCTCCACTGGTACCTCCCTCATAATCTTTCTTTGATCATCTGAGAACCACCCATTCTACCAGTCCATGTAGCTCTCACGTCCACCAAACATAAAGTTGATTACTGACTCTTCCTTGATGCATGTTGTACCATAGTAATCGATAATGCACATTTCGAATATGAACGGATCTCCACTTCTTATCATGTTACTCCCAACATCACCAACCTTGGCAAACATTTTCTCTGCGGTGTTAAAGTTGGTTGCTCCACAGTGTACACTACGTCCAAGCCAACGCTACTATATATACAATATACAATAGAGTGTAGGTGGTTGAATTACCAGGGGGAAACAGATTTGATTCTTTACGGGGGGGGGGTGTTTCAAAAGGGGGTATATTGTTTCGGAAACGAAGGGTTCATTGAGCACTAAGACAGTAATGCCGCCCAGGGAAGGTACCAGTACCAGTACCAGCACCAGTACCAGTGACGGTACCAGTACCAGTACCGGTATTAAAATACTATCGGTACCAAATACAGGTACCGCCACCGTAGTATCTGAGGTTGGCATGCGACTCCAAAGATTCGGCAGATCTTTGTATTATTATCGCAGCAGCTTGTCTATTTTCATTTTTTCTTGACACAAAGGAAACAAAAGAAACAAAGGAAACGAACAAGACCATGTTCAAGTTCTCACTAACAATTGCTTTTGCTTTGACTTGTGGCGCCCATGCCCATACGGTAAGTATCAGTATCAATCAAAATACGCTATATTATTGTAAGAGAATATTGCAACTGACTTACTCTTTTCTGCAGGTTCTTCGGGAGCGATCCCAAGATGTAGAAAGTCATTCGGTAAGAAACTTAAGCTGCCGATTCGTATCGAGATGAAAACTTTGCGCATGCTCCAGCTCTAGATTATACTAACAACTTCCTACTTCATCCTTCTACGGAATTAGACCCATACTCGAGCAAAAGTCACCAAATCACATTCGGTATGTGCCACCACTCGCGTGATTGTGGTCATAGAACAATCAAGCAAAATGACTTACCATACTGATATCATTAAACGCAGGCTCGCGAAGGTGATGAACATATTAATGACCTAGTCTACGGTGAAGAATGTTCCAAGTTTATCCTCGATGGTTCTATGTGGCAGCACGGCAATCTCCCCGCCATACTTTGCGGAGGATATGAGTACGAAATGATTACTTATCTGGAGTTTGAAGAAGGTGATGAGCTTGGTTTCAATCCATGCCAAGAGGCATTGGAACTCGTCGGCGTCGATCCCGCAATAGATACGATTGATAGTTTCAATTTCGAGCAGTGCCTGGCTGACGTCGACACTTTTTTGGATGATGCTCTAGTCGACTCAATGATAAGTGCCGAGCAGTCGGTAAGCATGTCGTTGTGGATTATTCATCGATTATTATTATTATTCAAAATATCAGATCATTATATATTGCAACTAATTTTCCATGCTTTCTCAATTTGCCCAACGAAAAGGCCCCTACTGGTGAAGACGATGTTGCATCGACCTTCTACGCATTGTCTTGTATCTTTTCCATCGTTGACATTGCCCAGATTGGTTCTGAGATTCATCAAGAGGACTTTCCCGTTTCTCTTTGCTCCGGATTTCATAGTGAAATGATGTATTATCTTTCCAAGACCGAGGTAGACGAAGAAGGGCTTTATCCATGCCAAGATGCGTTGGAGAATGCCGGCTATGATGCCGCGATTGACTTTATTACCACTTTTGATTTCGAAGTTTGCATTGCTGAGGTCGACATGACAGTTGACTTCCACCTCGGAGAAGCTTTTGGCCTTGAGGCAACCATGGAACCTCGTGCTGCGTGTGTGGTGAAAAATGGCTGTGTCTGGTAATGTTTACCCCATCGGTGCTAAGTGTCCACCAAGCCACTGAGCCTCAACTACACTCCGATCGCAAGCGTACATCCTTCACTTTATCCAAATGTATTCCTTAAGATAATTCTTCCTGAATCATATTGCATTTTATTGTTCTGAATAATATAGACACCATAAGTCAATGCTTCAAGTATATCAGAGTTTCAGTTGGACAGTCTCATCATTTTTGCAATCTGAGGCAACACTAAGACCTGTACGCTAGAGTTCAGAGTGTTTTTTTTTCTTCCTTCCCGCCCAATTTCTAACTTATTCAGCATCCATAAAAGCATCCCGCAAGAATTAACCCTTTTGCGAACAGAATTCAAATCTGAGAGTTTCTCAGATTTGATTATGGTACATTCTACATACGTCAATCAATATTTTGGTCGAATTTTGGATACCTTGGCTTTTCAAATCTGAGAATTTCTCAGATTTAAAAAAAATTGCACGCCAGCCTGCCAAAGGCCAAAATTAATTAAATCTGAGAAATTCTCAGATTTGAATTCGGACCGAAATCACAGACAACTTGCCATCAATTTTTATATATCATTCATGTCATATATATTTTTTAAATTTTTTTTGTTGGAATGCATGATCTCACGGTCAAACAACCAAAGGTGCGCCATATATCTCCCCAAAACCATTGAATATTCAGCATCATGCTTGGATGATACTATACAGGGAGAAGAAACCCACCAAAACTTCTGCTAGTAGCACCTTGCAACCATGGCAGAAGATCTTGCCAATAGAAGAATGCGTGGACTTGGTTCTTGTGTTTGCTGGGCCAGAGGCTCCACCTTATTGTGGCAATCATTGCAAGGCCAATGTCTTCAATTGAATCCATGCGATCTTATTGGAGATGATTGCCGAGCACTGTACCATCAATGCATTTGATCAATTTCCTTGCATAGCAACAATGCCATAGTGAAATCCATTTCCTGGTCATGAGAGTTGCTTTTAAAATGGGAGCAGGATTGAGGAGATCCAACACTTGATACGATTGAAGAATTAGCGATGTGGCGTTTACAAGACAATCAGCTTCATGACGGCATCTTGGAATCAGGCTGGCTCTTCCTAGAAGATGAGACAAGGTTTCATGGACAGCCAATGAATCAGGCTCCCAAGTTGGAAGTCAGAACAAGAACAATAACATTACTATTGAGATCCACCTCCTGGTCAGGAGAGTTGCTTGTCAATTGGAGGCTGAAGAAGATTACCAACCATGGCTATGTAATCTTGTCCGATGAGCTCATAAATAGTACAGTAGCATATGTTTTAAAAAACATTAGGCCTATTACCACCTAGTATAAACTATTTACCTACTAATGACTACCGGTAGGCAGCATCACCAAACAAATGTTGGTGTTGTCCCTGTTAGCTAACACCATACTTTGGCACTGAAAGAATGATAGTCAATCACAGTGAGTCTGGGTCCCATCACAGATGAAAAGTCAATACAAGCACTAACCATAGTGGCACCAACTTTATCTGCTTCGCATTGCCATCAGTCAAATCCATTTCATCAGGCAAAAAGTACTATACTAATACTAATTGGAGCACAATCATTAAGGCAGTGGAACTCTAAGGTGAAGATGATCCATCAATCACTTGCTATTAGTATACTTTTATGAAGTGGAGCAATCATGGAAGCATAAGCACCATGACTGTCCAAAAGGACATCAGCAGGAACTAAGATCAGTTCCAGTTCCAACGAGTAGATTTGTCTCCCTAATAACTAGTCCGGCGCCATTGTTGCATATTTATACATTGGAGCATTCATTCTCTTTGATCTGTACCCTGGGGGAAGCATAGGTAAGCATGACAATCAACTGAAACTCTTGACCAACAAGAAGCATCAGCTGGAACTCACAAACTGGGCCATCAGGTCCAGTTCCATACTTGACAGAATTGCCTCTGCGATGTCCCAATTGCTCACCAGTATGTATTCATTGATTGTAACAATCACCATATTGGAGCTATATGGTGGAAGCACATGGTAAGCATGATGATGGATCGAAATTCCGCAACAAGCATCAGCTGGAACTCACCATTTTGTCCATCAAATCCAGTTCTACTCATCAGCATTGCCTCGACCATGTCCCAATTGCTCACCGGTATGTATTCATTGACTGGAACAATCATTATATTGAACCGATATAGTGAAAACACATGGTAAGCATGATGATGGATCGAAATTCCGCAACAAGCATCAGCTGGAACTCACAAACTGGGCCATCAGGTCCAGTTCCATACTTGACAGAATTGCCTCTGCGATGTCCCAATTGCTCACCAGTATGTATTCATTGATTGTAACAATCACCATATTGGAGCTATATGGTGGAAGCACATGGTAAGCATGATGATGGATCGAAATTCCGCAACAAGCATCAGCTGGAACTCACCATTTTGTCCATCAAATCCAGTTCTACTCATCAGCATTGCCTCGACCATGTCCCAATTGCTCACCGGTATGTATTCATTGACTGGAACAATCATTATATTGAACCGATATAGTGAAAACACATGGTAAGCATGATGATGGATCGAAATTCCGCAACAAGCATCAGCTGGAACTCACAAACTGGGCCATCAGGTCCAGTTCCATACTTGACAGAATTGCCTCTGCGATGTCCCAATTGCTCACCAGTATGTATTCATTGATTGTAACAATCACCATATTGGAGCTATATGGTGGAAGCACATGGTAAGCATGATGATGGATCGAAATTCCGCAACAAGCATCAGCTGGAACTCACCATTTTGTCCATCAAATCCAGTTCTACTCCTCAGAATTGCCTCGACCCTGTCCCAATTGCTCACCAGTATGTATTTCTTGATTGGAACAACCATCATATTGGACCTATATGGTGGAAGCACATGGTAAGCATGATGATGGATCAAAATTCCAGAAGAAGCATTCTCAGCTGGGACCTATAAATGCAGCCATCAAATTCACTTCCACTCATCTGATTTGCACTGCTTTTCATTTCATCCCATTGCCGGCAAACGTAGAACTCTTCGGAGAGTAGTCTTCATACTGGAGTAATATGATGGAATGAAACTGCAAGCAGCTGCAACAATGAATGTGTAGTGTTGCCAGAAGCAGCTTCTTATCCACTCCTTATTGTGGAAGCATAAGAGGTTTAGGACCAGAGGATCAAAATTGAAAAAAAGCTGGATGCAAGCATGAGTTGAACATTTAGTAACGCATCCATAAACTCTCACCTTTCCTAGGTCTTTGCTGATTGTAGAATATTCAAGGGCAGTGTCAAACTTGATCACATACTATCACATGTATCAGCAATGAGTCAATGCGGTGGCGAGTCATACAAGTTTTGGACTGGACCCAGATGGCAAGCTTTCTTGACTGGGTGTAGAACTGAAAAGAATCGGAACAATGAAACTCATCTATCAACCATCAGCCATTCCAATGCCTTCAATATAGCCATAGAGACATTGCTTTCAGATAATATTCCATGGTTCTTGCCTCCAGACTTGACTCTGGTTCCATTATTGCCCATTAAGATTATGTGATGTTCGTGCCTTTCAGCTTCACTTGGGAGCTACTAGTAGTCGTCTAGAGAAACTAATTGCTCGGCTCACTTCATAGGACCAAGATAGAGAAGAGTGGGACAGACCTGGCATGGCATATCAGTGAAGCCTCCACACAGCAAAGTGGGGAAACAAGAGCAGCAGTGACTGTTGCCACATGGTTGAGAGATTGTTGTTGGATTGAGTTTCGCTTACTATTTTGGCGAATGTCTGTGTAGAGTTTTTACACATCCAAATCATGTTGTTGGCGACATAAGCGATTGCAATATGTTATATAAAAAAAATAAAATAATTAATATTTTGTTTTGGTGTTCCGATCTGGGTTCTCTTACCAAAACGAAGTGGGATTGTGCGATATCAACCCAAAAATCGTGTGTTTCCACCAGGTTTTGGGTTCTAATTTAGTTTATTTTAGTAAAGTAACCCGGACTGACATGAAACAAGACAGCAGCAAAAAGCGATGGTTGCTTGGGAATGGAGAGGGATCGGCAAGCCGTTGAGAGCTATACCATGATTATGCAAAGTGGAGGATTCTTTCGAAGGTTCTAGAGGAATGGGACAAGAGAGTTATGATGGAAGCATAGAGGAAGAACTAGAAAATGGGACGAGAAATCAATTTTTGGTCAGGTGACGAGGATCATCTTGGCGCAGCAATATGAAGGAATTGAAGCAGCAAACATAACACTATAGCAGACACACTTCAGATAATTTCACTCATACTTTTGGTGTGCGGGTGTTGTCTTCAATTGTAGTGGGTTATAGAAGGAGAAAAGAGTCAACTGTTGTGACGGCGGTGAAATGATTTCTGTGCGTGCAGATAGAATGAAAATTTGGTGCAGGTATTTTGAAAACATGGCTAGTGGGGAGAAAAAGTGGGGAATGGATTTTTGTCGTTGCGTACAATTCAGACGTTATGTAGTGGTTTTCGGCCTATGTAACAGAGTGGAGGGCGATTATTTGACGGACAATTTCCAGCGCTTCCAAATCGGATTTCAAATCTGAGAGTTTCTCAGATTTGATTTCCAAAATTAATTAAATCTGAGAGTTTCTCAGATTTGTTCGCAAAAGGGTTAATTCAAAAGAAGAGATGGGCGATCTATAGTGGCTGGAGGTCCATCTCTCTCTCTCTCTCTATATATATATATATACGCATTGCCTCATGTCCAGCTTTTACTTGCAATGTGGAGAGAACTATTAGGAGAATACATTGCGGCGGATGAGACTGGAACTGGACTGATGCAATTCCGTCATCCATAGAATGAATCAAGGGGGGCATTATTTGTCGACGAGAACCGACGAAAAGAGCTGTATCAAAACAGCGGAACTCTTTGAATATGTTTGTCCGATACTAGCTAGAGAGGTGTCCATGTACAAAACCAAACTAGCAACACCGACCGGAATGGGTTTTGGTTTCGTTAAAAGACGCTGTATATAATACTTCAAAGTTGTTGGTTTCCAAACAAAGCAGTAAAGCTTGAAACGAATGACCAATGATCCATCATTCATTCGTTCTACATATATATATACCCCTCGGTTTCAAGATGATATCTATCCCAGTCAGTCATTGTAGGACTATTGCATTGTAGCCTTGCATTGTGCTATCGTTCATGTTTATTCAAACATTCATTCCTTCATTCATTCCAAGCAGAGCCATCCATCATATCTTATATATATATATGTACCTATCATTCCTACGTCGTCATTATCATTATTCCTACACTATTGTCGAAAGAGTCCTCGTCTCCTATCTTCCATGCATTCGATTGCCTTGGGGCCAATGAATTCACAGACCTTTTCGGGGACTGGCGATTGGACCGATCCAGCTCCCGAGCATACTTGAATCTTGGCGGCCGTATCTGGATCCAAATAATCCTTGGCCTTGTTGAACAACAAGGTGGCCGTAAAGGGGAGTGGGTACAAGATGCACCTCGAGAGACGTTCGGGGAAGTAGGTATTCAAGAGGCCCACCACCAGTTTGATAAAGGGGACAATCGACACGGACGATGGATTGGACCATCCTTGTCCAGCTCGAATATCAATGACAACCGTCACCTTTTCCGTACAAGATCGATCCAATTTGCGGTCTAAATACATGGCCACTGCCAAGGCATAGGTCGCATTGGACGCCAAGGAGGATTCGAGTAGACAGGGCAAGACATGAACAATCCGAGCGCCCTGTTTGCAAAGGACGACTTCCGCCAAGTGATCTTCAAACACACTGACAATTCTTGGGAGTGGCGGCAATACTTGGGCCTTTCCACTGGTGTTTTTCAATTCCATGGCACCCCGAGCCGCATGCTTCCAATCTTCCTCGTCCGTCGTAAAGGAATTGGCAGGAAAGAATTGGTCTATCCTATTGGTGGTCCTCCATTCCAAGTATTCTCCCAATTGGGCAGATGCTGCCTTGACCACGTGCTTACGGGCCTTTAGGAATCGTCGGCGTTCCGCAAGTGTGGAAGTCGGTTGAAGCTGCTCGAGTTCCATCAAATGAGGCTCTTGAAAGGAAATATTGTCGAGCCATTCCAATTTGATTCTGGATTCGGGTTCGAGTGGCAAGAGTTGTTCGATACTTTGGGAAGTTTCCGTGGAGAGAGCGTCTACAGAAGTTTCCGAACTGGGAACCCTGTTCTTTTGCGACGACTCTGTGGTGTTGATAGATTTGATTCCCTTGTTCTTCTTGGAGGAAGTCTTGGTAGTCGTAGCAGTAGTGCCAGCTGTCTTGCCAAGTTTGCTCGCATCTGAGACGACTCGAGTATAACGACGGTTGTTGGAAAGACAAAAGACAAATGCCATGTCAATAATGAACACAGCCCGAATAAAGTTGCTATTAGCATCCAAACTGTCAAACTCGTCCAAGGTAGCATAGGGGACGCCGCACAAAAAGTAGAACAGCACAAAATGTATAACTGCCACACACGAGACCAGATCCCACCCATGCAACACCTTGCCTTCCAATTCCAAGTAGTACTCATTGTCTACCAGATAGTCTTCGACATGTTTTCCCAACAAATGCCTCAAGACGTTGAATTCTACAGGTTCTGCTTCTTCTTTGGAAGACGGTTTGGAACGTTTCTTATTGTGTCCCTTCTTCTTTCTACCTCCTTGCATCATGTTGCTATTGGTGGAAGCACAAATGACATCGGCCACGGCCAATTTGATTTCTTCCGCTGCTTTTCGATGACCCCTACGCCCGCGGCGACCCTTCAAGCTGCGGCCCAACCGTCCCTTGGCCGTCCAATTGGTGGGTGCCTTGGGAGCTAAAGCGGCAACCGCCAGCGCCATTTCTTGGGCACGACGAAACTCTTCGTCAGCTTCTTTGTTAGCAGCGTCATTATCATCGTCTTCCTCCGAGTTGTTGGTCACCGAGTAATCGTCAGCATAGGTATCGTCGTCTAGCATGGCATTGTCACTGTTGCGCTTGTCGTTGCTTTGTTCCTTGTTATCAAAGACGAGCACCTTGCCAGTTGGTGGTCCCATAATTACTGTTGTTGTTGTTGTTGTTGTTGTAAATTTCAAATTATATTCTGATCAGCTCGAAGCAGGATCAAATTACGAACGAATGAATCAATGAATCTTTTTTAAGTCTTGCTGAGATTCAAGCTGCAAATACTCGTAGTATAATTGGAACTCGAGAATGGGTAGTTTCAAGTGGCGCAATAGAGATAGCTTAGCGTGCTATACTTGTGTACAACTATCACCTCGAACAAGCTTCGCAACAAGCAATCAATGACAATAAGTGCAGCTATGACACAAATGCGTTATTAATATTGAATATTGACACATCATAAAAAAAATAGCGAGCACACTCGGAGTGATTTCAAAGCGGTGCGCACGCATAGCACGTGCGCATAGCGTGCCCAAAAGGTTCGACTATTTTAAAATCACAGGATACAGACAATGACGGATATCGGTACCTACTTGTACAGCTTCCTACAATACTGTAGTGGTTTCCGTCATTCATTAATACATATCACAGGCAATTAGTATCAAATATACAGTACAGCCATGCGTATACAGCTATCATCTATAATAAAGCATCTATTTTAAAAAATATGTTTTCATACAACAATAGTAGTCGTAATTCGTAATAATACCCATCTTCTTTTAATCAGACAGCGTACACTTCGAATTGTCGAGTAGTAGTAGTAGTAGTAGTAGTGGTGGTAGTATTGTTGTTGTGATGATGGCGATTTTTCGTCTTCATGTTTCGATAATCATACCGACTGGAAGGTGACACACAGGCAGTCGCATCGGCCGCCATGGCTTGCAAAAAGTGAAATCCTTTTGCAAACAAGCTTTCCTCCTCCTCGTCGTAATATTCCGTGTCTCCCACAACCTCCTCCTCCTCCTCATTGTCATGATGGTCTTTGGCTTCTTCGACCGACGACTGCTGTCGTACACCAAACGAATGGGTTGGTTGGCTCATGATGCACCAAGAATGAGGAGGTTCCAGACGATTCTTCTTCGTTTGTTTCATATTCTCATTGCCCTTATTCTGAAAGGGAGATGTTGTTGTTGTTGTTGGCAAAGAAAATGGAAAGCTTTTCGCCGACTTGTTGGAGGTGAGGGGTGTTGCAGTTGTTGCCCTGTTATTGTTATTGTTGTTCGGTGGCGGTGGCGGTGCAACAGCAGCAAGATCGGTATCGATTTCTTTCAGCAACAAATCATATTCCACCTTTTCTTCCTCTTCCTCTTCGGTCAGGAAACTTTGCAAATCAGCATTGTCCATATTGTTAATGTGAATTTGCACAGGAAGACAAACATTGTCGTCGACCAACTTGGCTGTTCTTTTTGGAAATGACGACGAAGAGGTATTAGTAGTGGTTCGCTTTGTAGTAGCAGAGTTGTTGTTGTTGTTGTTGGTGGTGGTGGTGGGCCTTTTCTTTTTATTGTTGGCCACGAGGTCACCGTCCATCAATGCTGGAATTTCGCGTCGATTCAATTTGTTCTTCTTGTTATTGAAACCAGCATCTTGCTTCTTTGGATGGTTGTTCTCGCCCGACCTTCGTTTGGCCTTTTCAACCGATTGAAAGAGAGCACTGGTCTTTTGTTTGTCAAAAAAGGATGGCGAATACGGGGATGGTTTTTTCTCGTTGTTGGTCGAGTCTCGTAGGGGGGTTTGCACTGTAGCATTTTTCTGTTTTGTCGCAGCCGCAATATATTTCATTGCAACAGTAGCAGCAGCAGGAGGAGCAGCAGCGTTCTTCTGTGGTGGCAGTGGCTGCTGCAAATGACCCTCCTTGGTCAAAAAGGCTTGGAGATCTTCCACTTCAGTAGGTTGCTGCTGCAGTTGCTTGAATACTTCATCACTGTCAGCGCTGGCCGAATCCACAAAGATAAAGGGGACCGAAACCTTGGGATCATCCTTGTTGTTCCTAGTACTAGAAGTAGTATTCGTACTGTCACTTGTTTGCTCCCTTGCAGTAATTCCTCCTGATGATTGCAATCTCGACGGAACAGATCCCATGGTGGTATCGTCCATGAGGTCATTTTGTGTTTGCAAATTCAATATCATATCGGGGAGTCCCGAGGCAGCTTCACTGGAGACGGTAGAAAATTGTTGATGGGTAGTATTGGTGGTGGACATACTACGGACCGATTGCTGCAAGGAGGATGGAAGCCGTATAATGACATTGGTATCTTGTTCGTCTTCAAAGATATAGTCCCCGTGTTCGTCCGTCGCAATCGATTCGAGAATGGAGCTCTTTTTGCGGAGGGCGTGACCAATCGCACCACCCCCAGTATCCTCTCGGCCAATCAGCGATGACTCGGTGGATCCAGTGTCTTGTCGTTGGACTCGATACTGTCGCAAAAGGGAGTCGTCTTCGTATTGGTTCAAGATGGTGTCATTTTCGTATTGAGGTTGCTGCCCGACTCCTTCAGACTCATTATTATTAGTATTGCTAGAAGAAAACGAAGTATCCAATTGACAGAGTTGTTGTTCCAACGAGGATTCCTTATTCCAGTTCGACGACAATGGTGCAAAGAACGGATCTTCTTCTGGCAGTTGCATATCTGGATGAAAGGCATTGACTGAATCGTGATCCATGATGGGTTCCACCACGGCCATGACTCCCCCTGGAGACACTGTTGAGAAGGAATGGACGGGGCATGTCACGATCTTGACGACTCGTTTGGAAGAGGATAACAGCATTTTCAAGTACCAATGTGCCTTTCTGACGGACCGGACGGGTCGTTTGTTAATGGCCACCAAAATATGTCCAGGGGGAACTTCGGTCAACAGATTGTCCACTTTTGTGATTTGCACCAAATTTAGTCGTCCTGGAAGTGGTCTTAGATGAATTCCAAGAGGAGCAGAGGAGGAGGAAGAGGACGGTGATGCCGATTCTAATCTAGAAGAAGAAGAGGATGTCCGAAAGATTGAAGATCTCTTTGGCTGTTTCTTCAATTCAATGTATTTTCCAGTGGCAATCACTTGGACGCTGCCACCAATAGGAGTTCGTTGTATCAGTTTCCTAGCTTCGGCTGCCGTAAAGACAATGAAACCGTTAACATGGGTCACACGTAATCCAGGCGCCAATATTGTGTACTTTCGAAACTTTCCCTTGACATTGTGAATGTAAACGACATCTTCAGAAGGATGGTCCAGAAAGGAAATTCCCAAATCTTTGTTGTTCTTTTTCACCACAATGCCAGAGATTCCAGAAGGCATATTATTGCCGATTGTTGACTGTGAATGTGAATGAGACTGCGAGTGTGACTGCGAGTGTGACTGTGAATGATCCATAGCCTGAGGGGTAGATATGTTACGACGAGAGGTTTGCAATTGCAACACAATCTGAAAATCTAATGATCGGCATGTGCCTTACATATTTCTTGTCATAATAAAATCAAATCTTGTAAGCGTATTCGATTTTGGCGTCAATCAGCCGAATTCTTAGAGAGTGCGACCATGATGCGACATTGGCTTGCAATATTGACTAGACGAGCTCCAATGCGCTACTCCGCGTTTAACCGTTGAATGAGCTGAGCAGTCGCACCGCACATATGACAGACTGAAGAAGATGATGACTCATTCGATCTGGAGTGCCTTTATTCATTCATCTTCATCATCTGACGAATGAAATCTTCCTCGCATCGCACCTTATTCTCAACCTTTCATCAATATCAGTCAACAAAGGCAACTTCAAACTCATTGGAGCACTCACTGTACCGACGTGCGTTGTTATACATCCGGGCAACTGCACCTTCTGAACAATATGAAAAATCACAAATCAAAACGCAATGGAAAAGAAAGAACGAGACCAGTTTCAAGATTGATGATGATTCTGTTTTGTATTCAACTAATTCAAACAAGCAGAATCGGTCTTGTGGAGGGCTTCTGTCCAAGAGTGGTTGCCACTATTCAGTCGAAAGCTTCACTGAATCAACGATTCACAATAACTCTCTCTGCTTCCAATCCATCCTTTGACAGCATAGAATCATCCTCATCTGCTAGCGGAGTCGATCACAACGCTGACAAGGCAGCTGCAGTCTCCTATTCCAATGCAGCCGAATGGCATCGACAACGACGAAAGCAAATGATTCAAAAATATGGTGACCAGATTCTACCCTTGGAACAACAGACATCCTCCTACAACCTTGGAATACCACTCTTGCTGGTAGGAAATCTCATTCTGATGGGTCTCTCCCTACAAGCTGCGAAACTACCCATCAAATGGGTATTTGGTCTGGCACTCTTCCCCGGGTCCATTCTTTCCTTATGGCAGCTACAAATTCTACACGATGGTTTGCATGGATCGTTGTTTCCAATAAGACAACATCACAAGAGCAAGATATGGGGATTTTGGGGACGCAAGCAATGGCAAGACATGGTTTTGTTTTGGGGAAGCATGCCATCGGTCTTTGGTTATTATTTGTACCTCAAATTTGGACACTTGGCCCATCATGTCAATTTGGGAGACGCCCAAAAAGTCTCGTTGGCCAAGCTATTTGATTCCAATCAAACCAACTTTGAAGATGGGGATATCCTGTTTGTCTCGCATAGGATGAAGTTGTTGGGCAAGATTGGGCCAACGTTTTCTGGAAAGCTTCCCTCCATTTTCAATTTTAGAAGAAGCAGAGACGATCCGAATGACAGAAACGAGGAACGGCAATATTCCATCACCATGAGCTTGAGTCGGACTGGATTTGACAATTGGAAAACTGGGAAGGCCATTCGAAATATTGGTATCTTTGCCACTTCCTTTTTGTTTGAACGACTGATGCTAGTCATCAACGATGCGGCCGTCTCTCTTTCAGGATTCAATGCCTTTTTCCCAAACAAGCCCAAGTCCTTCCATGACGAATGTGCCAAGTATGCCCGGTGTGCCACTTTACTGCGACTAGGTCTCTGGTGGTTGGGAAGCTGGAAATCACTACTCTTCCTATACTTGTCGGAAACCCTTTGGTCCATTCCACCGCACCCAGCATCGGCAATGTTTGTCACCAACCATCCTTCCATCATGAACAAACAAGATAGTAGTAGTAGTACTACTACTAGCGATGAGTGGTCGTGTACACCATCGCAATCGACATATCTGGGGCGTTGGTACTCGCTCCTGACGTTGGGTACCAACTATCATTGCGAGCACCATGATTTTCCAACGATACCACTACACAAGCTATCCTTGTTGCATCAGATTGCACCCGAATTCTATCCAAAATCTAATGAATCATCATCATCAGCATCAACATCAGCATCATCATCTCGCAACAGTTTGCGGAAGATCTGGAAAAAGAGCTTTGCGGATCCCGATTACTATGCTTGCATGAATAGCAATATAATTGTTTAGTAATGCGAATGGGGGCTGCCTGTTCCTGGATCAACCTGGTACTCTACCACTGTATACTTTTGGTTGCCTACAGTACCCAATAAGAACTCGATGGAATGAATGAATGAATCAAAAGGAATCACACATGGCCTTATTTCGCCGCGCGATGAGGCTTTTTGTCGTGGAAAATGTTTCTCCGATGAATTTCTGAACATACACGATATTTTTAATATTTGCGCTTGCAAAAGTCTCAATCAACGTGACAAATCGGTGAAATAGGAGCTTGGCGGAGACAGAATGGACAAAGTATGGATAAAATCCGAACATTGAATCATATCCGAACTCCCAGGAACTACACTTTTCACAAGATTGATCTTCTAAACCTTGTTCATTACTCTCACAAAACTAGGTTGCATTCCAACAAACACAAAAAGTAAAACACTAATCTACTATTACAAAACAACCAATCATGATTGCAGCTCGCTTTTCCGCACACTTGTTCCTCATGGCAACTGCTGCTGCCATTGCGCCAGCCCAAGGCTGTCCCTACCTCCTTCGTAATCTCCAGACAATGAAGGGACGAGGAAGGGGTCGTGGCGGCGGTGGAGGAGGAGGTGGTGGTGGAGTCCGTGGCGGTGGCGGCGGTGGCGGTCGAGGGGGCGGCGGCGGTGGCGGTGGCAGTGAAGCCTATGTTCAAGAGCTTCTTGACAACCATGAATTGGTTGACCGAGAAGTGTTCCATCACGACGATGGATCCATCACCACCAAGACTTTTTCTGACGATCCGCAAGTTGCAGCCTGGTTGCAAGCCCATGTAGCCTCAATGAAGGCTCGAGTCGATGGAGGCATGCGTGTTCGCAACTGGGACCCATTTTTCGCTGCCATGGTGGAGCATCACGACGAAACCTCGGTCGAGCTCAGCAACTTGAGCAATGGTGTTCAAGTGGAGTTGAGTGCTTCCACAGACTGTGGACAATCATTGATCGAGGCTCACACAGAAGTTGTTAGCTTGTTCGTGGAGACTGGAAGAGAAGAGGCCTCCAAACCCCATGATGTGCCAGATACATGCAAGGCTTAATTTACTCTAGCTAGTTTCGCTAAAATTACTCTATTTATTTCCGACTCTTTTGAGTCGATGGAATCAATCAATCGAGCAGTCAGACTGGTCTGCCATCACCGCAGGGTCCCTACCGGTACAGAGATTTGCTTTCGAACTTGGTGTTCTTCCGTGCACGTGGAAGCCATTGTTCAAATCTCGTGGCGAACTGTAGAATGGATAGCGAATTTTGTCTTACCAATTTTGGAAAGCCAAATAAATCTCCGATCCGTTTTGATTGGAAGCCACACAGTTCTCTCCTTTTGGTTTCGTATCAAAGACTTCGTAGAAATTTGAGTGTCATCAGAGCGGTCTTCGAAAAGATCATGAATGATCATTTCTCTTCTTTACAATTACATCTTCGTACCGGTACGGTACACCTACCGTACGTTACTTTTCGGAATAAATGCCACTTCATAAAAAAGGATGATGCAGGGGCGACATTCTTCCACAACCTGCAGGTAGACACCGGCCGTGCGTGCCCATATATCAAAATGCGCGGATGATAATACCCCGGCCGTCATCAATAACATCCGTACGAAGTGCCGTACTGTCCCGGTATTTTTATTTAGTCGTTTGATTGTTTCATTCGTCGTCCTAATCTTTATTCTGAAACCTACAAGTACAGTAGCAGCGACAACAACTACCCTTCGCAGCACAGGTAACTGGTTCATCATGGCATCGTCTAGTCAGCACCACGAATGGTATTGCCGACCACGCCAAGGCGACCATCAACAGCAGCGTGAAACTGATAGTTGTACTGCTCCTGTCACCCTGAATCGTAAAACTTACAATTACAACGGGCGATCATCGGCCATGCAGCCAACGGAAGAAATAGTTGCATCTGAACTGAGCAAACTATCCGTGCAAGAAAGAGCTCAGGCATTTGATGATATTCACTGCGTAGGCGAGGAAATGAAGGAGACCCCGGAAATGGTACGGATATCTCTTGCCGAGTTTGAAGAGATAGTGAAGAAGGAACACAATATTTTCTACGAAATTGCCATGACTCAAGACAGAACTTATGTCGAAGATCCTTCGTTTCGACTAAAGTTTTTGAGAGCCAACATACACCATGTTGGAAAATCTGTTCGTCAAATGATGAACTTTCTGCAGCACAAGGCAGCGTACTTTGGGAACGACAAGATTGCTCGAGAAATCACTCTAGATGACTTGAATGAAGAAGACAAGGCATGTCTCTTGTCTGGTTTTTGCTATATCCAGGAAGGCAGAGACCGAGCTGGACGAACTGTCATACATTGGTTTGGTAGTATGCTGGGTAGATTCAAAGCTGAAAATCTGGTACGATGATAGCCATATTTACCTTGAGTATCTTGCTAATCAACTGTCTCAAGTTGCTCACATTTTCTCTTGATATACCTCTCAGATTCGGGCGGCATACATTCTGTGGATGGTTATCCTTCTTCCGGATCCAGTAGTGCAAACGAAGGGGGTAGTGACCGTGTATCATAATGCTTCAAGAACTGGAGAGGAGTTTGTGATGCCCGGAATGAAATTCATTCGGACGCTGTCAAATGTCACTTCATCATTTCCCTTCCGCTACTCTGCAATGCATTTCTGTCTTTTAGCACAGGAAGGCAAGTTTTCCCCCAGCAACTCTTTTCTGGGATCGATAGTGAAGACTCTGCCAGTATATTCCAAAGTGCGAAGCCGAATTCATGTCGGCAGTATAATGGAGCTCCAGTATGCGCTTCGAAGCCACGGAATTCCGACGGATATTTTCCCCGTGGATCCTGATGGGAGTATTCGTGATGATGTCGTCTTAACATGGTTCTACAAACAGTACCAGCGCGCTGTACTAATCGAGGGCACCTCGTGTTCAACAGGCCATGCGCCTAAGCTGATACTGACGCAAGAAGACAAGACTCCCTTCATACCATCAACGAGAGAGCCTATTGATCATATCGGTCATGCGGCTGTAGGGAATTGGTGCGTGCCATTTGCGGTGCAGCCATCGGACAAGCCTACTGAGAACGATATACTTTTGGGACGAGGACGGATTACTCAATTATGGCCAGGCAACATCAAATTTCGAGAGTTTCTCGAGAAGCACAGTGTTGAGTACGATATGCTACCCAGGACAGCAAGAAAAAAGAGAACAGTTGAATTGACTCAGGAACTTGGTGCCAAGGGGATCCGATTCTTTGAACCAACTGGGCCTGGAAAGTGGGTTGAAATTGATTCTTCTGAAGCGAGGAAGAAGGTCAGTCAACTCTTTAGAACGTTTCGGAAGAATAAATAGAGGATTGGATGACACAGTTCGCAGTCCAATATTACATCACTTACTCTACGTCCTTAGTTTCTAGTATATATGGGAGATTGTTGTACTTTTTTTTTACTGTACGACTTGATTGATTTCAGTCGATGGAATCGAATATATGATATCTATAATCAATCCCGCGGACACACGCGTCATTCAGATTTTTCGTTTTCAGTTTTTGCCAAATTGAAAATACTCCCATGAAATTCTTCTCCGAGGGAACAAAGACAAAGGATTCATTTGAAGCTCCTCCAGCAGAAGTACACGACTAGGGACAACTGAATCTTGCTTTCAAGCTGCATCTTGTCTTGAATCAGTGCAAAATGTATTTCACAACCATACGAACTCGAGCCTTGTGTGAACAAGAACGTCGACGGAACCAGTCCAGCACGTTTACCGAACCCCTTCCGATATCATCACCTTTATCGACTTTACCAGCAGCATCGCAAACGGCTTCATTAAAACCGCCCTCTTCGTCTCCTGAAGACGAACTGAAATCCTTTCTCGAAGAATTCAACCAACCTGTCGTGACGCCTGAGCAGAAGGCTAAGAATGAGAAAGAAATGGAAGAGCATCCAATTCTCAAGGTCCATTTCGAAATGCTGGTTCCCAAAAAGATTGTGTCGTATGAAGACTTTTGGCAGCGATATTATCATCGGTGCTATGATCTGAACCGGATTGTGTCTGAACTTCAGCAACAAGACAAGCAACAAGAGCAACAAGGAGCGAAGGATTTGGACAGTGATCCAATAGGAGACAAGAATCCCAAGCACCAACAATCTATACCACCATCCCAGACGTTCAAAAGCGTCCAAGATCGAATCTTTCAGATGACATCTTCACCTGCGCGACAGGATATTGAAAAGAAGGAGGAACCGAACAAAGATGACAAGGATACTCCAAACCTTGAGACAACATTTGATTCTTCATCCCTTTCCTTTGGCAGTGCATCCTTCAACGTCATTCCCATTGAGGCACAAAATAGCACTACACAAAGCCTTACCGAGGCAACGTCGGAAATGTCACATCATGACTATTTGCCATCCCCGTGGTCGATGGAGAGGCAAATGCAATATGAAAATCATGAGAACGGTGATGATTCATCTTCGTTTGGCAGTCTGGTTCAAATGCCTAATTGTCTGAGCGAAGTCACATCCGTGGTTACAAATCCGGATCAAATACATCGATATCCAGAATCACCAGACTATTGCGATCATGTCGAAGAAGAAGTGGTTGAACATAGCACAGCAGAAGCACTAGAACAAGCGCAAATTTCCGACACAGCATCCACACTGGACGACCGACTGTCGGGTGCGTCCATATTCCTTTTGAACGATGACTTTTATGAGCAGAATGACAAACTTGTGGATATGATTGTTGCGATGGGAGGCAAGATTACACTGGAAATGATGGAAGCAACTCATGCCCTTTGGATACCCCCACCAAAAGAAGCTGAGTCTTTAATAGGTAACGACGAGCAAAAGCAGAAGCAAGAGTCTTGGGAAGACTTTAGAGAGAACATGATTCTGTGGGTTGCAGAAAGCTACAAAGTCCCTATACTAGATTCGGACAAATGGCTGCCTCGAATTGCGAGGTTGGAATTTGAAGAAGACTGGTCCGACGTGAACTGCGAAGACTTCCATCCCGGTCACACCCAAGCCAAGACTGTTACCAGATCATCCATGGGGAAGAAAGTCGTCGAATCACCTAAGGAAGCAACGATGACAGTGGCAGGAAAGCAATCAAAGACTCAGTCAACCTCGAATAATTCTTCAACACAACGACAGAAAATCCTTTCCTTTGCAAAGGTAGCACTCTTGTTGACTATGGTGCTGCTCTTGCTTACCCAATGGCACGTTGTCTTCCCAACTAAAACGTTTACACCGAATCTATCAATCTCAAAGGAGGAAACTACCAAATACAAAGGATGGCCCCTCTTCCGTTCACGACAAAGGATACCAGCCCAGAGTTCCAGCATAGCGAATGGACAAATGAAAACAAATGTTCAAGAATCACGGTGGAACAAAATCCTCAGCAAAATCAAGGTACGGCGACAAAGACAGATACGAGAATAAGCGACATGTAACCAGTATCGATGCATAATAAGAGTAATGTCTTCTGTTTTGCCAAAACTATTACTACCCATCCTTCTACCATTTATTACTCTATTTTCTTGTCTTTTTCTGCATAGCGTTTATTTGTGCAAAACGTGTACGCTGAAACGTTCAAAGGACTTGCAAGCGTCGTTATGAGCTCATCGTCATGCCTCTCGAGCACACATCCGAGGAACTGGCCTCGAATAGGAGGTATTTGCAGCATCCGCGGTTAAGGGACCACTTGAAGACCTTTTCTCGGAATGCGAATGCGAGTGCCTGAGGAGCAAGGTTTTGGTTGCAGTAATACTGCCATCATCATTACACTGCCTGACATTTGTGGGCCGTGGTGGTGTCTTCCCTACTGGTGACTTTTGTGCTGTTGAGGAGGCAGCAGGATCCATTGTGGTGTTGTTATCATTATTATTCGGCAGTCTTTGGCACGAGAATTCCAAAGCAGGGTATAGGGTAACAAATGATCCATCGGAGGGCTCAGCAATATGGAGCAGGTCACTACTTCGGACTACTGCTGTTGCCGAAAGCGAAGTGGCGTTTTCTGGCAGGTGCACTGTGATGTTCGACATCATCACTTCTTTGCCAGCACTACTACGGTTTTGTTGGACCTTTGGTGATCTTGCGATGCAGTTGCCCATGATGCTGATTATTTTTAGAAGTAAGAGGGTTTGTGGCTATTGATTATTTGTCCGCTATACGATTTAATTTGACATCATGCCCGCATCACAGTACCATCTGATGCGAAGCCGGAATTAAAATGAGAATGGAACTCAATGGTATTATGTGAGGATGATGCTAAACTGAGAAATCACACGGCCATTGAACACAGTAGGAGAGGCTTTTCTCTAGAAGTTTCTCCGAACTCTATGAATGGATACGCTACTTCTTTTGAAAATTAACTAGAGGAATCCAAAAATGCTTAGATCAACGTGACAAATCGGTGAAAAAGGAACGAATGCGAACTCAAGCACTTTCACAAGATTGATCTCACAAAACTCTAGCATTCCAACATCATAAAAAATCACTTTCACTTTTTCAATTACAAACTGACGACATCCAAATATGATTAAACCTCGCTTTTCCTTACTATTGATCCTTGTAACAGCTGCTGTTACCATTGCGCCATCACAAGGCTGTCCCTACATTCGGTCTCTGCAAGAGAAGCAAAGTGGAAATGGTGGTGGTCCTGGCGGTGGTGGACAAGACAATGAGATATATGTTCAAGAGCTTCTTGATAGCCATTCCATGATTGATCGTGAAGTCACTCATAATGACGATGGGTCCATTACGACAAAGACCTTTTCAGACGACGCGCAAGTTGCAGGATGGTTACAAGTCCATGTGGCCGAGATGAAGGCCAGAGTTGACGAGAGCATGGATGTTCGCAGCTGGGACCCATTCTTCGTTTCCTTGGTGGAGCATCACGAAGAAATGTCTGTCGAGATCAGTAACTTGAGCAATGGTGTTCAAGTGGAGTTGAGTGCATCCACAGACTGTGGCCAATCTCTGATCGAGGCGCACACGGAGGTTGTTAGCTTGTTCGTGGAGACCGGAAGAGAAGAGTCATCCAAAGCCCATGATGCACCAGAAGCATGCGATATCATGTCCACAGCTTCTCCGATGCAAGCACCCTCGGCTCCATCGGACGAAATTGGGAATTCCACCAAATTTGCGTCGTCCGCCGAGTCTCAAGGACTATTTGTAATCATGCTCGTGGCATCTATAGTGGTGATGCTATGATGATGGCCACCGAGGAGTCCTAATCTAACAATAGACTTTTAATGGTTACATGATATACCTACTGTACCTTCCCGCTTACTGTACATTATTTTGCGAAAAATCCAACCTTGTGATATGTGATGACGAGTATTGTCGGATCCAAATCTGAGATCCTTTGCACTGTTGTTTACAGAGTTTCTTCTTACATTACATCATGTTCATGAAAGGAAATGCTGAAGATGGAATCACTGATACGGTCCAACGTGAACTGTCATCTGGGCAACACTGAAGGAATCGAAAGCCAGTCTTGGTCGTGCCATCAGTCTCGGCAGGATCCATCTCGTCGAGTCCAAGACCCCAAGGATTTTTAAAATAAAAAACAAATTCTGCTCTTTGGTTTGCGTGCTCAAGGCTTGTAAACGAAGAATCAAATGCCTTATCGGGAGGGCCTTCATACGAGTGCCATCTGTCGTTATCATATCCATCGGAAGTCCAGACAGTATACCGGAGTTTCTTGTTTTGTGACAAGTTTTGCTTGGGTGGGTTCCGGATAAAGGCTGGAAAACTGTCTTGTTGAAGATAGGCTTCGAGTTCTTGTTCACGGGACCATGCAGGGCGGTCACCATGGAATCCTTGAAGAGAAGCCACAGCATCGAAATCGGCACTAGGCATAGTCGAAACAGAATACGTCTGCCCGTGATCGTTATCAGTCATCAAATAGCGAAATTGTTTGTTCAGAAGCTTATCTTCCTTGGTATAGATGTCGTCCTTTTCCTCCTCTAAAGGATTGCGGTAGTAGAACAAATATTCCACACGAAGGTTTGCGTCAGTCAACGATTCAAACGAAGAGTCAAACTCTGGATTCTCAGGTATATCACAGCTCGGGTGCGTCTCTTTGGCCCAAATTGTGAATTTCTTCTTGCGGTTTTTGTCAGTATTGGCCTTACTTGGTTTTTTGATATTTGCCGTGAATCGTCGCAAATCCTCCTCGTGAGCAAGATCCCTCTCCCGTTCCCTTTCCTCTTCTTCCTTTCTCCAACGGGCTTCCGCTTCTCTCCGTTGCTTCTCTCTTCTCTCTGTTTCTTTTCTCCAACGAGCTTCCTCTTCATGTTGTTGCTTCGCCCATTCCCGTTGGCGTTCGAGTTCTACTTTCTGGTACCTCTCTTCAATGTCGGCGATTTTTTTCTCGCGCTCGTGCTCTGGTAGCGATTCAATGTCAAAACAAGCCTTACAGATGTCATAGTCGTGGAGCTCGCTCGAACGATAAGGTCTCTTGGAACAGACTAAAGGATGCGCTACATCGCATACGCATGTGCCAATGTCCGCTCTAGTCCGATTCACATATAGTCCATTGTTACGCGGGGCCCGAAGTAGGCTGGAATCAGCCAGAAGATGTGAAACGAAGGAAACCTTATAGACGTGCAAAGCCTTGGCTTCAGCATCTGCTTTCACACCAAGAACAGGAGTTCCATCTCCAAGCTCTGCAACCAACCAACCTTTGTTCTTTCCGGAAAGGCCTGTTGCGTTCGGATTTCTGTATTTAATCTCATGGAGCAGCTGCGCCGCTGTCATGTTCTTGCTGACGACAGATTGATCATCTGGTTTCGGAAAAACAGTTGCCTTTTTCTTATTGGTAGCCGCCGTCTTTCTCGCAACAGACTGCACTACTGTTGAAGACGATGATGATGTGACTGGCACTATTGGAGAAATAGGTTGCAGTGCTTGCGCCGAAGAAGCGATGGGCCAGCGAGTTGCTTTGGAAGAGGCGACCCTATCAGGAGAAATACTAGTATCCAGACGAATCGGATCATGTATTGAACCATTTGCCCCTGGTGGCTTTGCTTTTACTCCCGTCCGTTTTGGGGAAGCCGACGTCTTGACTTGCACTTGGGCATTCACTGAGGGAGCAGTTGGCGACGGTACTTTCACGCGATCTACAGCATTTGATGAAGCACTCCTATCAGGCGCTATAGTCTTCAAAGATGCCAACGGTACATGTATTGGAGTCGATTCTTTTTGGGATTCTTCACATCACTGCTGCATTAGCGAATTAGTTGCATTGGAAACCAAATGACAACAAAAAGTGTTACGTACGTGTTGATGTCGTTTTCTCTTTCTTGGCTCGTTTTGCTGGGGGAGCTTTACCAGCGGCATTGGTTGTCACGGCTCCGGTCGTCCAAATACTGCCGACAGCCACCATTGTCAATAGGTCGTCCTTACTCTTGGAGGACAGCCCTTTGGTTCCCGGCATTCTTGCCATAATTTCATACATCAATTGCCCTTTGGTGAGAGTATCAGTAACGACAGGAGCATTGGTAAGCGTCTGACTGGAAAAGTCCTGGCTTGTCGTCCATACCGAGTTTTCACCTAGTTTGGACAGGAACCAAGACTTGGATTTGCTGGACAATCCCTTCGCCGATGGATCTCGCGTCAAGAGTTCATACGATAGTTGCGGAATGGTCAGCTTACTGGTGATGCGTGGGGCCTGAGACCAGTCGAAAGATGATGCAATTGTGATCGGATTTTCAGCAGGAGCAGATCTCTTGGTCGGCGTTGGTGCTTTCTTCTTTGCGACCTTCTCGGTCAAAGCTGCTTTTGCTTTGGGTTTGCCAGTAGTTTTGCTCGAAGAGGATCCTGCTGGACTTTTCTTTGCCTTTGCAGGAGTACCAGTCTTGGTGATGGATGACGATGGATGACTTAGCCAAACGGTACCGACACCCAGTTGATCCAAGAGCCAAGTCTTGCTTTTCCCAGACAATCCCTTAATGCCACGGTGCCGGCACTCATCCTGAAGCTGACTCACGGTCAAGATATCTGATATTTGTATGCGTGATGCTTGTTCCGCATTTCCACGTTGCGCGGATGTCTTCGCTTTTGATTTTGCCGGTGATGGTGTTCGGATACTGGGTGAAGCAGGGACAGGTTGTTGTTTTGATGGTGCTCCAATACTTGCCCATTGCTTCAATTTGGGTGATAGCTTAATGCAGTACCACGATTTGACGGTAGCATCCCATCGAGCACCATTTGCTTTAGCCGCATCCTTGTCTTTGTAAGGAACTTGCAAAAAGATTCTTCCTTTTGGTGTCCATGAATTGAAGATTGCGATTTGACTGTAGAGTTCCACAGGCACATACCAGCTTCTTTGGCCGCCGTTCCACTTGGCTCCTAGTGCCTTTACTTTATCCTTCTCTTCAAATGGACAGTCAAGAAAGTACATGCTTGAGGCACTATTGCAAAATGTCCAGGTATGTCAATGATATTATAATAATATTCAATATGAGCTCCTGAATATCTTTTACTGTATTTTAGATTGAAGATGGTTGTTTCAAACAGGGACGGCCGGGAAAATCAATATTTACTCTAAAGAATTGTATGCTAAATTTCTATTTCCCGGCCGTTCCAGGAAGTTGGCCGGCTACATGATTTTGTCCCACAAGATGTCACAAAATCGACCAAAATGACGTACGCTATTTTCTAATCACTGACTCACTCATCCATCATCACTTTTCCCATCATACTGTATTCATTCAACGAATGCTATTCATTCTTTCATTATTGCAGTGCAAGTACATCCCACCAACAGGTTCCCAGAAAATGATATGGTCGGCTGATTCAAAACATCATCAACGTGATTGTTCAATCTCTATGGAGACGACATCCAGTGTGCTTCGTTTTGGACGACGTCGTTGTCGTCAAAAAGATACCACAACCACGACGACCATGATGCCTTCCATTACATTCAGAGACTCCTCCTCGAGCTTCAAGAACTCACCCTCAGTCCAATCTTCTTCAAGAACAAGAAAATTGGAAAAGAGAAGTTCCTACGGATTGGGAAAGTTACGCTTTCAAAGAACACATGGTATGCTCGGGATCTTCTCACTCCCATCAGTGCTATGGGCCCTCTACATGGTTAAGACAACAACGGCCACAACAACCTTGGATCTTACCACAATTCTATCGGTCAGCTTGGCAATTCTTTCCACGGCAGCCTTGGCGATCAGTGCCATTCCAATGCTCAAGCAGGTCCCCAAATCGACCGTCATTTCAAAACGATGGAGGATTATTCCTCCACACAAGGAGGCTTTTCGTCGGACCGTTGCCATTGTGGGGTATTTGGATCTGCGGCTCGCCAATGAACTGTTCAAAATAATATTATTACCAGGAGAGCGGCGACAGCTATCAGAGGATTGGCAATCGTGGTTTGCCAAGGGACTTTGCATGTACTACTTGTGGTTCTTCTTTCCTCGAGGGTCATTTGACAATGGAAATACTTGGGTATTCGTCGTGCCAATGTCAATTGGTTTTGGGGTGGACGTTTATCATCAATTATCATCAAATTGGATGCATTGGAACGACTCGGTGGTGACGGTCGAGTATTTACTCTTGACGTTACTTTCCTCCCAGATTGTCGCCTTCATGTTCACGCTTGGATTCCGCGACATTGTCCCCATCCGATACGGTTATTGGATTGCCGCCCTCGTCGTTTTCATGTTGTGCGCTGGAATGGGAGTCAACTACTCCTCTTCCAATGTTATGTCACACTAAGAAATGGTTCTGAGATTTAGAATACTACCTCCGTTGTCGTGTCTATTAGATTTTTTGTTCTGCCATCATCATTGTATGGCCAGGACGAAACGCATTGCACCCAAAGCTTTGCGAGTCTTCGGCATTATCGTGGCAGTTTTTGGATCATCATTCGCCCAATAATGGTGTTGAGCGTGCGGTGCGTTTTGAGCGAACGACTCGTATTTCACAGCGATGTTATCCCGGCTTGACAGATTGGGATATTCCCTGTTTGTTGAGTCGCGATGAGCGTTACCTCGTGTCTTCATTTGTCCCTCTTGCTACCATGCTATTAAAATAGCTAGCCATCGCATTCCAGATCTTCATTCCCTGCCTCCAGCCTCTTCTACTATCCAAACATGTACAGTGTAGAAAACAGAAGTGCTGCACTGCCAATCCAAGGTAAAGACTGAAACTGTTTGACACCCCGCGACACTTCCCCATACTGAAACAGGACAATACAAAGGTTTAGATTATTCATTCAGCAGAAGTCAGAAAAGCAACAAAGATATCGACTCACCCCAACCGCCAAATGAAAAAGTCCGGCATCAAAAACCTCTTCCCCCGAAACAACAATTTTGTAGAGTTTGCCTTCCTCTGAAGGGAAGGTCACTGTTTGTTCCGAGTCAGTTGCCGACATGTATTCCGAGTGCGTTATACATTGGCTACAATCATCTTCCCCCACAACAGCCAACCCTAATAATCCCTCAGTGACATCAGCCCGAAGAGTCACATCGATATCCATTCCTGTTCCTTGGATGGAATAGAACAAGGCTTGCGAGTGCTTGCCCAGATTGCATAGCTCGTCTTTGATCCCATGTGGCCATGCGCCAGTTGTTAGTCCAGTTAAAGAATCACCCAATTTTAATGGTTGCGCAAATTCACATTGGTCGTTGCTCGGCCTTGGAGCTTCCGATGTCTGAAAAAAAGAAAACAAAAAAAACGAATACAGTTAGACTTGGTCTCGTTTCGATAAGTACGAGAGTGGACCTTCAATCATACCATAATTTCCAAGACGAAAATATTGTCGTCGCCTTCGGGATCCCCAAATACTTTGAAGTAGTACGTTGTTTCCTTTTTGGCAAACCAAGTCAACATGTTGTCTCGATGTTCCGCCGCATGCCCAAGAATACATTCTAGCTCGTCACCACAATTCAATCCTTTGAAGAGCGCAAATGGCCTTTCAGTATTTTCTGCAGTCTCCAGGACTGCTTTGACATAGTGGTCGTTGCCTTCAATCTTGTACCACAGCGCAGGAGCTGCAACGTCGTAGTCAGAGAACGTGCCCTGCCCACATAATAATGACTCCGCCTGAGTGCTCTCCACAATGATAAGGGGTATCCTCAATTCGGCCATTGTTGTGTCTCCGCCGGCTCGAAATGGAAATGAGTTGACTGTTATCATTCCATTGCACTCATTGCTACTATCAGTCTTGTTCACAAAGATATTTCCAGTTGTCGTCGTCATGCCATCCGTTTCTTTGATTGGAAGTAAGATGCACAAAATAGCTGCTCGGCAAAAGCCGACACATCTTCGCTTCATATCCTAATCTTATAACAATGATTTCTTCGCTTTTTGCTGGTGAGAATTATTTGCCATTCGATGATTTGACTGCCATTTGACATCGATCAGTGCCATCATCTATGATGCTGTCTTCTCACACTTTCAAATCTCATGTTTATGGTGAACGGAAAGATCATCGACAATTTTTGCATTCAGTTGAGGTCACATACGAGCTGAGACACATATGCGACACAAAAGGTATGAATATTGTTGCTAAAAATATAGAAAACATATCATGTACTGTAGGTAGAACAAAAAAAGAAAGTCCCTCATCATGTCACTATCTGCAGAAGGAAATAACATCTATTTTCGAAACGTTAGTACTGAAGGGATTCTTTGTCGATATCACATCCTCTCTTGTTATGCCGAAGATTGTTTAGATCAAAACCGTTGAATGGAATACTACCGTGTATCACCAATATCCTGTCATCTATCACTGCTCCGAGGGAAGCTGAAGCAGGACTTCTCGAAGCATTTCATAAGTTTCTTCGTCATACCTACTGTCCATGACTTGTGTTTTGAGTTTGTCAGTGTAATAGGAACAAGACCTGTGACTCCCAGTATGAAGGTTCATGCATTCATTGTAACATTGTTTGATCAGTAGTAGCAAACCTAGAAGACATTCCAGGCTCTGCTCCCCTTTGTCTGTGATATCACCGTTGAAAAAATGTAAGGCCTTTCGAGAGAAGGAAAGCGATTGATATACTTTGAAAAGATATATATCATATTGAGAAATCACAATGATTATATCTCCCGCAACATGTTCCCACATTCCCAACATAATTTGAAATTAGACACGTGACACTCGCTGTATTAGATTGCCGAAGAAGCCTCTCACTTTGCACCCTTATTCACAATGAAGGTACACGGTACTGCAGTATTGTACCGGTAAGGGTGGCGGTATGCTGGGATCATGAGGATCGAGCCCCTCCGATGAGCTAAAGATCAGCAATGTAAGAATACATGTAGTACAGTTCTATCGTGTTACAATGCTCGCCAGTCGAGCTTCGATTGATGATTTATTGATGTGTGTTTCACACCTGCAAATTGCTCAACGTTCATCGATCTATCGTTGGAGTAGATGTTCAGGTACGCCCCGCTATCTGTAGCCTTCTTTGGAAACGAGTGGATAGTGAGGACTTTACCATCGTGGTGGTAACGGAATCCAGCGGAGACACTCTGATGTGCTCGGACAACGTACTCGAGACCATTTTTCTCTAGAAAGCCTTTGGTTGTCGCAGACGTATACCAACCTCTGTCGTCATCGTTTTCTTCATCGATCTCAAAGTCGTATCTGGCTATCCTCTCGGCTGCCCGCGTAGAGACTTGCTCTTTAGTGAAGAAGTCATCATCGTCATCATCTTTCTCGTCGTCATCGTCATCACTTTCAGGATCTGACCACACACTACGTCGAAACAAGTATCCTTCTTTTGATTGATCATCTACGTCCAGTCCTCGTTGGTAATGTCGGAGATCGTTGAGATTGAAACCATTCATTGGAATGCCACCATGAACTACAAAGATCCTGCCATCAACAATTGCCCCCAGCGGAAGTTGAAGCAGAACTTCTCGAACCAATTGATATGTCTTCCAATCATACACTTCTGTCACTTGGGTTTTGAGTGTTTCTGTGTAGAACATCCATGTCTCGTGATTTCCAGTATGCAAATGTATGCACTCGTTACAGTATCGTTTGATCAAGAGCAATCCCAAAAGACATTGCAAACTCTGATCTCCTCTATCGGTAAAGTCGCCATTGAAAATGTATGGCCTCCCGAGAGAAGGAAAGCCGTTGATCTTGAAGAGATGGATCATGTTGAAGAAGTCACCATGTATGTCCCCCACAACCTGTTGTTAAGATGGCCGTGTGATGCATGTGAGGGAGCGTGTGGTTGGTTCCATCGGTCATTTGCCAAGAACTTACTGTTATTCCTTTCTTGCTTGCTTCAGCATCTTCCTCAAGCCCTATCGTGGGCAGTGAAATATGGTAGATTGTATCACTCTGAGAAAGCAGTTGCTTTCCATCTTTCAGAAGCTCTTGAACATAGGCCTTGTCCAATGTGGATCCTTCGTACAGTTTCTGCAGAGCATCAATAACTGCCCTTTTCCTCTTGTAGTCAATATGAGACGCAATTACAGTTGGCGTTTGTCGAAGTCTGCGAGGACGAGATGCTAATAGATTTCGCTCTTCCGATGCCTCAAGAGTTGTTGGGCGAGACATTTGCATCACCAGAAGTCCAGAAAACACAAGCAGAGTAACCTGAAGCGGAAGCAAGAAGTCGCCTAATCTCTTGGGTCCCAAGACGCCCGAGTTTTGTCTTTCAATCATCATCTTATCCTTCATTTTATTAGCGATACTTTCCAAAAAACCTGATCACTGCTAAAATCGGCAACCACAAAAATCGGGAAGGATGCGTAATTTGTGATCACCGAAACGGCAGAGACTGTGGTACTGCGGTACACTATGACAGTCATCACCAACGTAGATTCCTTGGAAGATTCTACCACAATCTTTAGTTCACTTTACCCGCGAATCCAATTTTTTGCGGACTGTAGTATTTAAGGCAATGTCGACGGTCTCTCCCTTTACACGGCTCAATTTGTCCTAGTCTGACGTGGTATTTTCTCACCCGAATCTCATTAAAAAAAGAGGTGTTGTACTGGTACAGCCTGCAACTTGTTTTATAAAAATGTATGCTGTACTCGAATCTTCCACTTTGGCGATTTTAACTTGACCCACAACGGATAAGTTCCTCTAGATACGTTGTGAAACTTGTAGTCAATAAACGGTGAGCACTGAACCTTGTTAGAAACAAATACTGAGTATATTTCTTAAAAGTGATCGTCGATTCATATAGCAAGTTTGTAGTAGTATGGCAGACAGCTGGTACACTGAGCAAAAGTATTCCAGCACCGTGCTCTTGTGACTACAGCGACCGCCAGTCAACCTTAGAATGATTATCAATCGACGAGAATTGCATCCCCGAGAACTGCTCGACATTCATTGATCTGTCGTTCGAATAAATGTTCAGATATGCTCCTTGATCTTGTGGCCTAGTGGGATTCGAGTGAATTGTGACGACCCGTCCATCATGGTGATATCGGAATCCTTTGACAAAGTTCTCGTGTCCTCTTACGATGTATTCCAGACTATGTCTTTTTAAGAAAGTCTCAGTATGATCAGCAGTGAACCACCCTCGATCATCATCGTCCTCTTCCTCATCGCCACTCTCTTGTCCTTCACTGCTTTCCTCTGAGGAAGAATCTCCTTCAGTGGGGTCTATCCAAACGGATCCTCGAAACAACATTCCTTCCGCTGATTCTCTGTCGTAATCATGCCCTCGTTTGTAGTGGCGAAGATCCTCCAGATTGAATTCCTTCGTGGGAATGCCAGCATGCACCACAAAGATGCGATCATCGATTATTGCTCCCAATGGAAGTTGGAGTAGAACCTTTCGAGCAAATTGGTAGGTTTCTTCATCATACTTCTCAATAATTTGTGATCTGAACCATTTGTGGTAAAACGACTGTGTTTCGTGGTTACCCACATGAAGGAATATGCATTCGTTGCAGTAGAGTTTGATCAGCAGAAGACTCAAGAGGCACTCCAAACCTTGCGGTCCCTTATCGGTGAAATCTCCATTGAAAATATAAGGCCTTTCAAGCGACGGGAATCCGTTCATCTTGAACAGGTGAATCATATTGGGAAGGTTGCCGTGGATATCTCCTACTATCTAATTTTAAAAAAGGAAGGTTGGCACGTAGTTAGAATGTGTTCGTCTTTCAGGAAGAACAGTCGCAATAGATTGATTCGATTCTTTGACTTACTGTAATGCCCTTCTTGCTCGCTTCTGTATCTTCTTCCAATTCTATCTTTGGCATTGTAATGTTGTAGATTGTATCAATCTGAGAGAGTAACTTCTCTCCTTTTTCCAGGGTATCTTGGACATACTGCGTGTCTAGCTTGGTTCCTTCGTACATCTTCTGCAACTCATCAATGACTCCCCTTCTCCTTTGGTAGTCGACATGAGACGAAATGGCCAACGGGATGTGTCGAAGTCGTTGTGGATGCAGCCTGTCTTGTTCCAGCTGCCTGAAGCTGCCTGAACAAGGTTGTGATATTTGAACCACAAAAATTGCAGCGATCAACAGAAAGCTGATCTGAAGAGGCAAGTTGTAGAGCCGTATTCTTCGAACTGTTGAGTTCTTGGTGACTTCTTGTTCAAACATCATCTTGTTGGAAGTCTGAGCTCAAGGTCGGTAGGCATTTGAAAAGGTGTGTCTGAATTTTGTGTCTGTGTTTGTTCGCATCGATTATTGCGAATCTGCTTGCGCATATTGCTTCGCCCACCGCATCCACGACAAGTGAGTTTGGGAAAGGAATGCGTGGTCGTTTCTTGCGCGAATGACGAATAATAAATACACTGTACATTTTAAAAAAAAACCAGCACGTCCGCCGCTCGACGGACCGTCATCGGTAAGAAAAAACGAGGAGGGAACATAAAGGGACAAGGGATCATCCAACTACGTTATCAAAGTTATTAAAATACTACTTCGGGCAGTCCAACAGTGACGTGAAGCCTACGGCCACCAAGCCATATCTTTCACAACCTCGCTGGCGACCGCGGTCACCTTTGCCTCTGGATCACTAAAGGATCTTTTCGCAAGAAGTACGATGGCTTCTTTGTGAGGGAGAACTGACTCCAGAATCTCTTGACTCGTTACAGTCGTATCCTTCAGTTCCACACCTGTACGTGTACTCGTCCGTGCTCCTTTCGGAACGCGTGTGACCAGTGAATGAAGCAGTTTCATTCCAGCTAGCCTAACTCGCCAAAACTTGCGATCCTTCATTGCTTTGGTGACAATGGATTCAATCAGCGATAGGAAATCAAACTTGCAGAGTACCGAGTCGTCACTATTTGAAACGAGTGATACACCGCACATTGCAGCGGCCTCTCGCACAGTCCACGCGGGATGCTCAAGGCAGTGCAAGAGGATTTTTGCCGAGACCACATCATCAACCTCGTCGTCTTCGCTTCCGACACGCCTCCAAAGTGAAGCACCGTAACAGTCTAAGGATCGCGCCACTACCAATGGCGGCTCTTTGCTTTTCCCCTTTGAAGCATCAAAATCAATGTTGAAAACTGAAACAAGCTTTTCAGATGTAATTTCGTACACTCTCTTGCGCAAGGCATCATCGTGTAGAGTAGATCCAAGGCTATCCAGAAGATTCTTGAATGATCCCAGTGCTCCAGCTCGGTATGGCAATATCTCTTCGTCCGAGACAGCAATGCAGCTTCTTGCCGAGGGAAAACCTTGAACCAGTAGCAATCGGCAGAAGCCAAGGAAGTTTACAGGCACCAAATTAACAGTGTCTTCCTGATTGTCGTCCGGAGCATTCGTTTCCATATCACTTATGTCACTTGCTGATGGTTCCGCTTGGGGACTCTGTTTGGCGGTCTCACTTGGTTCATTCTCATCTTCCTCTATGGTATCTTCGTGGCTCTGTTTAAACCAGTCATCGCCAACAAAAAGATCGTCACTTGATTGGACTTTCATCATCAACGGGCTCGACTCATTCTCGGCTGCTGATGTCCAGTTTGAGGCGATTCTCACGGCTGCATTCGTAACTTCGTTTTTCCCAGACCACAACCTTGGGCTAGACAAGACGTTCACAAGGGAGTCTAGTGCTAGGTGACACGCAATTCGGCGTCTCTTTGATCTTTGTTCATCCAAATCGGTTTTGTCTAAAACTTTCCGATTTGCCAATGGCGCCAATATTTGATTGGCTGCAAGTTCCTTTAAGGCAGAGGCACCAGATGCTCGTCTTGACCAAGACACATCTGCCAATGCTTTCCTGCATTCTTTCACCAGCTCCAACAACAACTTTTCTTCAAGCACCGTTCCAAAGTCACCAACCGCTTCCGCCAGACTAGCCGCTGCACCCCCGTCGTCCCATACCTAAACATGAAAAGCACATGTTAACAACAGTTTCATTCACCATGTTTTCAAAGATAAGATGTCATACCTCTTTCCAAAGCTGCGCAATTTTTTTGTCCGTGTCCCGCATTCCAATAAAGCTGACAGGGAGAACTTTGTTGCACCATACATTATTGCTGCCGCCATCTGCAAACTGGTCTTGCGCTCGAACGGCAATGGCTCGCAATATGATCGCCGCTGACAATCGCACAGCAGGATCATGATTCGCTCCTGTAGCCCTATTGTAGTTGTTGCAAGCACGAAGAGCTAGTGTTCTGACACTTGAACCAGGACAAAGAGCAGCCAAGCTTCCAAATGCGTGGACCATCTTGTTTCTAGAGTTGGTACCTGCTTCACGCTCTGCCCCGTGAAAGAAACCATGAAGTAAACCCACAGATGGATTCGTACTATTGGATCCAGTAAATTTGAATGCGCGGGGACAAGAGTTGCAAAGGGTTGTGCATGCATCAGCGACAGCAGCTCTTGTAGTAAAACCACTTGATTGCCGAAGAGCACTATTCAATTGTGGAATGACTGCTTGTTGCACATCCCAATCTAGCTGAGGAACCATTTCTAGAAGTTTCATCACTGCCTCAGCAAGGGGGCCAGTTTGAGAAACTTGAAGGCGAAGCCTTTCAATCTCTCCAAATGAGCTTCCCGCGCCAGTCCCTTGGCCTGCCGCGCGAACCTGAAAATAGTTAAGAGCTGCTGGTTCAAGACTGGACATAGCAAGAAGTAACGATCGAAGCAAGTCGGGCACAAGCGGCTGAAGAATCGAATGATTGACAACAGAAATCACCCCAACCAAGCATGACATGGCCACACCAGCAGCTTCTGCACAAGGCTGATTGAGCCCGTGTTTGATGAGCCACCGCAAAGATGTGGCAGCTGCAGCAGCTGAGTCTCGTGCATGGGACTTCTTATCAACTACTTCTTTCGTAGCATCTTCACTCGCCGATGGATCACACAGCCGTACTAGAAGAGTTTCTGGATTGTCAGATCAGAACCCGTCGACAGATACAATAATCAATTGAACGCACCTGTTAGGCTCCGAAGCCCTCTAGCTAAAGTCTCACCATTCTCTCTGACAGCAGCCCGTACGTCATCAAGAGATCGCATCGCAATATTCCAGAGTTTCAATAGTCGGATTCCTGCAGTTTTGGTCACAGAATTCGAAAGAATGTCGTCATCATCAAGGACAGCTGGGCCCTACAAAGCCATATGATGAGGAAGAACTGGTTTGTAATTCAGACTACAGTCGGAAACAACTTACTCCTCCTAAATCAGTCCAAGAACGACCAACTAACACTTTTGCGAGTGCACCAGTTGCACCTGCACGTGCTCGCCAGAGCCTGTGCGACGTATCTTTGATCAAGCTGTCGATGATTGGAAGCAAATGCTCCGAAATGGCATTTCGCGCATCAGCACCGCCCCCAGTCAGTCCGTTCCAAAGATTCTGCATCTTTTCACGGGTTTCTTTGTTTGGGTCATGGGATGCACGGAGCAATCGGGGCATAATTTTACCAAGATGTGGGCGCAAAGCCTGTCGCAGTTCCAGAGCATTTGTTCGGCTTCCAAGGATTGAATTTTCGCCCAATAAGGCGGAAGGTCCATATCTCTCTCTACCAAGCTTGGACGACCAAATTGGATGCGTGACAGAAAGCAACAAGAGTGCATACAAGACATCCGGTCGACCAAGAGCAACTGCTGCCTCTGCCATCTCTCTGTAGGCACCAAGCGAAGCCTCCGAAACACCAGCTGCCCCTCCGACCTCGGGCTCAATACCGATGGCTTCTGCGAGTGCTTCTCCATTTCGGTTTTCAGATGAGCTTTCTTGTGCACGGCGAAGAGCTGCTTGGCTTTGGGTTTCTTGCATTGCGCTGCTTCCGTAGTTTGTCGTTTGCCCAAATGCATGAAGAAGCTGTGTGTTTACTTCGTTGCCACGATCCGAGAGCTTTGCAATGCTTCGACACGCAGCAAGACCAAGGCAACAACTTTCTCGACAGAGATGCTTGCTCTTCGGATCAGAAAGAATGGAAATAAATGCAGACTGAAAGTCATCGAGATGAAGGCATAGTTCTTGTACCAAGGCAGTTTTGCCATAGGTTGGGTCGTTGTTGACCTGACGAATGTGGTGCAGTGAGATCGCGAACAAATACTAAATACAAAGCTAGCAGCGTTGGCTCACCTTGGCCGCTGCCCGCGCCACTAGAGCTAGCATGACAGGAGCATAAGCGGTCCGCTTCAATGGGTTGGAAGACAATTTGGATCCTCGAAGAAGCAAATAAATAGTCTGCATATACAGCGATTGAAAGGAAAATGAGAATCATGCAAACTGTTATTGTAGAAGAACGAGTTTGGCGAAATGACTGAATTACCTGTTGATGCGGTGGTAGCGATTTGGCAAACTCCGTATCCAAAGTTTCTGGCCATGATTCGGAACTTTTGGTCTCCCAGACCATACTTTTTGGAACCCATGCATATGCTGCCAACGCCTCTCCAGCCTGCAAAGCTATCTCTTCGTCTTTTCGATACGCCGCGGATCCCAGCAACGATATGACAACTTCGACACATTGGAGTCGAGCACCGTGTAATTTATCTTTCTCGGATTGCTTTCCAGACGATGGTATGGTTGCTTCAAGGCAAGCGCCGATAGCAACAGTGGCTTTTGCTGCCCTTGAGACATCAGTGTTTGAGTCGCCACTGAACTTCTTCAAAGCGGCAGATAGACCAGAAAGGGCGGCCGTCGCCCCATCATAGATTCGAGCGTCAAACTGGGGTGAATCCGTGTTTCGAGACTGAGAGGACAGGGCAACCGAGAGGGAGTCGATGTATGCTCGAGAAATCAAATCATCTGAGATCAGCGTGCCATTGCCCAACAGCGTAAGAATTTGGGACGCCAAGGTCCAACCTTTGTCGGACGAAGTCATGTCAGGATTCAACCGGATTTGCTGGACACAGGTAGCCGCAAGAAAAGCAGCACCATGAGAGTGTCCACGGCCGTCCGTGGACCCATTCAAAAGCTTCAAGCAGCTTTCCATGAGCCCAACAATTGAGTCTGACCATTTGTCTTTTCCCCACATTTCCACGTCGCCATAGATTGATCCACAAGCCGCGGCAAGATCTTGACAGGCTCTCGACGACGATGAAGTCAAGGCCAACTTTTGAAGATCGTCAAGTTGCATAGATAACTCAAGTTTGTCATTCGCACCAAACATAATTTTTCGTGCTTCTGATGAAGTGGACATGCATATTGCCAAAGATGCTGAGCTCTGATCAAGCAGCTCAGTATATTGTCGACCCTTATTGGAAACTTGAGATAGCGACTTTGTCACTGCGTCCAAATACGAATAGATGGCATCGTCATCACCACCATACAAATCATGCAACAAGCATTGTAACAGATACGAAATGGATGTCGCCTTGCCTTTGGGACTGAATTCCCAGAAATTGGGCCTCCAGGCTCCGCCTGTTGATTCCGTTTTGACCAGTAACAAATCAGTCAAGAGAGAAAACTCTCCAAAATGTGAATCCTCTTGTTCGTTCTCCTGTGATCCACCAACCTCCTGACTAACGTACAACTCCAACGAATCATCTAGACCAAGACCACGTCGTGCAATGGAAGCAACGGAAGCATCCTTGTCACCAGTCAGAAAGCAAAGGATGTGACAGGCATTTGTCAAATCCAAGATCCGCACAAGCTCGCTGGACCAACGACTCGCTGCTAGACGACTTGGCTTTGGTTGCGATGGCAAACACGCTCCCCAAAGAATTGGAAGCAGCAACTTGGCAAGCTGTGATTTTTGTTCCGAGTCCACGTTTGCTGCTGCTGCTGTTCTTGTTACATCGCTTTCCATTCCAACATCTGGCGACGCAGTTGTAGTAAGCGTCATCCAAGGATTGTCCACTTGTGCTGATGGTGGTGGTGCCGTACTAGTAGCTCCTTTGTCTTGTTCAGTTCCTTGTTGACTCACTACTGCTGATGACGATTCGTCCTGATTGGCAATCCGACAATAGGCAGCAAGGACTGCATCCAATGCGGCTGTCGCACGTGGCAAGAGGGCTTGTTCTTCCTTGGCCACACAGGCGAATAAAAGAACCGTCGTGTCAACGTTCATCTTATACGAGGAGGCTTCATCGTTTTGTTCCTTGCCCAATGCAAACAGCCACGAGGCTGGTTCGTTCACAATGATTGTGGAACGAGACAGCAAACAAATAATTCCATACAAGGCATCCCGCACGGATTGGTTCCCTTCGCTACTCGCCGTCTGTGTGATGGTAGAACCTGATGTTGTCCCGACAATGGTGGTCGACAACGACGTACAGGCCAATGCCATGACTTTGGCCATGAGTGACTGGATGCGGTTTAGAGTCTGGACTGGTATTTCGACCGTGTTCGTTTCCATTGTGGACAAGCACCTCACCACGAGTGCATTCAAAACTTGGGCCGCGCTGACATATGGTTTCCCCTTGAGTGCTGTCAATCCGGAAGATGTCCGTAGTTTGGATAGCATCTTTGAGGATGCCAGCAGCGAAAGACTCCCAATCTGTTCCATAATGGTGGGAGACGAGTGAAACAATTGAGGAGACTCTGTCAGGATCTTTTCCATATGAATCATCATTGCCGCAAACGGACTATCCGACACCATTCTCCGTCGAAAGGGCATTGGATTGGCAGCACTGGAGTGATCCAAGCCAAGAGATGATGGCACTGAAGAAGAAGATGATGATGATCCTGAAAGCGCCAAGAGTGCATTGTTGGAACCGACACAAAGGGTCAGAATCTCCAAAATGAGACTGATATTACTGGTGTTGGTCATTCCCCGATCCGGATGTTGGCCCGCATCGTCTCGAAAGTGTTTCAAATACAGGCTTGCTTGATTGGAGACTTGTTGTAGTTGACTACTGCCACTCGCCACCAATAGTAGAGTGCAGGTCCGAGCCGGAACTTCTGGAAACAGACAGGTCGACAAGGTGGGTGCCATCCATTCGAGCATCCGAGTTTTCAAAAGAGACAATCGTGCGGGCGATGTCATTTCTTGGACCCAACTTTTGTTCGATAAAACTCGCTGCTGTCCCGCTTCCGAGCATCCCGCGGGAGGCACCGAGTTGGGAGCCGTTGGCTGAAAGAAGAGTAGGTCCAACAACAAATCGTAGAGTGCCGCAGCAGCTATGGGATCCTTGGACAATGCTTGATGAATGGTTTGCATGAACAAGCGTACGGGTGTCGCAGTAGTATCTCCATTTTTTGGTTTGAGAGTTCCACCAGCCATCATTTCCGAAGGCAGTGTTGTTGTGGTTGTTGTCGTGGTGGAACTACTAGAAAGTCGAGCCTTTTTGGACACTTGTTGTTTATCATTGTTGTGATATTCCATGGTCGCTTCTAATGCTCGTATCAGTAAATGTGATATTTGATGCCAATGGGAACGTGTAGTAGCATTGTTGTCAGTCGCCAGTACTCGACTGGCGTAGTGTCCATGCAATACAATCAAACCTGGCAAGAGTTCTTTCAATTCCGTTTCATCACATCTTGGTATTCCCAATGTCAAAAAGGTGAGTGATAGATTCAACGTGAATGGATCCACAAACGGATCCGCCTTTCGTGCTGTTTTGTCATCGCTTATTTCTTCATCGTTCAACAGCAATAAACTCAAAATAGAAGCACAATTCAACTTGACACTTCGATCGTCCCGTATTCGTTTCATCGCATGGGACAGAATTTCGACCAATTTGGCATGCATTTTCGAGAGGACATCCGCCAGTTTTGGATCACTTTCCACTTGTTGCTGCTTGTGATTCTTGCCAATCCGATCCAACAATCGAGCCAACAGTTTGTCCAGGACGGATTGCAATTTGGCTGAACTGTCCAACATGGCCAGTCGATGGCCGACTCGACCTAAACTGGAAAGGTCGGTCGTGGCTGTTTTGAGTGCTTCTGACATGCTTGATTGATGGATTGCTTGCTTGCTTGGCTATTATATCTCATGTATACATGCAATGAATGGTGTTTGTGGGAGTGAGAAACAAAGATAAACAATGTTTCCTTCATCTTATTTGATCTTTGTCATTCGGTTTCCTTCCAATCGGTTCATTCGAGAACTTTAGTCGAACCAGTCAATATATATAAGATTTTTTCTCTTTTTGATTTTTTATGTCACACAGTTCCTTTTACAATGTGGCACATACAGCACTGATACTGTATGTCACAGGAATCAAACACAATCAATACCAGGAACTGACGACATAGTACAATATTTTCAATCATTGATCATTGCTTGGTTTTTGAAAAATAATATTGTTACAGCTTCTCTTTTTATTCGTCTTTGCCGCCACACGATTCGGCGAGACTTTCTATTGTTGTTGTTGTTTGTTTGTTTCCCATTGTTACTATTGCCCACACAAAGATTGGCGCTCCCCTTTCAAAACACTCTCACTATGTCACATACATGCTTCATATTATGGCATACCCATCGTCATGAGTATCATCATCATGTTATCGATGTCGACTGAAGGTTCGTACACAGAATCCTGCCACCACAGCCACGGCAGCCAATGCTACCTTTGCCGTAGTGGACACGTGATTGTCGTCGTCGTCGTCCTGTTCCATGACTTCCGCCGATTCACCCTTCATGTCGGCCTTGCCCCACTTGTCGTTGTTGTCTTGATACAAGTCTTCTAGATCTGATTCATCATCATCACTAGTGTCGTCTTCTTCTTCTTTTGGTGATAGATTGCTCTTTTTGGGTGTTTTCATTTCTGCCAAAGCTTCGTTGTTGGTTTCAGCCTCCTCTTGTTCTAGTACCTCTTCCAATGAGTCGCGATCCATGGTCTGGGATATTGGTGGAGCATCCTGCTGCTGTTGCTGCTGCTGCTGCTGCTGTGTGGCAATAGTAGGAAGAGCAGCATCATGATTGACTTCTTGAATGGACGGCAATTCCGAGGTGGGGGAAGGCACCCGACGAAAGTCACTCTTGTTCGTAGTAGCAGTAGTGGCAGCAGTGTCTTGTAGTTGTTGACTCGAGTCTTCTCCTTCTTTCTCCTCCTCGGATGCTTCTTGGTCGTCCTCGGCGGAGTCTTCCTCTTCTTCTTCCTCTTCTTCTTCCTTGTGCAAAATATGGTCCGATGCGGAGGATGCTAGGCTTTGCCGCCTGCCCTTCGTATTGTTGTTGTTGTTGTTGCTGTTGTTGTTGTTATTGCTGTTGCTGATATTGTCAGGATTCGTAAAGGTCGAATGTGCATCATCCTCTTCTGCATCGACATGATTGTCTTGTTCGCACAATTTATGAAGTTCGGAAAGCTGCCTGGCAAGTGTTTCTTGATATCCCTTGAACAATGCCGGCGTGTTGGAAACATTGGTCGTTTGACTATTGACGGTCTGACTGCCTTCCAAAGAAGTCACATCATCATTTTCATTATTCTCGGAGTCAAAGGAATAGGAGGAGATTAATTTGTCAATGTTATCCATGGCGGCGGCAGTGCTGTTGCGGAGTTTCATAGGAGAGGATGGTGGTGTTGGAGGATGTTGTTCTTGTTCTTGTTGTAAATATTGATCTTGGTCTTGTTGTTGCTGTGGTTGATGCTTGAGTTTTTGCTGCTGGTGTTGGTGTCGATAGGATTGTTGTCGTTCCATTTGAAAGAACTTGTCGAGATTTATAGGATTCTTGGAAGGGGATCCATCCGCAGAACAACTGGTATATTGATTACTATTGTTGCTGTAGCTGCTGTTGGTTCGATCCAAGTTGTTTGGATTGGCAGTTGGTACGGCTGGTACTGCAGGTGGAATCAATGGTCCTGATGATATGGAAGAAGCAAATGAGGCAACGGAATCCTTTCTGGAATGATGATGAGCAACAGTTTCTTCTAATACCTTGTTGACTTGTTGTTCTTCCTCTTCCTTGTTGTCGGTGGTTGCCTCCTTTTGCTGTTCTTCTTCTTCTCCTTCTTCTTCTTCCTCGTCACTCTCCTCCAACGGGAGTCCCTTTTGTCTTCGTTCGAGCAACCGTTTGCGTTTCGCTTTGGCCCTGGCAAGGGCAGACTGTTCATCTGTAGTTTCCGTTTCTTGCATTTCCTCTGGCAATAAGGAATGCAAGGGATGACTAGGATTTTGTTGGCGTAGACTCTTGCGTCCCAGTCGTCGTTTCTGACGAAAGGGCGACTTGCCTGGGCTGCCAATGGGTTCCGAAGAGGCTCTTGCCAAATCCGACGTTGGCCCGGGCATGAAATCATCCCCGTCTTCTTCTACTGCTGCTGCTGCTGCTGTGTCAGCGTTAAAGGAAGTCCCACGTTTGAGTGGGGGTTCCACGGGATAGTCCTCGACTTGTTCCTGGGTGGAAAGGTGTTGCAGCGACTCCTGCACCTCTTCTGCCATGGCGAAGGTGGTTGGATGATGGGGAGGAGGAGGAAGATTGATTCGCAATCCGCAGGTGATTTTAAGGTGAATAAGGTGTCTGTGACGATCTTTCGTTGAATCAATCAATCAATCAATCAATCAATCGGACAAATTGACGGTCCTTCTGAATCACAGTAAATGCTGATCGTTCAGTGAGCGTGAAGTGAATGAATCGGTGAAGTTTCAATCTCGACAAGCACAACAAGCATATATATCGTGTACGTGTGGTATGTGTGTGTACCAATACAGTAGTACCGGTATTCTCTTTGCATACGCAGCTTTTGATTGAGTTTCGAATCTTGCATGCTTTGAATCGCCATTTCGCCACCAATGTCCCCGGGTTACCTTCGCGCCGACCGCTCCGTTTGTTTAACAACTTTGACACCTAACGGACCAAATGATGTGAAAGCGAATTGAAGTCGTGTATTATTTTTAGGCGGGATAGATCGTGACTGTCCACGATAGCTGAGGACAATAATTGAGCGTGCGATAATGCGCATTATTGATTGACTCAAGATAGGTTGAGTCAATCAATAATGGCCATTATTGATTGCTCAACACGTCATTTACTTAATGGCTAAAACGGATGGATCATCATGGTTGCTATCTCAAGATTCAAATTTGGGGAAAACCCCACAAGCATTTTTCAAATTTCGCATCTTATTGTTTTCCAACATGTTCAATGTCGTATCTATGCATGTAAAAATTGTAGTCGTTGCAGCAGACCTCCGCCTCACAAAGGAAAACTAACTCTTGATCGTAACAATCATGAGTCTAATGAGGTTATCGCTTGGCAAAATCAGGCCGTCAGTGTTCTAAGGTAGATACAAAAAGGAGAACACAAAAAAGCATAGTCCTACGATAAAAAATCGAAGAGTGTTGAGCAATAGTGTTGTAATACTGTTCATAGGTATCTTCGTTGCTCTCGTGAAATTTATTTAGCTCCAAATGATGAAGTCTATGATAGACTTCATGTGCCATGTGGTTTTCCGTCCAAAGAAAATGGTTTTGCGAAAGTGACGCTTCAACCATGAGGAATACTAGAACGGCATAACAGAAAGACATGTTGGCCCCTCTAACGTCTTGGACAAAGCATCTATTCTTGAGATAGCCATAGGCAGTATCTGTTCTCATGCGATGAATACTTACGAAGCAATAACCAACATTTTCAGAAAACAAGATCGTGCCCGATCAACAAGCGACAAGGCTGTCTTGGTCTCAAATTTGGCAAAGAAACGGTGAGAACTTGATGAATCTCGTCAACGCTTGGAAGAACGTAATAGCCAAACATAAGTGTGAAGGAAAAATGGATACTCACTTCACCTTTTTCAAAGCACACGACAAAGACAAGGTCATCGTCGAGGATGAGGTGAAGAAAAATTGGAGTGCAACATGCTCAAGATTATTGGCATTTCCAACAATTAGGTAAATATATATATGACGCGAATTGTTTGTACACGTCGCACAAAGATCTCTTTTATTTATAGGCCCTAGACTTTTTCACGGTGAAACTATTTCTTGATCTCGCGGTGACACATTTTTGTCTGGGGTTTCGTGATTTCATACAAATTGCACAAGACAACCAGCATCCTTTGCCTTCCAAGTCTATCAACGGCCAGGACGAATCGGCAATCAACCATCTAGTCACAAGCACACAAGGGAATGTACGATGTATCGATTATGACTGATTTGGTCATTAGGATTGTGATCGTTTTCCAATCCCTGGAGGGACAGCTGAAGAATGGGTGAGAAGAAGTTTGGATCAAAGTGGAGGAGCAAGAACTCGACGTAATGTTTTCAAGTCAGAGCAGCGTATACAGCACGGTGCAGAAGGAGATCGATGGAAGGAATGTTCTGGGCAATGTCTGTCGTAAGTGGGACGAGGCCTATATCAACGATTGTGGAAACATCAACGACTATGGAAAGCACCTGTTGGAAGTCGTACAGACGACTCCCCTGAGTCAGATAGTGACGAGTCTAAACCGTCATACATCAACCGTGAGAGTATGGAGAACCAGTCATGGGCAGATGTTGTTCGAAAGATGAACGATTGAATTACAGTAGTTTAAAACTGTGTAGAGGGTTTTGGGATGACCGAAAGCATGAGTTTGCTTTGGCCATTCGAAAACTCTTATCCCAACTAAAGCAAGTTTTATTAACGACTTTAAGGTTCATAGTATTAGGACTACGTTACGCCGAACAACTGAAGACTGATCGTCTCAGAGTATCGTAGGGTCTTTTATTTTCTAACAAGCACCGTCTTCAAGTCAAGGGTTTCATCCCAATAATGCAAATCGCGGAAGGAGATCCAATTGAAGGGCAAAAATGGTTACATGCCCTAATAGCAAATATTTTTATCTATTAAAATCTACGTTTTCAGCCAATTTCATTATCGATATGGTAGCCGAATCTGCACTCTTGTGCCATTGTCGTTTGTTTTCGTGAAAGTCTTTGTTTCAAAAGGACGAGTGCATTTTCGCAATCCCCTTTTATTTATTTGGAATGCCCCTCCTTGTCTATCTGGTCTTTACATGCGTAAGTACTGGTCCCTACCAGGATGTGCCGTTATTGATGGCTCAACATGACGGATAGATGTAGACAGAATGCGCACAAGCGGCGCCGTAGGCGCCGTGGAAATGTACGGACCCCCAGACATTCCTGGATATACATAAGGGTTAATAACAAGATATTATTCTTCTGCTGATCTAAGAACAAAAGGGGGATTGGGATCATAGGTATACCAAAAAGGACCAACATCACTCACCCAAAAAACCCCAAGATATTCAACATGAACAGACGCACAGCATAATATCGTATAGTAACAACGCTGTTGCAACAGTACAATATAGTATAGCTGGATTATCACCAAAGCAACAGAAAGCGAGTGAGTACGGCATCAAACAAGGCAGCTATCGCAATGTTTTCTAGGCTCGGATCTTCCATAAAGTCAAACAACAAATTCATCACACCACCACGAGTTCGATCGAACATTATTCTGAATGCCACAGCATCATCATCATCATCATCATCTGTGTCTCACAGCATGTACAATAAACGACGATGGTTGTCCATGCTCGTGTTGTTGGAACCCCGTATATTGAACTCAGCTGCTGTTGGAGGTGCTTCCGCCTTTGTACCGCATTGCTCTTATTCTACTTTCTCATCATCCTCTCATCGACGAAGCTTTGCGTTCCGTTCCAATATCCATTGCCATCAACCCTGCAACAACAACAACAACAACAGCAGCAGCAGCAACAGCAACAACAACAATAACAGCAATATTGTCACTAGTCTTTCTACCAGAGCCATGTCCACTGTTACCAGCAATACGAATCGGAGCATGAAACAAGATGCGTTGCAAATCATTCACAAATCCATCCAAGCCGTGGATCCCTATGCGGCAGTCAAGGCCCACTTGAGACTGGTGGACGACACGCTGCTACGAGTGGGGGAGGAAAAGGATACGGCTACTGCCACCAAAAGCTATTACAATATCAAAGAGTATGACAAGATTGTCGTAATTGCCTTTGGCAAGGCATCTTCCGCCATGGCCACGGCAGTGGTCCAACAACTATCGGATACAACCACTTCTACTACTACTACTACTACTACTACTACTTCCAGCAGTAAGGAACAACGTCCACAAGAAACCATGGGGGTATGCATTTGCAAAGACGGACATGCCACCAAGGAGGAAATTAGCACACTGGAAGCATTCCATTGTTCCGTACTGGAAGCCTCCCATCCCGTGCCCGACGAACGATCCGCCTTTGCGGCCCAACAAGCGTTGGAAATGGTCCAACAGCATGCATCGCCCCAAACCATGGTGATATGTTGCATCAGTGGGGGTGGGTCCGCTCTGTTTTGTAAACCTCAAGTTGGATTGACGCTGCACGATTTGCAAGAAACCAACGAGGCCTTGCTGGACTCGGGCATGACCATTCAAGATATGAACGTCATTCGAAAGCGATTGGAACAAGGCAAGGGAGGACGATTGGCTCGAGCGTGTCATCCTTCGCAATTGATAACACTCGTACTGAGTGATGGTAAGTACAAAATAGTATAACAGTCCGTACGACTACGGATTGTGGCGAGTCATGATGCTGACACTTCCTTCTATCGCGTTTGATCCAATCACTCATTCATTCATTCATTCATTCATTCATTTCAATCCAGTCTTGGGAGATCCATTGGATTTGATTGCGTCTGGTCCTACCGTCCCGGATACCAGCACACCAAAAGATGCCTTGGAAATTGTCAAACGGTATCAATTGGAGGACAAATTACCAAATCAAGTCATGGCAGTGCTAGAGCAAGAAGTACTGGCTTCCAAAGATGGCAATCCGTCATCCGATCATCCAGTCTTTGCCCAAGCCCAAACTGTATTGGTCGGCAACAATGCCTTGGCGGTCCAAGCGGCGGCACAAGAAGCCAAAGAATTAGGCTATCATCCAGTAGTGTTGGGAACTCAAATTGAAGGAGAAGCCAAGGAAATTGCCAAAATGTACACTCGGATGGCATTGCACTTGAAAAAGGATGGCGAATCATCATCGTCGCCGTCGTCGTCATCGACGACAATGTTGTATTCCATGGCACCCTCTCTTCCAGTGGCATTGATTGCAGGTGGAGAAACGACCGTCTCATTAGAATCTAGTATGGGAAGTATTGGTAAGGGAGGACGCAACCAAGAATTGGCACTGTCGGCAGCCTTGGACCTCCAATCGTTGGGGTTGGAAAATGTCGTATTGGCCAGTGCTGGAACCGATGGGACGGATGGTCCTACCGACGCTGCTGGGGCCATGGTGGACGCACATACCATCACTAGTGGTGATGAGGGAACTCTAGAGGAGGCCCGCAAAGCCTTGGACAATCATGACGCGTATCCATTCTTGGATGCACTTGGGAATGGCAAGGAGAGACCAGAAGACCGACCACTCATCAAGACGGGTCCGACCGGAACCAATGTTGCCGACGTTTGCGTCACCTTAATTCGATGATTGAAAACATACATACGATGGCAATTGAAGTCATGCTAAAACAATTCAACCGCCTAACTTGCTAGTGCTGCACCATTGTGTTCCTCGAATCTGTTGAAAAATAAATAACTTTTATGAGTTTACAGTTTGATTTGATGTCTATGGTTGGATTCTTTTAATATTTGGTCTATGAGGCAGGCAAGTCCCATCTCTGCCTATTGAATGAAGAGAGCGTCGTCACACTCAGTCTTGACTTGATTCATGGAGAATTCGTAGTACAGAACATCCTTGGCGAAACGGTCGACGTTCCACTCTATCCGTTCGCAGGCACCCTTGGCTTGGTTCTCGGGGCAGGTCTTGGCATCCATACTGGGAGTGGATAGAGTCATGATCTTGCCTTCATTCATCCAGCAACGGGCGCTGTATAGATTGTATGCCTTGGGACCAGTCTTGTGTAGATTCCCGTAGCTGAACCAGGCAGCTCGGTCAGATTCGCAGTCAACGAGGGAAATTCCTTGGTTGCAGGAAGAACAGTCATCAGGATCAGCAATACACTTGTTGCTTTGTGTCTTGACATGCTTGATTTGGAAGAAGCTATCACTTCCTCCACAGTTGTGATCAATGGTCCAATACTTGTCGCCACCTTCGAATGTACAGTCGTCAAGGGCAACGGCACCAGTTGAGTTGTACGTAAGGCACTTGCCCGGGCAGTCTGCCATTGTAAAGATTACTCCACTGGTCTTGTCACCATTCAACTGTCGAAGGGTTCCTTCGGCGGAGATACTAGCGGCAGAAAACAGCAATGCGGTAAGAATAGTCTTCATCATCTTGGTATGATTTTTGAAAATAGTGAATTGTCAAAAAAGTGTGGGTTGGATGGAAACTGGAAGCTTCCGGTCGGTTCTCCGAGCTCGTGATTTCCGTTGTGGCTTTGCTGGCGTGTCTTTGGACGGTTAGGGACTGCGTTCCAACAGGGTACAACATTACGTCCCCCAAACGTGTTACCCTGAGATGATCAAACTAGAGAAGCAGAGATATTGAAACATCAACTGTTTTCAAGCCTTTTAATTTCTCCATCCATTGCTGTAGCTATAGAGAATGATTCCTTGTCTATGAATGGTCTCGCAAAGTTGTTGACATTGCCGATGGAGAGAAGAGGGGTTGGGGGCTAGATATTTGGAACGAACGTCGCAAGGACGCTCAGCCGTTAGAGTCTTCGCTGAATTATTGGGAGTGCCGGCAGAGTGAGTCAGAGGTGTCAAACCAAAATAAAAGCAGAGTGTTTTTACCGGTAGAATGAATAGAAACATGGATTTAGTATTCACTGTAGAAGTACCCTGGTACGAGGTAGGCAAGCGATAGAATTAGAATATAGCTGAAGTTTATGAATCATTCCCAAATCGACTTCATGAGGCCGACAATCGTTGCGGAACTCTCCTTGATGGCAATGTCGTCCCAAACCTCCCGCTCGCAGAGCTTGGCAGTCAATGGCCAAAGCTCGGCAGCATATCGACCCTTTTTTTCGGAAAAGGGTAGTTTGATTACCTTGGTGGGTGCAGGTTTCGAAACTAGACATTGATTGCCCAATCTATGCGTCCATACATCCCTCGTAGCTTTGTCTGGCCAAACGTCACCCCAGCCCTTTTTGGTGGCCTTGTTTGGCAAGACTGGTTCCAAGTAGCATGCGGAAGGAGCAATGGCTTCAGCACTATCGCCATTCGCCTTCTCCGGATCTCTTTGGAGCAGGACACTGGTATTCAATCGTTTCAGCAGTGCCAGACATAGTCTCTTTCCAGCCGCATTGGATCCAAGTGAATTGAGCGATATAGCCGTGTACATGGCCAAGGTATCATCTTCATTCAGAACGCCTAATTTTCCAGAGCTGCTACTCCCACGGCTGATTTCCGTGTCAATAGCTTCCAATAAAGCAAAACACTTTTCGTACTTTTCTCGAGCCGTGGGTCGCACCAAGGCAAAGTAGAGTACCAACTGTTCGGCGGCACCTAGATACCGTTCCACTTTGTCCAAAGTCAGTGCTTTATTACCTCCGCCCCCTCCCGCTCGCAACCCCAAGTCTAAAACTACCATTTCCACTTCCTTCGTGGCTGGAATCCCTTGAATCATTTCTCGCAAAAAGTTCAATCGCAGTTCAATGCTGGGCCACGATTTCATAATCTTGCCACTCTTTGAGAATCCAAACGGTTGAAGAACGCCCTCTCGGAATTGCCCCAGCACTAGACTGGCTGGTTGGATTTCAGTATTGTAGAATTCACTTCCCACAATAGACTTTGCTTCCATTTCTTTGCGAAGCCATTGTTCCAAGGCCAAGAGTTGTTTGCGAGAAGCAATCTTTTGTTTGAGAGAGGTAGTGGCCCGCATCAGACAGGCATCCGAAACGGTTTTACGACCGACAACACCAGCCTCCAAGTCTATTACGGAGGAAGACATGGCATCCCATGCATCAAAGGCTTTGTACATTTCCTTTTCTTCGGGAGTGTATCTGTCCGGATCGATGGGAAAGTCGTGAAATGAACGTCAGCAACATGTGACAGGATAACACTGACTGGCGGTACAGTGCACGCACATCCATATGATCTTACCGATAGCAAACCAGTCCTTTAAAGTCATCGATTATTTCGTGATCCTTTCCCTTTCCTTGTCCCATGACAATATTTCGAGCAATCGCTGCCGATTCGGGGACACAGACCAACAGGTAGACTTTTTCAATGATAAAATCCAAGAGCTCAAGCAATTCGTCTTTCTCCAAAGTTTGCATTCGACTTGCTATATGATTGTAGTTTTGAACAATGCGTTGATTGGGTGTACTTAGCTTGGATAGTTCCTGGGTGGTAGCATTGGCAAGTTTGCTGACCATATTGGTATTTGACGAAAGAATGTTGGTGAGAATCACATTGTCCCGAGGATTCATCTCCACTCGCAAGATTTCTTCTTTTCTTGTCTTTGGTGGCTTCAACATTTCCGCCAACTCTGTCACAGTATCTTCCATTCCTTCCAGTTGTTGAAATCGCTCTCGCATGGAAGCAAACAATAGGGATAGCGTCACCAATCGTTGTTGCCCATCATGAACATCGTATCGACTTCCCAATCCCAAAGCATCTTGATCCCATTCCATGGGGATTAGAACAATCTGGCTCAGTTCATAGTCTTGTCTGCTTTCACCCATGGCGAGTGCTCCACTGCAGGCATCCAGTAAGTCATCAACCAATTCTTCTGTCTCTTTGATGGTCCATTCGTAACCTCTCACATTACTGGCAGTATTGAAAATGTAGTCTCTAGAATCAAAAAGTTTTCCAATCGGAAGCCGATCCGTTATAGAAGCCCTACCTTCCTTGACTTTTTCCGTAGCGGAGGAGGATGCAAAAAATGGCAACGGAAGACTCATGTGAAGCTTGGTGGAAACAGAATTTTGGCCCTTTGGAGGACTTAACGAGCGAACAAAGCCATTATTCTTATGAGAGATTAGAGATACCACTACAAAAACGGCCAGGAAGCGTTCTAGCCGATAGGAAACGCTGGTGATGCCCGTAGAAACCATTGCAATCAATTGAGTGCGCTTGGATATATACGGTAAAATATTACGATGATACAATAAGAATCGCAATAATAACTGTTGAAATTTCAACTGAGGGTACCCGGATATATATCCTCGACCACATGGAATAAAACTGAAAGCCACATTGAACATACGAGTACTTGTATTGAACACATTAAAAAAATACTTCCTCGTACTATAGTAGTGGCAAGAACCTCGTCGTCATGTCGAGAGACTATAACACTGTGGCACCAACGGCTTAGTTGATATATATGGGCCCAAATTGATTCTCCATTGTTAGATTGTGTAAGAGCTGTGATGATGAAAGATGATTTTGTGGGATCATACCTAGCTGGCTGGCTGCTGGCTGAGCCATATCAATGGGCGGCTGCTGTGGAACTGGTTACTCATGCTGGTGGTGGAGCCATCAAGTCCAAGAAGAAGAGGAGCAGCGGATCGAACACCTTGACGGCACCCAATGTTTTACCAAATACACACTAGACAAAACAAACAAATAGATAGTAGAGCATGCAGAACACAAAAAGAAATCCTACCGTATACAGTACCAGGTACGAGTATTCAATGAATGGTATACCGGTACAGTATGCTATACTCGTAGATGCGCGATGGGCTCTTTACAAAGACAGAACTAGTCCTGAATACAACCACCGGCCAAACTGTGAGTGCCGCGCTACGATATTCGGAACAATAAAATGATTTGGTTGCGTCCCTAACATAAATAATACGTGGTATACGATTGATTATTGATATAGGGAGAACCATTGCACACTCTTTCATTTCCACTACAGTATCATATTGCATCTATTGTCACTCCGCTCAACGCAATTAGCACAGAGGATACACAAAGAGCGAGGACGATCAGCATGACCACACCTGTGTCAATCTCAAACCCATCATCCTTTTGTGGATTCATTTGGTCAGGCCCAAGGGCTCATGATCAGAAGTCGGCAGACAGGAGGATGGCCACTGACGAAGGGTATGAAGCCATGATCGGTGAAGGGATGAAGAATCTATCATTTAATGAGATTCAAAAAGAGCAAGAAGTGCTTCATGGAATTACAGACAACGTTGATCTAAGTGAAAGTGCCACAGATGAACTTCTCCTAACGCTAACAGGTCACCTGAATCGTCTAAAGAAAGGCTCTGCATATGAAACCGCCGAAAGAAAAAGCACAGCTCATGCCGCGAATAGAGACCTGCAGATGGCTTTCTTAAGAGCCAATCGGTTTCATCCTAAAGAGTCAGCCGAGAAAATTATCAAGTTCTTCAACATGAAACAAGACCTCTTTGGTGAAGAGAGCTTGAACCGGGACATCACCGCACAAGATTTGAATGACGATGACATGAAGGCCTTGTCTGAAGGTTATTTCCAGTACTCCCCATTTCGTGATCGATCAGGACGGAAACTATTACTTACCTTCCCTGGCCTGCGAACCACGGGAAATGTCCGTGCTGAGCTCCGAGTAAGATACTATGCCATGGCAAATTGTGTTGAAACATTGGTTGACATCAGCAAAGGAGTAGTCGTTGTAAACTATATGGTAAAACAGTATCAAGATCGTTGGGATTCAGCAGGATACATAGAAGCAACAGAGCTGTTCAACGTCGTTCCTTTGAACACTGCTGGAATCCACACATGTGTCTGTACCAAAATGGAATCCATGATAATCAATGCATGTGTTGCATTGATGCCTTATCGCACTCGCGTCAAGTCAAAAGTGCATTTGGGAAGTCATGTCGAATGTCAGTACTTGCTTGCAACCTATGGTATCACCAAAGGAGCGCTACCACTGAGGGGTGCGAACCATGATATGGACTTGACCTATTGGAATACTTGGTTCCAACAGCGGAAGATACAAGAGCAACGGGAGCATCCATCACGAATCCAATTTCACCGTAACTCCTCCTCGATGGAATCATCATCCATCGCATCGCAACTTAACAAAAACAACAATGCTGCTATTGTGAGCCACGGTCCCATGTCGTCGATCAGTGGTAATGAAAACGATGTGCTGTGTCTGGGTAGAATTGTCAAACGTATGGGTAATGAACGGTTGCATTCGTTGGGACTCCTCTATGCAACGGCATATGACAATGGTAGTGTTGCCGACCGGCGTAAGATTGTCAATGGGATTATCGACGAGATTCATCGGCACGGCGGTAGATTCCTAAAACCAGATTCCTCCTCAGATGCAAGATCACTTGATGATGACGAATCACCACCGCGCCTGAAAGAGCTTTCGCTTAATGAACAGCGTACAAAAGTCATGCAGCTCTTTCGCAACTTGCGGCGTCGTCAGGCTAGAGGAAACGGCCCAGTATCCACTGCTCCAGCATTGGCAGAATCATCATCATCATCGTCGGTACCAGCAACTTCAAGTTCAGCGTTGCCAGCCTTGACGCCATCTGGAACGTTAGCAGTGTCCTCTGAAACATCGCCACAACAGCCTCCAATGATTGTGAGTCGACCAAATCCAGAGGATGTCTTGTTTGGACAGCAAAACGAAAATCCGGGCAACCAACTGCTACGGGAGCTCGTTGGTAGTTTGTCAGAAGAGTACAACCGCGCCGGGCGCGGAGAGAAAAAGAAGATTGCCGCACAGCTGGCCAATAGCATACATGAAAGTGGGGGACGGTTTCTAAAGCCGATGGACGATGGGAGATGGGAGATTGCACCTTTTGAAGTTGCTTGCGACAAGATTTCGAAGCACTTTCGTAATATCAGAAGAAAACGATGAGCGAGTTTGATGTTGCTTTGGTAGAGTCATAGCTGCGGTCGTGGGGAAGAATTTTCGAGATTACAATAGAAACAATCAATCTAGTGTGCAATTTTGTTTTAGAATACGAGACAAGGGAGTTCCGTATTCAGGTATATAGGTACGAGTACCGTACAGTTGCCACTCTGAAAGCAAGGACAGGATTTACAAAGACAGAAATAGGCCTACTTTCAACTTTCTACGACGTTCGTACATACCTGTACAACGTACCGATGGCGTGCAGGCGTGATGCAAGAACAAAAATCGCATGATGATGCAACGAAGGATTATCCTTGCTCAATGGCGTACCATCGACGCATCACTCACTCAATGCGAGCAATGAAAACAGTAAAGCAGCTTTAATCAGCGGTTGAAAGACACAAACCAGCGAATCATATATTGCTTCAAATTTCAATTGATATATTTATTCAGTTATAACTATGCTTCCAAGCCTAAAAACACATCATATTCAGAAACAATTTCTAAAAGTGACAATATGAAAGCTTTCACCTATGTTGGAGGAATGAACCAAGAAGACGTTCCACCTCCAGGTACAGAACTTCTCATTATCGATCCTTCCGCAGCTTCCCTTTCCTATTACCTATGCAATCTTTGTAAGGCTACCTTGCAGAAAATAATCTTTCCGCCAGATTGCAATGTGAAGTACGTGGAAGCGAGTGCCTTTGCAAATTGCCAAGCGTTCCATACTGTGGACATTCCCGCCACCGTGAGGGCCATTGGAAACGATGCGTTCTATCAGTGTACAGCTTTAATGGAACTATATCTGTCAGAAGGATTGGAACGGATTGACAAACGGGCCTTTTATGGATGTTGTTCATTGTCTATAGTCGAATTTCCATCCTCCCTATGCATGATTGCCACCAGAGCATTTTATGGCTGTCGTTCCCTGAAAAAAGTAACGTTTGCTCAAGGGAGCTCGGCAAGGAATCCTGCAAGAGACGTCTATATTTGCAGAGAAGCCTTTGGTCGATGCTCTTCTTTGCAAAGAATCAGGTTGCCGCGTAAAATCAAGTTTCTGAAGGAGGGTACATTTTCAGAATGTGAAGGTTTGCAACAAGTTGACCTACCAGATCGATTGGTTCGAATCGAACCATGGGCGTTTTATCAATGCTCGTCCTTGCTTTCAATATCCATTCCTTCCAGTGTCAACGTCATTGAAAACAATGGTTTTCGGCACTGTACTGGGCTGGTGTCTGTGGAGTTGCAGCCTGGATCTTTATTGAAAATTCAGGAGGATGCGTTCCGTGGATGCAAATCACTTTGCAACATTTCCACCGAACGGTTGTCTGGATTTACATATGCCCAATCTGCTTTTGAAGATTGTGAGCTGTTGATGCCAAGACTCTTTGACGATATAGATCGATACGAAGGCTACCCCGTTCATGCCCAATGTTATCAAGCTTCCACTTCCACTGCTGAAGAGCTCCGTGCTACAGCAGAAGCGATGACACAAAATGAAAACAATCTGGAAGGGCAGCTAGCCGACGCATTTTATATGACCCCATTTCACATCCTCCTCTCTGCGGCCAAACGTCGAAAAGACTTGCTTGAGGTACTGCTGGATGTATGCCCGACTCATATTCTTGGCTGGGAAGATGTACTGGGAAATCGGCCTTTGGACTACTTGGCTACTTCCTGTCGGTCGGACGAAGCGAAGAGAATGATGAGAATGGCACTACACAAGTGGATGGTTGCTTCGATGACAACATGGGGTTTGGAAACATGGCGGACAGATATGAAACTAAAAGTGAATGCAATATTGGACTGCTGCGATAATGATGATGATACAAAGAATCATCGTGACTATTTGTTGAAGATTGCTTACCAAACGCTTTGGAGGTATGAAAGACTGGAGGCGACGACGCTACTGGAGCTATGGCTGTGGAAGATGGAGATGGAGGCTGCTCGAATAGTAGACAAACGAGTTGCAGTGGACCGTTCGAGCACTCGACACAGATGTGGTGCACCCTTTGTGATCCCTACTGTCATTGGATATCTAGGAACGGAACGAATCGAGGTTAACGACGCTGTGCCTTTGAAATAAGAGGGTTCTCGAATAATACCGGTATAATATATACCGTATGGAGCCAATACAAATTTTTTGATGTTAAAATACGACAGAAATAGTCCTTTGTTTGACGAATAATAAAACTGTTATTGCAATCGTCAAAAAAATCTGCGCATCGCATATATATCACCACACCATCATATTTCACGGACAGATCAAGCTAAACAGAATCGCCAATTGTACAAATTCGCGAAGACATGAGGGCAATGAAGGTTTGGGCGGATCCATAAACCTCCACTATGGGCTCATATTGAATATGCTAGAATGAATTAATCTGACGGCGGAGGACCAGACCACTCATCGGTTTGACGGAGACTACCGGTAGAAACTATGAGGGATTGGTCTAGATGCAGTTGCTTACGATACTGCATTGATCAGGGTTCTGTGAGGTATCTGTGAAGCAGTTCCCTTCCTCAAAACCGTCGTACGATTCAGCTGCAAAATAACGTCCAACGATGAACAAGAAGCATGTAGCAGTGTTAGAGGAGATATATATTCGAAAGAATTGTTCGAAACTCAAAACGTACCAAGGTAGCATGTTGTCAGTGACGTTGGAAGCGGTGGAATCGAACCAGTCAAAGAATTGATTCCTTAGAGATTGAAGATGAAAGAACAAGAACAATTGTGAGTATAGTGGACGCCCGGGTAACTTTGAAATGGCCGCTTGGACGATGTACTTACCCAAATCCAATAGGGTCAAAATAATCAGACTCTGGAACTCTGAAGGTATGGTTCCTGACAAATCATTTCGCCATGCCGCGAATTCCTCCAAACTTAACATATTTCCCTGCAATGAAGATTAGTGATTTGAAAGAATCGTTCCTTGAAATCGTATTAGCGATAATAATACTCACAATTTCTGTTGGTATCGGTCCAAACAACGAGTTCTCATATACGTTCAAACCCCACAAGTTTGCCAAGTTGCCAAACTCGGTAGGGATGGTACTGTGGAATGGAAGTGTTGTGAAACGAGTTTGAGTCAAAAGTATTTAGAACCACAGCGTTTCTCATTGACCAAAACTTCTTACCCCCTCAGAGAATTGTCACCCAAGTACAGCTGCTCTAGTTGCGACAATAACCCTATTCCTGTGGGAATTGGACCGTTTAGGAAGTTTGCGGTCAAATTCAAATTGGTAACTGCGGCCAACGACTGAAGAACGAACGGGTGAGCATATAGTGCACCGGTCGCAATGTTGACGAAGCAGTTCGCAGTGCAATCTACTTACGCGGAACGTGGTGGGAATTTGACCATTTAGCTCGTTTTGATCTATTGGATGTTCAGTCGACCAAGCATTAGTTGAACATTCGAAGCGTTGAAGCTACAGTGGTGCCGCACTTACCCAGGCGGAGCTCACGCATGCCAGTCAGTCGGCCAATTTCTGATGGTATGGGGCCATCGAAAAAATTGGAATCTACATGTCCGACACAACGCGCAAAAGTTAAGCATACAATCTTCTTGCTGGAGCTAAAACGAGCTGCTGACGTTACACTTACTCATATTCAAATCGTCAAGAAGAGTGAATCTCCCAAACTCCGTCGGTATGGACCCGAAAAATTCATTTGTGTCTATGTCGTCAGTCATGGCGAAAAGTCAAATAGTTCAGATTGAGAGGCAAGGTACAGCATGTATCTGCGTCGAGGGACATCTGAAGTAACTACTTACTCAGTGAGAAGACACTCAATTGGGAAAGCCGACCCTGCGACGATGAAAAGGTCATCAATGTGAGAGGCAAATTCAACACAGCCAACACAAACCAGCAACTATCCAGCAACGTACCAATTCCGTAGGGACAGATCCTTCAAAGATAAACATCAGACGTGTTGTAAGATGCTAATCTGACAGCGAAAACGAAAGGAATTCAGCAACGTACCAGTAAAGCTATTAGTACCCAGAGTGAGAAACGACAACTTTGTTAGGGCTCCCATCTCCGTAGGTATGGTGCCACCCAAGTTATTGCTTTCTACCGATCGAGACCAAATTGCATGCATGTGAGCAGCCACACTTGAATTGAAAAACAGTCGCAGCAATTCAGTACTTACCAAATCTCAAGAATCCCACATCTCTCAATAATCCCTGTAAGAAGCAGACAGCTTAGTATTGTGCCTATTCACCACGTAGGTGAGGAAGCCATGATGAAGCACTTACCAATTCTGTTGGGAGGGTACCGACAAGATCGTTGTTGAACCCATCAAACGTTGTGACTTTGCCATCATTAGGGTCGCACCAAACATAGGACCAGTCACAGTGACTGTCAGCCGTCATCCAAGCCCCTTCACCCTGTGTGAACCAACTTCCGCTTGAGACGAAGGAATAATAGAGAGTCGCGATTGCATAACGTTCCAGATATAGTTCATCTGGGTCAGCTCTTAAAGAAGGATCCGGTTCCCATGTGTCTGTAGTCGTAACCCATTCATAGGCCTGAGGATGATAGGGTTGGTGGTCTGCCAAAATCCGATCCCATTTGGAAGTTGGTGATGATGTGGGCACTGGTGTCGGATTTGGTGTAGGCGGGAGTGTTGGACCTGGAGTTGGTATGGGCGTTGGACCTGGTGTTGGTTCCGGAGTGGGCGGTGGAGTCGGGCCTGGTGTCGGCGGCGGAGTCGGGCCTGGAGTACCTTGGGTTGGTGCGGGTGTTGGTCCTGGTGTCGGTGGTGGAGTAGGCCCTGGTGTTCGAGGAACAAGTGGAGTGCTTGAGCCAACCGACGTGGGCGCAAAACTGGGCACACTAGTTGGTTGTACCAATGGACTCATCGAAGGCGAAGCGCTTCCAATGATTGTGGGAAAAGGAGTAGGTGCTTCCGTCAGAGTCCCTGTAAGAATGTCGCCAAAGTCCAAAGACGTTGCAAGACCATCCAAACCAAAAAAATCCACCAAGCTATCTTGGTCAAGGATTGCCAATGTCTTGGTCTGCAACAAGTAGCCCCTAACACCCTCGTCCTTTAGAAAAATTTCAAGCCCCATTTGGCAAGAGTAGCATAGCTCTGGTGCACCGTCACAGTCATTTCCTTGTGCGCAATCCACTTCAATTGCAGCATTTCCAATGACGTAGAGAGGTAGACCATCGAATTGCAGTTTTCGCGCATTGTTGGGCAGCGCAGCGACCGCTGCAGTTGGACAATCTGCCAATGGAGGGCCAAGGTTTCTCTGCATCACATTGTTCATGAGGGCGGACACTGTGGTTGGAGGCGACGTCACTATCATCTCGGCCTGAAAAGGAAGTATGAAGCTTTTGCTTGACATTTCTTCTTGCCCTGGGACAGGCTCTCCTCGTGCAATTAAGTCGCAGACTGAATCACCGGGTGGATCGTAGAGTTGTCCTTCAGTTGGGGCAGATGAGGGCGATGTAGAAGGCGATGCATCACTGACTGGAGCATCTGTGACAGCATTGTCGGCCACAGGAGCACTTGTAGGGTCGACAATGTTTTCTTGGGCAGGACTTGTGGCTGGCTCGTCACTCTTGCCTGTCAACCACACAACAACACCGATAATGATGGCCGCAAGAATAGCCAACCCAAGGCATACTTTAATCATGAGCGCTTTTTTCTTTTTCTTTCTTTCTTCTTCATCTTCTTCGCCGTTGTCGCCCTTCTCCTTATCATCTTCGCCTGGAGAATTTGCGGCAACAGCAACTGTACCCATGGCTTTTAGCCTATCTTGAACCAACTGTTCCACATCGATTTCTGGTGCCGTGTTCGCCCCAACGATCTCGGCATCGTCGATTGCCATGGCACTTGGAACATCTTCATTACCACCAACAGCTGGTGCGTTGCTCACCGGTGCAGATGCGGGAGCGGGTGCTCGAGGACGTGCCGCTTTGGCATTTTCTCTCGCTTCTCGACTGCCAGGCGCAGGACGGGAAGAGGCAGCTTTGGCATTTTCTCTGGCTGCTCGATTGGCGGTGGCACCTCTAGTCGATTTCTTATCCCTGGCGATCTTCTCCTGGACTCTATCTCTTGGTTTGTTGGAGTCTTCGTCTCTGCTTCTGTTCTCGCGACGAGCCTTGCGAGACTCTCTTGATTCCGCTCCTCCAGATACTGAGACGACGCCAGCAGTAGTGGCTGGACGATTACGTCGAGACTTTTCATCTCTCTTGGATTTCTTGTCCTCTTCACCACGAGAAGGCTTTGTGGCAGTTGGCTCTGGTGGTGAGGAACCGCTCGAGGAGGAACGGTGCTCCTTACTACGGCCCGATGATTTGTGGTCGCTCCGAGACTTGTGATCACCAGATCTATGGCCTGATCTCGAAGATCCTGACGATGGTTTCGAAGAATGCTTTGATCTACTTTTGGAACGATGATCAGAAGAAGGAGTGCGAGGTTGTTCTAATTCACCATTGGACTTGCTGCCGCCATCTTTGGGAGACGACGGTACTTGCGAAGGGTCTGAGTTTTCAGTGCTCATGATTTTAGCTTGACAATGGGTCAATTTGTTTGTAAGGTCAAGCTTTCAATGTCGGGTACAGTATTTTACCAACAAGAGGTTCCCGCACAATCAGAAACCAAATTGTGCAAGCTTCAGTTCTGCGGCAAGGATGGTGTGCCATGAGACTCAAGTCGCGGATTCGCCCTTTATGTGTACCTATATCGTACACAACGTACTAGAGGTACCAGATACCTGCTAAACACATGCGTCAATGCGTCACAATTTGATCGTATTTTTATTTATGAAAATCCTGGCAAAACGTTGGCAGGTGCTTTACACTTGCCTCGACTTAGAGGTTCCATTCCCCTCAAGCTATCATATATACCGGTATATATAAAAGAATTTTAAAAAAATATTACACGAGCGATGAATGCACAGTATTCTGACTCGCTCGGACTGACTGACTCAGCACTCAGACCTTTCGGTAATTGACGGTTGTTCCAACAGAGTGGTACCAGGCAACAAGAAGAGCAAGAAGAAACTCTCGAGCAAGAGAAATGGATTTGGACAGAAAGTAACTCGAACAAGATGGCTTCATGTCGTTCGGCGCACTTTTTCAGACATTTTGTTTTCATGTACACTTTAGTTTTAAATGTCCTACTGCTATTAAAGCTGAATTTGATGAAGACTTGGGGCTCTAAAATTGAACCAGCAATCCTCAATCGCCAGTAAGGTGATTAGGGTATCATACCAGGTACCAGTCGATGGTATGTATGCGCCTACCGGTACGCGCAACCGGTAACATAAAACGATATAAAGTTAAAACGACAGAAATAGTCCCAATATACTCCGGTCATCACTGCATAGAATCAGCATTATTGTCTCAAGTATGCCAATACTATCACACGAACAATATTGATCCAAGCAACATGATCATCTTGTTGCGGCAATACAAGTACAACAGGACAGATTTCTTCTTTGTGAGTGATTGACGCTGCCTAATCCGCAACCAGAAAGACTTTGCAGGTCTGGTCCGTTGCCGTCAAAGTCTGGCCTTTTCCGCAAAACACGCAGTCTGTTCTCGATACTGTTTATGATTGTTGCGACGACATACCGGTACGGTAAAACGTGACAGACTCTTTCGTTGCCACTGACGAATCGACGCTGCCTAATCCGCAATCAGAAAGTCTATTCAGGTCTGGTCTCTTGTCGTGAATCAGTCTGTGCCACCATTGCGTTCACAATATTCCATTCTGGAGAAGCATCGATCAAGCAAGTGCTATAGCCTCGCCTAAGATGAAATCCTTTACGTATGATGGAGGAATGAATGAAGGGATAAGAATTCCAGAAGGTACAGAGCGGCTCATCATCGCTTCATCCGTCACAATACTCCCCATGACCATATGCCAAAACTGTGCCGATACTTTGCAAGAGATTGTTTTCCCACCGGAAGGAGAGTGCAACCTTCGTCAGATTGATGGCTTCTGGTTAGAAGCCAAGAATAAGGGCTTCAGCAGTCGAAGTCGACAAATGGCCGTGGGACGCTGTACAGCCGTAAAGACATTGCGTATTCCGTCCTCTGTAGAAATCATTGGCGACCATGCCTTTTATCTTTGGACAGGCTTGGTGGAGGTACATCTTTCCGAAGGCTTGAAAGCGATCGGAGCGAATGCGTTGGGTATTTGTTCGTCCCTGTCCAAGATTAGGATTCCTTCAACCGTCGAGACCATTGGTAACCTCGCTTTTGGCAATTGCATCAAGTTGGAAGAAGTAATCTTCGCCGCTGAAAGTAAGCTGAAGAAAATTGATAAGTTGGTATTTTCTTGCTGCACTTGGTTATCAGATATCAACCTCCCGCCAACAGTCAAAGAAATTGGGTCCGAAGCCTTCCATGAATGCAAACATTTGGAATCTATCGAACTTCCCAAGCAACTCACAATCATCGGAAGTGCCGTGTTTCAAAGATGCACAAGGCTACGAGAAGTAAAGCTACACGATGAAATCAAGCAAATTGGGCCCGCAGCTTTCAACGAATGTAAAAGCCTGAAATCAATCGACCTTTCCAAGCAACTCGTATTCATCGGATTGGCTGCGTTTGAAGGGTGCCTAAGTCTGAAATTGGTGCAGCTACACGAAGGATTGATCATAATGGAAGACTATGTGTTTTCTGATTGTCGTGCACTATTGAGAATTGCGATCCCTTCCACATTGGCAAGACTCGGAGAATTTGCTTTCGCTGGCTGCTCCGAGTTGGTGGAAATTATTCTGCCACCTGGACGATTGAAATGCATACAAAAACAGACATTTTCCGATTGCGACGAATTGCAATCGATTTCCATTCCGTCGACGATCGAGATTATCGAAGAGGGCGCATTCACAAATTGCAATCTGAAATCGATCGAGTTGCACCCGGGCGCTGAAATCGACATTGAAGCTTACTCGTTTGGTCGTAATGCCCAGCTTTGCAATATTTCGTCGGAGGACAATCCTAATGCAAAGATCAGTGAAAGCGCACTTCTTCACGACGATGCAGATGGTGACGAGGACGAGTCAGACTTCGAGGACGACCCAAAGTTTTGGTCAATCCGGTATCGTGGATATCCTGTTCATAATTTGTGCTATCATGCATCTACCACCACGGTTCTTCAACTGCGTAGGGCTGTGGACCTTTGGAAGTCTTCATTTCGTCCTGATAATGGACCCGGTGCCCAGATTGAAGATCGTGCTGTAGACAAATATGGCATGACTCCATTCCATATTCTGCTCTCTGCTGCCAAACGAAGAAAAGATTTGCTCGATGTTTTGTTGGAGGAATATCCATTGTATATGCTTGGATGGAAAGACAGATGGGGTAATCGGCCGTCAGATGGCCTGCTTGGGAACTGGAATGGAGAGGCCAAGGATATGACCAAGATGGTTGTACAGAAATGGATGATTGATGGGATGGCATCCTGGGGCTTGCCAGCGTGGAAAGACAATATATCGAGAAGGCTGAGCAATTTATTGGAAGCTGAAGAATTGTCATGGAAGCTTCCAATCTTAAATGGATTATGCGATCAATTTTCATATTTCGAAAGAGTGGAAGCTACGTCATTGCTGGAACTGTGGTTGTGGAAAATGGATTTACGATCTAGTCGAAAAGAAGTCAAACGCATTCTCTTGGATCGAGACAGCAGTCGGAATCGATGTGGCTCCTACTTTGTAATCCCAATGGTCGTATCATTTCTACCAAATGTAGAAGAGGTCACTGACGAAGAGAGTGGCAAAAATGACGACGATGACCTCCTCAACGAAAGCCAAGAGGACTTTTCCGATGATGCAAGTGACGTTCCGGAAGGCTTGTATTATGCAAAGAGCAAACGTTTTGGGTTCTTCCCGTCAAGCTCAGATAACTCATCTGCTGCTGGTGACAATATCGGTGATTGATTCTGGTGAAAGCTAAGCTAAGCTGTCATGAACCCTACAGTAAGTCGATTCTCATCGCGGTGTCTGGAATAGCCATTGAACGGTTGATATAAAGCGCATTTGACCTGCATATATGAATGTAGAGTACCGGTACCGTGGAAAGGATTAAAATACCAAAGCACAAAACGACAGAAATAGTCCCTATGGCTGGGTCATTCTCGATCCGCCAGATCCGAATCACATAAATATCGCTTTTACGTCTATCACCAGTCACCGCAGGATTAGCAGGTCTACTGTTCTGTTGCTGATCGTTGTTCTGCTTGTTGGGACAATGCAATAGGGTTGCGATTGATTGACGCTGCCTAATCCGCAACCAGAAAGTTGCCACTGGTCTGCTCTGTTGCCGTCATAAAGTCTGGCCTTTCCCACAAAACAGTCTGTTGTCGACACTGTTTGTTTCTCTTCTAGAGTTCGGTCTGTTGTCGATACTGTTTGTTGCGACGATAAAACAGGACAGACTGAAGACTCACTCACTCATTCTGTCAGCGATCAGATTGACGCTGCCTAATCCGCAATCAGAAAGACTGCTCAGGTCTGCTCTGTTGCCGTCAATCAGTGTGGACCATATTTCGTTCACAAGATTCCATTCCGAACCAATCAATAATCAAGCAATATTGCCAGTACGCTCACCATGAAATCCTTTACGTATGATGGAGGAATGAATGAAGCGACAAGAATTCCAGAAGGCACAGAGCGGCTTGTCATTGCTTCATCCGTAAAAGTACTCCCCATGATCGTATGCCAAGACTGTGCCGATACCTTGCAAGAGATTGTTTTCCCATCGGAAGGAGAGTGCAATCTTCGTCAGATTGATGGTTTCTGGATGGCAGAAACGAATGACGAGGACGACGATAGCGACTACCAGCACAGTGAGGATAATGCGGATTGGGACATTGCCATAGGACGATGCAGTGCCTTGAAGAGGTTGGCTATTCCTTCCTCTGTAGAGATCATTGGAAACCACGCATTTTTTCTTTGTACAGGTTTGGTGGAGGTAAATCTCTCCGAAGGCTTGAAAACGATTGGATCGAATGCGTTTGGCATTTGCTCTTCGTTATCCAAGATTGGGATTCCGTCTACGGTCGAGACCATTGGTAAACTCGCTTTTGGGGACTGCATCAAGTTGGATGAAGTAAAGTTCGCCGCTGAAAATAGGGTGAAACAAATTGAAGAGATGGTCTTTTCGGGCTGCGCTTCATTGTCAGATATCAACCTCCCACAAACAATTGAAGAAATCGGGGCCGAGGCCTTCAACGACTGCAGAAGCCTGAAATCAATCGATCTTCCCAAACAACTAAGAATCATCAAACAAGAGGCGTTTGCAAGTTGCACAAAGCTTGAAGAAATACAGCTATATGATGGGATCAAAGAAATTGAACAGCAGGCGTTTGAAGGATGCAGCGCACTGCTGAGGATTGCGATTCCTTCCACAGTGGAATATCTTGGGAACTGTGCTTTCTTTGATTGTTTTGCGTTGGTAGAAATTATTCTGAAACCTGGACGATTGAAATGCGTACCACAGGAGTCATTTGCGTTATGCGACAGTTTGCAATCGATTTCCATTCCTTCGACGATCGAGAGTATCCAACAATGCGCATTCACAAATTGCAGTCTTAGATCGATGGAGATACATCCTGACTCTACCATCGAAATTGAAGAATACTCGTTGGGAGGTAACGAACAGCTTCGCAATCTTTCGTGGGAGGCCAGCCCTAATGCATGGATCAGTCGAAGTGCACTTCTTCGAGATGATTCGGATGAAGAAGATCTTGACGATCCAGAGTTTTGGAAAAGTCGCTTTAGCGGGTACCTTGTTCACAATATGTGCTACCATGCATCTACGACCAAGATTCTTCAACTCAGCAGGTCTGTGGACCTTTGTAAGCCTTCAGTGAGTGCTAACGTTGGCTCTGATGTCCGATTTAGAAATCACGCAGTAGACAAATATGGCATGACTCCGTTCCATGTCCTGCTCTCTGCCGCCAAACGGAGACAAGATTTGCTCGATGTTTTGTTGGACAGGTATCCTTTGCAATTGCTAGGATGGAAAGATAGATGGGGCAAGCGTCCGTTAGATGGCTTGGCTGGGAACTGGACTAGCGAAGCCAGGGAAATGACAAAGAGTGTTGTGCAGAAATGGATGATTGATCGGATGGCCACTTGGGGCTTGCCAGCATGGAAAGAAAATATATCGAGAAGACTGAACAGGTTAATGGAACCTGAGCGGGGGCATCCAAGGTTGGATGAATTATGTGATCAGTTTTCATATTTCGAACGAGTGGAGGCCACGTCGTTGTTGGAACTGTGGTTGTGGAAAATGGCGATACGATCCACTCGAAAAGAAGACAAACGTTTTCTCTTGGAGGACCGATGCAGCAGTCGGAATTGGTGCGGCGCTTCCTTTGTCATCCCAATTGTTATATCGTTTCTACCGGAAGTAGACGAGATAGCTGACAGTGTCAGTAGCGAAAGGGATGATGATAACTTCAATGAACGTCAAGATAACTATTCTGATGATTCAAGTGGTGACAGTGAAGAAGCCTTGTATTCTGCGAAGTACAAGCGTCTCCGGTTCTTCCCATCCAGCTCGGACACCTCTGCTGCTGGCGACGATAGCGATAGTCATATAATCATGCATATAGAGTCTATTTGACCTTCACATGAATGCAGCGCTTGCATTTGAAAACGACATCGTCTCTAAAAATATATTTTATGACATACACTGCTGACGAGAAGTTCGGGAACGAGGGAGCATTTGAGGGAACGAGGGCTGTTTCGTCCCTCCTTCAACCGTTTTTTCCCTTGTTTTCTCCCTCGTTCCCTTTCGCAACACGAAACCACCAAAATTTCCCTTCCCCCCTCGTTTTGCACCTGACACCCATCAACGGACCCTCGCTCCCTCGAAGATTTCCTCCTTACTATCCATTTTGCCCGCGAAATCGATACACATGAAAGTTCATTTTCAAAAACTTGTGTGAATCTCGATACATCGCAATAATAAGGTATACAATAATATATGCGTATTCTATTCCAAAATTTGGTGATGCAATCATCTATCTTCGGAGCACAACTATATAATGAGCAATCCAAAAACCCTGAATGCCCTAAAGCTTAGAACTTTCGGACCTAAACTTGCATCCCTCTACGGGATGTATTCCCCCGGGATGGACGGCGATATGATATCGGCACTCCAGCTAGCAGGCAACCAACCAGCTCTGGATGCAATCACCGCAGCTGTACCAAGTGACTTCCTCTTTATCAAGAGTCCAGCAAAGTACATGGCATCTCTAGACAATGTTCAGAAATTGCAAGTCTTGCCACCACAAACAAAGGCTGCATGCGATTTCCACCATGCCAAATCACTCCTTTCCCGCCGTCTACCTTCCGGACAGCTTACTAAAGACAGAATCCATGCCTACATCGAAGATATTCGTGTTCTGACAAAATTCTTAACCCTGGTTGCAAAAGAAGGTGTGAACAGGGGATTGTTAACATTGGCAAAATCGATGGATGATAACAAGTATGCCCCCCAACTTAGAACCATGTCTGTCATGGCGTTGGCCCGAATTGATGCTGAATTCTGCCAGAAAGTTTTGAGTTTATTTGTTGACGGGCTCTACGTCTATCTTGCTGTCAATGTCCCTTTCTCCCGTGATGACCTCGCAGCCGAGTTGATGGAAAATTGTCAGATTGAGTTCCGGAATGACGGTGTTATCAAAGGTTCTTCAGATGTTTTCAAGGTTGTTTCCAAATCAGTTGACGCTGTCAGGCAAACATATCGAGAGGCATTGCAGAAACACAATGCTTCTCCAGAAGTGCAAAATGCTGACCCTCCCCTCCCAGTTGCTCGAATTGTGGTTCCATTGGGCTCATTCACCAGTGTTGAGCCACTGACATCCTTGGAGTCTATTGCTGACCTGTATTTCAATGAAAGTGCTACATCAGGAACAATTGGTGACTCTCTTGCAACTATTGGCACCTCGGCGCCGCCACCATCCATGAGTGGCAACAGTGTAAAAAAGGCTTTAGCCAAAAGGGACAGTGTCGACAATGATGACAGTGAAAAGAAGAGAACCAAAAAGAGGAGGAAAAAGGAAAAGAAAGCGGAAAAGAAGAATCAACTTGCTGCTGCATTGGCAAAGGCTAAAGCAAAGAAGGAATGGAAGAAACGGAACAAGGAGGAAGCAAAGACTCGATTGGTGCTCGAGCAGGAGCAACTTGCCACAGCGGCAAAGAACCACTTGGCCGAACAAGATCAACTGGCTGCTGCAGCCCAAGAGAAGACGGAAGAAGAGGAACGGAACAAGGAGGAAGCAAAGACTCGATTGGTGCTCGAGCAGGAGCAACTTGCCACAGCGGCAAAGAACCACTTGGCCGAACAAGATCAACTGGCTGCTGCAGCCCAAGAGAAGACGGAAGAAGAGGAACGGAACAAGGAGGAAGCAAAGACTCGATTGGTGCTCGAGCAGGAGCAACTTGCCACAGCGGCAAAGAACCACTTGGCCGAACAAGATCAACTGGCTGCTGCAGCCCAAGAGAAGACGGAAGAAGAGGAACGGAACAAGGAGGAAGCAAAGACTCGATTGGTGCTCGAGCAGGAGCAACTTGCCACAGCGGCAAAGAACCACTTGGCCGAACAAGATCAACTGGCTGCTGGGGCTGCAGAGGCTCAAGCAAAGATTCAAGAGCAAACAAAGAAGGCACAGCAGATGCTGGGGCAGCAACTGGCAGCACACCTGAGCAGTAACAACAATGCCGCAAGCAAAAAGATGAAGGTGGCAGCGGTCAAGAAGAAAAAGGAGAAGGTCACAGTCACAAAGAAGGCACCAGCAGGCAAGGCGACTGTACCAATTAACCATGACGGCTGTCATTGTCACCGCAAACAATTGATAGATTTACATGTCATGGAAGCAGGGGATGTCCAGTACTACACAAAGGAAACGTCCGTTTTGCCCTTGAGCAAGCTTCTCCAACATTCCAGGTGCAAAGGGGTATGCCAATCTTACGGAAAGTCTTTGTCGACCCAGGTCCACTATTGCCTGGCTTGTGTGAGTGAATCTGGAGGCAAGCCAGAAGGGCAACCCCACCAGTTGTCACTTTCGTGGTATTGTTCTTCCTGTTACAGTACAAAGAACAAAAATGCACCCACTTCTTCTCGCCGTCGCGTTCCCAGTGCCAAACATAAGAGTTTGAATCATTAGTTGTACAATAACAAGAACTGCTATTAATAACAAAAGCACTATTCCCCATATGTAGCACCAGGAACTATTGGCAACTGCAGCCTATAGCCGTCTCCATCTGCTAGTGTCACCTCCCTCCATTTAGATGTGACTAGGTAGAATTTATTGCTGTCATCCTCTGGTATTTTCCCATTGTCACGAAGAAAGGGTAGAAGCAAAAAGAACTCAGACGATTTGGACACTGGGGGCACATCATAAGTTGGGGCGTTGTCCACCTTGCCATAAGAAAAGTAGCAAGCTCCACACACTTCCTTTTGGAAGGCAATTGGCTTTATTTCAATACAATTTCTGATGCCCTCCCTCAGTATCAAATAAAAATGATTGTCCAAGACTAATCCCGAAACCAAAATTGTGTCACCAATACCATTAAGTCTTTCAAGTGCGGTAAATTCATCCTTGAACCTTGTGTAGTTCTTTTGTCGGGGAACAAATGTGGTTTTGGTCTCAGTGTTGTTTGTTCCACCACCAAGTGATTTTCCAGCAATGTGAGTTGCGACATCAAGCATGGCGGAAGCTGAATCAAGCACGGCAGGTTTTGTTTCTCCAGGTTTTGTTGCTTGTAGTTGGGCAGCAACATCAATTGCAGAGTCCTTCATGACATACTGGTATGACTTGTCACAGTAGTACCCGCGCATTGCATTGTAAGACCAGTTTCCACTCAGCCCATTCTTGATCTGTCTCTTGATGTCTTTGATGGAGGCTTCACCCTTGTAGTCCAACTCAGAGAGTTGACTAAGAGGGCCCATCTGTCGGATTGTGTCCTGGTAGTTGAGAAGACCAATATAGTTGGGTTTGCGACGCCATACAGGTACTTTCTTGTCCTTAGTTGTAGCTTGTTGGCGCCTCGTGGAATCAAATTCATCTACGGCACTCAAGAACAACTTGATGTGCCTATCAATATCCATCACTTGTCCTTCTGTTGGATTCTGATCAAGAGACATTACTCGTGCCATACAAACCTGCCAACATATTATCATATGATTCACTTGAATCAGGCTGGCCTTGGAGGCAATTGGTTTGACAATATCTGGCCACTGTTCTTCAGGCTTTGACTTGAAGCAAAGGAATGTCGTGTCCACCATAAGTTTGCTTGATTTGCCATCAATCCCCTCTATCTCCCTTGCCAAAAGCCAGGCTTTCTTCTGTTTCAAATTGTATTGAGATAAGGGCACTCCTGGTGGATCGGTGTACTCCACATCTATGGGTGCAAGATTTGAAAGTAGTTGATGAAGAAATTTAGAGATCAGACAGTATGCGACCCAGTTCTCAGATACATATCCACCAAACCTTGTCTCTGCTTTACACCATGACAGACTTTGAGCTTTGATGCGCTTTAACAGTGGACGGCTCTTGTTGTAGAATGACGTCGACTTCCGTTGTACCTTTAGCCAACCACTCACTAGGTCTATTGAGTTTGCCTTTGTGATCCCTAGAAAGCATAAATGCATTACCACGTCAATGTGGTGACAGATGTCCACTCCCGGTAGATTCCAGGTGGCCGGATACAAAGGTTTCTCTCCAACACCCTCCTCAGCAGCTTGGCAAATGTTGGAACTATAGTCTGGGGAAAGTGCAAAGGTATCCAGGTATGCGTTGCCTTCCTTTTTCTTCCACTTTCCATTGCGAACCATATCAAAAGCCGCATCAGAAGCAGCCATCAAATCCTTGAAAGAGATCTTTCGGAATGGTAAGTGGACACTGGAGTTACGGAACAATAAGCGTGGGTCGCTGGGTGCACTAATTGGTATGTCGCCAACTGCGTTTTCCTCATCAAAGCAATCCTTGAAAGTGGTAGGGTAGTCAGCTGGAGCTTCAAAATACAGCCCATCCATACACCAATTGGCACAATGGTCACATTCTTGCTCCTGTAGTCTTGCCATTCTTAATTCATGACACACTGAACATGATGGGAGATAGGTGTATGCAGCGGGTTGGGACAGGTCGCCAGTCCAACCAAATCGAGCTGCGTATTTTCCATTGCAGTGGGCAAGACACAGCCATTGGCAACGTTCGGGCCGATCTTGTAGAAAGCAAAATACCCGCAGGAGAATTGAAAGCTCTCTTTCCGATGCCCCATCATAGAATTTGTTTGTTTCATCGGACTGGTTGTAGAACAACTGGGTCAAGTCCCGAACCATCAAGTCAAGAACTTGTGACTTGTCACTGGAGGAAGGTCCAAGGGACACGGGATAAGTGTTGCACCCCGAATGGTAATCGTGTTCGGGTGTGCCAATAGAAACCAGAACAATATGTGCAGAACCCCTGTTTTTCTTTGTGTTGTTGGCTTCAAATCCATCTGACCAAATTACAACTTCAGTTGGAAAGTTGACCATTGATTGTGCATTGGTACCAGCTTGCGGATTATTAGTATGGTCAATTGAAATTGCAAGAAGAGCCTTCCCTCTTGGGGAAGAGCCATGAAGTGCTCGGGCCTTCAGCCTGCCAAAACAATAGGGTAAGTCAACCAATGGATCCAAGGGCTGACCATTTGCTAGGTGGAACTGGAGAATGTCGCGGATTGGCACATAGGCAAAACCGTGGTCCATGCTATGGATGATAGGTCGTGGTAGTAGGTTGGGAATGGAAGACCGTCCGGAAATAAATTGCCTTCTCAGCTCCGCATAATCCTTTGGAACTGGCAACAACTTGGGCAGAGGATTCTGTGCTGACAAGTGTGCCAAAAGTACAACGAGAATCTGCTGATCACAAATTGGAAGGCGATCTGACAGTTTTGCAAGAAGCATGCACCATAGAGCAGTGGTAGCAGGAGTCTCTTTGAGTTCAGACGCCGAAGCACTGCCTTTGGTGGCAAGTAGTGTGAGAAGCCTCGGCCCATATCCAGAGTTCTGCCGATTACATTGGTAGTATTGAGCATTTTCAGGATTTCTAATGCGTCCCTCTGTTGGAGTAGCTTCATCCCGGTTGGGGAAGTAGACTGAAAGGTCAAGATTTGGTTGCGGACTCCTTAAGATGACTTGTCTTCTCCAATCTTGTACAGTTGAAATCTGATCTTCAAGAAATGGGGACAGACTCGTATCCTCGTGAAGATGAGAAAAGGGGGCTTCATTTTCCATATAGCTATCATCGGCTGGGTGCGCTAAGCCAGAATCTGTACTTGTCACCATTTTCTCTCCACTTTGGGAGTAATGTTCGGGTTCAGCACAGATTGATTCATTCTCCACATAGGCTTTGGATTTGCGGCGCTCGAAGGCGGCAACTTGCAATTGGTGCCCTCTATTCCCCAGATGCTGCTCCAATCTTTTAGAAAGTTGTTGGTTCTGGTGGGTGCATACGCGACACTTGTACCAAACTAGGTCGGGAGCACGGGTGCAATTGATATTGCTGCACTTGAATACAGCAAGGTATTTCCTCTTTTTATCACGGACGATGGCTTTCGTATCCTGAGAACATTCATTGCAGGCAAAGAAATTGTCTGCTGTAAACTGGTTAAAGTCGTCCTTTGTCAAACACGCCATATATGGGCCCTGATGATTATTGTGTTTGCTGACGATGTGGTGTGATGCTGATGATGACAAGTGTAGAACAAATGGGATGTGTGAATATTGTATAGAGGAATCGAATAGATTCTTCGCCAATTATTGTTTCGTTACGCGCGCAATATTCTATGTAAAATAACGCTTGCATAACTGTATAAGCATGCCAGCAAATCTGAACCTGACAAAGTTCAAAAAAGCTGGCATCCTCGATTGTGTCCAACCCACGAAGTCCACGTACAGATGAAATGTCCTGCCACTCAGTGTCTGAGCGGGACATTCTTGTTTGAAAATAATAGCTACTGATACAGTGGTACTTATGAACTGTCGACGTAGATTCTACAGACAAAAACTCGTCATATCCCGCGTCAAGCGCAAAGCAACTTGACAATTTGCCACAATAACTCGAAACTTTCGCAGGATGAAGACGCAGTGTAAGTGACAGTTTGGTTTGTGAGTGATCATCGTAGGGCGTTTCTAATGAAAAATGTTGTTTTCGGCGGCGCAGGAAAGGTCGATGTCTGGTACATGAGACGGTAAGTCAAGGATGCTTGCAGTGACTATCTCCTGGATTGCACTAACCGCAATCATTTCACATTACTGCACAGGTAGGATGCCAGTTATTTTATAATGTTTGTTTCGATGTGTCATCGTTGGCCAGAGAACTAGGGGGAAAGCTGAGTGTCCAACTGTCGAACCAGACTTTAGTCAAAAACTTTGATTGCACTCGAAGGGCTTCCGACGTGTGATCAAACAAGACTGTTTGATTGATGAACACACAAGCGCAACTGAACACTTTACTGGCGGCGCAAGCATGAATGGAAACCAGGCATTCAAGGCGAAACATACACACAGTGTGATGATCTGCTGTTGAACTGAAATGAGATGTGTACTACTAGTAACAGCGAATGTAAATTAATTTTCCTTTATCATTGTTGTAATATTGCACGCACTACATAGCAAAAGGTTTGAATTCAAATGGAACCGTAGAAATAGGATGGCCAGTGCTTCTTAGTTGCGGACTATATGAGAACCGTTAAACTGGAAGGTGGTTAACAAGGGAGGACGGGAACATGGTGGTAAACGAGGGAACGAGGGATTGCTAAAATGAATATGAGATGAGGGAACGAGGGAGTGTTCGAGGGAGGGCTCCCTTGTTTGCGCCAGGGCTCCCTTGTTTGCGCCAGGATTGGTACCGATTACCCTCGTTTATCCACTCGTTCCCTCGTTTTCGACCTTTTTCGCGCAGATTGTGCGCATCGTTTGGTTTCGTTTCGTAAAAAGGGAGCGAGGGTGCGCCTTGTTTCTTCCCTTGTTTCCGCCCTCGCTCCCGAACTTCTCGTCACCAGTGTAGTGAGCTATCAAACGACAGAAATAGTCCCAATGCGGCTGACGTTCCTCCAAATCCTGAAATAAATCACATGTCGCATATTGTGTACGGTATACCGATATCCCAATTCGCAACAGAATTATAGCATATAGTCTTACTGCGTATTGCGACAATACAACAGGTTCAGGCTGTTTCGTTGCGGTTAGTTGACGCTGCCTGATCCGCAATCAGAAAGTCGCCACTGGTCTGCTCTGTTGCCGTCCTAAAGTCTGGCCTTTCCCGCACAAGAACACACAGTCTGTTGTCGATACTGCGACTTTGGTCTGTTGTCGACACTGTTTGTTGCGACGATATTTCAATCTAAAATATAGGGCAGACTGCTTCGTTAGTGGTTGGCGCTGCCCAATCCGCAATCAGAAAGTAGCAATAAGTCTGGTCGGATGCCGTCAATCAGTGTTGCCGTCAAGTTCAGCCAAGCTTCGGTTTGACCGCAGCCTGGTTGCTATTGCATCATCTCTACCAACAAAGCTTCTTTGCTTCGTTCGTACTCTGACGCACATATATCCCATTTTGAATCAATCAAGCAAGCAATCAATCAAGCGATATAGCCGAGCTCACAATGAAATCCTTTACGTTTAAGGGAGGAATGAATGAAGCGACAAGAGTTCCTGAAGGTACAGAGCGGCTGATCATCGCTCCATCCGTACAAGTACTCCCCATGATCATATGTAAAGACTGTGCCAATACCTTGCAAGAGATTATCTTTCCGTCGGAAGGAAAGTGCAATCTTCGTCAAATTTACGGTTTCTGGTTTCAAGCAACGGATGACGATTTTGATGTCGACAATACTGATGATTGTTATGCTGAAGACAGTGTCAGGCGGCGCTTTGGAGCCCTTAAAAAATTGCATATTCCTTCCTCTGTAGAAATCATTGGAGACCATGAAAGTGATTGGAGCGAATGCGTTTGGCATTTGCTCGTCCTTGCCCAAGATTAGGATTCCTTCAACCGTCGAGACCATTGGTAAACTCGCTTTTGGCGATTGTATCAACTTGGAGGAAATAAACTTCGCCGCTGAAAGCAAGCTGAAGCAAATTGATAAGCTGGTATTTTCGGGCTGCACTTGGTTATCAGACATTAACCTCCCACAAACAATCAAAGAAATCGGGACCGAATCCTTCAAGGAATGCAGAAATTTGAAATCAATCGATCTTTCTCACCAACTCAAAATCATCCGACACAATGCGTTTGAAAATTGCGTAAGGTTGGAAAAAGTGAAGCTACACGAAGGATTGAAGATAGTTGAGAGCTACTCGTTCTACACATGCTTTTCACTGTTGAGAATTGCAATTCCTTCCACAGCGAAAACAATTGAAGATGAGGCTTTCAATAGTTGCAGTCACTTGGAAGAAGTTGTTTTGAAACCTGGAAGATTGAAATGCCTAGCATATGGCGCATTTGGCTACTGCAGTAAGTTGGAATCAATTTCCATTCCGTCTACGATCGAGAAAATCCAAAAGGGCGCATTCACCCATTGCAATCTCAGAAGCGTGGAGTTGCATCCAGATGCTGACATAGAGATTGAAGCTCATGCCTTTGGTGATAACAAGCAGCTTTGCAATATTTCGTCGCAGAACAGTCCTAGTGCAAGGATCAATAAAAACGCACTCCGCTCTACATCCGAGTATTCTTGGGATTCGGAAGAAGCGTATCTAAAGCTAAAGTGTTGGGAATCTCGGTACTTCGGGTATCCTGTTCACAGGCCCAAGTTGTGCTACCATGCATCTACCACAACAGTTGTTGAACTCCGGAAGGCTGCGATCGAATGCAAGGCTACAGTGAAACCTGACCTTGGATATTCTTCCTTTGGATCCGATCCTGACGATGGGTCTGATGCCTCTGATGTCTCTTTTGGAGACCCCGCATTAGACGCATCATTTAATTTGACTCCATTCCATGTCCTGCTTTCTGCTGCCAAACGGAGAACGGATTTGCTAGAGGTACTGTTGGACAAGTTTCCTTTGCACGCATGCTCGGATAATGGAAAGACATGTGGGGTAATCGGCCTTTGGAATTCTTGGCTGGAAACTGGAATGGAGACGCCAGGGAAATGGCAAAGATGATTGTACAGAAATGGATGATTGATCCGATGGAGACTTGGGGCTTGCCAACATGGAAAGAAAATATTTCAAGCAGACTGAACAAGTTCATGGAACCTGAGCGGACCCATCCAAACTTGGATGGATTGTGTGAACAGTTTTTGGAACTATGGTTGTGGAAAATGGATTTACGATCTAGTCGAAAAGACGGCAAACGTATTCTCTTGGACCGAGACAGCAGTCGGAATCGGTGCGGCGCCTCCTTTGTCATCCCGATTGTCCTATCCTTTCTACCGGAAACAGATGATGTCTTTGACGACTGCAGTATTAGAAGCGATGGCTATATTAACGACTCCCCTGATGGTTCGAATGATCCATTGTATAAGCGTGCGAGATGGCGTTCACCAGATGATGACAGTAGTGACAGTACTTAGGATTCTTCGTCCAGCGAAAACGCAGATGATGATTCTTCGTTCAGTGAAAATGGAGATGACGATTCTAGTGAAAGACAGGATTGAGTCAAAGAAAGTTCAACTGTGCTATCCTCCACAACCCTCCACATTCATAACGAACGAGTTGACGGCACATGAAGAAGTACCTATGATTTCAAAGGGTAACCATAACTTCATTACCAGGTATTGGTTCAGATTAATTCCCTGCAGACAGGAGCGTGAAGATCGCATCGTTGTTTCTTGAATAGTTATTGAATTACTCCCTATCCATACAGTAGTAGCACCTTTGAACAGCTGTAGAATCAATCGTCATCTCCATTTTCACTGGACATTGGACGACATAATCAGCATTATTATGCCAACAGCCAGCACAAACAGTACCTAGTATTATTGGGGGCAAGAAACTCGAACGTGTGCCGTTTGTTGCATCTTTTACCGGGGAAAAAAAGACCAGCAGAAGGAGCACACCAAAACAGACCTTAGGCATTAAGGCTGATTGCGGATTAGGCAGCGTCAATTCATGCCAATGCATTCAGTAGTGGCAACGAAAGCGTCTGTCCTCTTGATAAAAGCAGTGTCGACAACAGACTGTGTGTTCTTGTGCGGGAAAGGCCAGACTTTAGGACGGCAACAGAGCAGACCAGTGGCGACTTTCTGGTTGCGTATTTGACAGCGTCAATGAATGACGATGGAGCAGTCTGAACCTGTTACATCGTCCCAACAAGCATTATCGGCAACAATAATACTGGGTAGATCACCGCGATGACTGCAAGAGTGAAGTGTGTTTACGGGACTATTTCTGTGCTTTTTGAAACACATGCAAAAAGGGAGGGGGAAATGTTGAATGTGGTGCAGGCGGCGATGAACCCAAGATGATGAACCGTTGCGGGCAGGTTGAAGTTTCAAAGTTTGCGTAACATGCTTGTGACGCGTCGTAACTCTGTTCTGCATTCCGATTGATGCCTTGCGAAATAACGAAATGCGTCAGGGGGATTATTGCGTATCGTACCGGCATATACCGCGGTTTATATAATAACTCTCGAACGATGACGACATTTATTTCTCGAGTAAAGCCAATAACAAAGCCAATAATAATAAGTATCGCCACGATGACAACCAACACGACGACTACCGGTACATCGAATAGCACGACAACTGCCAACACCACTAAGGGTACCAGCAATAGCACTAATGCAACATCTGTCGCTATATCGACATCCGATGAAACGACCGGCACAGCACTCGACGAGCAGCCGACCGAAACGCCGACATTGTCTGTCGAAGAACTCATATCACTCTTGGACGATGATTCGATTCAAAATGTCACTAGCAGTTTCATTCCTCCGGAAAAGGAGCAACCAAAAGAGTGGGCTGGAGAAGTTATTCTTTTTTTCTTGCTCGGTGCCCTGGGATTATTTGCCGCTACAGGCATCAAACGTTGCCGCAAAAAGCGCACGTACTCAGAAATCCCAACAACAACAACTACAACAAAAAACTTGGTAGTATAGCACACAAAAAGCCCGATTATATTGCAGGAGTGTACAGTAGCTTGTGGTTGTAATTGAAGGTTTCCAAAGTATCGAATATGGAATAAAACTATACTATAGCAGGACTTAGAGAAATACGCTCTATACGGAGACACGGAGAGAGCAAGAAGATGATGTATTCGTCAAGTTTGCTTGTACACGTGTACATGGCGACAGTCAATCGTAAGGAGGCCTTAACCCTTAACTCAAATCCAACCCTAAGAACTCCATTACTTTGCTTGGACGATCCTTGACTAGTCGACCCAAAGGACCAAACAAATTTCCTTCCAAATGCTCCTTTTCCAATTCACTCCAAGAATAAGAGTTCCATCCTTCACATTTGTTCGGTTCCATCGTTTTCGGCCGTTGATCAGGCGCCTTGCATTTCGCGAGCATGAAGATAGTAACGTAATGTTTGTTTTCCCTTTCCATTGCATCATTTGTGACGTGACCAAAAGAAACTTCTCCCAAATCTAAATTGGTTTCTTCTTTCACTTCTCGAATGGCGCACTCTTCCCAGGATTCAAACATTTCCAAATGACCTCCCGGTAATGCCTGCGCTTCCACCGAGAGATCGACGGACCGCAACAAAATTATGTTGATATCATCCTTTGGACACACATTTGACATTATCATATCACTCGAAAGAACGTACCAATGATCCAGCTCCATGAGAGCCTTTTCGAATACCACAATACACTCGATCAGGAGCTCGAGCATCCTTGACCAAAACTCCAACGCCAACTCGAACTACTTTGGTTTCGTTATTATTATTGCCAGAGTGTAATAGTAATGTTGTTCGTTTCCCACTCATTATTGTTGTTTCTTCTTTCTTGGAGCAAACAAGAAAGTAGGTGCAGCTCGTTGCTACAACCATGGCAGCCGCACTCCAAATTAACTGATGCGCTTGCAGAGTCGTCGTCGTTGTCATTATAATACGTGCAATGTTACAATTCTTGAAAGGAACACGCAATTATATAGACATTTTAAAATATCGTTATGTTGTCGGCAGTTTTATTGGGACTATTTCTGTGCTTGGTTTACACATGCAAAAAAGGAGGGAAATGTCGTGCAGGCGATAAACCAAGATTTTTATGAACCGTAACTGGTACGTGTGCCGCACATACCGGTACACGTACACGTACCGGTATAGTCTCCTGGAAGCCGATGAAATTTTGGACGGAGTAAGAATTTAAGGTAAATGCCTAAACTCCCTTCCATTGGCAATCAATCATTCAACATCATCAAGACCGCACTGCTGTAACAGAATAATAATGGGTGAGCAATGCATACCCGGCAGCAGCTTAACTTGCACACCCTCTGTGATGATACCGCAAATAAATACGAGACCATCCCAACAACAACAACACGGCGACGACGAGGACGACGAACTGAAAAATGACGAAATTCGGGATCACAGAGGAAGGCTGCGGCAATCATCTCAAACCAAATCCTCTTGGTGGAATCCCCTCGAAGGAGTCTTGGACACCTTTATAGGAGTACCAGAAGAAACAAAGGAAGAAGTAGAACAGAGAAAGCAGGAGAAGGAACAACAATTGCAGCAACAGGCAGCGCAAATGGAAGTCGACCTGAAAGAACAAATGGAACTCGACCTGAAAGAACAAATGGAACTCCAGGAAGAAGAAGAGCAGATGGAACTCGAACGACTTGGGAGCCAACTGGAGAGGAAGAAAAAATACGACCAAGAAGAGACCTCTTGGTGGGATGCCTTTGAAGGCGTTTTGGATGCCATTTCGGAAGAGCTCGAGACCAAAGAAGAACTTCAGGCAAGAATGGAGAGGGTGCGGCGTCAGCAACGTATACGACAGCTCAAACTGAAACTCGAGGAAAATCGTCAGAAGAGTTTGGAACTATCGCGACGACAGCGTTCACTGGTCGTACCAGCCAACGCCAGTCGCGAAAAAGGAGAGAAAAAGACAAAGAAGTTTTCAATGATGCCGAATGGGTTTTCACTGAATCAACCACCACAGTGTCTTGGATGCAAGGTACCAAAAGAACCGCAAACAGAAATGAGAAACTTTGCAGAATTATCTGTCATTCAAAACAATTATCAGCAACAGCCTTTGAAGCAGTCACGACAACGTTCACAGGAACAACCAGCCATGATTTACGAAAAAGACCTGAACAAAACTACTACTAGTCCTACTAGTAGACAGGCTCCAATGGTGAGGCCAACAAATGGTTTTCCACTAAGGCACCCACAGTGTCTTGGAAGTAAGATACCAAACGAACCACAGACAGAAATGAAGAACTTTGCCGAACTGTCCGAACCAAGGAATCATCAGCGGACTAGAAGAAAATGAAAAAGGCAACATACCATGAAGGCTGGGACCAGGGCTGAATGTTGTAGCGGAGCTCCATACACTTGCTGAACAAACATGAATCTATCCGATGCAGAGGATCATTCATTCATTCATTCGCTGAATCGATTCATTCATTCATACTGTAATAGATATCGATTTGGACGAAGTAGTAGGGGACCTGTCCAGCATATTGGAAAGGTAGGTGTATTTGATACTTATGATTAGATCATAATCAGACATAAGGTAGACAACGAAAAAAGGAGCTAAAATGTTAACTGAAAGTTCTGTATCAGAGTTTGGTTTATAGCCCCCACAGAACCGCGACGAGATCTCGTCGTCGTGTCCGGAGTCATGGTACTCTCCGTTGCGGTGCTCATGGTACCATCCGTGTTCTCCTTGATTTCAGCGGTATTTGATTTTTCTTTGGTCATGGCCATAAACTCGTCAATCTCCGACGAGGACGAGGACGGCTTCTCTGGTTTCGTGGGATGACTGGAACCTTTGCGAGTTGCCCGACCGGAACGGCTGCGGGAACGAGGACCACCCTCTGACTTGGGTCGTGCCTGCCGTCGATTGGATTTACTTCGTCGGACTGTTCGGCGGGGCTCATGATTGGAGGAAGCTAGATTTGCGTCTTTCTTCTTCTTTTTACCGCCACGTCTTGTGGGAAGTGACTTAGAAGACTTAGACGACTTGTTGGATTTAGAAGACTTGGAAGACTTGGTGGATCTACCGGACGATCGAGAATGACTACTCGCGTCGTCTAGTTTGTCATTGCCATCATCACCATCGTCATCATTGTCGTTATCATCCTCCTCCTCCTCTGTCTTGAGATCCTGAGAACCAAATGTAGGGACCGTGTCGCTTACTCTTGCATCATGATTCGCAGCCTTTGCTGTCTGTTCCGACTCGGCCGTTCCCCCCGTTCCCAGCGTACAACTCGTTCGTTCGTCAGATGGTCTATTTTGCAAAAATCTCTGATCTCTGGCAATCGTTTCATCCAAGGAGGGAGTCTTGGAACGTTTCGTAGAATGCTTGTGTTTCGAATTTGTGCTGCGGAAGGAATCGCTAATATCATCTGACAAGGTATTCATCATGGCACTGTCAGCTGGTACGGTGGTAGTTTCTAGGGAACCATCCTCACCCATCGCCTTGATGACAATATCGGCCGGATTATTTAGTTCTAGTTCGAACCACTTGACTTGTTGTTCTGACGCAAAAGTACCTACGCTATCATCTTCCGAATCAGTATCATTCGCTGCCCCTGTGTCCCCTTGGGCAATGTCAAATAGTTGCCCCAGAGATGCCACTTGCGGTATTGGTCTAGCGTCTTTTAGGCGGTCCTTTAGTGATTCACCCGAAGTTGTTGATGTCATGGAAGAGGTGGATGGTGAATCCAACAACGTGGCATAATTGCTGGAAACCTTCTCCGACTTTTGTTTTTGATGCGTTGGACGTTTCTTTTTCGATTTCGATTTCGATTTCTTGCTACTGTCGTCGTCGTTATCATTCCCCCCTACATCCGCTGACAGCCAAGTCTTGGTAGCTTCGAGACCATCATGCTCTTCAATCGAGTCAAAGCTACCCTTGCGCGGCCTTCTGGATATCTTGCGTTTGGTGACAACAGCTGACTTCGGAACAGGAGGGAGTTCCCTATCCGATGTTTTTCGCATCATTGTTCGAGTGTTCGTCGATCGTGCAGATGCTGGATGCCTTGAAGTTGGCGGTGGTGGCGGCGGTGACGGGGTTCTATCTCGGCCATCGTCTGATTCCAGCTTGGCATGCTTGGGGGCTATGTCCCACCAAGAATAAAGTTTGGTCAATTGACCACCTTCGGCGAGTGGGCTCTTAGGGCTCTTAGGACTCTTGCTGCTCTCTTCGCGACGGCTTCTTGGAGATATCAAATTTAGTGGTGACATGGATCTCCTTGTCGGTGATTTTGAAGTCCTTGGAGATCTTGTTCTTGTTTCAGACGCTCCAGAAGCTTCTTTTTTTGCTTTCCTTTTGTGCCGTTTTGATGAAGAAAGTGATGATGTTTCAGTCGCCTTACTCGTATTTTTCAGCTTCTGGTTTGGCTTAGATTCCCCGTCATCTTCACTTAGGCTTCGATGGACTCTTCCCTTGGTCTTGTTAGCCGCGATGCCCCCACTGTTGCTTCGCTTAAGTTCCCGCTTCTTACTCTGTGATGATGATCTCCCCAATTTGTTTGCCCCCTTCCCTTCAGATTTCTTTTTCAGCTTGCGTCGCGGAGTTTCAGGAGCCGAAGCCGCTTGTGCTAGGAGAGCTTCGCCGTCCGCCATTATGCAGCCTTGTTCCAACGATCTGACAAGAATTCTGATGGAGATAACTTGTTTTCACTTTTGTTCAGGTTTCAGACTACGAATTGAGTGATGTGATTGTGCGATACAATTGGACGCTTTCCTCAATGTTGAAATGACGAATATGATCCCTCGTTCTTGCTGCTTTAACACGCTTGTCTTGATTTGTCTTCTACTCTAACAGTACCGGTACAGCAACAACAACATCGATAATTTTCGCTGGCGAAACGTGTGTGTCGTGTATTGCTCAGTTTTGCATGTGTAACGAACTGTCGATGAAGCCTTTTATATAATGCGTGCCCTTTTCTGAACCCTTTAATCAACGTACTTAGGGTTTTCCTAACTGCCATTCGTCAACCCATTCCCACCCTAATCAAAAAGTCATTTAAAAATGACTTTGAATAGGTAAATGTGAACAAATAGGTCTTTTAGGAATCACCTCAACCGTCTTGCCATCGTAGGTGAACATCCATTTCCCGCCGAGATTCAAATCCGCGCGCAGGCATACCCGCTCGCCGGCCTTCTATCCGTTAGATTTGAATTCATCAATCATTCATTTACTCACGGTTGCATCAAAATCGCAATGAAAATGAAGGTAAGTTTCGGATGGGCGTTGCATCTCCTCCATACAATTTTCTCACGCAACTCTATTATCGCTCTATGCGCAGTGATGAGACGGATCGAATGAATGCAGTTGCACTTCTGCGTCTATTTGACTGGTATTTCCGCGAAGCTTTGACCAAGATTTTGTCATTCTGCTGTTGCCAAAATAATATTCAGATGCCAACCCGTCAACAAGCCAAATGCTCTACGTTGCAAACAAGACCCTGCCGAATCAAGTCATCGATCTGTTCTACTAAGAATGAGCTACTTTTGCGTCTTTCTGTTTGCGAAGTATTGACTGAAGTTCTGCCATTCTACGTTGGCAAGATAATGATTGGAATGAAACGCATCAATCAACAAGAATTCGCTACGAGATACGGGTATTCGTTCCTACAAGCAGAACCTCTTTTTCTTGGATCTTTCTGGAGGTGTCATTGCCACCAACCAAATGAAGTCTACAATAGAAAGAGGCGCAATAAATATATTTTTCAACAGTCTTGGACGAAATACAACTTGGCTCCGTCGCATCAAAGATTTTATATGCAGACACCATGCCCGCGAATCCTACATATTTTAAAATAGATGAGAATACCACAATGATTGTGTGTCTATAGTCTTATTCAAAGATTGATTTTACAGGGAAAGACAAGTACTGCAAGTCACAAGCGTTTGTCGCCACAAGTCGTTGCCAACAAGAAGCAATCCTTGTCATTTCTTCCAAGCGCCAAGTAGGGCAAAATTGGTCATCGGGATCCAGTCTTTGGGAACTCTAATAAAAGGACCTCTTGGGAAAAGGTGCCAATGAAAGGGACCTCTTGGGAAAAGGTGTCAAAGCCAATGCAAATAAAAAGGATCTCATTGGCTAGGTGTAATAGAATTCTGCTTACGTATGCGCTGGTTTCGTTCCGACTTGCAACAAGTCGATTCTCAACAGCAATCATTATTTTGGAGATCCACAATTTTACACGCTCTGGGTACTCTTTTGTGAGTCTTTTCCTCACGGGACTGCCTTTTGTGGAGGCAAAATGAGCCGGCAAGCCTTGAATTCAAAACTGTAAGTCCATGTGTGACACTTTGCGCGCGTTCTTTTTGCCCGACTTGTGTCTCACTTCTTTTTGAATTTTCCGTTAATTGTCCGCGTGACGGGAGAGGGCCAGACGGTTGAGGTGACGCCTAAAAGACCTTTTCAGATCCAACATTTACGCCCCACGAACTCTGGAGAATTCACAAATTCTTTTCGCCTTGTCACTCTCCTATGTTGAATGTAGGTATCCTCAAGCCGAAGGCTTCCTGATCGCTTCTGGGCTTCGTTTTCCCACGTACTACCACCAGGTATGCATGGTCCCAGGTACAATCGATTAGGATTACCTATTACCTTATTAGATGTAAGTCGTGAAGGACCTGGCACCGGGTACCCAGTGACAACTGATTCGTTGCGGCCATAGTCTCTGCCCACTTTTCTCCATCGCTTCCTAATCCGTTCAGAATAGTACAAGGTTGTGCCAGTACCCTGCTATTGAGTTATCTCTTTTGTTTATCATTTATTTAGATCACTGTAACTGTGCCGAGACAGCTGTGTAGTATGTTTTTCCTTTTCTTCCTACTCATCTTTTTATATTACTGAGCAGCCCAAATTTATTCATTCTTCTATGCACATGGAAAGGGAAGTTCGAGCAAGATTGCTAGGGCCAAAAATCCGAAGTAGAACATGAGCATCAGAAAGGCTAGCGTTTTTGTCAATTTCCATCCCTGCAAGTGTGTGGTGACTACCACAAACACCAACATCCCCAAGAGGGTAAATATGTATACCCATACATTTTTTGACCCAATCTGTAATAGCAAGAGGATGGTAAATATTGTGAGATGATGGTATCGATTCCATTCGTTCATTTGTTTCATTCGCTCCTTCCTTCGACTCACCGTTATTGGTTCGTACAATGCCGTGTAGGCAATCCACGGAATGGGAAGTCCCACCAAAATGTCAAAAATATTGCTTCCGATACTAGACGACAGTGCCATGTCTCCTTCACCCATACGAGCCACAATCACTGATGTCAATAAATCGGGTACCGAAGTCCCTGCAGCCAAAAGCGTCAATCCCATAATGACAGAAGGAATACCAATGGTATGCCCAATGACTTCCGCCCAGTCGACCATGTAGTACGAAAACACACCAATCCATCCGATACTTAGCAAGAACGATATGTAACAGTACTTGGCGGAACCTGGCTTTCTCACGTCCGGTACCGTAAAGGCCAAGATGACCACAATGGGCAAGACAACAATGTACTTGATGTAGGTCATGATGATGGTTCCACAGGAAGACCCATCTTCAATTTCCGGTGGATAAATCGAATCCATCAAGATTCCTTCATCTTCTTCAATACGTTTGGTTCTCTTTTGGTAAATCATCGAGTGGACGTACCAATTGGAGAATTCCTCAAAGCTGATTTCGTCTTTGGAGCCGGTCATGTACATGGCTGCCATGGCTTGATCCACATCTTCGTCCGTCACGGTTGGTTCCACCGTCTTGAGGAGTTTCTTCAAGTTGGGTCTTGTAATCTTGCCGCTATTGTCAGTATCAAAAAAGTCAAAAACCAACTTTGTGCGCATGGAAATTCTCTTTTCTGAGTGGACATACCACTTGACAAAGTCTTCTTCATCAATTTGTCCGTCCTTGTTTTCGTCCAACTCTTCCATTACCATATCCAATTCTTCCGCAGGAATTTTGCACTCCAACTTGGCAAAGAGTTGAGCGAGTTCCTCTTTATCAATGTGACCGCTGTCATCTACATCCACTTGCTTGAAGACGTGGTGCACGTCTCCAGCCATGACGGCTACTAGTCCAATACCAGCAGTGTCCTTCCAAGATTCTGGATTCCTGAGAATCTTCAAGACACCTGATCGGAAGGTTCCTGGCCAGGGTGTAAGATCAGTCAAAGACTCGTCTTCGTGGATGGATTTCATGGAGCCCCCATCGCCAGCCTGATGGATGACAGCCAACAAATCGACACTGCCCGAATCCAGCGAATGAAGGCTGGGCCCACGTCGCATGGAACGACGACTCGGAGTGCTTCCAGTGGAGTGGTGACTCTTGTGTGAACGATTGGAATGCATTGCATGCTTCGTCCCATCGTCACCGACAATAAGTTGGGACGAATCGGAATGGGACTGATTATCGCTGTGCTTGTTAAGGAACCCCGAACCCTCCTCTGCAGGATCGTGTTTCTCCTCGCCATTGTTAGTATGGTTCTCTTGGGCAGTAGCAATACCATTCTCGGCCGATTCAACCATAGCCGTTTCACCATTCTCTTCCGCCGCGTGTATCGCTTCTTCGCTTCCTGGAGCCGGGACCCCCCTGTTGCCAGTCAAAATACCATAGATTCTCTTATTGAAATACATGATAATAACATAGCATATATAGAGGCAAAAGAGAACAATGGCTTCCCATAGTTCAATCTTGGCAGGTGAGATGACTCCCACAAAGAGTCCCAACATGATCAATCCAACCGAATAACAAAAGGAGTCTCGAAAGAGTGGCCACCAGGTAAGATTCAAGGTTTCCTTAGTGAGCAAGGCACACATGGCAATCACAAATAGGACATTAAAGACAGCCGATCCCACGACGGTTCCAATGCCCACTTCGGATTCTTGCACAAAGGTTCCAAAGATACTGGTAAATAATTCCGGTGCCGACCCTCCCGCCGCCATGAGTGTGGCACCCGCCACATCCATACTCAGGTTCATGTGATCCTCGGACGCAATTTCTTCCAGGGCAGGCACAAAGAGTTCATCGCAGACAATGGCAATGGCAATAAAAGTATACAGGACACCCAAAAAGTAAATGGCAGCAAACCATTCTGGATCCGCCTTTTCCAATTGTCCGCACTCAACGTCCACAATCTCCCCCACCTCTTGTAATCTTCGATGAAGCAAGATGGGGCTCTCCACATAGGCAATAGGACTGGTATTGAGCGTATTAAACGATGATGCTGATGCTTCTTCTATTGCTGTTGTGGACGAAGATGGGGAAGTAGCAGCATAATAAATCAAAAAGCCCAAGGAGACTGCCACCAAAAGGCCAGCTTTGATTGCATATTTGACGTATGTCTTTTTTCGTTTGATTCTTCTGGCTGTGCGTTTGTCCATTCTCCGTGTGGTGGTGATTGGCAGTTCTTCTTCCGTCAGTGAAGAAGCCATGCTGTATTTTGCGTATGGTGTAAAGGAGTTTTGAGGCTGTTGTTGTGGCTGTTGTCTTCCGAAATATAGGAATGACTACAGTAGGCTCTGACTTTGTGCCTAAAATGCCTGAAACTTAAGACTTTGGAAACCAAACCGTCTGAGCTTTAGTTTTCAGCAAAGAAGATCGAATGTGCCTTCCGAAGACTATGAGGCCTTTAGATGACTTGTGAGAGACCTTTAGCTTGACTCGCAACCCTACACAATCCACTTTTAGAACAGGCAAGAGAGGAGGAACCACAAGAAGCCAACCCAGAAGCAAAACAACCCTGAGAGCCAAAGCAAGTTGCGGATATGTCCCGTAGTTTGAAGTACCAAAGAGACATCCAATATCTGATGCCGGCCGGCGTACTTTTAGGATTAAAATATTTATTGGAGAGCAACTGTTGAGACATGAATATGTCGTTGGTGGGAATGTGCTTCACGTGACCGGCGAGTTCGAAGGTTTCTCTTTTGTGACCATATCGGAACTGGCAAAGTGTCATTTTGGACATACCATGTCCGGCCATTACACACAATTGTAAGATGTGAAAAATGGTTGATAGACAGAGGAGTTTCATGTTACGAGCCAATGGTAGTTGCACGTCCTAATCTAATTCAATTTCAAGGTTGTGATGCGAGTCCGTCACTACTAGCTGATATCATGCATGCTGCCTGGCTGTACCTGCACTGGCCCCTACTACCAGCCAGCAGCAGCAACAAGGAGCAGCAAGGAGCATACTACTCCTCATGTGTCTATATCACATAATGGAACCATCTTCTTTTCTACTTTGCTTCCAATGTTTGCTGAGTTTGGTGTATTTGAATCCCCTCACCCTGTGGGATTATTGTACCTTGCATTGTCGAACAAGATATGATATTGCAAGAAAAACAATGCCCTCCTGCTCCCCCTCCACCATCAGGCAGCAAGAACACCAAGAAGTGGCTGGCATACTAAGAGGACGAGCCAGATGTCAGCAAAGCAAAAAGAAATCAAACGAGTAAATGTACGAGAGACACAATTCATATCTTCGTAATGATTTGTTCAAATCAGCACAGTTGTGGGCACCATGTATATAGCTACAGCACCAGTTACCAGCCACAAAGCTCCAGCGGTGTGTGTTGAGTGTGGTGTCTGTCTGCCAATGTGAAATGTCCGTGCGTGCGTCCTTGCATCAAAAATGGACGACTCGTTGGAGTACTAATGTACGTTCTGACAAGTTCTGAATACAATAGGTCCACATCATCATCCAATCGCCGAAGTGTTATCGAACAGCTAAAGCTGAAGGTTTATGTCTTTCTCGCATTGATACATTGATTCGTTTCATTCACCTATCTGCCAGCGTACACACAAGAAAAAATGAGGAGAAAGTCAAGCATGAAGCGGTGTCTCAGTGCTGCGTCACAGTCATGCACATCATCCTTCGTCTTGCTGGTCTTGGTACTACTGTCATTCAATGCCTTATCGACGCCTTTTTGCCTTGGCTTTTCATCGCCATCTAAAAGAAGGACGAGAAGTAATATAATATCCAGTTCACCATTGTACAGCGGGAAGACTAACTCGGATAAAGGCAACAAGATCAATGGTGATGATGAAAATAATCAGAAGGATCTCTTCGTGGACGAGACATTTCAAACCACCTTATATAATAATGACGGCTCGTCTTCTTCTTCCACCAGCACCAAGACGAAACGCAGTTCAACACAGTCTTTTGAGTTTTACGCTCCACGACCCAAATGCAACAAATGGACCTCCCAACAACAAGATTTTCCTCCGGAAGTCTACAACATTGATCCACTCCCACCCGATGCGCAAACCATGTGGGCCGATGGCGGAACCTCTGGCCAAGACGACGCTAAAGCTACCAAACAGGTTGGAAATGGGGACGATTACTTTCGGGCGACGCTGCTGGTGCGGGGTAGATCATATGCCAGACCCAATGCCTTTGAGTTGGACCAATTGTACGAATTGCCCGATTTGCAAGACTTGGCATCTCCACCCAATCCAGAATACGTCGGTGACAACTTGTGGAGCAACAATGGTGCCCTTCTGTTTCGGACGACGCCATTTCGGCTGGGATTATTAATATTTTTCTTCTTTTCCTTTGGACCAATGGTCAATTTCCTCTACACGCACTTGCCAGCCGTAGAAAAGTTGGAGTCTCTATCGGAAAGTAACTTTGTACCGGGGATCTCGATTGTCTATGGTACTTATCTATCGTTGACACTCAATATTCTATACCAAAGACAACAAAAGATTACAGATTTCTGTGCCAAGGAAACTTCGCAACTGTTGCAATTGACACGACGAATATTTCATCTACTCGACGAGACCAATACGATGAAAGGGAAAGCGGATATACCAGCCTCTGAGAAATCCAAGTTCAAGATATCTGTGGCCGAATACATTGCCGATCAAGTGCGGGTATTGGTCAAGGCAAGTCGGGGACGAGAGCTGATGAAAATTGTCTACTCGGATCCGTACGAAGGTATTGACGAGGTGCTCAATGAATACCGTGACGAACTGGTCGCCATGAAGAATACCAAAGAAGCCGGTGGTATAATGGTGGATGTTTCCAATTCTTTGGTATGTATCTATTGAACGATGACCGACTCTAGTATTTGTCACTCTACTGATCCAGAGTGGTGGTCCAAGACAATTGACTCACAACTCAACCTTCCCTATCACGCTCCGACGACAGAACTTGATTGGTACCTGTAGCGATGTAGTGTCCAACATGGTGGTGGTCCGATCGGAGCGATTGTCGAATGAATCCACCTTTTTGCCACCGGCTCACTTTATCGTGGCACGTGTACTGGCAGCCTTGATTATCATTGGGTATACCGTTGCCACAGTGACCTTTGTAGATGCTGATGGATACCCACCAGTCGCCAGTTCTGCATTTTTTGCCGTCTTGAGCACAGTGTATTTGTTCTTTTCCACCATTATCAGTAAGTCCTTGCTTGGTGGAACTATCATTTGTTTGGTTCCAACAGCAATACACTAGTCTAAATGCCGCCTTTCCCATTTCCACTCCTCGCACAGGCGACTTGAACAATCCATTTAACGGTGTTTACCAAATTCGACGATCTGGAATCGCTGCCAACCTATTAGCCATCAAGTGGATCATTCAAAAGGATCCGACCTTGGCGTGCGAAGTCAACTTTGAAGGGGAGGTCGGGCATGAAATTCTGTGGCAGGATCCTCTGAAAATGGAACAGATGGCGCAACAAAAGCAGCAGTCATAATAAAGATAAAGGGGAATCCCAAACCCTGACGGGAAAAGAATTGTCAAAAAGAAAGAAAAAAGCAGTTACATCATAACAACCACCAACGGGGTTCAGGCTTGCCGAATCATGTTCCCAATTACGCCATCGACTGTATCGACGGTTCCTTTACTTCTTTTCAAAAGGCATTATATATTTTTTTTAAAGTGACTGGCAAGTTGCGAAAATTGGAAATCATGACCGCTCCTTGGACATGTGTTCATATCAAATTCATAGACCCAACCCATCGTCAAGGCAATAGAACTTCTGGCAAATAATCATGAACCTAATCGGTGGTGATGATTGATTTGACTGTTCACATGCTACAATGAGACTTTATCGAAAACCATCTACAATAAGTCTTTATCGAAAACCATCTACTATCAACACAACTATCTTTTTTTTCTTTTTTCTTTTTTGAATGCCCCAAAATTCAACGCTTTTCTTTACGAAGAGTCCGATGCGTCATCGTCGCTATTAGCTGCTTCACTGATTGCTTCAGCATCAGGTGCACTTGAAGCCTTGTGGGCACTGCCTCCCATCAAGTTGCGATTCGAAAGAGTCTTGTTCATTTGCTCCAATCCTTTAATCTTTCGTTCAAGTTTCTCGACTTTGGTGCCTCCGGCTGCTTCTTCTCCATCTCCTTCTTCCTCCATGAGGCCGTATGACACCGCCGAGTTGGCAGCATCCTCATCTTCCAATTGTTGCAACATGAGTTGTTGGTTCATCATCTCGAGTCCCATCATTTTAGTTTCCAATTCCAAAATGCGGGCGCCCTCAAAGACCTCGTTCATGGCCTCAAATTCTTGCACTTGAGTGTACAGCTCGGCGTTTTCCTTGCGTGTTTCCGAAATCTCTTCGTTCAATCCGGATATTATGGCCCGCTTGCCCTCACCATCAATGAGCGTGGACTCCAGCATGTCGGCCAATTCGTCCATTTCTCGCTCCATGGCAGTCATCTTGACATTGGCTTCTTGTAGCTTGGTGTTGAGAATGGCCACCGTACTTCGGTGCTCGATGAGTGGAATAACTTCTTCTTCCTCTTCTTCCTCATCCTCTGCATCCTCCTCGGCGCGTCGGGCTTTGCGCATTTTTCGCTTCATGGCTTTGATTTGCTTATCCTCAAGGACGGCAATTTGTGCCTTGAGGCTTTCCATCTCTGCCTTGAACGCGGCATTCTTGTCACGAGCTTGGGCCAAGTCTGTTGCCTGTTGCTCGGCCGATGTTTCCTTACTACCAATCTCCACAATGGCACTATCCATGGCAGATTGGAGTTCGCTGTACTTGATTTCGAGATCAGCATACTTGGCGTGAGAATCGGCCAATTTGGTTTGGACGATAGTGACAGCGTAGGTTTGTGCCATGGACGAAGCATCTGTGTACCCCGTCATGGCTGATTTGGCTGTTTGGTCATCGTTGCCACCAAAGTGAATGATCTTGACGGAAGCGTCAGCTTCGGCGGCAATTTGGCCAAAGTCAAAGGTACCACCAATTTCTCCGTTGCCAACACCGAGATTAATGTTGGTAGGAACCTGCGTTGGGGCCGCCTTGGACAAGGTGACCGCCTTCTCTTGCTCCTTTTCCAGAGCGTGAGCCTTGTTGATCTCCTCTTGCAACTTCTTTTCGGCCTCTCGCTTTTGCTTGATAGCAGTATCGAGTGCCTTGTTGGCCTCCGACAATCGCATTTGAGTGTCCATGAGCTCATGTTCCATCTCGGCCATTTCTTGTTCCGTGGATGAAACTTGAGCATTGGCGAGCGCCAATTGAGTTTTCATCATAGTGACGTTTGAATCTCTGACTCGTTTTTCTGTCTTGGGCTTAGGGACGACCGAGCTGCCTAAAGAACCGGTTGCCGATGCACCGTCGTCCTCCAGTTCAAGATCCTCTTGGATTGAGCCCAAGGACATCTCCATCTTTTCTTGCACAAGCTGTTGGTTGACAGACTCCAACTCCTTGACTTCCTTTTCAAGTTCGTTCACTTTGCTTGGATCAACCATCTCTCCCTTGGCCTTGCGAAGTCTTGAGTTGTCTTTTTGCAGCTCATCAACACTTCGTTGGAGTTCCGCGATTTCGTGCTCCTTATCGGCTAGTTCCATCTCGGCCGATGTGAGTTGGGCAGATGAGACTGCCAGTTGGGTTTGAATCATGGTCATGTTACTCTGTCTGATACGCGCAAGGCCCTTGTCCTCTTTAGATGACTGCCTGTCACCTCGTTTCTTGGCCTTTTTCATGCCCTCGTATCCATCTTCTTCTTCAATCTTCAATTGAGCCTCCAGCTTGACCTTGTCCAGTGTGAGATCCCGATTGATCTCTTCAAGCTCACCAATACGCTCTGAGAGTTCTTTTATCTTGTTGTTCTTGGTGCCAGTCATACTGTGGGAGTGTAGTCGCACTTGAGATCCCAACTTTGCGTTCTCCTTGCGTAACTTTTGCATCTGAGTGAGCAATTCGCTCTGAGATGCCTCCTTCGCTTCCAATCGCTCTTGGGTTTCCTTCAGGTCAATCTCCATGGCAGAAAGTTTGGCATTCGCCTCGTGAACCTTGGTTGAAAGAATGGCTTTGGAAGCGTTTTGCACCTGAACAGCAACATTGGAAAGATTCTTACGCAACTTTTCTCGTTCTGCTTGACTTTCTTTCAATTCTTCCTTGAGTTTCTTGTTTTCTTCCTTCAGCGCCTGAGTGGTCGTGTGGGGGTGTCTGGGCTTGGTTCCTTCTCGTCCTTCGTCCTCTCCTTCAGCAGTGGCGTCAAGCTCAGGTTTCTTTGGGTCTAAGAAAAACTTACGCCCAGATCCTTCAAACCCTTCACCCAATTGACCGCGCGATGCAGCAATCTTTCGGCTACTCGTAGAAAGAAGAGCCTTGTGCTTTTGTCGCAAGCGCTCTAGGCGACTGCCTCCTCCAGTTTCTCCATCCGTCATGATAGTTATTTTGTGTGACTAATTTGTGATAGTGTACTTTCGATGATGATGTTGTTGACGTGAATCTTTCTGAAGATTTCACCAAGAAAAGGTCACAGCTGATATCAAACTGATGCGACACTGTGGTTATAAGTACGAGTTTGTACTGTTGATGGTGCTTGTGTAGTTATAAGGACAACACAAAACAACTTTCCTTGTTGGCAGTTACAATATCTTGCGGTGCTACGGGCAGCTGGGTTGACACTCAGGCAAAAACGTGAGGAGAATGACTGTGCCTTAGATTTTGGCTTGTGACCTAAAACGGAAGTCAAGTGTCTTCGTTGCGTACAATCCTACTTAGACCAACGTGCACCGGCCTCCCTTCCACGTATTTATGTGGTCATATGTTTACTTAGCGATATAGGAAATTTCATTTGTCGTAGTATGACATTCTTCGTTTCGCCTGATTTGGCATTCGGAAGAGTCAAAATGGCTCAATCGACCCGTTCGACCTTTGCCATTCTTCAAAGCCACTTCAGTGAAAACTTTTATGTTCGTCTCGCAGATTGTTTGAAGCATCTACGGAGTTGGATGTTTCGGCACGACTTTTGGTCTTAGATACCACTGAACTTTCCTTCAGCAATGGATGCTTGCTGAAAATGATCTTTCTATGGAAAATCCTCATTGTCTCACTATTCTTGTTTCAATGGACCATCGCCTTCACATCTTCAGTATCACCAAGCAGAAGCGGAAGCATCCAAACGTTACGAGGGAATTATGATTCGAGTCAGTCCACTCAGTTACCGGGAGTCCTTTCTAGAAGTGTCATTATGAGTAACAGTAAAGCCAAGAATTGTCGGAAGATGAAGGCCAGCAATGGTGTCAAAACTCCACTTCCGCCCATTTCCAAGAGGTTTCTGATGGACGCCATGGATGAGGCGAAATTGCGACAAGAGCTGATCCTAGATGCATTGGACAAAGAGAGAGGAAAGTACGAGAATATTTCGAAGGCACAAGACCAAGGAGCAGAAGAAAATAGTCAAATTCCATCACATACAGAAGAAAACCAAAAGAATGAAAATGCTGACAACAACCGAAGTCCTCAACAGAAGCTGGATTCCATTGATGGACGACGGTTGGAAATATTGCAAAAGATGGATCAGCTGAAAATTCTGAAGCAGAAACTATCCCAACAAAATGATAACGCCTTGGCAATGGAAACTTTGCAATCGTTCAAGAATGACTTTGTGACACTTGGATTTGTGTCCATCTTGGAACACAATCCAGATACCTGGAAGATTCGACTGCAAAGAAAAGACTATGGCCGACCAGATGGTTTTGATGGGCTTGTATTCTACACTGCACGAGGTGTTCCCATTTTAGTAGGACGCCCGAAAGCCCACAAGGACGAGACGCTTAGACGGATTGCCCAGGGGGCTGACTTGTGGTTTCAAGTGGAAGACTATCAGGGGTCCCGCGTCTTATTGCGAAGCTCGCTGCAGCGTGGCTTGAAGGATAGCAAAGAATGCAAACAAATGGCAGCCAATCTCGCGGCACGATTCAGCGACAGCTGCTACTACAGCTTTGACGACAACCACAAGAAGGCTCAACATACTGACAGGAAAACAAAACAACGCATTCCCATTATGTATTGTGACAGCCGCAAAGTCGCCAAACGAGGGAGTGGGGTGGGTAAAATGAATCATCGCAAAAAGCTAGGACGAATGTATGGTGATCCCAACGCAGTGGAAGATTTGACTAGAAAAGTGATGAAACGTCATGATTTTGAAGTGTATTGGTGCAGGAAGTCATAGCGTAAATTCTATGCAACCGACACGTTTGATATTGCCTATGCGCTACTTATTTTTCTATTTAACACAGTTGTACAAAAGCACCTATAATATCGCTTTGAATTCTGCGTAATGGTCGCGCACCGTTTTTAAAAAATGCACAATTTCAATTCGGCGCGACCTCGAAAACCTACCAAAACCATGTGTAGGAAACAAAGTACAACATGATTCTTATCAACCTCAACACACGCGCTCGGGAAATTGACTTGCTGCGGGCCATGTTGTAAAATACCGGCACGCAGAAGCATCAGCAAACTACTATTTCGCGTTATAGTCTTTGCATTATTACGCCATCATCATCCTCTTGACCTTAGAGGCATATTGCTCGTTTATCATCAAATAGCACTATGAGCAGTGAAAACGCAGACCATTCGTCGTCTCACAATAACGCTGATAATCCCGTTGGTGATGTAGATACACCTAAGACTCCTTCTGATCATCACTCCAAAAGAAGGTCAACAAGATCCTCGAGATCTTCAAGAAGTGGTGATCACAAGTCCAGGTCTCCGAAACGTCACAGATCCCCAGGGCGTAGCCACCGAACACCAGAGCCTTCGAGTAGATCATCTGATCGCTCCAAGCGAAGGGATAGATCTCCTAAATCATCTAAGACGAGCGGAGCACCTCCAGAACCACCACTGACAAAGCCTTCACGTGGTGAAGAGGACAAGAAATCTAAGAGAGATGAAAAGTCCCGGCGTAATCGTCCTGCTGCAGTTGCTGGCGTTGTATCGGTTTCTGGAGGAGGGGAATCAAGGGAGTCTCGCAAGGCTCGTCGAGAGAAGGGGGGTTCTGGCAAAGGCAGAGATAGGGTCAGGGATAAGATCGCCTCGGACAACAAGGCAAGGAATGGGAAACGAGTGGAAAAACGTCGTCTTGCCGATAGAGGTGCGGCTACTCCCATGTCCCCGCGCAATCGAGCAGCGAGAGAAAAGGCAAAGGCGGCCTCCGCTGGGCTTCGGTCAGCCCCTGCATCCGCACCAGTAAGCAACGCTGCAGCTCCGGGGGCTGATGCGGATACTCCGAGTGCTATGGCAATTGACGATGCCCAGATCGTGGGAGCGGCACCGGCACCGGAAGTAAATGTGGAACAGTTGGTTCAAGACAGATTAAAAGCTATGACGGTTGCTGTTGCCGCGAGTCCAGACGATGAAGCTGATTCGGACAAGGGAGAAGTCGTAGAAGAAAATGATGACGAAGAAAGAAAGAAAAAGAAAAAAGCGCTCATGATCAAAATATGTGTTGGATTGGCTATTCTTGCGGCAATCATTGTCGGTGTGGTTGTGTGGTTAACCGGCAAGAACGACGAGCCAGCCGCAAGTCCGGCCAAAGAAAGCATTGCCGACCCTACAAATGCTCCACTCAGCGCCGATTTCACTACAGATGCCCCAATCGGTATTGTATCGCCTACCGCATCGCCTTCTACTTCACCTTCCCTGGCTCCAACTGATGGACTACTCTACGAACCACCTGGTGATTCTATCTGCGAGTTAATCGCGCGAGGCGAGCCTGTTCCAGGACAAGAAGATATGTCAAGCAAGAGCTTCATACTTCCCTTCAAGGCCGAGATGGTAGAGACATCACCACCGTCGGAAGTTTCAGCACTCCTAGACGTTGTGGTGCAGTCAATCCTTGGTCCTGCATTGGCAGATTGCCCAAATACAGCCACAACTGCAGCGATCGCTGGACTGCCTGACAATGCGCGACATCTGCAAATCGATGGGCTACCCGTCTACGTCATTGGAAATGCTGCAATTGAGGTGGATTGCGCACAAGGAAATGACTGTGACGTTGCACCAGAGTTGTGCTACTCTTGTCAGATGGGGCTTGAACTCTTTCTAAAGGATGAGGACGTGAGGGGCTACTTATTGCAGACCAAGACGTTAACAATCCTTGACCAAGAAAGCTTGGTGGACTTTTTTGGGTTGGATGGTCTTGCAACGTCTTTGGAGTTTGGTGATATTGTCACAGGCACACTAACGGAAGCGCCAACTCCTGTTCCCACGATTATGGAAAGCGGTTCACCTTCAATGAATCCATCAGCACAACCATCCAGAATGCCCAGTATTGCACCCACATCGACTGGGTCAAGCACTCCAACTATTCCTGCAACACCAGGACCCACGCCGCCACCGACACCAGGTCCAACCCCACCTCCGACTCCACCGCCAACACCAGGCCCGACGCCACCGCCCACTCAAGCAACTCCGGGTCCAACGCCACCGCCAACTCCGGCCACACCACAACCGACACTCGCAACGCCAGTGCCCACATCATCGCCAACCTCCAAATGGGATCGGATTCTGGGAGGGTACCAACCCTATCACGCTCGGGCCTATGAATGGGTTACGACTACAGACACTTGGGAACCAGATCCTTTCGCAAGCAACCCAGATGAACAATGTCTGGAACGCTATGCAATGGCGGCTCTCTATTATTCGTTCCTCGAAACTGACTTTATGTATCAATCTAGTTGGATGCAAACAAACGAGCATCACTGCGATTGGTCTTTCACTCATGATTGTGACGGAGCCAGAAGAGTCATCGATATGAATATTGAAGACGATGAGCTCATTGGTACCTTCCCAACAGAATTCGTAAGTACTTGTTATCTTCACTTGCAATACATCGATCCAATGCTAAGCTGTCTGCGTTTCGTTTCACTGCTCCAAGGGAATCTTGTCACATTTGACAAGCATTAATTTTGGTAAGAACTAAACTGTTGCGACGGATTTGATGGCAGCTTGGCAGCTCACACGCTTGCAATCTGGTTTCACTTCTTAGAACTCAATGGTTTAGCCGGCATCATACCTACGGAGATGGGAGAATTAACACAGCTGAGATATCTGAATCTTTCTGAAAACAGCTTTGCTGGTACGTTCTTGGGTGTCCTCTTGCTTCAATTTGTACTTGGAGCAGCTTCTTACAACAACCGGCTGTCTATTCATCTTTTCAGGAACTCTCCCAACAGAAATTGTACGTGTTTGAATGGTGGCTTATTAGTATTTGTTGTTGGCTTTGCTTCTTATACCACTTATGTTTCATCTTGGCAGGGAATGCTCTCTCAATTGACGTACTTGTCACTCGAACTAAATGGGTTTGTCGGGTAGGCTGCAATTGCTGTTTCAAGTGTATTATGTATGAGTCGATTGTCTTACTGCTCTTCTTGTAACTACTAGCTCCTTTCCGTCGGAGTTCGGGCGATTATCTCTACTTGAGGATTTACTCATGGGTAAGAAGTACCAAGTCAGCAACTCATTATTGCAACAGTGATGAACGAGAGAATACTAACCTACTGCCACGTTGAATACCATTATAGATGGAAATGACATCTTTGGCCCAATACCCTCGGAAATTGGTCGTATGACGAGCTTGCGTGAGGTCCGGTTGGGTGAGTGCACCTTCATTGCTACGGCATGAAGATAGCTTAACGAATTGGAACGATTGTATGCTAAACGTTTGCGCGGTCTGCCGGCCATCCTACAGATGAAAACGAATTAAGAAACGAAATCCCCAATGAGATTGGAGCACTGACTATGATGACATACTTAAATCTTTTCAGCAACGGATTGGCAGGTACGTTTGAATGCTGGTTGTTTGTACCAGTACTTGTTCTTGGATTAAGCTTCTTACAATTTACTCTTGTTCCAACGCTGTTGTATCATCTTTTCAGGTACCATTCCTACCACGGTCGGCGTAAGTAGATTTCAATGCGAACAAACTATCGTTCCAAAGTGCGTCAACATTGCGACCAATGCAACCCTCACGCACGTGCCCATGCTTGTCCATGCATTATAGTTGTTGACATCACTGACCAAATTGGAGTTGGACTCGAACAACCTTCGCGGATCCATCCCCACGGAATTGGGTGCGTACCGTTGTTGTTGCCTTCGCCGTTGCGCATTGTGTTGTGCATGAATGTTGAGTTTGCGATGATCGAATGATGTGGAAATGTGAAAGTCAAAGCGGAGACAAAGACATGCAGTCTCTGTCTGTTCACCTCCTGTCTGTCGTACCGGAAGAGATCTTCCTGTAGTATTTACCGGTACCCCTCTTGTTGTTCCTATATACCGCGCAGATTGCATCTAACAGCATTTGCATTGCTTCTCTATGTTTTGTGCAGGGAGATTATCGTCGCAACTAGAGCAGTTGTACCTGGATAGTAATTCGCTGATTGGGTAAGAAGTACTGGGCACTGAGAGAAAGCTTTCTTGGTCAATTTTTTTGCTAACTCGCACTCATCATTTCTCAACTCTTCCAACCCATCACAGTACCATCCCTACCGAGTTTGGTAATCTTGCAAACGTTTGGCTTTTGGACTTGTATAAGAATGTACTCAGTGGACCTTTGCCGTCAGAAATCGTAAGTATCATCGCTGCAATAGATTTCTCGAAACGACTCAAAAATATCACTCAACTACTTGATGTTGTACGTGTAGGGAAATATGTCAAGTTTGAGGGAATTTGAGGTGTGGGAAAACTCATTGACAGGTACCATCCCTGCAACTCTTTTCTCTCTGCCCCTAACCTTATTCGATATGTGTAAGAGCATCGTCACTGAGAACCCTTTTTAAAGGTGCAGCTACAGTATGATTCAAACTCACATCTCAATTTATTGTCGTTCGATTTTCATTCATTCATTCGTCGTCGTCGCACTCTCGCGCTCGGTCGTCACAGCAACCAATTTTTTGACTGGTTCGATTCCACCTCTTCCAACGTCATTGACAGAATGCTACTTAGGTAAGTGTTGAGAATGTTTGAGCAATTCCTTCGAGTATGAATAACTCCTCTAACAATGCCATGGCTTCTTGTTCGTTTTGATGGTATTATACATCGCAGCCACATCGTTTAATCGGCCAGAAGCAAACTGCTTTACCAATACCTCAAATGCTGGCATTTGTGATATCACCAATAATTGCCTCTAGATCAATGGTTTACATTTAGAATAGTAGTCCCCTTCACTTGTCTTCATTCTTATTGTAGCAACTACAAAAAATGGAGAAGTGACGGCTTAAAATAGCTCCAATGGGGCAAGGAGATCCGATGAGAGACTAGGTAGTAGAGTAGGGGTTCTGTGTGCTCTTTTGCTCGATGGGTGAAGATTTTGCGTGATGGATGAAGGTGAAATATGATAATAATGTTGTGTGAGTCTATGCGTGAAAGATATCCGATTGACGACATACCGGTACCAGGTAGTACATTCAATTGGTATGATACATGTCTATCAGCTACAGTATCATATCACATAGTATTGATGTCTCATTCCCGCCGTCTGTCCTTCACTCCTCATCCTGACTGGGGATGACCTCATCGACCATCGTTGTCCAAAAAATTCATCTTCCACACATTTTGAACATTAATAAATATCCTCATAATCCTCCCCATCCATTCTACCGGTATTTCACTCCTCCTGTTCATGCCTACACCTAGGGACTCAAAGTCTCTCCATAGCATAAATCCAACAACACGAGTTATAAATGGGTATGCCTTCAACATCATTTTCATAATGCTGTCCTTGGGAATAAATGTGTTGCGCAGAGGACCCATCAAAATGGTTCATCTTCCACTGCTCCTGGCCTTGACAAAGTCCAGAGGATGTCTATCCTTTGCATTCACTTCCACAAGGATGACGTCTGGTATTCGTATTCATGATATTCAGAAATCAGAGCATCACCGACTATTTTCTCGGCACTACATGGCGGCTTCGTCCAATGATGTATCGTCACCAGAAGTACCACCTGTGGAAATCTCCCCATCCACCCACGGAACTCTGCCATTGACTGGTAATTCCTTTGTGCAGTCCAACGAAACGATGAATGAAAAATTAAGCGCTGTCTTGAAACAAGAAGGATGGACACGGCCAACGACCATTCAGGCAAATGCCATTCCACTGCTGCGCAAAGAGTTTGATGTCATGGCATCCTCTCAGACAGGATCGGGAAAGTCACTCATGTTTTCACTGCCCATGGTGGAACGTATTGTACTCGAGTCTTCAAATACAAAGAATAATCGAGTCATGGGTATGGTGATTTCTCCCACAAGAGAACTTGCCATTCAGACGGCTGGAGTGTTAAAGACACTGACCAAAAATTATCCGCACCTGAAAGTTTCGCTTGCGACGGGGGGTGGAAATACCAAGCAACAACGACAAGAATTGGCTTCGGCGAGTATTGTTGTTGGTACTCCGGGGCGAATATTGCAGTTTACCGATGAGCGAAACTTGTCCTTACAAAATCTAAAGTTCTTGGTAATTGATGAAGCCGATCGACTGATGGATCTCGGTTTTGAACCACAGCTGACCCGAATTGCGAGGCTTCTCAAAACTAAGAGGCAGCATCAAAGTGTTTTGTGTTCTGCTACTTTCCCTACTTCGGTACAACGGATTGCTGCTGACTTTTTGCGGCCGGAGTATTACTTTGTGAGTGTGGGAAGGGTAGGTTCTACTCATGCTCGAATCAAGCAACGCTTTGAATGGATGGGCAATGATGCGGGCAAGGTAAAGGCAGTCACTCGTCATGTCACACAATTCTTGAAACGATCCAACGGAAACAAGAACAACAGTATTATTGTCTTTGCCAACATGAAACAAGACGTTGACCAGTATGGCAAAGCATTGGCCAGCAGTGGAATCAAGTGCCGGATCATTCATGGGGACAAGGAGCAGAGCGATCGGAATCAAGCCTTGAGGGACTTTTCGAATAAAAAGGCACAAGTCTTGGTGGCAACCGACGTGGCAGCACGGGGATTGGACGTTTCACACATCGGTTTGGTTATTCAAGCGGATGCCCCCAGCAATGTTGATTCCTACACGCATCGTGTCGGAAGAACGGGCCGGGCGGGTGCCAAAGGAGAGGCAGTAACATTTTTGAACAATAAGAACCTCAGAGTTGCTGGTGAATTGCTGGAACTATTGTACGAAGCTGACCAACCAGTGCCGGCTTGGCTTGTCGGCATGGCTTATTCTTCCAAAGCACACGCCATGCAAGAGGAGGCACAAATATCGGCAGGGACACTGACGGAGAGCGAAAAGGAAGAGCAAGAAAATGTAGTCAATGACGAGTTTTCAGGGCAGGATTTTCGGCGTCACGCAGTGGAAGGTTCCTACGGTGCTGGGCGGGATACGTCCTATCGGTCATTCGATGATGAAGCCTACAGTCCCAGTGTGCAAGTAGACTTGGTAGGAGACCAATCACCAATTCCGAAAGCAGAGAACTCTTTTTCTACCGAGATGGATACTTCAGGTGACACCGATACAGTTGCTCCTTCAGTTTCAATGCCCAAGCTCATCGAATCCAAGCCGAGCCGGCAGCTTGCGGAAGCCCTTGAGGAAATGAATCAAGGAAAGGGATTCGGCAGCAAGCCCGATGCTAAGATCTATACAACACTTTCCAGAAACCGAAACCAAAAACTACCATTTGAATACCTCGGTAATTTTCCATTTGACGAAGTTTTGCCGCTGCTTCGATCCACAAAACGAGACTACCGAAATACAGCGCACTCATCATTGCCACGGATACTCATGGTTGCTGAAAAACCGTCAATTGCCCTCGCAATTGCAGAGGCGCTCAGTGGAAAAAGAGGGCCCCGAAAACGTTTTGGGATATCACGAGCGCTGCCTGTTTATGAATTTGTATCAGAAGCCTTTGAGCCCCTGAATGAATCCGGGTCTCCTACAAAGTGTCTGGTGACTGTTACATCAGTCGTTGGACATCTTTTCTCGCTTGGGTTTGACAGTAAGGACCAGCGGCAAAGCGATCCTTCTGACTTTTTCCGCTTGCCAATCGTGAAACAAGAGGAGTCGACAACTTCTAAACTTCGAGTCATGGACCATCTTCGTGCTCTAGCTGCTGACTCGGACCACTTAGTTTTGTGGTTGGACTGTGATCCTGAAGGAGAGAACATTGCTCATGAAGTCATCGCTGTGACTAGACGTGCGATTGAAGCAAAAGAAGGAGGGGCTGCCGATCGCATTCACCGAGCAAAGTTCTCGGCTATCACAGCAAAGGCTCTTCAGGATGCCTTCAAGACTCTTCAGAAACCTGATGCGGATCTCTCCAGATCTGTGGATGCACGACAAGAACTTGATCTTCGTATTGGTGTGGCTTTGACACGACTGCTAACATGGAAGTGTGTTGGTGCAGCGCGAAAACGATTCTCTCCGGCAACCAAATTTGTTTCCTATGGACCATGTCAAACCCCGGCCTTGTCATTTTGCGTCGACCGCGCTCATGAGATCCAAAAGTTTGCTCCAACCACGTTCTGGGAACTACAAATTGAAGCAAGTCCAGACTCTGATAAAAAGAACAATCGTCCACTGAAGTGGACGGGTTCCAATGGATCTGCTGAAATGGGAGACAATTCGACCCCTAACAAAGTGACTGCAGAGAAGCTTGTCAAGATTGCTTCAAAATCTGGTGCACATGTTGTGGTTGAATCCATCCGAGAGGAAAATTGCAAAGTCAGTGCACCAGTGGGCCTAAACACGGTTGCTCTCCTCGAGGCTGGTTCAAAAGCACTTGGCATGTCACCAAAGAAAGTCATGAGTGTTGCAGAGAAGCTCTATAGCGATGGTTACATCTCATACCCGAGGACTGAGACCACGCGCTACGATCCTACTGGTTTTGATGTCCGAACTACCTTGAGGCAGCATTCGAAGCATGGCGAATGGGGGAAAAGCGTATCCTATCTCTTGCGAACAAAGTACAGCAACCACGGAAGCCCCCCGACTCGTGGACGAGATGTTGGAGATCATCCACCAATCACTCCACTCAAGGCGGCTTCAAGACAAGAGATCGGCAATGGTCCACCGTGGAGAATATACGAATTCATCGTGCGTACATTCCTCGGCTCATTGCATAACGATCTGCACTATTTGCGAACGGTAGCGTCGCTCAAGTTGGTTGGTGAAGGCTCTGCAGATCAAGAATCGGGGGCTGATTTCGAATTAGAAGTCGTCACTGTGGACTCATTAGGATTCGCTGACGTTTGCCGTTGGGTCCTCCGTGACATTGGTGCAAGTCGTGAACAGTCGGAAATGTCAGAACTATCCATTGGGCAAGAGCTAAGTATCACAAAGGCTGCAGTGAGAGAACGAGAGACACGGCCCCCGAGGTTCTTACAAGAGCATGAATTGATTCGATTGATGGACGAAAATAGGATTGGAACTGATGCCATCATGGCAGTTCATGTCAACAATATCATTGATCGAGGATATGTCATTCTTTGTGACGAGGCTGGAGTACCCCTTCGTGCTCCGCGGCCTCCTAGACCTGGAAGCAAGCCTCTTCCACGACAGATTGGCCGCTACATGGTACCCACTGCACTTGGCCTAAATCTCATTGCACTCTTTGGCAACGAAACGAACGAAGCAACACCTGCTCTCCTAGTAAAGCCGTCGATTCGACAGAAGATGGAAGAAGAAGTGAAGCAGATCGCATTGGGCGTGTTCGAGAAAGACGAGTGTGTTCAAACAAACCTGGATTGGTTTGAGTCAAGGTACCAAGAGTTTTTCGAATCATTATCTCGTGATCGAGTTAATGAATTTGCTCGGGAACTGTCTCCAACATCGAAGAGCTTGGAGAACTGGCGCAAAACTGGGGTCTTCGAGCCGAAACAGACGGTAGCAATCAAGAAATCAACCAAACCCAAACCAAGAAATACCCAGCAAGGTAAAAATAGCAACAAGCAAGGAGGGAACAAGAAGAAGAATAGAGGAGCTTGGAAGTCAAGAAGTAGGCAGACAGCCAAGAAGTAACTCATCAGGAACATTTGTCTTGCAATGCTTCTCTGAAGCACGTTTGAGCAAGAGTAAGGTTTGAGATCTCTAGGGACATGATTACTTTTCAATTGTGACGACTGGCAGCCTATTGCTATAGTTCCTTTTCGTGGAACCCTCAGCCTTTTTGTTTCTTTGGGCTTTCCGAGGTCAGCATTATGCATAATCTTCATCACGCCAAGTCACAGCAAAATACCATTGATTGGCGACATGAATGACAAATTTAGTCTGACAATGAATCAGCATGTTTTTTCTTCTGAGTGCCCGCCAACCTGCAAAGAAAGCTCCTAGGTGTTCCTTTGACAAGGAATCCACTACAGGTTCGACGGAAGCTTCTTCGGTGTAGCAGTATTGGAGAGATTCCTTATTGTTTCTTCATGCTTGAGTGATCCACGGATATATTGTGTCGGTGGAATGTCGAGTGATCGTCAAAGAATTATATTTTTTATATTTTTATAAAATTCATATTTTTTTATCCGACGAACTCTATTAATTGGCTAAAAATTAATGAAAATATAGCGTAAATAAATACTATGAAATCGATTTGCAAAATTAACGCGGTAAAAGAGATAAACAACCACTGGTATTGTAAGAACACGTGTAACAATCTACTCAGATCCGATTTTAATTGGCGCGATGAGGTTTCGGCACGTGACATTTTGAATTAAATGGCGTTGAATTTTGCGTTGGAAATGAAAATACTTAGACCAAATCATCGCCAAGCGTCGAGGCATGCTTCCATGCCGCATCCTTCACAATTCCCACCGCTTTCTCAACCGTCGAAACAATCAAGTGTATGTTTCAAACTTCCTTCAAAGTTGAAACGAAGACATGAAACTATTCTTGATTGGGCTATTAGTGATCACTGCACAAGCAGCAGACCCAAGGAGTCTCCGCGGTGGATCTGTGGAAGAGGATCAGCAGTTTTATGATCGACTTCTCCAGGACAACGTTGCTAGTATGACGGCGGCACCAATTGGCACTGCAGCTCCCACCATTCCTCGAGTGCTGACTGCAGCCCCTACAGATAGACCTACGCAGCTGGGGGAAGAAACTCTACCTCCCGCTGCTGCTGTTACTCCGTCGCCAACTACTCCTGTTACTCCATCACCAACGTTTTCAGGTCAAGGAACCGATGCTCCATCTTCCATGCCAAGTCCGTGTAAAGTTCTTACGGTGGAATGTCCAGAGCGATGCTGGGAGGTCGATCCTTTTGATCGCAACCCATTGTGTATCGACTTCAATAGACCAGACTGTGATACTATTCCATTTCCAGCAGACAGCTGTCCCCCTTGCTGTCCTGCAATTTGTAACGACGCTCCAGAATTGGGTGACTGCAGTCCTACTCCTGTTCCAACAACCTTTCCTTCGGAATCGCCTTCTGCCATGCCAACAGGCACAGCTTCACCTACCGTTCCAGTGTCTGCCTCGCCAACTCAATGCATTCCTCCTCCAAACTGTCCTTCTATCTGCGGTGAAGCAAATCCACCAGCCGACCAGTGTTCGGAGGAATGTATTGCCTGCCCACCCGCAGGATGCGACGTGAGCATCAATATCATTCCCGACTGTCCTAAACTCCCTTGCGAATGGGATGTTTGCCAAGAAACCCCTTCCCGATTGCAGTTTGCATACAATGGAGGTGGCTGTCTTCAAACAGAATTCTTGAGATGCGCAGGAGACAACCCCGACTACTGCACTTGTGACAAGCAACCAATTGATCAATTGGACTGGCCCATTGGTTACACATGCCAGGACTTCAATGGTGGGCCACCTGCCACAAACGCAATCGGCACCAGGTCATGGATTCGAGCAAGTCCAGCTGGGTCAACTGTCGTCTACTTTGAAGGTGTGGTCCGACTTGGAGAGTCATTCGATGCCACTACGGAATCAGGGCAAGTGACAACCAATATGGACATCTTCATTTATGAGTACGACGCTGCGAACGATGGACCTGGCCTCCTTCTGCAGCAGGTCCTGTTCGATAGTTCCTGCTCGCAACAACTATTCCTCACTGATACCTTTGGAGCGAGTCAATTGGTTGAGTTCGAGTCTCCAAATGCACTTGTTTCTCTCTTCCAAACGCAGGCTTTCGCTTTCAACTTGTCACTCGAGATGAATCTGGGTAACACTGAGCTAGAGTTGAATCAAGCCAACGTCGTTCTGCTCTCGGCTGACTTCTTGAGTCCGCAATTCAAGACGCTTCCAGTGAATGGTGCCAAGATCCCTCCTCCTCTGTCGGTCATCGAGGATTTCGTCATCGTTCCAGATCAAAATCATACTGCAATCGCATCTTTTGCGGGCCTCTTGGATGGCAGTGTCTGCAACGCACTGGAATCAGTCACATTCAATTGCCCACGAGGATAAATGCATGTCTATATGCATGCATGCCTTTTTACAAGGCAACTCATACTTTCATATATATGTCATAGGAGAGATGATGGGTCCAAACTGGTGTTCTTTGGATCTTTGTCCATAACATGGACAACTCCAGTCAAGTCAATAATTCATAACCACTAAATACATGTTTAAAATATTACTAATCCTATTGCTGGATGGCTCCCAACAGTTTGGGAAAGTGTTGCTGTACGCGCATACGCACGTTCAACCAAATAAGCAACCAACAAGTTTAGTCAAGGATACGGTATAGTAGATCATAGATTTACTGTACATGAACCAGATTGGGTCTTTTATAGTTCCTTTTGAATATGACTACTTTTATAAAATATAGTACGTGTATTTGGCGATCTTGACACGCGTGCGCATAGTTTCGCGTCAAAACTCATCGCCAATTTTAAACTCGTTGCATTTTTTTGCGATTGCCTGTTCATGGAAGCAAATCACAACATTTCTACTGCTCCTGGAAACAAACATGAAGCTCTCCTTGATTGCCTTATCCCTACTTGCTGGATGTTCAGCAAGAGTTCATCCAAAGCTCCGTGGTATTGCCAAAGAAGAAGAGAAGGAGTATTATGATTTGATGCTCCAACAGGCAGTTTCCAGTCTCACAGCTGCACCAACGCAGCCGAGAATGGAAACACCACCGCCAACACCACCGCCAACACCACCACAAACACCTCCGCCAACACCACCACAAACACCACCGCCTACACCACAGCCTTCTACTCAAGGTAACCTTGTCACCCCAGCACCAGTTCCAGCAACGCCATCGCCAACGGCAAGGTCAACAAAGGCCCCGACAAAGAATCCAACTAAGGCTCCAACACAGGCGCCATTTGCCGGACCTTCGACCGAAGCACCTACCAGCTGCAACTTTGTCATTGACAACTGCCCAGAATCGTGTTTCTCGGCAAATCAATCCCAGCGTCCGTTGCAATGCACAGATAACGACATTCAGCGTCCCGACTGTAACGAGCTTCCATTCCCACCGTTGGAGAGCTGTCCTCTATGTTGTCCCGAGCTCTGTATGATGGACGTGATTGCAGGATGTGTAACCACACCCGTCCCAACTATTGAGCCTTCGCCAGCTCCATCTCCAGTGCCAACTCCTTGCAGAGATCTTACTGTTCTATGTCCTGAAAGATGCTGGGAAGTCGATCCTTTTGACCGTTTGCCCCTCTGTGTCGACTTCAACCGACCCGACTGTGATACCCTTCCTTTCCCAGCAGATGGCTGCCCAACGTGCTGTCCATCTCAGTGTGTGGATGCTCCTGAATTGGGTGACTGCAGTCCCACGCCACTCCCATCCATCCCACCTTCCCTCGAACCTACCCAATGTATTCCACCACCAGGCTGTCCTTCCACTTGCGCTGACGTGACAACTCCAAACTCGCTCTGTTCCGCCGAATGCATTGCTTGTCCACCCGTGGATTGTGAGGTCGATATCCAAATCGCCCCCACTTGTCCAACATTGTCTTGCGGATGGGACACTTGTGATTCAGCTCCCTTGCGATTTGAGTTCCTCTTCCAAGGTGGTGCATGCTCGTCTTCTGCATTTGAACGATGTGCTCCTGGTTCCGACCCATGCACCTGCACCAGATCTGTTGTCGACCAAGCCAACTGGCCTGCGGGATTCTCGTGCAATGACCTCAATGGAGGTCCACCAGCACCTACTCAAGTCCAAGCACGAAGCTGGATCGAAGTTCTCGGTGGCGGTACCACTTACTTCGAAGGACAAGTCCGCGTGGGAACCTCCTTCAATGTCACCAGTCCAAACGGATTGGCACTCGGATCTACCATCACCATTCGCATCTTTGAATTCGATGCCGCAAACAATGGACCCGGTGATGCTCTCCAAGTTGTGACCATGGCCAGCACCTGCGCTGGAGAAAGTTTGTTCTTGACTGACAAGTTTGGAGCATCTCGTGTTGTGGAGTTCCAAGATCAAAACTCTTTGGGGTCTCTCTTCCAGCCAACTCCAGTCCAGTACACGTTGGGAATCGCGGCCGGCTCTGACGCTACACAATTGCAGCTCAGTACTGCCAACATTGTCCTTCTTTCTCCTGGAAACTTTGGAAGACTCTCTGGTCCACAATTGGGTAATGTAGATGTCGTTGGAGTGTCTGTTCCACCCACCCAGACCTTGACTACTGACTTTGTCACCGTTCCCGATGAAGATCACCGTATCCTTGCATCCTTCGGAGGAGTTGTGGATGGACGAGAATGCTTTGGTATTCAAGAATCTCTTTTCAGCTGCCCCAGTTCATAAGCAGACGTTGTTCCATAGATCAAGAAAGATGGATGACGTTTTGATATTCTTCCACGGCACCATTCTATTTTCACCATACCATTCCTTCATAATTGTATTGCAATAAGATAAAAAATTACATGTTTGATTATAGCCACAAGTTCTATATAGCCGATGAATTATTTCAAATACGGCCTTGCTTGCCAATCCATTCTGTTTTGCTAGCTCGTGCAATTGGTTCAGTCGAAAGCATATTTGCAGCGAGTCGAGGAGGTCCATCATGGCAATACCTCTCGCATGGCCACTGACACTGTCTTGAGGACACTTGCGCTCATGGCACCCATATCTCTTGGAACGCACATGCGATCATCCAGATAGGTTGCCATCTTGGCTACTTGTACTGTAATTTTCATGTCTTCCTCCTCGAGATGAAGCGGAAAGTCCTGCCCTTCCTCATACTCGACTAGCCGTGTGACCAATCCCATAAGTACGTCATTCAAAACGGATGCCTCCGTGTCCATTCGTTTCTGGGCATCCTTTATAATGGCCTCCTTGTTTTCGGTAATAATGGTGGCCACATCCCAGTACGGTGACTTGGCAACATCATCCTCATTGTCTTGATGGTATCGTTCCCACAAGGCTTGGTTGATGCATTCCTTGGCTTGAGTTTCTTCCCACACGATTCGCTCTTGCATATTTTGCTGAATGGAGGGCGGAAGACCGGCATTGCCAAAGCCTGCCATAGTCAAAACCTTACGCCAGGAAGAGGCGTCCCCCTTGACCTTGCATGCATAGGCCGGGATTTGATCCATGGTGTCATACCATTTTGCCAATTGGGGATACTTGGAAGCATCGGTGGGATCCAAGCCGGGATGCAAACACGGAAGTTGGTATCGGTAGCGTTCTAGAAAGGGAGCATAGGCAATATCGGCAGCCGTGGGAGTATCATGGCCTGCCATGAATGGACCAGAACTACCTTCAACAAAGAGTTGGTCATTCGCCTTTTGTAGGGTTTCTTCAAAGGTCGGCATCGAGATAGGGTCACCATTGTATTGAAACAAGTAAGCTGCCCGAGACGAGGGCCGAGCCCGTGGAAAAATGTTGGAGAATTGCCGGATGAACTCTTGTACCTTCGGATCTGACGACAACAAACTGCCATTGGCATAGCGTTGATCAATTTCGCCTACCAAGTCCATGGATTCCCCTTGAGTTCGTCCTTCCGGCCATCTCATTTGGGGTGTTTGACCACCAAAGTAAGATGGTCGTGGACCGTGACCGGTATTATCAATGCGGATCGTATCATACTCTATCGTCGTTTGAGTATTGCTTCCAGCCAATTCCAAGGCCAACCAGACTCGTTCACTGTAAGGACACCACCCATGGCGTTCTCGAAAGAGTGTGGGACGTTCCGTAGAAAAGTTGGGTGTAGAAGTATCCAAGGCGGAATCAATGGAGACTGTTTTCTTTTTGGATTGGATCGCTAAGCTTTCCTCCAGATTGGACCACGAAGAAGCAGCCAATATTTGTGTTGGTGTGGATTGACGTTGACGTTGACGTTGACTGTTTGCGCAGTTCTGATAGCCCTGAGTAGCTGAAAGCCATATCACCAATGCCAGAAAGAGTCTCAGGTGTTGTTTCAACATTCTAATGCTAGTCAATCTAACTACTGTAGGAACAATGGACGACCCTTTCTCATTGCTGGTCTAATGATCCATAGATTCCTTCAACCAAAAGGAAGCTTTTGCAGTACCTCACAGATTTCTTTTTATCGCGGTGTCGAAATTGAAAATGGCACGAATGGTACAAGTAAGAGAGTTTGAAGCACAATGATGGTTCAGAACCTATAAGAAGGCGAGATAACTCATAAGCACCGTCTCTCTTATACATCTGTAAAGCACTCTGTGTCGAAGAATCAGATTTTTTGCCTGTGGTATTTCACAAACAAGCCGGCTTCATGCACCATTCTGAATTCTCAACCTAAATCCACTGAAAGTGGGACAGTATGACTTATTATCCAATTCAAGATGCACAATGACTTGTCTCCAAATCGGTTCATACCACGATTAATGGTATCTTGGAAATGTTGGATAGTCTCCATCTGAGTTACTCTACGAAGCATTCTGACCCAAATGATTCATTTCTGATCGTCTAGTATTGAGAATTGAACATTCCAAACTGTTAGATAATAAAAGACCCTACGATACTCTGAGACGATCAGTCTTCAGTTGTTCGGCGTAACGTAGTCCTAATACTATGAACCTTAAAGTCGTTAATAAAACTTGCTTTAGTTGGGATAAGAGTTTTCGAATGGCCAAAGCAAACTCATGCTTTCGGTCATCCCAAAACCCTCTACACAGTTTTAAACTACTGTAATTCAATCGTTCATCTTTCGAACAACATCTGCCCATGACTGGTTCTCCATACTCTCACGGTTGATGTATGACGGTTTAGACTCGTCACTATCTGACTCAGGCGTTGACAAGAAGTAGTATATTTTGGGATTTGTCGCCAACATTAGCTTCCAATTGGTTCATTGTCACTTGAGATCCGTGAGTGGCCATTTCGCTCTGACGTTCTTGCTGATATTTCGCCCCAAACATGAAATTTGAACCAGTTTTGGTGTGCTTGAGGACCCCAACAGGGGCGATGGTGGGCCCAAAAAATAGAAGAGTTCGAGTTCATTACAACAGTAACCTCCATCCATGTATGTACAATGCGAGCGACTGGTGAAAACCGCCCTGGTCGCTCGGATTCTTCCCACGCCTACGGCTCAACTCGTTTGTCCTTGCTCTTAAGCACTCCCAAGATGTGCGAGTGAAGGCCCTACCGGATGAAAGAGATGAAAAGCAATGCGCCGCTACACTCCACCTTTGTCCATTTTCGAGAGGCTAAGCTTTCCGCGTCGGTAGATTGTACATAATCGTTTACAATGAGCCAAAGACGACTCGCGATGGTTGATCTATCCATGCAGCGGCCCGAGTACCGAAGAAAGATCGAGTTTGCCACTGTGGTATAGGCTCCATCTCTACATATTTTGAGTATTAGTAGGCAGAGCGACCCGTTCACACACCTGCGCCACTTGAAAAATGATGACTATGAAAGAGATGTCCAGTTCTGTGTGCACAAATATCACGTGAATTGTCGGATACGACCATACCAACATGACAGCACCGCTTCCCGTCCGCTCAGCGAAGTTAAGCATGTTCGGGCCTGGTTAGTACTACGGTGGGGGACCACGTTGGAATCCCAGGTGTTGTATTCTTTTGCAGCCTTTCCTTTCTTTTTACCATTTTTTCTCTTTCCACAATCTGACGAGTTTATTATTGATTTTCAACCAAAACCATCACAGTTGGCGCAATCACACCTCCATGTGGATCACAACGAGATGGATAGATACTTTTACCAAAAACATCAAATCAAGTCTATCATACTTTGCTTGCTCCATCCATTGATCGATTCATTCATCAGAGTTTCCACAGCACTGTAGCTCGCAGTTGCTTTCAGTTGTCATCTTCAGATCGATTTCAGGTTTCAGGCTCTCACTGATATTTTTCAAACAAACGTTAATGGCAATGTGGAAATAGTTTCATCACGAGAAGATGCATACATGCTGCTACCAATGTAGGACATCATAACGTACACTGATCAAAACCTCACCTCCATCACATGACGTTTCCTGCAGGCGCACCATTCATTTGAATATCATACTTGTCAAAACCAACAAGATTACGATACAATACTATCTTGGCAACTGGACGGATGGATGAACCATCACTGATTTTTGGCTTTTTCATATTCACAACAATTCGGGTACGGCCAAGTGCCAAGCTTGCTTTTCGCGAGTCATTCACCGCCTACATCATTGGTGAACAGTAAGAAAAACAAACACAGTGTCTACACGCTGATTTCAACATATAATTTCTATTCTAACATGTAATGTACATAGAGTTCCTACTTGCCATCAGATCGGGTGATGGCAGTCATCTTCTTGGTTTCCTTTCCACTCGACTCCGTGCCCGAATCTTTGGGAGCCTTGGTATTGGCCGGCGTGTCATTCTTTCCGCTGCCTTTATTAGATACCGGAGGGGGGTTGTTCAAAGCTGGTGGCCTTCCTGGTGGTTTTGTTGGCCTCGAAATAGGAGGACTTATCAATGGTGCATTCGTCGGCTTTGGTGCTTGAGGTGGATTCTTTCCCTTGTCCTTATCCTTGTCCTTATCCTTGTCCTTGCTGGACTTGTTCGACGGTTTGGTCTTAGATGATGCCTTTGGCGTTGGGCTACCTCCGCCATTGGAGCCATCTTTGCCCGGACCGGAAAGACCTGCCAAGCTTTCCCCCAAACATGGAGGACAACTGCACTGCAGAGTCGCTCTTTTCTCGCAACTGAGTTGCGATTGAGCAACTTGTTGACATCGAGCAGATCTATCACCATTCAAGAAACCAGTAACAATTGCTGCGACTGAGTAATCCTTTCCAAAAGACAATTGAAGGCCTGATAGATCAAGTTGTACCGCTGACCGTACTGTCTCTCCCATCGCTTTGGTGAAGTTGAAGATTTGTGGTGGTGAGCTGAAGTCGCTCGGAGTATACATTGTTAGGACATGCTCCAGTTGTACGCTGCTGTGCATAGAGCCAGCGCCCAAGCCAAGTCGAAGCGACGACACATCTTCAAGGATCGAGGATGTGCGCCGACGTCCAAATGTGTTCCCGTTCTCTGTTACTTCCTTGCAACCTCCATCCCTGCATGAAACATCACAGAATGCATCAAATCCGAGAAGTTGTTGCGATCCAAATCGATCACCGGCAGACATATCATCAGAGCAGGAGCTGTGGAAGACAACGTGCTGCAGTATTCTGCCCTTGCCAATACCATCAATCCATTCATATGTGAAAATGTCGGTGTTGTCTGCCACTTTCTCGCCCTCGGTGCTCAACTCCCAAGTCGAGCCTGCACTGACTGGTCCGGAGAAGTATAGTTCGTTCCCTCCAAATGCTTCAATATACACATTGTGGGTTTCAGTTGACGCTGGCGGGCCGCATCCGGGTGTGGGGTTCTTGTTATTCTGGTCAGCACAGGCTGCATTATCCGAATTGCATACTCTTCCATCCATGGTGAAATCCTCGCATGTGTTGGCGGAATTCCATTCTGAACAAGAAAGCTCTTGTTTGTCACAGGAACAGTAATCAACATTGTTTCCCCGACATCTCTTGAAACTTGTGCCATAGCAACCTCCACCATTGTATCTCATTTGCATCCGGTATGGTGTCTCAGTGCATACTTCATGGCGGCATTCATGGCTGCATTGGTTCAAGAAGGTAAGGTCCAAGTCGCACAAAGGCAGAGTTTGGCTCATCAATTGTGCCGCCGAATCAGGGGGGGATGTTGGATTTTCAAAAGTTACAGCCTGGAGTGTGGGAGGGGAGACTGGGTTCTTTCCAACAACATTCTTTCCAGAATCATTCTTCCCAGTCTTCCCAGCACTCGTCTTTCCACCTTCATTCTTAGTTGAATCATTCTTGCCTGTCTTTCCACCATCATTCTTGCCAGTCTTCCCAGCACTAGTCTTTCCAGAGTCATCCTTGCCAGTCTTTCCAGTATCGGTCTTCCCCAAATCATTCTTGCCAGTCTTCCCAGCATCCGTCTTACCGGTCTTTCCCGAATCATCACTCTTGCCAGTCTTACCAGCATCTGTCTTGCCAGAATCATCCTTACTGGTCTTTCCAGCGTCGTCCTTGCCAGAATTGTTCTTTCCAGCCTTGCCGTTGGTCTTTCCAGAATCATCACTCTTGCCAGTCTTCCCAGCATCTGTCTTGCCGGAATCATCCTTACTGGTCTTTCCAGGGTCGTCCTTGCCGGAATTGTTCTTTCCAGCCTTACCGTTGTCACTGTCTTTGGATTTTCCTGAATCCTTTGGTGCAGATGTGGGTAGAGAGACCAGATTCTTTCCAGAACCCTTTGGGCCACTGCCAGTCTTTCCGGAGTCAGTATCACTTTCACCAAATTGATTCAATGGATCTGTCGTACCAGTATCACTTTGGCCAGTCTTGCCTCCCCACTTTCCGATCTTGCCGGTATCAGTCTTTCCAGCATCAATCTTTCCAGTCTTGCCCAAGTCATCCTTGCCAGTCTTACCATCATTATTCTTCCCGGTATCATGCTTACCAGTCTTGCCGGAATCATCCTTACTGGTCTTTCCAGCGTCGTCCTTGCCGGAATTGTTCTTTCCAGCCTTGCCGTTGTCACTGTCTTTGGATTTTCCTGAATCTTTTGGTGCGGATGTGGGTAGAGACACTGGATTTTTTCCAGAGCCCTTAGGGCCACTGCCAGTCTTTCCGGAGTCGGCATTATTATCACCAAATTGATCAAATGGATCGGTTGCTCCGGTATCACTTTGGCCAATCTTGCCTCCCCACTTCCCGATCTTGCCGGTATCAGTCTTTCCAGCATCATCCTTGCTTGACTTTCCAGTATCATTTTTGGCTGAGTCACCTTTGTTGGTCTTTCCAGAATTGTTCTTCCCGGAATCATTGATCCCGGTGCTCTTTCCTGAGTTGCTTGTGGCACTCTTGCCGTCACCCTTTGTACTTTTGGTGACGCTCTTTCCCAAGTCGCTTTTCCCTTTGTCTACACTCTTGCCTGAATCACTCTTGCCACTACTGTTGCTGTCACCCTTGTCTTTGGATTTTCCTGAATCCTGCGGTGCGGATGTGGGTAGTGACACTGGATTTTTTCCAGAGCCCTTGGGGCCACTGCCTGTCTTTCCGGAGTCGGTATTACTATCACCAAATTGATCAAATGGATCGGTTGCTCCGGTATCACTTTGTCCAGTCTTTCCTCCCCACTTCCCGATCTTGCCGGTATCAGTCTTTCCAGCATCATCCTTGCTTGACTTTCCAGTATCATTTTTGGTCGAGTCACCCTTGTTGGTCTTCCCAGAGTCATTTTTTCCGGTGCTCTTTCCTGAGTTGCTTGTGGCACTCTTGCCATCACCCTTTGTACTCTTGGTGACGCTCTTTCCCAAGTCGCTTTTTCCTTTGTCTGCACTCTTGCCTGAGTCGCTCTTGCTACTCTTTGTACTCTTGCTGACACTCTTTCCTGAGTCATTTTTTGAACTCTTGCCTGAATCGCTCTTGCTACTACTGTTGCCGTCACCCTTGTCTTTGGATTTTCCTGAATCCTGCGGTGCGGATGTGGGTAGTGACACTGGATTTTTTCCAGAGCCCTTGGGGCCACTGCCTGTCTTTCCAGAGTCGGCATTACTATCACCAAATTGATCAAATGGATCGGTTGCTCCGGTATCACTTTGTCCAGTCTTTCCTCCCCACTTCCCGATCTTGCCGGTATCAGTCTTTCCAGCATCATCCTTGCTTGACTTTCCAGTATCATTTTTGGTCGAGTCACCCTTGTTGGTCTTCCCAGAGTCATTTTTTCCGGTGCTCTTTCCTGAGTTGCTTGTGGCACTCTTGCCATCACCCTTTGTACTCTTGGTGACGCTCTTTCCCAAGTCGCTTTTTCCTTTGTCTGCACTCTTGCCTGAGTCGCTCTTGCTACTCTTTGTACTCTTGCTGACACTCTTTCCTGAGTCATTTTTTGAACTCTTGCCTGAATCGCTCTTGCTACTACTGTTGCCGTCACCCTTGTCTTTGGATTTTCCTGAATCCTGCGGTGCGGATGTGGGTAGTGACACTGGATTTTTTCCAGAGCCCTTGGGGCCACTGCCTGTCTTTCCAGAGTCGGCATTACTATCACCAAATTGATCAAATGGATCGGTTGCTCCGGTATCACTTTGTCCAGTCTTTCCTCCCCACTTCCCGATCTTGCCGGTATCAGTCTTTCCAGCATCATCCTTGCTTGACTTTCCAGTATCATTTTTGGTCGAGTCACCCTTGTTGGTCTTCCCAGAGTCATTTTTTCCGGTGCTCTTTCCTGAGTTGCTTGTGGCACTCTTGCCATCACCCTTTGTACTCTTGGTGACGCTCTTTCCCAAGGCGCTCTTTCCTTTGTCTGCACTCTTGCCTGAGTCGCTCTTGCTACTCTTTGTACTCTTGCTGACACTCTTTCCTGAGTCATTTTTTCCTTTGTCTGCACTCTTGCCTGAATCGCTCTTGCTACTACTGTTGCCGTCACCCTTGTCTTTGGATTTTCCTGAATCCTGCGGTGCGGATGTGGGTAGTGACACTGGATTTTTTCCAGAGCCCTTGGGGCCACTGCCTGTCTTTCCAGAGTCGGCATTACTATCACCAAATTGATCAAATGGATCGGTTGTTCCAGTATCACTTTGTCCAGTCTTTCCTCCCCACTTCCCGATCTTGCCGGTATCAGTCTTTCCAGCATCATCCTTGCTTGACTTTCCAGTATCATTTTTGGTCGAGTCACCCTTGTTGGTCTTCCCAGAGTCATTTTTTCCGGTGCTCTTTCCTGAGTTGCTTGTGGCACTCTTGCCATCACCCTTTGTACTCTTGGTGACGCTCTTTCCCAAGGCGCTCTTTCCTTTGTCTGCACTCTTGCCTGAGTCGCTCTTGCTACTCTTTGTACTCTTGCTGACACTCTTTCCTGAGTCATTTTTTCCTTTGTCTGCACTCTTGCCTGAATCGCTCTTGCTACTACTGTTGCCGTCACCCTTGTCTTTGGATTTTCCTGAATCCTGCGGTGCGGATGTGGGTAGTGACACTGGATTTTTTCCAGAGCCCTTGGGGCCACTGCCTGTCTTTCCAGAGTCGGCATTACTATCACCAAATTGATCAAATGGATCGGTTGTTCCAGTATCACTTTGTCCAGTCTTTCCTCCCCACTTCCCGATCTTGCCGGTATCAGTCTTTCCAGCATCATCCTTGCTTGACTTTCCAGTATCATTTTTGGTCGAGTCACCCTTGTTGGTCTTCCCAGAGTCATTTTTTCCGGTGCTCTTTCCTGAGTTGCTTGTGGCACTCTTGCCATCACCCTTTGTACTCTTGGTGACGCTCTTTCCCAAGTCGCTTTTTCCTTTGTCTGCACTCTTGCCTGAGTCGCTCTTGCTACTCTTTGTACTCTTGCTGACACTCTTTCCTGAGTCATTTTTTCCTTTGTCAGCACTCTTGCCTGAATCGCTCTTGCTACTCTTGCCGTCACCCTTTGTACTCTTGGTGACGCTTTTACCTGAGTCGCTTTTTCCTTTATCAGCACTCTTACCTGAATCGCTCTTGCTACTCTTGCTGTCACCCTTTGTACTCTTGGTGACGCTTTTTCCCAAATCGGTTTTTCCTGTATCATTACTCTTTCCGGAATTGCTCTTGGCACTGCCGCTGACACCCTTGGTACTCTTGGTGGCGCTCTTTCCTGAGTCGCTTTTTCCTGTATCATTACTCTTTCCCGAGTTGCTCTTTCCTGAGTCGCTCTTGCCACTCTTTGTGGCGCTTTTGCCAGAGTCACTTTTTCCTTTATCATCAGCCTTACCTGAATCGCTCTTGCCACTCTTGGTGGCACTCTTGTCTGATTTGCTTTTGCCTGTAGCATCATTCTTGCCCGAGTCGCTCTTGGCACTGCCGCTGTCACCCTTGGCACTCTTGGTGGCACTCTTTCCCGAGCCGCTTTTTCCTTTCTCAGCACTCTTACCTGAATCGCTCTTGCTACTCTTGCTGTCACCCTTTGTACTCTTGGTGACGCTTTTTCCCAAATCGGTTTTTCCTTTATCTGCACTCTTTCCGGAATTGCTCTTGGCACTGCCGCTGACACCCTTGGTACTCTTGGTGGCGCTCTTTCCTGAGTCGCTTTTTCCTGTATCATTACTCTTTCCCGAGTTGCCCTTGCCTGAGTCGCTCTTGCCACTCTTTGTGGCGCTTTTGCCAGAGTCACTTTTTCCTTTATCATCAGCCTTACCTGAATCGCTCTTGCCACTCTTGGTGACGCTCTTGTTTGATTCGCTTTTGCCTTTATCATCACTCTTGCCCAAGTCGGTCTTGCCACTCTTGCCATCACCCTTGGTACTCTTGGTGGCGCTCTTGCCAAAGTCACTTTTGCCTTCATCATCACTCTTGCCCAAGTTGCTCTTGCCGCTCTTGCCCTTGGTGCTCTTCGAGTTAGCGCTTTTTCCAAATTGACCTGTCTTTCCGTCGCCCTTGGTACTTTTGTTGGCGCTCTTTCCAGAATCGCTTTTTCCCTTGCCACTCTTTCCTTCGCCTTTCGATTTACTCTTGCCACTCTTACCGTCATCCTTTGATTTGCTTTTACCGCTCTTTCCTTCGCCTTTTGATTTACTCTTTCCACTCTTTCCCTTACTCTTTGCCTTCCCCTTGCCCCCCTTTGAAGGTGGAACAGGTGTTGGACTCAATGTAGATGAAATGATGGACGCAGCCGTTGGCTGAGGAGTTGGATGAGTGGTTCGCTGAGGTGTTGGAGGTCGTGCAGAGGGGCTTGGAGGAGTTCCCGATGGTGGTGGGCCCTCTCCTGACGGCGGCGATCCAGAAACTGGAGGTAAAGTAGATAGCTGGCTCGCAAGACATGGTGGGCATTGACACGGAAGCTGGGGAACTCTGCGGCATCCAATCTGTGCTTCGGCAATTTGTTGGCATGGCCTTGATCTGTCAGAATTGAGGAACCCCGTAACAATAGAAGCAACACTGTAGTTGCTTTGTGGCGAAATGATGAGACCATCCTGAGTCAGCTCAATTGAAGGAGGCACGATTTTCCCAATAGCATCACTGAAGTTCAACAAAGCACTTGGGGAGCTAAAGTCCACTGGTGTATAGAGTCCAAGGACCTGTTCCAACTGCACACTGTTTTCTGTTGCAGATCTCGCGATCGAGCCAATATGTTTATCAAGGCGGATCTGTGCAGTCGTCTCCATGAGCAGGGAGATCCTTCTTCTTCCAAAAGTCAAGCCTCCTTCAGTAATATCTATACACCCTCCATCATTGCATGAAGGCTGGCAGTAAGAATCCATTTCATGTAGCTGCTGACACCCAAACTGATCCCCAAGGACTAGCTTTTCCGTACAAGAGCTATCAAAAACCACATGCTGCATTAGACGCCCTTTTCCCGTCTTATCATCCCACTTGTACGTGAAAATATCGGTGTAAGCTTCAACTTCAACCTGCGTTGTCACTGCTTCCCAAGTGGAATTGACAATGACCGGACCCGCAAAATACAACTCATCCCGACCGAAAGCTTCAATGTATACCATGTGGTTTTCATCTGAAGGTGGTGGTCCACACCCTGAAGTCGAGGCTAAGGTGACACCTCTTTCACAAGCCTGCTGAAGATCATTGCAAACGTTCCCCTCTACATCAAAATCTTCGCAGGAATTGTTGTCATTCAATGTTGAGCATGTGGTATCTTCTTTTGTACAAGAACATGAATCCGGATCATCAGGTGGACAACGCTTGAATGATGTACCTTCACATCCGCCTCCGCTATACCGCATTTGCATTCGAAAGGGACGCTCAACGCATACATCAAAATTGCATGCAACTATGCAGCTATCATCGATATCAATATTCAGCTGACAAGCAAGCAGTTCATTGACTGTTGGAGCTAATGAAGGTACCAGCGAGGGATTCAGTGATGGCATAGCCGATGGACCAACAGAAGCTTCGATGGATGGCTCCAATGAAGGCGACGGCGATGGGACCATGGTAGGCAAGCATACCGGAGGTTCTCCGTTTGGTTGAATGTCAAACATTGGACTATCGGGGCGACATTCATACGGACAACACCTTGGACATCCATCGGGGAATGGTAGCATATCACAGTCTGGTCTATTCACTTCTGATCCAGTACAGTCGCCAGGTCTACTGGCATCTGTGTAAGGAAGGAAGCACGCGTCAAATGGACATCGATCAATGACATCTGCACATTCTGATGGCATCATGCTCGGGCTGTTACTCGGCTTCGTTGTCTCCATCAGAATGACAGCCGCCAGTGTAGGTTCTGAAGATGGTACTGGTGATGGTACTGGTGTTGGGCTGCAATTGAGTTTCTCTTGAGGATCGAGACACTCGTCCGGACAGCAGTCACAAACGATGCCCGGTGGCAGTGGAATGTTTCTGCAAAGAGTACTTCCAATAGATGCACAACTCAAAGGACGGTCGTTGGGGTCAGTCTCCCAGCATGCAATAGGACACTCGTCGATCAAATGACTGCACGATGTTGGCGTTGCACTTGGTTCAGGAGACGGTAGTGGCGATGGTAGCACTGTTGGACCTGGTGATGGAATCGGTGATGGTCGGTCTGTAGGTGCCACAGACGGAACCAAAGATGGTGAAGCCGATGGAGCTGCTGATGGTACAGGAGATGGTAGCGGCGTCGGACTGCAGTCGATTCGATCTTGAGGATCCAAACATCTATCTGGACAACACGCACAGGGTATCCCAATTGGAAGGGGCAATGCATTACATAATGTATCTCCAGTTGATGCACAACTTGGTGGACGGTCACTGGAATCAGTCTCCCAACATGCCACTGGGCACTCGTCGATCAAGTGACTGCAAGCCGTGGGCGCCTCTGACGGTGTAGCAGAAGGACCAACGGAAGCATTGATTGATGGCTCGGACGAAGGGGAGGGTGATGGCATCATGGTAGGTGAGCAGATAGGAGGACTCCCATCCGGCTGGATATCAAACATTGGGCTGTCAGGTCGACATTCAAATGGACAACATCTGGGACATCCATCAGGGAATGGCAATACATCACAATCTGGTCTTTTTATTTCCGATCCAGTACAGTCAGCTGGTCTGCTTGGGTCTGAATATGGAAGGAAGCATACATCAAACGGGCAACGCTCAATGACATTGGCGCATTCTGATGGCATCATACTTGGGGTATTACTTGGCTTTTGAGTCTCCAATATGATCACTTTTGGTATGGTTGGTTCTGTGGTTGGTACGGGTGACGGAAGCGGCGTAGGGCTGCAATCTACTCGGTCCTTTGCTCCATGACACTCTGTTGGACAACACTCTGGACAACCGCCTTCGTCAAATGGTAAGGCATCACAATCTGGCCGACCAAAATCAAGACACAATGGAGGCCTCATGAACGGATCAGATTCGAAGCACGCCGTTGGACATTTGTCAATCAAGTATGAGCATTCAGTGGGCATGGCCGATGGAACAGGACTTGGTAGGTCAGTAGGCAAAAGCGTTGGCTCTCCTGTTGGTAGAGGTGATGGTAGCGCTGTTGGGCCTGGGGATGGAACCGGGGAAGGTAGATCTGTTGGCTTCGATGATGGAATCAAGGATGGTAAGTCTGTTGGACCAGGTGACGGAATCGGTGACGGCAATGGCGTCGGACTACAGTCAATTCTGTCTTGAGGATTCAAGCAGTGGTCGGGACAACAGTCGCAGTTGACTCCAGCTGGTAGTGGCAATAGATTGCAGATCGTATTTCCAGTCGACGCACAACTTGCTGGACGGTCATTGGGGTTGATCTCCCAACACGCCACTGGACACTCGTCAATCAGATGACTGCAAGCTGTGGGAGTATCCGATGGTGTAGCCGATGGACCAACAGAAGCTTCGATGGATGGCTCCAATGAAGGCGACGGCGATGGGACCATGGTAGGCAAGCATACCGGAGGTTCTCCGTTTGGTTGAATGTCAAACATTGGACTATCGGGGCGACATTCATACGGACAACACCTTGGACATCCATCGGGGAATGGTAGCATATCACAGTCTGGTCTATTCACTTCTGATCCAGTACAGTCGCCAGGTCTACTGGCATCTGTGTAAGGAAGGAAGCACGCGTCAAATGGACATCGATCAATGACATCTGCACATTCTGATGGCATCATGCTCGGGCTGTTACTCGGCTTCGTTGTCTCCATCAGAATGACAGCCGCCAGTGTAGGTTCTGAAGATGGTACTGGTGATGGTACTGGTGTTGGGCTGCAATTGAGTTTCTCTTGAGGATCGAGACACTCGTCCGGACAGCAGTCACAAACGATGCCCGGTGGCAGTGGAATGTTTCTGCAAAGAGTACTTCCAATAGATGCACAACTCAAAGGACGGTCGTTGGGGTCAGTCTCCCAGCATGCAATAGGACACTCGTCGATCAAATGACTGCACGATGTTGGCGTTGCACTTGGTTCAGGAGACGGTAGTGGCGATGGTAGCACTGTTGGACCTGGTGATGGAATCGGTGATGGTCGGTCTGTAGGTGCCACAGACGGAACCAAAGATGGTGAAGCCGATGGAGCTGCTGATGGTACAGGAGATGGTAGCGGCGTCGGACTGCAGTCGATTCGATCTTGAGGATCCAAACATCTATCTGGACAACACGCACAGGGTATCCCAATTGGAAGGGGCAATGCATTACATAATGTATCTCCAGTCGATGCACAACTTGGTGGACGGTCACTGGAATCAGTCTCCCAACATGCCACTGGGCACTCGTCGATCAAGTGACTGCAAGCCGTGGGCGCCTCTGACGGTGTAGCAGAAGGACCAACGGAAGCATTGATTGATGGCTCGGACGAAGGGGAGGGTGATGGCATCATGGTAGGTGAGCAGATAGGAGGACTCCCATCCGGCTGGATATCAAACATTGGGCTGTCAGGTCGACATTCAAATGGACAACATCTGGGACATCCATCAGGGAATGGCAATACATCACAATCTGGTCTTTTTATTTCCGATCCAGTACAGTCAGCTGGTCTGCTTGGGTCTGAATATGGAAGGAAGCATACATCAAACGGGCAACGCTCAATGACATTGGCGCATTCTGATGGCATCATACTTGGGGTATTACTTGGCTTTTGGGTTTCCAATAATGTAGGCGCTGCTGTAGGCATTGGTGTAGGATCACTAGATGGAACTGGTGACGGAAGCGGCGTAGGGCTGCAATCTACTCGGTCCTTTGCTCCATGACACTCTGTTGGACAACACTCTGGACAACCGCCTTCGTCAAATGGTAAGGCATCACAATCTGGCCGACCAAAATCAAGACACAATGGAGGCCTCATGAACGGATCAGATTCGAAGCACGCCGTTGGACATTTGTCAATCAAGTATGAGCATTCAGTGGGCATGGCCGATGGAACAGGACTTGGTAGGTCAGTAGGCAAAAGCGTTGGCTCTCCTGTTGGTAGAGGTGATGGTAGCGCTGTTGGGCCTGGGGATGGAACCGGGGAAGGTAGATCTGTTGGCTTCGATGATGGAATCAAGGATGGTAAGTCTGTTGGACCAGGTGACGGAATCGGTGACGGCAATGGCGTCGGACTACAGTCAATTCTGTCTTGAGGATTCAAGCAGTGGTCGGGACAACAGTCGCAGTTGACTCCAGCTGGTAGTGGCAATAGATTGCAGATCGTATTTCCAGTCGACGCACAACTTGCTGGACGGTCATTGGGGTTGATCTCCCAACACGCCACTGGACACTCGTCAATCAGATGACTGCAAGCTGTGGGAGTATCCGATGGTGTAGCCGATGGACCAACAGAAGCTTCGATGGATGGCTCCAATGAAGGCGACGGCGATGGGACCATGGTAGGCAAGCATACCGGAGGTTCTCCGTTTGGTTGAATGTCAAACATTGGACTATCGGGGCGACATTCATACGGACAACACCTTGGACATCCATCGGGGAATGGTAGCATATCACAGTCTGGTCTATTCACTTCTGATCCAGTACAGTCGCCAGGTCTACTGGCATCTGTGTAAGGAAGGAAGCACGCGTCAAATGGACATCGATCAATGACATCTGCACATTCTGATGGCATCATGCTCGGGCTGTTACTCGGCTTCGTTGTCTCCATCAGAATGACAGCCGCCAGTGTAGGTTCTGAAGATGGTACTGGTGATGGTACTGGTGTTGGGCTGCAATTGAGTTTCTCTTGAGGATCGAGACACTCGTCCGGACAGCAGTCACAAACGATGCCCGGTGGCAGTGGAATGTTTCTGCAAAGAGTACTTCCAATAGATGCACAACTCAAAGGACGGTCGTTGGGGTCAGTCTCCCAGCATGCAATAGGACACTCGTCGATCAAATGACTGCACGATGTTGGCGTTGCACTTGGTTCAGGAGACGGTAGTGGCGATGGTAGCACTGTTGGACCTGGTGATGGAATCGGTGATGGTCGGTCTGTAGGTGCCACAGACGGAACCAAAGATGGTGAAGCCGATGGAGCTGCTGATGGTACAGGAGATGGTAGCGGCGTCGGACTGCAGTCGATTCGATCTTGAGGATCCAAACATCTATCTGGACAACACGCACAGGGTATCCCAATTGGAAGGGGCAATGCATTACATAATGTATCTCCAGTCGATGCACAACTTGGTGGACGGTCACTGGAATCAGTCTCCCAACATGCCACTGGGCACTCGTCGATCAAGTGACTGCAAGCCGTGGGCGCCTCTGACGGTGTAGCAGAAGGACCAACGGAAGCATTGATTGATGGCTCGGACGAAGGGGAGGGTGATGGCATCATGGTAGGTGAGCAGATAGGAGGACTCCCATCCGGCTGGATATCAAACATTGGGCTGTCAGGTCGACATTCAAATGGACAACATCTGGGACATCCATCAGGGAATGGCAATACATCACAATCTGGTCTTTTTATTTCCGATCCAGTACAGTCAGCTGGTCTGCTTGGGTCTGAATATGGAAGGAAGCATACATCAAACGGGCAACGCTCAATGACATTGGCGCATTCTGATGGCATCATACTTGGGGTATTACTTGGCTTTTGGGTTTCCAATAATGTAGGCGCTGCTGTAGGCATTGGTGTAGGATCACTAGATGGAACTGGTGACGGAAGCGGCGTAGGGCTGCAATCTACTCGGTCCTTTGCTCCATGACACTCTGTTGGACAACACTCTGGACAACCGCCTTCGTCAAATGGTAAGGCATCACAATCTGGCCGACCAAAATCAAGACACAATGGAGGCCTCATGAACGGATCAGATTCGAAGCACGCCGTTGGACATTTGTCAATCAAGTATGAGCATTCAGTGGGCATGGCCGATGGAACAGGACTTGGTAGGTCAGTAGGCAAAAGCGTTGGCTCTCCTGTTGGTAGAGGTGATGGTAGCGCTGTTGGGCCTGGGGATGGAACCGGGGAAGGTAGATCTGTTGGCTTCGATGATGGAATCAAGGATGGTAAGTCTGTTGGACCAGGTGACGGAATCGGTGACGGCAATGGCGTCGGACTACAGTCAATTCTGTCTTGAGGATTCAAGCAGTGGTCGGGACAACAGTCGCAGTTGACTCCAGCTGGTAGTGGCAATAGATTGCAGATCGTATTTCCAGTCGACGCACAACTTGCTGGACGGTCATTGGGGTTGATCTCCCAACACGCCACTGGACACTCGTCAATCAGATGACTGCAAGCTGTGGGAGTATCCGATGGTGTAGCCGATGGACCAACAGAAGCTTCGATGGATGGCTCCAATGAAGGCGACGGCGATGGGACCATGGTAGGCAAGCATACCGGAGGTTCTCCGTTTGGTTGAATGTCAAACATTGGACTATCGGGGCGACATTCATACGGACAACACCTTGGACATCCATCGGGGAATGGTAGCATATCACAGTCTGGTCTATTCACTTCTGATCCAGTACAGTCGCCAGGTCTACTGGCATCTGTGTAAGGAAGGAAGCACGCGTCAAATGGACATCGATCAATGACATCTGCACATTCTGATGGCATCATGCTCGGGCTGTTACTCGGCTTCGTTGTCTCCATCAGAATGACAGCCGCCAGTGTAGGTTCTGAAGATGGTACTGGTGATGGTACTGGTGTTGGGCTGCAATTGAGTTTCTCTTGAGGATCGAGACACTCGTCCGGACAGCAGTCACAAACGATGCCCGGTGGCAGTGGAATGTTTCTGCAAAGAGTACTTCCAATAGATGCACAACTCAAAGGACGGTCGTTGGGGTCAGTCTCCCAGCATGCAATAGGACACTCGTCGATCAAATGACTGCACGATGTTGGCGTTGCACTTGGTTCAGGAGACGGTAGTGGCGATGGTAGCACTGTTGGACCTGGTGATGGAATCGGTGATGGTCGGTCTGTAGGTGCCACAGACGGAACCAAAGATGGTGAAGCCGATGGAGCTGCTGATGGTACAGGAGATGGTAGCGGCGTCGGACTGCAGTCGATTCGATCTTGAGGATCCAAACATCTATCTGGACAACACGCACAGGGTATCCCAATTGGAAGGGGCAATGCATTACATAATGTATCTCCAGTCGATGCACAACTTGGTGGACGGTCACTGGAATCAGTCTCCCAACATGCCACTGGGCACTCGTCGATCAAGTGACTGCAAGCCGTGGGCGCCTCTGACGGTGTAGCAGAAGGACCAACGGAAGCATTGATTGATGGCTCGGACGAAGGGGAGGGTGATGGCATCATGGTAGGTGAGCAGATAGGAGGACTCCCATCCGGCTGGATATCAAACATTGGGCTGTCAGGTCGACATTCAAATGGACAACATCTGGGACATCCATCAGGGAATGGCAATACATCACAATCTGGTCTTTTTATTTCCGATCCAGTACAGTCAGCTGGTCTGCTTGGGTCTGAATATGGAAGGAAGCATACATCAAACGGGCAACGCTCAATGACATTGGCGCATTCTGATGGCATCATACTTGGGGTATTACTTGGCTTTTGAGTCTCCAATATGATCACTTTTGGTATGGTTGGTTCTGTGGTTGGTACGGGTGACGGAAGCGGCGTAGGGCTGCAATCTACTCGATGTTTAGGGTTGAGGCACTCATCTGGACAACAGTTGCAGGTGACACCAATTGGCGTTGGAATATTTCTGCAGACTGTACTTCCAATAGATGCGCAACTCATAGGCCGATCGCTAGGATCATTTTCCCAGCATGCTGGAGGGCACTGGTCGATGAGATGACTGCATGATGTTGGCATTGCACTGGGCTCAGGCGACGGCAAAGGCGATGGTAGCACTGTGGGATCTGGTGATGGCACAGGCGATGGCCAATTGGTAGGTGTTAGAGATGGGATTGATGATGGTAGAGCTGATGGGCCAGCTGATGGCACAGGTGACGGTATTGGTGTTGGACTACAGTCGATTCTGTCTTGGGGATTCAAACACTTATCCGGACAACAGGCACAGGGCACCCCAATTGGCAGGGGCAACGCATTGCAAACCCTATTTCCAACAGAAGCACAGCTCACTGGGCGGTCATCTGGATTGATTTCCCAACACGAAATTGGACACTCATCGATCAAATGGCTGCACGAGGTTGGCAGAGCACTTGGTTCAAGTGTAGGTGATGAGGAAGGGAAATTTGATGGCATATCTGATGGCTTTGACGACGGTACAGGTGACGGAAGCGGCGTAGGGCTGCAATCTACTCGGTCCTTTGCTCCATGACACTCTGTTGGACAACACTCTGGACAACCGCCTTCGTCAAATGGTAAGGCATCACAATCTGGCCGACCAAAATCAAGACACAATGGAGGCCTCATGAACGGATCAGATTCGAAGCACGCCGTTGGACATTTGTCAATCAAGTATGAGCATTCAGTGGGCATGGCCGATGGAACAGGACTTGGTAGGTCAGTAGGCAAAAGCGTTGGCTCTCCTGTTGGTAGAGGTGATGGTAGCGCTGTTGGGCCTGGGGATGGAACCGGGGAAGGTAGATCTGTTGGCTTCGATGATGGAATCAAGGATGGTAAGTCTGTTGGACCAGGTGACGGAATCGGTGACGGCAATGGCGTCGGACTACAGTCAATTCTGTCTTGAGGATTCAAGCAGTGGTCGGGACAACAGTCGCAGTTGACTCCAGCTGGTAGTGGCAATAGATTGCAGATCGTATTTCCAGTCGACGCACAACTTGCTGGACGGTCATTGGGGTTGATCTCCCAACACGCCACTGGACACTCGTCAATCAGATGACTGCAAGCTGTGGGAGTATCCGATGGTGTAGCCGATGGACCAACAGAAGCTTCGATGGATGGCTCCAATGAAGGCGACGGCGATGGGACCATGGTAGGCAAGCATACCGGAGGTTCTCCGTTTGGTTGAATGTCAAACATTGGACTATCGGGGCGACATTCATACGGACAACACCTTGGACATCCATCGGGGAATGGTAGCATATCACAGTCTGGTCTATTCACTTCTGATCCAGTACAGTCGCCAGGTCTACTGGCATCTGTGTAAGGAAGGAAGCACGCGTCAAATGGACATCGATCAATGACATCTGCACATTCTGATGGCATCATGCTCGGGCTGTTACTCGGCTTCGTTGTCTCCATCAGAATGACAGCCGCCAGTGTAGGTTCTGAAGATGGTACTGGTGATGGTACTGGTGTTGGGCTGCAATTGAGTTTCTCTTGAGGATCGAGACACTCGTCCGGACAGCAGTCACAAACGATGCCCGGTGGCAGTGGAATGTTTCTGCAAAGAGTACTTCCAATAGATGCACAACTCAAAGGACGGTCGTTGGGGTCAGTCTCCCAGCATGCAATAGGACACTCGTCGATCAAATGACTGCACGATGTTGGCGTTGCACTTGGTTCAGGAGACGGTAGTGGCGATGGTAGCACTGTTGGACCTGGTGATGGAATCGGTGATGGTCGGTCTGTAGGTGCCACAGACGGAACCAAAGATGGTGAAGCCGATGGAGCTGCTGATGGTACAGGAGATGGTAGCGGCGTCGGACTGCAGTCGATTCGATCTTGAGGATCCAAACATCTATCTGGACAACACGCACAGGGTATCCCAATAGGAAGGGGCAACGCATTACATAATGTATCTCCAGTCGATGCACAACTTGGTGGACGGTCACTGGAATCAGTCTCCCAACATGCCACTGGGCACTCGTCGATCAAGTGACTGCAAGCCGTGGGCGCCTCTGACGGTGTAGCAGAAGGACCAACGGAAGCATTGATTGATGGCTCGGACGAAGGGGAGGGTGATGGCATCATGGTAGGTGAGCAGATAGGAGGACTCCCATCCGGCTGGATATCAAACATTGGGCTGTCAGGTCGACATTCAAATGGACAACATCTGGGACATCCATCAGGGAATGGCAATACATCACAATCTGGTCTTTTTATTTCCGATCCAGTACAGTCAGCTGGTCTGCTTGGGTCTGAATATGGAAGGAAGCATACATCAAACGGGCAACGCTCAATGACATTGGCGCATTCTGATGGCATCATACTTGGGGTATTACTTGGCTTTTGAGTCTCCAATATGATCACTTTTGGTATGGTTGGTTCTGTGGTTGGTACGGGTGACGGAAGCGGCGTAGGGCTGCAATCTACTCGATGTTTAGGGTTGAGGCACTCATCTGGACAACAGTTGCAGGTGACACCAATTGGCGTTGGAATATTTCTGCAGACTGTACTTCCAATAGATGCGCAACTCATAGGCCGATCGCTAGGATCATTTTCCCAGCATGCTGGAGGGCACTGGTCGATGAGATGACTGCATGATGTTGGCATTGCACTGGGCTCAGGCGACGGCAAAGGCGATGGTAGCACTGTGGGATCTGGTGATGGCACAGGCGATGGCCAATTGGTAGGTGTTAGAGATGGGATTGATGATGGTAGAGCTGATGGGCCAGCTGATGGCACAGGTGACGGTATTGGTGTTGGACTACAGTCGATTCTGTCTTGGGGATTCAAACACTTATCCGGACAACAGGCACAGGGCACCCCAATTGGCAGGGGCAACGCATTGCAAACCCTATTTCCAACAGAAGCACAGCTCACTGGGCGGTCATCTGGATTGATTTCCCAACACGAAATTGGACACTCATCGATCAAATGGCTGCACGAGGTTGGCAGAGCACTTGGTTCAAGTGTAGGTGATGAGGAAGGGAAATTTGATGGCATATCTGATGGCTTTGACGACGGTACAGGTGACGGAAGCGGCGTAGGGCTGCAATCTACTCGGTCCTTTGCTCCATGACACTCTGTTGGACAACACTCTGGACAACCGCCTTCGTCAAATGGTAAGGCATCACAATCTGGCCGACCAAAATCAAGACACAATGGAGGCCTCATGAACGGATCAGATTCGAAGCACGCCGTTGGACATTTGTCAATCAAGTATGAGCATTCAGTGGGCATGGCCGATGGAACAGGACTTGGTAGGTCAGTAGGCAAAAGCGTTGGCTCTCCTGTTGGTAGAGGTGATGGTAGCGCTGTTGGGCCTGGGGATGGAACCGGGGAAGGTAGATCTGTTGGCTTCGATGATGGAATCAAGGATGGTAAGTCTGTTGGACCAGGTGACGGAATCGGTGACGGCAATGGCGTCGGACTACAGTCAATTCTGTCTTGAGGATTCAAGCAGTGGTCGGGACAACAGTCGCAGTTGACTCCAGCTGGTAGTGGCAATAGATTGCAGATCGTATTTCCAGTCGACGCACAACTTGCTGGACGGTCATTGGGGTTGATCTCCCAACACGCCACTGGACACTCGTCAATCAGATGACTGCAAGCTGTGGGAGTATCCGATGGTGTAGCCGATGGACCAACAGAAGCTTCGATGGATGGCTCCAATGAAGGCGACGGCGATGGGACCATGGTAGGCAAGCATACCGGAGGTTCTCCGTTTGGTTGAATGTCAAACATTGGACTATCGGGGCGACATTCATACGGACAACACCTTGGACATCCATCGGGGAATGGTAGCATATCACAGTCGGGACGTCTTATTTGTGATCCAGTACAGTCGCCAGGTCTACTGGCATCTGTGTAAGGAAGGAAGCACGCGTCAAATGGACATCGATCAATGACATCTGCACATTCTGATGGCATCATGCTCGGGCTGTTACTCGGCTTCGTTGTCTCCATCAGAATGACAGCCGCCAGTGTAGGTTCTGAAGATGGTACTGGTGATGGTACTGGTGTTGGGCTGCAATTGAGTTTCTCTTGAGGATCGAGACACTCGTCCGGACAGCAGTCACAAACGATGCCCGGTGGCAGTGGAATGTTTCTGCAAAGAGTACTTCCAATAGATGCACAACTCAAAGGACGGTCGTTGGGGTCAGTCTCCCAGCATGCAATAGGACACTCGTCGATCAAATGACTGCACGATGTTGGCGTTGCACTTGGTTCAGGAGACGGTAGTGGCGATGGTAGCACTGTTGGACCTGGTGATGGAATCGGTGATGGTCGGTCTGTAGGTGCCACAGACGGAACCAAAGATGGTGAAGCCGATGGAGCTGCTGATGGTACAGGAGATGGTAGCGGCGTCGGACTGCAGTCGATTCGATCTTGAGGATCCAAACATCTATCTGGACAACACGCACAGGGTATCCCAATAGGAAGGGGCAACGCATTACATAATGTATCTCCAGTCGATGCACAACTTGGTGGACGGTCACTGGAATCAGTCTCCCAACATGCCACTGGGCACTCGTCGATCAAGTGACTGCAAGCCGTGGGCGCCTCTGACGGTGTAGCAGAAGGACCAACGGAAGCATTGATTGATGGCTCGGACGAAGGGGAGGGTGATGGCATCATGGTAGGTGAGCAGATAGGAGGACTCCCATCCGGCTGGATATCAAACATTGGGCTGTCAGGTCGACATTCAAATGGACAACATCTGGGACATCCATCAGGGAATGGCAATACATCACAATCTGGTCTTTTTATTTCCGATCCAGTACAGTCAGCTGGTCTGCTTGGGTCTGAATATGGAAGGAAGCATACATCAAACGGGCAACGCTCAATGACATTGGCGCATTCTGATGGCATCATACTTTGGTCTGTACTAGGTAGAACTGAAGGCGATTGCGTGGTTTCTGTAGGAACAGGTGACGGTAGTTGTGTAGGGCTGCAATTGACTCTGTCCTGGGGATCGAGACACTCATCCGGACAACAATTACAAGCAACTCCAGGTGGCAGTGGAATATTTCTGCAGACTGTACTTCCAACTGATGCACAGCTGGCCGGTCTATCACTTGGATCTACTTCCCAACATGCAGTAGGACACTTGTCAATCAAGTGGCTACATGATGTTGGGCCTGATGTTGGTGTAGATGATGGTATTCCAGAAGGAGCCTTAGAAGGATTTGCTGTTGGATTCTTGGAAGGTATCTGTGATGGACGCCCAGAGGTCGCAATGGATGGCTCTGACGATTGAACGTTTGTTGGAGTAACTGAAGCCGATATCGATGGTAATATTGAAGGTTGTGTAGATGGCTTAGACGAAGGCATATCTGATGGTTTTGACGACGGTACAGGTGACGGAAGCGGCGTAGGGCTGCAATCTACTCGGTCCTTTGCTCCATGACACTCTGTTGGACAACACTCTGGACAACCGCCTTCGTCAAATGGTAAGGCATCACAATCTGGCCGACCAAAATCAAGACACAATGGAGGCCTCATGAACGGATCAGATTCGAAGCACGCCGTTGGACATTTGTCAATCAAGTATGAGCATTCAGTGGGCATGGCCGATGGAACAGGACTTGGTAGGTCAGTAGGCAAAAGCGTTGGCTCTCCTGTTGGTAGAGGTGATGGTAGCGCTGTTGGGCCTGGGGATGGAACCGGGGAAGGTAGATCTGTTGGCTTCGATGATGGAATCAAGGATGGTAAGTCTGTTGGACCAGGTGACGGAATCGGTGACGGCAATGGCGTCGGACTACAGTCAATTCTGTCTTGAGGATTCAAGCAGTGGTCGGGACAACAGTCGCAGTTGACTCCAGCTGGTAGTGGCAATAGATTGCAGATCGTATTTCCAGTCGACGCACAACTTGCTGGACGGTCATTGGGGTTGATCTCCCAACACGCCACTGGACACTCGTCAATCAGATGACTGCAAGCTGTGGGAGTATCCGATGGTGTAGCCGATGGACCAACAGAAGCTTCGATGGATGGCTCCAATGAAGGCGACGGCGATGGGACCATGGTAGGCAAGCATACCGGAGGTTCTCCGTTTGGTTGAATGTCAAACATTGGACTATCGGGGCGACATTCATACGGACAACACCTTGGACATCCATCGGGGAATGGTAGCATATCACAGTCGGGACGTCTTATTTGTGATCCAGTACAGTCGCCAGGTCTACTGGCATCTGTGTAAGGAAGGAAGCACGCGTCAAATGGACATCGATCAATGACATCTGCACATTCTGATGGCATCATGCTCGGGCTGTTACTCGGCTTCGTTGTCTCCATCAGAATGACAGCCGCCAGTGTAGGTTCTGAAGATGGTACTGGTGATGGTACTGGTGTTGGGCTGCAATTGAGTTTCTCTTGAGGATCGAGACACTCGTCCGGACAGCAGTCACAAACGATGCCCGGTGGCAGTGGAATGTTTCTGCAAAGAGTACTTCCAATAGATGCACAACTCAAAGGACGGTCGTTGGGGTCAGTCTCCCAGCATGCAATAGGACACTCGTCGATCAAATGACTGCACGATGTTGGCGTTGCACTTGGTTCAGGAGACGGTAGTGGCGATGGTAGCACTGTTGGACCTGGTGATGGAATCGGTGATGGTCGGTCTGTAGGTGCCACAGACGGAACCAAAGATGGTGAAGCCGATGGAGCTGCTGATGGTACAGGAGATGGTAGCGGCGTCGGACTGCAGTCGATTCGATCTTGAGGATCCAAACATCTATCTGGACAACACGCACAGGGTATCCCAATAGGAAGGGGCAACGCATTACATAATGTATCTCCAGTCGATGCACAACTTGGTGGACGGTCACTGGAATCAGTCTCCCAACATGCCACTGGGCACTCGTCGATCAAGTGACTGCAAGCCGTGGGCGCCTCTGACGGTGTAGCAGAAGGACCAACGGAAGCATTGATTGATGGCTCGGACGAAGGGGAGGGTGATGGCATCATGGTAGGTGAGCAGATAGGAGGACTCCCATCCGGCTGGATATCAAACATTGGGCTGTCAGGTCGACATTCAAATGGACAACATCTGGGACATCCATCAGGGAATGGCAATACATCACAATCTGGTCTTTTTATTTCCGATCCAGTACAGTCAGCTGGTCTGCTTGGGTCTGAATATGGAAGGAAGCATACATCAAACGGGCAACGCTCAATGACATTGGCGCATTCTGATGGCATCATACTTGGGGTATTACTTGGCTTTTGGGTTTCCAATAATGTAGGCGCTGCTGTAGGCATTGGTGTAGGATCACTGGATGGAACTGGTGACGGAAGCGGCGTAGGGCTGCAATCTACTCGATGTTTAGGGTTGAGGCACTCATCTGGACAACAGTTGCAGGTGACACCAATTGGCGTTGGAATATTTCTGCAGACTGTACTTCCAACTGATGCACAGCTGGCCGGTCTATCACTTGGATCTACTTCCCAACATGCAGTAGGACACTCATCAATCAAATGGCTGCAAGATGTAGGCATAGCACTGGGCTGTAGCGAAGGTCCTGGTGAAGGTTCTGCCGATGGCGTTGATGACGGTTTCGGTGAAGGTACAGAGGAAGGGGCCAAAGATGGTACCGGAGATGGCACTGGTGTTGGACTGCAGTTGATTCTGTCCTCTGGGTTGAGGCATTGATTTGGACAGCACTCTGGACAACCTTCTGCGTCAAATGGCAAATCATCACAATCAGGTCGATTGAAGTCCACGCATGCTGGATACCGTTGCGCGGGATCTATGTTCCAACAGGCTTCTGGACACTCATCAATCAAGTAGCTGCAAGACGTTGGGGCTGGCGAAGGCTCTAACGATGGTGTATCCGACTGCATTATAGTAGGTTCCATCGAAGGTGCAAGAGACGGTGCTGTCGATGGACTAGAACTGGGCGATGGTGATGGTAGCATTGTCGGTGAACAGTCTGTGAACATTGGGTTATTCGGTCGACACTCGTATGCGCAGCATTCCGGGCATCCAAGCTCTGGCGGAGTTGGAACAACATTGCAATCTGACCTCATGATCTCTGAGCTGGTACATTCCGCTGGTCGAGCAGGGTCGTCGAAAGGTAGGAAACAACTTGCATATGGACATCGATCAATGACGTCCACACAGTCGGAAGGCATTGCACTTGGTGACACACTTGGACCATCCGATACAGCTGTCGGCGAATCTGTATTTTTTGATGGTGTAGATGATGCTTGAATGGATGGGACTGATGATGGTACAACTGATGGGCTGGTTGATGGTATTGACGTCGGAATGGGGCTTGGCATCATGGTAGGTGAGCAAGCCGGAGGATTTCCATCTGGTCTATCACTAAACATTGGGTGTTCGGGACTGCATTCAACGGGACAGCATACTGGACAGCCATCTGGAAAAGGTAGCACATTACAATCTTCTCGATCGACCATTGGATCAATACAATCACGTGGTCTCGATTCGTCGTCCAATGGTAGGAAACATGTATCATGCGGACATTGATCAATGATTTCCGCGCAGTCCGATGGCATTGCACTGGGAACATTGGAAGGGGTACTGGATGGATTAGTCGTGGGCATCATTGTTGGAGAACAAACTGGTGGTGATCCATCTTCTGAGGCTGTGAACATGGGGTGGTCAGGCCGACACTCAAAAGGGCAGCATTCAGGACATCCTGAGGGAAATGGAAGAACGTCACAGTCTTCACGACGGATCTGCGAGCTAGAACATTCACCTGGACGCATAGGATCGTTGTACGGTAAGAAGCATGATGCAAATGGACATTGCTCAATGACTTTCCCACAGTCGGATGGCATATCACTTGGTACAACTGATGGGACTGGTGATGGCAAGGGTGTCGGGGCTCCACAATGATCAGGATCAAAAGTCAAACAACGCGTTGGACAGCATGTCGGGCAGTCCATTGGGAGTGGGATTTGGTCGCAATCTTCTCGTTGTAATAGGGCACAGCTGGTTGGGCGGATATCAAAATCAGCACTGAAACACGTAGCCGGACAATTCTCAAGAATTTCAGCACAGGGTGTCGGCGCGGGAGACGGCTCTGGTGATGGCAATGGTGATGGCATCATAGTTGGTGAGCACTCTGGTGGCGATCCATCGGGAGAATGGCTGAACATTGGATGGTCAGCTCGGCAGTCACTTGCGCAACAAATTGGACAGTTGATCCCTTCTGGTGGTGGGACAGCATCACATTCCGACCTTCCAACGCTGGGATCAGTACAATCCAGTGGCCGTGATGGGTCCCTTTGTGCTAGGAAACACGAGTCATAAGGGCAGCCTTCAATCAAATCAGAGCATTCCGACGGCATCATACTGGGCGATGGGGATGGTTCTGATGATGGATCCGAAGTTGGTGCCTTTGATGGACCCGGTGTCGGTATCGGTGATGGCATTGTCGTTGGAGAGCATACTGGAGGACTTCCATCAGGTGATGGATTGAACATAGGATTGTCTGGTGCACACTCGAGTGGGCAGCACGAACATCCTCCGTTGGTTGGCTGCGGTAAAACGTCACATGGATCACCATCTTCACAATCCGGTGGACGAGATGTATCCCCTCTAGGCAGAAAGCAGGTATCAGAAGGACATACAATTATCACTTCCGAGCATTCTGATGGCATGGCACTCGGAATTGCCGATGGTGCTGGGGATGGCATGGGCGTTGGATCACAACCTTCCTTATCTCGATTGTCGTCTAAGCATGCATCTGGACAACATTCGGGACATTCCGTGAACATAAAGGGAAGCGAATTACAGTTCGATAGAAACGGAAAGGCTTGTCCAATCGAAGCGCATGTTGGTGGTCGATCGTCTTCGTTCACTTCCCAACATTTCGATGGGCATTCGTCAATCAAATAGCTACAACCAGTCGGTGTAGCTGATGGTGTTGCAGATGGCGATAGAGTTGTTGGACTAGAAGTCGGAGCAATTTCTTGCAGGGAAGTAATTTCCAATGCATTTCGACTGAACCAAAATTCGTCTTCATCCTTCAATAAATCCACGTTGTGCAACCTAGGTTGTTGTTTTCGTTTGTCATCTCCTGGAGAGGCTGTTGTTGTTTCTTTACTTCTTGGTACATCTGGAATACGTTTTTTTTCTGCTGCCAATACTGCCCTCCCACAAGAGAGTAGTAGTATTGACACCAAATATGATGTCGTTGGCGCTGATGAAGATGGGAAGAGCCTCATCGTCGTCGTTTGTAAGATGGTATTTTCTTCTTGAAGGCGTTTTGGTGGTTTTTCGTGAGCATGTTTCTCATTTCCTGCAGGCGCAAGAAACATGTCGTCTGGCGTGATATCTATGAATTCTACTAGACTTTTGCGTACGGATTGGCTGCCAAATGGGCTAAATTTGTTTTTTGAAGGTTGGCCTTCTTCGTCGTTATTTTGACAAGCTAATTTAGTTATGGATTCAATTTGGAATTATGAGTTCAGCGTCAAAGTGTCTTGAGATTAAGTAGATTTGAAAAACGGTTTCGAACATACAATCGGACGAGTCAGTCAGACATTCACCTCACAATCAAAAGAAAGAAAATACAGAAAGATCTGTTTTTTTACAGTATGCGAAGACATATATATGTCATGCATGTCAAAAACGGTCCCTCTTTGACTGACGAACTCTTTGCACTTTCTTCTATCCGAACCTTGGCTATCACCGAGTTCGTCAAAAATGGTTACAATCGGCTTCAATGACCAAATGGTTCATTCTGGGCTACAGATATAAAAGCAAGTATGTACCACCCGTTTCCAGCATCCAAAGATACCAAGAAACGACGCGATCTTCTGTGACGCATCCAGATCACTAGACATTGTTTCGTATTCAGCGATAGCGAAACCCTCAAAACAAATTGGGTGCCATGTTTTGCCACATTTTTGAAAGAAGAGAAATGGAATAATCCTCGTTCCAATTCAAGTGCGATGATGGAAATCCATCTGGTGATAGAAGAGGGGCATATGGTTTTGCAGGTCAGTTTCTTCCACGCCCATGAGCAATTTTGAAGAAACGCTTCATAGTAGGTGTTATATTACATATACGCTATCTCCAACCATCAAAAGTGCAAGTACAAGGAAGGATCCCTTACGCGACGGTTGCCCAGTGACAAGGAGGTTGTCCGTTGAGTAAGCAAAATAATTTGGTCGACAGCGTGCAAAACCGATCTACTCAACTCGAAAGCCCAGCGAATGCATTGTTCTAATAGTCTGAAAAGATCGAGTGTTTCAATGGATCAAAGCAATTATGCACCCGCCTTCAATTCGGATTCGTTTCAATGGATGGATTAAAGATTACCGAAGACGAGTACCAGGTACTAGCCACGACAAGAGCATCATCTGAACTGTTCGTCGAAGGACCATGCACGCGGCATGATCAAAGTGAATAGGTCAACCAATGAAAGTTGAACTACTGTAATGCATTGTATATGACGAACCATTGGGCCACGGGGCACCCAATTGGATATATTCCTTTTTGCTTGCTTGCTTGCTTGCTTTTTCACAAAGTGGTGGACTGGAATCAAAAAGTTTGGCAAAGAGACATACTCAAGAGTTCAAGTCCCGTATTTGAAACAAGAGTAAAATATAGTGTCTCATATATTTGGAATTCCTGTGGAAGTGCCCTTGTCTTAATGCATCTGGCTATGGACTGTTGGATACGTCTGCTCCAAAAAGAAACAATAAACGGATACTAGTCGACACGTTCGAGTAAAATCGCGCAGCATTGGGGTGAAGTTTGCGATTTCGAAGCACGTTATTTGTTGACACATTTTCTTTTGAAAACGAAGAAAGAAACCGACACAGAACACGCTTGTGTTTTTACCAATAGTCACAAGAACAATAGCAGCCAATAGCCACACGACGACGCCAACCATCATGATCAAGACTCCTTCCAACAACGACAACTCCTCTGTCAGCAATGACGAAAGCAAACCTGAAGGCTTTTGCCTTTTCCAGAGCACCTTTGGCACGGCTTGTGCCATTGTCTTGTGGATAACTTGCATGGCTACTCACGATTGCTGGACTGACTGCAATGATGCTGTCACCAAGGCTAGCATTCTTGGCTTTGGCATATTTGTTATTTTCATGCTCTTGGTGGAACGAGCCTTTGAGCCCGACGAAACTCTTTGCGATGCTATGCAAGGCATGGGAAAAGAGTTTGATGATGTCAAGACTTGGTTTGGCAAAATTGGATATCTCGCTTACAATATTACCGTATTTGCCACATTGGTTGCCGAATTGAATGCCCTTTTGGACACCAATACTCCAATGTGGTACCGTGAACAAGCTCTGTACATGTATGCCTTTTTGATGTATTCCAATGCGGCTGGGACCAAGTTGTGGAGTATTCTCCATACTCTCACTTTTGCTCTCGCTTCGGACAGCATTGCTTTGGCCCAAAGTACTCAAGTCATTATGAATCCTCGTTCGATTGGATTGATCCTGGGCTATTGTGGAATGGCCTACGAAATCGTTCAACGTCGTGACGACGCCGCTTTTTTGAAGGATCACCTTCCTGTCCGCAGCGTTCTTTTCTTTACTTTGATTTGGATTCCTCTCTTTTGCACCATTTGGCCATTTGCCGAGACTTCGATGATGAACTACCTCGTCATTGGTATTTGCCTTTTGCTTTGTTCCGCGGATCTGTCCAAGGTGGGAAAGAGCGATGGGTCCTATTCTTGGATGGAACGCTCTGGAGCTCATCTCTTCCATGCCTCTATCTGGAGTCAAATTGCCTTGGTCTTGCTCGAATACTTGGAGGGATCCACTGGTACTCGCAATCTTTGGATCATTGGCTTTTTGTTGTATGCGCACATTGGTAGCATCAATGTCACCAACATTTGCTTTGTATGGGGAATTACCGTTCTCGGTGCCATGAACACTTTTGGTGATGGCAAGGGGCATTTCCCCTTTACTACTACAGTGGCAGTCGTTCGTACTGTTGTCATGGTGCTTGCTTTGGTCGACCTTTGTTTGAATGGCAAGAAGAAAGACGACGAGGCTTCCAAGTCTGACAACGAAGATGAAGCTCAAGTCAAGGTCTTGTGGGACGGAAGCGATGCTACCGACTATGTGCCACTTGTCAATGTCGCCTAAAATTTCATTCCCATGATGGGCCCTTGCTTGTACCATAATACAGTCTTACTTATGCAAATAGGAGTAATATGAATTGTAATACAACTTTGGTTTTCTATATTCAAATTCTAGTGTCTCATGTTCAATGTATGATATTCGGCATGGCGTGGCGTAGCGTTTGGTCCATCTCCGGGCAAACTCCATTACAGTCGCTACGACCAGTACACATGGGTCAGTCTCCACACCTTGTCGTGGCCACAGCCCAATATTCGAATACCAGCTTCAACTTCTTTATCGCTCTTAAACTTTGGATCATTCATCAAGGTCAATGTCTCGACCACGCGGGCAATGTGGCCCTTTTCCATGAGAGGTTTCAGTTCTTCGTAAGGAACCGACGTCACTTTGCCATTGATCATATACTCGAAGACAAAGTCGTCACAAAAGGGGAGTGGTTCTCGTTTCAATTCCCGTCTTTCCTTATTATTGATGCTCGTCCATGCATTGGGGCTTCCTTCTTCGGGAAAATGCCAAGATTCCATCTTGATGACAATGTATCCATGTTCGATATTGGGAATATTAAAGAGCACCCAACCGCTGTACGCATCAAAGTCCAAACCATTGCGACCGTCATTGTGACCATACAACAGACAATTATTGTTGATTCCCCTGTTGCAAAAACTATCAATGGTCCCATCGCAATAGACATCCCCAGATACAGTGTCAAGTCGAATTCCCAAACCGGGTTCGTCGGAAAAGGTACTGGTAATATCTGGCCGTTCGTAATGCCCAGTGACATAATCGGGATTCAAAATGCTAGCAAAGGGAACAGGACCCGCTTCGACTATATTCAGCACATCAATAGCTCCTTTGGGAGGATGCAAATCGGGATTGAATATATCGGGAGGACTGTACGCATTGTCAATATGTTTTGGCAGCATCACCTTGTCAGCACCTGACATCAGACTTCGAATGTGAGTCTCTTTGGGATTGTGGCGAGGTGTGTATTCCGTCCGAGCTTGAAAGGGATGATTGCAAAAGAATCCGAGTCCGTGCTTCTCTTCCATGGTCTTGTAGCATTGGCCCTGGTCCTGCTTCAAATACGCGACGCGGTCCTTAATCTTATTGTAGTGGTTAGTTAGGTGCCAAGCAGAATCGTCGAGTATGTATCCCGGAGCAGAATTCCATTCATCCAAAGCTTCCTTCAGGGCTTGCAATATCGTCATGGTCAGAATACGACCCGTCACTTGGTGCTTGCGGTTTCCTGGATGCCAACTTGCCCGACCGGACGGTTCTGCTTGTTGATCCACCGGTGCTTTCATATCGGGTCGGTCAATCCAACAATGTCCAATGTATTCATTGGCCCGACAAGTGTCATGTATCTCGGAATCACAGTGCACATACTGCATCGCCCAAGGCAGCTTTTCAATTTCCTCGATTGACTTCTGAATGGGAATCCCGTCCAGACCTGTACCAATGGCTCCAATTTCCACTCCCGCATGTTCCAGCAATGGTACACTAGCGGTTGGAGGCATGTTCCAAAACAACGGGACCTTGTCTCCACCCATAATCTGTTGCCTTGCCAACAAGTCCGGCCAGTGAGGTTCATTTTCCGTCATTCCCGAATCCCAATGCAAAAAGTCCACATCGTATCCATAAATGCTCGCCGCGGCCAATCCATTTTGCGAGGTCCCCAAGCCTCCCATACCAAAGTTGCGAGCCTCGTGTTTGACTCCCATTCGACTAAAGACTGCTTCCAGAATCCATTGAATTTGAAGTGTGTAGGACTGCTGAAACAAATTGCCATGTCCAGCCGCCGCTGAATGTCCAGCCATTGCCACCACAAAGGAATCTTCCGTCATGATCGCATGCAAGAGACGCCTCTTCAATCCTTTCCATGAATTCTGGGTCGTCCATCCACCGTCACTACCGCCATACTGACCTTTTCCTGGAAAGTTTTGCGTCAGAATTTCCGTGTCATTGAAATGACGAAGCTCAAAAATCAGCGAGGCATTGTTCGTGTCGGAAGTATATTCCTCTAGAATTGCAGCTTGAGCTCGTTCCACCAAGGCAACAGATTCCTTGAGAAATTCCTTGAGATAGTCTGGGTGTCGTTGCCAGGCATCCTTGGGCCATTGGTCCGACGGAACGTCACGATTTGGATACGACTTGTAGAAATTATCTCCTCGAAAGTTTCTCCCATCATGATCGAGCTGCCACGATCCCCACTTGTCCACCATGGCCTCTCGTGCTTCTCCTATTAATAATTGACCGCGAGTTTTGTAAGTGACGGATCCTTGATCTGAGTCCTCTTCGTCTCGACTGGTATGAGCCTCAGGAAACCTTATTGGTGCTGCCGTCGGACTATGGGTCTTGGTCATTACTTTTTCTGGCACAATGGCATGTGTTTGTTGCTGTTGTGGTTGTTGTTCTTGTTCGGTAGAATTACTATCTACTGGTGGTGAGCGGTCCATAGCCCCCGCCAAGCTCAAATCCAAGAATTGAAACTGGTCTTCGACGTGGGCTGGTGTCGTGGCGGTCGTGGTATTCGTTGCATTATTTACAATGCCAGGAGCATTATTGTCTGTGACAATGAGTGAGGATCGATCGATCAATACCATGAGACCAATTCCTATTCCCACCACGACAAAGACCGTCATTAAATTGGTCATGGACGGGCCTGTATTCATCGTGTCTTCTTGATCCTCTAAAACAGCAGTGAACATGTTGTGAGCCGCCAGGTGTTTCCGCCGTGCCCTCATGGCTTCAATTCCCTTATTATTGTGTTTTGTTCTTTTCTTTTTGGAGGAGGAAGGAGCATTTTCCTCGAGGACTTCTTGCAAGAGGCTTTCTTCCTCTTCGTCTCCACCGAGCATGATTCGGGAATTCAGTTTCATACTTGGAATCCTTGAAATTGTAAGTTTCGATTGACTTTGGTATGTGGTATGATTCTAGCAGTGTTTCGTGTTTCGTTGCGAGCGTGCTTTTTCTTGATTTCAAATTTATTGTGTCCGTTTACGGACTGGATGTCCGTGAATGGACAAGTGAGGTACCGAAACAGTCGACATGAGGTTTGTTTCAAAAGCCAAGATGAGCCCCTAACCGTTACAAACGACCTCGTTCTGATCACGCAAACCTTGTCCTTTCATCATGTACTATTTGTTTTATGTATTTGTACTAGAGGTGCATGCACTCTGAATTGCGAATTTTGGTCTAAAAGACATGAAAATTCTGAAACAACCACCATTATTCAAGTCACATGAAATGTTGGCAAGAGATCAGCCAACACGAAACTGGGGCCTAGAATCTCTTTTCCTTCGTAACCATCCAACCCAACTCGCAAAATCGATCTCTATATGGATATTTTCAAAACTGTGGTAAGTGCCCCATCGTGTCTCTGCAGCTATAGGGCGACTAGGAATGATGCTTGGCCTATTAGTGGTCTTGAATGCAACAAGCCCAAACGATCATCATGTCTCTTTCCAAAAGTCAATTCCTTATGGGAAACGACCCAGTCACTTTTATCAAATCCAAAGAAGACATCGGTGCATTGTAGTTGTGTTTTCGAGCCTTGCCGGGTCCACCATCGCTGATTTCATGCAGGCCAAAGATTTTGAAGCCAAAGCTTGGGTTCGATTTGGGCGCATTTTGAGACCATTGGACACCATCCCCTTGGATCCAAGATTTCAATCTGAATCAAAGAATAGCATGCGCCCATAGATATGACTTCTATATTGATCAGGACTCCTTGGGACGCCCGGAAGTGAAATGAAGAGAAGCTTGGGAAAGAAAAAGTAGTCTTGTTTGAGCCCAAAGAAGGCAGATATTCCAGTTTCTTTTTTACAGAGCCGTTAACAAATAGGTCAAGAGACTTATTGTGAGTGCAAATCCCATTTCCATGCAGTGAACACAGAACCCTGGGCTCCAACTCACCATTTTGGTTGTGAAACAGAAACTGGATGCGAAAAATACACAAAAGCGTAGAGAGAAAATTTGCTGACTGGCTACGGACGGACGATAGGATGTCCAAAATGCAGAACCCGCCGAGGCCAGAGCCGCATCTCGTACCATATACCCTTTTCTGATGGCAAATCTTGTTGTTCCAACATATTCCATATGATATTATTGTATATCTTAGAGGCCTGTCTACTTTGAACTGCGAACTTTGGTCTAAAATGGATCAAATTCCGGGAAAAAACTTCGAGTCATCGGTTGCCCTTGGAATGAAACTCCATTGGAAACCGTAGCCCAAGGTTCATTTCCGTTGTAGCATTCAAAAACATCGCCCAAACCCGATTACTATGAGCATGTATGGATACTTTGGTAAGGGTCCTGCCGTGTCTCGGTACCTAAACGATGACTGAGAAAGATTCTTGGGCCATTCTTGAGTGTTAAGATCATTTGATTATACAAGCCAAGGAAGTGCCGTTGAAACACTTCTGCCTAGAAAACTCCCGTTCCAACCCGCCTAGCCTTGTTATATGTGCCCATAGACGATAAATATGTGTTAGAATAAAGAAGTTTGAAGGTTTTAGGCTAACCATGCGTTCCACACAGGCTTTGAGGTAATACTTACATTTGTTCTGGACCCCATTGAGGCCACTGCATGCTTGATCTAGACCGATTCCATCGATGAGTAGTATAATGATATGATCATAGGGATCAAAAGATGGAGTTGGTGTATTGTTGAGTGGCTTTCTCTCTCAATGGCGGCCATGGGGACCCACCGAATGATAGCCGACCGACCAAAAAGCCGAACCAACCAGCCGTTTTGGCCGGCATGTCTCTTTTCAAAAAGTCAATTCCTTCTGGGAAATGGCTCAGTCACTTCTTCTAGACCCAAAGAAGAGACCCGTGTGTTGCTGCTTCGTTTTCGAGCCTTGTCTGGTCCACCAACGCCAGCTTCTTAAGAGTACCAGATTTTGGAAGGAAAGCTCAGGTTGGAATTGGGCGGGTTCTAGCACCATTGGACACCATCCTCTCAGACCCAAGGCTCTGATATCATTCAAAGTACATCTTGCGCCGTTTGGTAGGACTTTTAGTGTCATGAGGGCTCTGTGGGACGCCAATAAGTGCAACGAGGAGAATGGTGTGATTTGAAAAGTGGTCCATTTGGAGCCCAGAAAAAGAAAACATTCCAATTTCTTTCATACCGAGCCATTCCTATAAGCTATTGAGAGTCAATGGAAGCGTCAATCCAACTTTCACGCAGTGTACACAGATAACATGGGCTCCAATTCACCATTTTTGTTGAGAATAGGAAACTACAAAGTTGAAAGTTGAGTGAAAATTCTGCGACTGGAGACGGACGGACGATGCCAGGTCCATTCAAAACTCAAAGATGGAAGGCCCCGATCTTGTACCATGCTACCTTGTTGGGAGTACAAATCTTGCTTTTCCAAGCTGCATTATTTCTAATATATATCTATATTAGACGTGGGTGAACTTCGCACTGCGAACATTGGTCTAGAATAGATCAAATTCCATGGAAAACCTTCGAGTCACCTGTTGCCCTTGGAATCAAGTCCATTGGAAACCGTAGCCCAAGATTCATTTCCATCGTAGCATTCCAAGACAATGCCCAAAATCAATTCCTATGAGCATATATGGATACTTAGGTAAGGGTCCCACCGTGTCTGAGTACCTTGAGAGCGACTGAGAAGGACTCTTGGCCTAATCTTAAGAGTTAGCTCTTTTGATCACCCAGGTCAAATGGACGCAGTTTTATGCCTTCTACCAAGAAAACTTCCATTCCAAACGACCTAGCCTTGTTCTATGTACCCATAGAGGACAAATGTATGTTAGAATAAAGAAAATCCAAAGAAACTAGGCCAGCATTTCGACCAACAACGATTTTGGGACGAAACTAACATTTTTCTGATCCCTTGAGGCCACTGCATGCTTGATCTAGACCGATTCTATCGGTGAATCGCATAAGACTCTGATCATAGGGATCCAAAGATGGTGTTGGTGTATTGTTGAGTGGTTATCTCTCATCATGGCGGCCATGGAGACCCTCCGAATGATAGCAAACCGACACGTTTTTGAAACCAACCAGCCGTGTTGGTCAGTATTCCTCTTCCAAAAAGTCAATTCCTTCTGCGAAAAGTTCATGACATTCGCCAGGTCTAAAGATCAGATCGGTGCATTGCTGCTTCGTTTTCGAGCCTTGCCGGGTCCACCAACGCCAGCTTCTTGATGGCACAAAAATTTAGAGATGGAGCTAAGGTTGGAATTGGGCGGATTGTAGCACCATTAGAAATCATCCTCTTGGATCCAAGGCGTTGATATCATTCAAAGAATAACCTGCGCCCATAGAAATGACTTGTACTGACATGAGGGCTCTGTGGGACACCGATAAGTGAAATGAGAGAAGTGTTGAGAGAAGAAAAGTGGTCCTGTTTGTGCCCGAAGAGAGATCATATTCCAATTCCTTTCACACAGATCTGTTCCTATAAGGTCAAGAGAGTAACTATGAGTGTCAAACCCCACTTTCATGCAGTTCACACAGTGAATATGGGCTCCAACTCACCATTTTGATGATGGAAATTGAAACGATGAAGTTGACAGTTGACAGATATGAATATTGACTGAAAATTCTGTCCTGGAGACGGACAGACGATACTTGCTCCAAAATCAAAACTCATGACTGACTCAGAGGCAAGAATCGCATCTCGTACTTGTACGACCTTTTTCTTATTACAAATCTTATTATCCCAACATATACTATGCATTATTTTTATTTATTCTAGAGGCCTGTCTACTTTGAACTGCGAACTTTGGTCTAAAATAGATCAATTTCCGGGAAAACCCATGGAGTCACCTGTTGCCATTGGAATGAGGTCAATGGGAAACCGTAACCTAAGACTCATTTTCGTTGTAACATTCCAAAGCAGCACCCAAAACCGATCGGTTTGAGTATATTTGGATACTTTGGTAAGGGTCCTGCCTTGCCTCGGTACCAACACAGCGACTGGGAAAGATTCTTGGCCCAGTCTTGAGAATAAGCTCAATTGATCAGGAATGTGAAATGGATGCAGTTTGATCCCTTCTACCTAGAATTCTCCAAATTCAACCGACCCAGCCTTGTTATATATGTACCCATAGGGAACAAATGTATGTTAGAATGTAGGATTCCAAAGAAATTAGGCTCACCATTCGACCAATACTGGTTTTGGTTCAAAACTTACATACGTTCGGATCCCATTCAGACCACTGTACGCTTGATCTAGGCCGAATGTTTCAGCGAACCACATTACTGCTTTGACCTTAGGGATCAGTAGAAGGGATTGGTGTATTGTTGAGTGGTTATCTCTCTCCATGGCAGCCATGGAGACCCTGCGAACGATAGCAAACAACCACATGTTTGAAACCAACCAGCCGTTTTGGGTCGTCATATTAAAATGTCACTTCTATAAAGCCAATTCCTTCTTGGGAAAAATGACCCAGTCACTTTTCATGGATTCACAGAAGAGATCGGTGCATTGTTTGTTTTTGTCGTTTCGCGCCTTGCCGGGTCCACCAATAACGCTGATTTCACACCGCCCACAGATTTTGAGTCTTCCGCTTGGGTTCGATTTGGGCGCATTTTAAGACCATTCGACATCATCCTCCTGGATTCAAGGCTTTCATAGCACTCAAAGAATATCCTGCGCCCATAGAAAATACTTGTATTGGCATGAGGGCTCCGTGGGACGCCGAGAAGTGCAATGAAGAGAATCTTGGGAAAGAAAAAGTAGTCCTGTTTGTGCCCAAAGAAAGCACATATTCCAATTTCTTTTGTACCGGGCCATTCCTAGAAGGTCAAGGGAGTCACTGTGAGTGGTGTCAAATCTCAGTTTCATGAAATGAACACAGAATTTTGGGCACCAAACTCACCATTTTGGTTGTGAAACGGAAACGAGAGATTATGTGATGAGAAAATTACTGACTGGCTACGGACGGACGATAGGGTGTCCAAACATCGTGCAATAAACTACTGTAAACAGAGGCCAGAGCCGCATCTCTCACCATATGACCTTGTTCTGATTACAAATTTTGTTATTCCAACATATAGTATTAGTTATCTTTATTTATCCTAGAGGCCTGTCTACTTTGAACTGCAAAGTCTGGTCTGGAATGGATCAAATTCCGGGGAAAAGCCTTCGAGTCCGTCATCAGCAATTGCCAATAGAAACCGTGAAGTACTAGCCCAAGGCTCATTTCCGTTGCCTGAGCATTCCAAAGGAACTCTCAAAACGGCTTACTGCATAATATATATTGGAAACGTTGATAAGGGTGCCATCGTGTCTACCCTAGAATCCAAAGAAATCCCCAAAGAAATCACGCCCGCACCATTCGACCAATCCTGGTTTCATTTTTATAATATAGATAGGGCAAAACTTACATGGGAGCGCAGGCCACTGTGAAACTGCATGCTGGTTCAAATATCTAGGCCAATTTCCATGGGTGATCCCCATACTGCTCTTTCCACAAGGATCCATGAAAAGTGACTGGTGTATTGTTGATTGTTTGTTTTCCTCCCTCCTGTGTACTTGGGAATAGATGTACCGGTAAGTGGTAAGCATAGCAATACCCACACAATAAGGACTGAGATGGGATGGAACCTTTGATGTTGGTACTGTAGCATTTGGTTGGTCGCATATATATATATATATATTCTTTGACGCCCGAGAGTCAGTCACCAAAGCTGAAAGCCCGCAATAAGCCAGTATGAAATATTACATGACAACAGATGCGGAATATTCCCCTGTTGGAAAGTGCAACACTGTAGCCGCTTTAGGGTTGCAATAGAACTTAAAGTAAAAGAAACCAACCACGTTGTCTCGCATTCCAAGATCTTCAGTTTTGCAAATGGGATAGTTGAGATCTACAGTAAGTTGTCGCTTTCGTTCAGTTGTGTATTGACAGTCTGTGGCTTGAACTACCGGTACAGTACAGTACTGTGGGCACTTTGGTCTATTGATGACAAGTATGATGAACTCGGTGGGTACCGGTACCTGGTACTGTGTGTTGAACATTCATTTTTACGTCTACGCGAGTTTGTGGTACTTTTCTGCCGTCAAGCCAAAAATTGGGTGATGTGGCCGAAGTCTTTCTTTTTTACAAGAATGAATGAATGAATCAATCAATCAGACGAATGACGGTCACAGACCACGGATCCCGCATATTGAAAATACCAACCTATACGACCCTCTTGATATATAATAGTATCATCCATACCTTCACCTATGGATTAAAAATAACACCAGCCTATTACTTTCTTGCTGGTTGAATGCGGTGCGGATCAAAATTTTATTTTAAAACGAAGCAATAGCCAACATTTGAATGTCTGATCTACTACTCATAAAGGACGAAACGGGAATCATAGCTGCCAGTGGAAACAACAATAATGATAATGTGACTTCCACAAATAACAAGCTTCCAGAAACTCGTCCTATTATTACCGATGATGCTCCCATAATAATAATAAGAAGCAGCAGCAACAGCGCTCTCAATCGGTTACAAGTGGAAAACAGCAACTCAATGGAACCCAATTCTCAGGATACATCCGAAAACTTTCTGGAATTCATCATTGATGAATCAGCTATTATACAGCAGGCACCTGATGGTACTATGATTGACAGCAGCGCAATAAGAACAACGGACATCAACGCAAACACTACTTATTCTGACCCAACAAACGAGCCATCCAGAGGGGATTATTGTACCAATAATAATACGGCAGAAGCCATGATTGCCGAAAGGTATCGACGAGAGTTTGAAGATCTACTCGAGCGAGACGAGCGTGGTGATCCAATCGATGAGGTCCGTCTCTATTTTTTGGAGTTGTATGCTCGTCGGATGGTCGGGGAGCAACTCACTGAGGACGAAATGAGAGATCTGGAAGAATTTGAGAAGGAGGAGCATCGCCACCAGATATTATCATTATCATTATTAGGCACACCAATAGACGATGTTGATACGCTACACAAGACTGAGAATGATAGAGAAGAAAAAGAAAGGCATCATGAAGCGGCTGGGGAGCTCCTAGAAGAATTGAATGCACGGACAGATGATATGTCGGCTAAATCTCTCATGCAACAAATACTAGAAGATGATCTCAACTCTCTTGTTTCCGCGCAACCGTTGGCAACGGCGAAAAAGATGAAATCGAATTCGAATATCTACGAAATAGACCCACCGTGTCGACTTGAAAACTTGAAACTGTTTGACGCAGCAAAAGCAAAATCTGTGTTAAGGGACGTGGATGCTTCGCTTTATCGGTTGAAACAAGGAGCAGCCCTCAACACAAAGAACATCCGTCAAGATGAGTATTATGCCAAAAAACGGAACATCCACAAATTTCCTCTGAAACTTGAAGGAGCTACAACAACAACTACTACTACTACTGCAATCTCAAACTCTGGGAACTTGGTATCGAATCCAAACGGATTACCAGGCCGCCGCCACCGTCCAACGTTGTCCGACCCACGGGTGTTGATTGCTCATGCGGGAACAAAGTTACATAGCATTGGAAAATCAAACCGGCAGTGTCGACCTGCCAAGGATGGACGTGGGGCACACCACTATGCATCGCGAAGAATCCCACGTAATAGTAGGCGGAACGTGCAAACATCATCTGTTATTACAGCAGCAGCAGGAGGAGGGCCTCGAACGAACGTTTCGTCGCTGCGAAAATTTCAAAATAGAGAAGTTGAGCGTGTGACGGGAGCTTATTCTTCGAGGCAACAACAAATCGGAGTCCAAGCCAACAATACTAGAAGTACTACTACTAGTAGTGGTGGTCTCAATCGTAAAAAACAAGCGCGCAACAGAAATGGGTTGCTGCGGCAACACGATCGCAAGTCACAAAGTCAGCCAGCCTATCTCAGCAACAGACGTCAATTGCCCCACGTTGTGATATCCAATCATCAAGCTGGTGCTGGTAGGAATCCGATCGAGCAGCTGACTGCAATCCATCCTCGCACCAATAGGACACGCCGGGAATCATCCAACGGGCAACAAGAACCTGCTGGTATTCCATCGTCTGAAAACTACAGCAGTCAGTTATTAGGCTCCAAAAAGTCGACCCAACCTGCCGCGCAGAAGAGCACGCAATTGTCCAATAGACATGCACCGCAGGAAGAAAGGGTCGCCGATCGATCGCTTCACTTACTTTCGCAGATGAATCAAGTGGAAAATGTGTCTGTGAGGAAACCTGCAACATTTGATTCTCTACCAGCTGCTACTGCTGCAACAAGTCTGCAAAAAAGTAAAGCAATCTCCATTTTGCAACAAACGGGAGGGAATTTGTCGACAAATCACAGGAAAATACACAGCTCCATTCGCAATGAGCGTTTTCTGATGGCCACAGACCTAGCGTATGACCGCATTGTGAAAGAGAATCATCGCCTCGAACTTTTGTTTTCGATAGCGGAATGGCGCCATGTCCATGCCTTGATGCTCTACGCCCGTATCTTTCAATGTGAGCTATCGGCGGAGAATATTTTCCAACCAAAGGAGTTTAGCATTTACGTTCCTGACAATTTGCACATCTTTGAGCCTTTGGGAGTTGTCCTTGCATCGATAGGAGTTGTAGAGGAAAAGGAAGGTGGCTTGTCTTACATTCCGGTCGCAAAACCGCTCCATGGAGGCAACTATAAGCCTCACGACCCGAGCGATGTTACGGTATTCATGGAATGGTCACAATACAAATGGAATGATTCATGGACGCAAGCCAAAGTCGAGCGAACGCGAAGAAAGAACGATGCTCAAAGCCGCGGAATCAATATTCCAGAGAATGAGAAAAAGTCGCCCAATCACTTGAGTAGGTTGGAATGCTGGGAGCATCTCGCTCTAGAAATGTGGCTTGGATGGGACGAAGAGCTCTGGTTCAGTTACGAATTATTTGTCGAGTCAGTGAGCCGATCATTCTTATTTGTTGACTTTCCAAGGTCTCCTGCTGGAACTTATGCCTGGCTGATTCCAAGTTTCAGAAGCGGTAGCGGATCCTATGCGAAAATTCCAAACCCGACTATTGGAAATGCCGTCTGGATGATATCGTTGCTATTTGATCTTAGTGATCTTCCTCCGCAAGATACTGCTTCTTGGTTCTGTAAGACAGATGCAATCTCTGACATTCAGGCCACGCTACTACAATTCTTGGACTCTGCTGCAAAAGAATAATTTGAGAAATTGTCAAGTCTGCGCACCAAACCACAAAGTTCGACAAACGATGAAAATCCCTCGAATCATCTTGGCAAAAGAACTCTCGAGCAGGGAAAATAAATGAAAGTGATTCATTTATTCCACCAGCACTCCAACATTCTCTTCGGCATCAATTCATTCATAGATGCCCATAGAGATTAGAATGCAAGTGCCTCAAAGCATACCATTCGAAAAAGTGGCTGCATTTTCATCATTGTAAAAGCTAATGTAAAAGCTGAGGCGACTGGTTCATTCATTTTACTTGCTAGCGAGACAGCAGATGTCGGTGAGTAAGTTCCACGGATGGTACCAAAATGCAGTAGGTACTGCTATATCACATGCACGAATGAATGATTGAACATAACGATACCAAATTGCTAGCCAGCATTGCTTGAGAGAAACACACACAAACACCCACATTATATTGACAAATCATCTAGTGCATCTTACAATATCTAATATTTATCCTACTGCCCTAGACATGTCCAAGCTCACCACGATTGGAGCTCGTTCGATTGATTGATTAATTCCTAAAATTATAAGCTCGCCACGATTGGAGCTCGATCTTCGATGGTTGGTTGATTCTGCGCATCGTCGTAAAATCATCATCGTATCTCACATAACTTCTTGTCCCTTTTTCGAAGTCTTGAACACACACCCCGTTGTTGTTATACCCCAAGTTATTAATAGTTCCCCATTTGTTGTTCCATTCCATTGACTCACTCAAAAACGATCATCCAAGCGTTGGATTCTCCTTCCACATAGTAATGAATGAATGAATGAATGAATGAATGATCTAATGAATGAATGAACGAATGAACGAATGAATCGATCATTGTTCATCGTTATTGAGTCGGCCACAGTGCTGCCGTCCGATGAATGATGGAATCGACATATTGCGACACGAAGGTCATGGCATCTTGTTGTTGTTGTTGTTGTGGATCACCAGACTTGATGTTGTTGTTGTCTTTGGATTCCATGAGTTCATCTCGTGTGCTGCCATATAGATATGTTTGGATTTCCTGTTCGTTCAAGGCAGCACACACTTGAGCTTGTCGCTTGTGTTCGGCAGTTATACTGGTAGACAAGCGTGCCATTTCAGTACCACTGCCAAAATTCTCGTAGTAGGTATTCAACAGAGAATCACGAATCTTCTGACGCTTGGGTTGTTCTTTGGGTTGAAAACATTGATAATCTTCCATTCTCATAGTCTCAGGAGTATTATTGGTTTGCCACAGCATGTCCAAGAAGGACCTTGGTTCCATTGGTTCGTGTGGGTAATATTTCCAATTCAACACAAAGAAGGAATAATCGTAACTGGAATGCCAAATGTGTTCGGCTTCTTCTTGGCTCACCTTTTGAAAGGACCGAGCGCGGGTCTTGTGCGTCAAGTCAAAGCGTACCGATTTCTTAAGACGCTTGTGTTTCTTTTGCTGCCTGGACAGAAGCAATCGTCGTCTAGACTTATTGCTAGTAGTATTGCTGCTATTACTGCTATTGCTGCTACCAAGCGCCTTCATGGGCCCACGCTTTCTCGTCGTCAACGAGAGACGAGAGGCTCCATCAATGAGCATCATGGTGATGGTGACTTGGATGAAGTGAGTTGGTATATGTTAATATTAATACTAATACTAATACTAATACCAATCAACACTAATCAATACCAACAATACACGACACTATACAACCGATGATTTTGTGATGGTGGAATTGGCGAAATCGCAAGTTCTTCATCCAATCGGGGCAAAATCATATTTCAAAAAAGGCGCGCAGTAAAAATTGAGGTTCGTTTCCTCTAGGTATTTCGTACAGACACGTGCGCCAAGGCCGTTGATGTGTCGTAGTGACACAATCTATGCGCACCTCTCTCCAAGAAGATTCCAACAGTTTGGAAAGTTCCAACCAAAACCTGGAACCGATAATAGCTTGTTGCAGTGCATTTGAGTTGTCAATCGTACTATTGCATTTTTAGGAAGTACGTGTACCTTACTTGTTATTTTATTGAAGTACAATTCAGAATAATCTATATCTATTTTATAATTCATCGATGATTGAATAATTGAATAATTGATTCATTCATTCATCCATTCCGGCAACCACCAATACTCCAAAGCGTCATCATCATTTTAGTAATAGAGGATGATTCGGTGGTGGATGCAGCATGTAATATCGATTGATCTTTTCGTACGGATGTTTCTTGTTTTGATAAATCTGGCAAATCCATTCTGAATCCCATTGCAAACTAATTTCTTCGGCCGTTTCTCGCATGGCAGCTTCCAAACTCGTTTCGCCCAAGGATCGTTTGCCACCAGGAATGTTGAGTTCGAGTTGAGCTTCAAGAGGAGTACTATCATCAAAGCCATAGATTAGCATGTAGTCGTCATCATGGTCGTTGTCGTTGTTGTTGTTCGAGGAGGAGGAAGAGTCACCACTGGAGGAGGAGTTCGGTGGCGGTGAACGATTCCTCCAGTTAGTCTTGTTGGGTCCATTAGTCTTGTTGCTTTTCTTCTTTTGGTTATTATTATCATTGTCCATGACCAAATACAGCAACGACTCGAGGTGATGACCAAACTTGAGCTTGGTTGGTGGTGGGCCCGCTTCTTCTTCTTCTTCGTCTTCTTTTGGTTCCATGATGGTTCGTGGAACGACGCCTTGGTCGGCCATGAGAGACAGAATCTCTTGTTGGACTTGTGACAAGGACCGTATTTGTTGTTTTTGATTGGCAGCAGCAGGCTTGTTCTTTTTCGTTGCCTGCAGAAACTCCCACAACAGTTCTTTGGAAAGACACACGACAAAGTCACCATGATCCGTCGCTTTTTCGTCTCGTGACGTATTCAAGGCTTGTTGTCGGGTCCAATCTCGGACCTTTTCGATTGTGTTGGAAGAACCAGATGCCACACAGGCAAATCCATTGGGTTCGTCGGCCAATAAGTCGGCGGCACAGGCAAATTTGATGATTGTGGGATCGTTAATAGTCGGAAGCGGTGTGGCAACAGAAAGTGCGGCCATTTCTCGAGTCAAATCATCGTCGTCGACAGTACCACCACCACTACTACTATCCGCTGCGTCACCAATGTTACTACTACTAAAAGTAGTAGTAGTAGTAGTAGTAGTAGTAGTAGTAGTAGTAGTCGTAGTATTCTGAAAGGATGCTTCCATTTGGTTCAAAAGCTTCCGCTCGGTTTCGCGTGGCTTGCGTTGAAACTCGGCCAAAGTGGTGTTGGTTCCCAAAAAGAAAAAGGGCAACCCTTTGGAATCGGGTCGAACAATCATTCCATCGGGAATGTTGTTGCTATTGATTGGTACATCTATTTGCTTCTTGTTACTCTTGGAAGCATCACCGTCACCATTATCAACATTGTTATTATCATCCACACATCGAAGAGTTCCTTGCTTCAATTTGGCATGCAATGCAGGAGTCTTGGGTTTATGAATCTTGTATTTGATGGGCAGTGCCATGCCACGTTTCAAACACCGCTCATGCATGGCTTGAAAGTCGGATGTGTAAACATCAATGAATCGACTATGATTATTATTTGAAGACTGATAAGTGCTTTTCGTCCCTTCATTCTTCTTATTTGCGTTGCTTGGTTTCTTGTTGTTGCTGTTGTTCTTTTTGTTGTTCTTGTTGTTCTTTTTCCAGTGTGGTGGAGGTTTGTTTCGATTATTCTGCTTTTGCTTGTCTTTCGGCAGTGATGGAGTGGAGGAGGACTCTTTCCCTTCGTTCATTGTTGATGTTGTAAAGGCGTACCTGATGATAGTAGCAGTAGTGGTAGCAGTAGTATACCACCACCTTCCATGTTGATAACAATGTCGCTGTGGATGGAGGATCGTACCGGTACCGGTATTGATGGCATTCATCGTCGTCTGCAAATGGTTCGTGTTGGATTGCCTCTGCGGTTCGGCGATCGTTCGTTCTTTTCGTTCGTTGAGACGACGACTTTGGTAATACAAAAGTAATGTTTTTTGGTCGGTATTTCACCTGTTTCGGATTTAATGCTACCGGTATGCCGGCTTCCAAGAACGACTCTAAATAGCGTTCTGATAACTAAGTAATTCAAAATCTAGGTATTTTGAATGTAACGCCTCCGGCTCGACTTGGAATGTTCGTTAGATCGAAACGTCGGCACGCCAGTGTATATTCAATTTTCTTCGTTTCGAATACGTATTGGTTTGAATTTGGCAGTTTTTCGCAATCGCCGGTATTGTTAGCATCACAAAACATTTTCGTCATCCCTTCCATGGAAACGAAGTTCTCGCACTACTAAGAGATATAAGAACAAACTTCTAGTCAGCTGAGAGATACAATCCGATGAAGTTATCAGCCTTTATATTAGCCCTGCTTTCTACGCAGGTTGTTGCGACAACCATTGATGCAGGAGCTATCAAGGAACAAGACTTCACGAATGAGGACTTTGAGTTTTTTGATCGAGAGCTGCAGGTGTTCAGTCTCACCCCAGCTCCAAGTTCCCAGCCTTCGGAATGTGCCGAAGTCATTGAGATCTGTCCCTTTGACAGCTGCTTCTTGCCTTTTTCTGATCCTTCTCGTCCAGATACCTGTGGCGCCAATGATCAGTGCAACATGTTGCCCCAACCTACTGGCCGTGGATGCTCTTGCTGTCCAGAAGAGTGTGCTCCAGACAATCCGATGTTCAGTCCATCTCCCGATGGAAGTCCACCTGTTTGTTCTCCAACACCACTACCAAGTCAAGCACCTTCGGATTGTGCCGAAGTCATTGAGATCTGTCCATTTGACAGTTGCTTCTTGCCATTGAGTGATATGGACCGTCCACCAAACTGTTCTCCCAACGATCAATGCAACATGTTGCCCCAACCTACTAACCGGGGATGCTCTTGTTGTCCCGATGAATGTACACCAGAGAACCCCATGTTCACTCCATCTCCGGATGGCAGTCCACCAGCGTGTTCTCCAACACCACTGCCAAGTCAAGCACCTTCGGATTGTGCCGAAGTCATTGAGATCTGTCCATTCGACAGTTGCTTCTTGCCTTTTTCTGATTCATCCCGTCCACCAACTTGTTCTCCCAACGATCAATGCAACATGTTGCCCCAACCTACTGGTCGTGGATGCTCTTGTTGTCCAGACGAATGTGCACCGAACAATCCGATGTTTAGCCCATCTCCGGATGGAAGTCCACCTGTCTGTACACCAACACAGATGCCTTCTCCTTCTCCAACCCCTTGTTCGGAGATTATCAACTTTTGTCCAGTCTTGTGTTTCAGTCCCAATGCCAATCTTCGCCCTGACTTGTGCACCAATATTGGCAGACCTGACTGTGACAGCATTCCTTTTGATATGAACTGCCCTACTTGTTGTCCAACTATCTGTGTCGACTTCGATCCCGATATTTGTGGAGCACCAACACCGGTTCCTACAATCATGCCAAGTGCAGCACCGTCGGATTGTGCCGAAGTGATTGAGATCTGTCCATTCGACAGTTGCTTCTTGCCTTTTACTGATTCATCCCGTCCACCAACTTGCTCTACAAGTGATCAGTGCAACATGTTGCCCCAACCGACTGGTATTGGATGCACTTGTTGTCCAGAGGAGTGTGCACCAGACAATCCGATGTTCAGCCCATCTCCTGATGGAAGTCCTCCGGTTTGTTCTCCAACACCTCTACCGAGTCAAGCTCCTTCAGAATGTGCTGAAGTCATTGAGATCTGTCCTTTTGACACTTGCTTCTTGCCTTTCACTGATTCTTCTCGTCCACCAAGCTGTGCTGCCGGAGATACGTGCAACATGCTGCCATACCCGACTGGCGCTGGGTGTACTTGCTGTCCAGATGAGTGTGCGCCGGATAATCCGATGTTCAGTCCATCTCCTGATGGAAGTCCACCTGTCTGTTCTCCCACAGCGATGCCGAGTCAAGCACCTTCCGAATGTGCCGAAGTTCTCGAGACCTGTCCATTTGATGAGTGCTTCTTACCTACAACTGATGCTTCCCGTCCAAGGGACTGTACCGATCCAAGTATCAACAGACCTCAATGTAATCAGCTGCCATTCCCAACAAATGCTGGATGTCCACGCTGTTGTCCGGATGAGTGCAGTGGTGACAATCCGATGTTCTTCCCATCTCCTGATGGCAGCCCACCAGTTTGTTCGCCGACTGCCATGCCTTCTCCATCACCTTCGATTCCAGGAGACCTTGCCACAGATTCACCAACTATTCAGCCGAGTGCGCAACCATCCGAATGCGCAGAAGTTATCAACTCCTGTCCAGAAACATGCTTTTTGGCTCTGAATGACGGAAATCGTCCACAGGACTGTCAAGATCTCACCAGTGGCGAAGGGGCCCAGTGCAATTCTTTGCCACAACGCGGAAATTGTGATTGCTGTCCAAACGAGTGTAGCCCAAACAACCCATTGTTCAATGACAACCCAGATGGAAGCTCACCAGATTGCCAACCTACAGCCATTCCTTCGCCTGTTCCATCGCCGCCACCTACTCCAATTCCTACACCGGGACCAACTCCAATCCCTACACCGGGCCCTACTCCAGATCCTACACCGGGTCCCACGCCACAGCCGACCTCATGCACCTATTTGATCGACGAATGTCCAACTTTATGTTTTGAAGTTGATCCAGATGATCGGCCGCCAAGTTGTGCCATCCTTGGAAACACATTTTGCAATGCTCTTCCAAATCCAAACGTGAATGTGTGCAGCTGTTGTCCGGACGAGTGTTTGAATCCACAGGACAGGGACGACTGTGCTCCCACTCCGGTTCCATCTCCCCAACCAACGCCTGGTCCAACACCATTCCCTACACCACCTCCGACGCCGCTACCAACCCCTCCACCGACGCCTGGTCCAACACCATTCCCTACACCACCGCCGACGCCGCTACCAACCCCTCCACCGACGCCTGGTCCAACACCATTCCCTACACCACCTCCAACGCCTGGTCCAACTCTTCCACCGACGCCTGGTCCAACACCATTCCCGACACCTCCTCCGACGCCGGTACCAACACCATTCCCGACACCACCTCCGACGCCGCTACCAACTCCACCGCCGACGCCTGGTCCGACACCATTCCCGACACCACCACCGACGCCACTACCAACTCCCCCGCCGACGCCTGGTCCCACACCATTCCCAACACCACCACCGACTCCTCCACCAACTCCATTTCCTACACCGCCTCCGACAGCACAACCAACGGACTGTGTCTACAGAATCGAAAATTGTCCAGTTGCTTGCTTTGAAACGAATCCAAATGATAGAGGACCGTTGTGTAGTGCTATTGGTCTTGTCGAGTGTAACATCGTCCCAAATGACCCTTTCAGATGTCAGGGCTGTTGTCCAGATGATTGTATCAATGCGGTTCTTGATGGATGCGAGCCCACACCAGTTCCTTCTCCTGTTCCTTCACAAGCTCCAAGTCCATCTGAATTGGAGTGTCAATTGGAATTGGATTTCGACACTCGTTGTGAGTTTGGCTGTAAATTCGATGCTTGTACAGAGCGCCCATACACCATGTTAATGTTCTACAATGGCGGCGGATGTGGTGGAACCCAGTTCCGTCGTTGTCCTGGTGAAAATCCAGATGCTTGTACCTGTACCAAAGAAACTTTGCCCTGTGAACTTTGGAATAACAATAATGAGTGCGAGGATTTCGATCTGAATGGAAATGTCTGCGATAACCTGGCTCAGTTCTGTGCGAGTGGACAAGTAAACCGACAGACTCCAGGATGTGGACCACCTCCACCAAGCATTGATCACACAGTTTACATCGAAGCTTTTGGCAAGGAAGAGCTTTACTTTGCTGGTCCAGTCCAGGTCAATCGTACATGGACTGCTGCTACTGTGGGAGATCAAGTCGAGGCCAACACTGACATCTTCACCTACGAGTGGATCCCAGGTGTCGGAAAGGGACGACTGTTGCAGCGTGTTATTTTTCACAGCTCTTGTTCGCAAGAGATGTACCTCACTGATCAATTTGGTGCTCATCAAATTATCGAATTTGATTCTTTCTGTCAAGTGTCCTGTAATGATCCTAGTTGTATCGAAGTGACCGAGAATGGTGTTACATTTGGCAGAAGACGAATCTCGTTGTTCTTGGAAACTGTATCCGATCTGAGCCTCGAGCTCCGAACAAATGCAGTACAAGGCAGCGTCTTACTCAGTCAGGTGCTTGCCATTTTTACTCCGTTGGATTTCAGTTCGCCCACTGAATTGTTCAACTTCAGTGATGTGACTGGTCTAACAGTTCCTCCAGCAATCACCGTACGTCCAGTCAGTACTAACATCTTTATCGCTGTTGACAAAACATACTCGATCGGAGCAGTTGTTACCGGGTTCTTGAATGGAAACCCATTCCTTCCTTGCCAACAAGTTGGTACTACTGAACTTAGATGCGAAAAGTCTGCCGACATTCCTTGCGAATGCCCACCTTGCTTTGGAGGTGGTGACCCCGATCTCTTCTTCGGCGATGGCGAAGGTGACGGTATTAAGAAGCCAAAGAAACAAGCAACCGGTCCCTCCATCGATTTTTTCGATTTCTAGGGTCCAACCATCTTCTCCTCGTATCAACAGAGACGACCAAGAGACAGAATCAAAGTTTAGTTATTATTTGATTTCAGTTATTTAAAAAGTACATGTTCAGAGAAACAATTATCTTTCATTAGCAATTATAGCATCGTTCTAGCACACTACTTTTTCTTTGTCATTTGATTGTAGCTATTTGAAAGAATAAAAAACTTTATGTTCAAATAATTTCATTAGCGATTCATTGTGTAGCATCGTCATCGCACTCTTTCATTGTGCTCCTGATACAGGACCGGTGACAGGGACGGTAGCTGATCATAAGGTTGGGTGGTGGGGTTTGGTGAAGATGATGATGATGAACAAGGAATCTCTTGGATGAGACCCATTCATCCCATTCACTGTAAGGAAGAGACTTGCCGAAATCAAAACTTTGAATTCAACAGGGACAACAGAGAAAGTTCTGCTGCACCGATGGGCGATGACGAAACATCGATAGAAATAGATCTAACGCAGACGCGATCAATGGAATTGAAGAACCTCTAGTCTACGCCAATTAAAACGTCATCTGCTTTCTTTCCTTCTTCTTGACACTATCGTAGCTCTAGCGACTGAGAATACTCCCATGCATTTTGCTTATTAGCACTTTAGCTGCAGCATCCTTCCTTCGATATTTTCGGACTGGCATTTTTTACGATGTTGCTTCATAGCTGAAGCTGAAGCTGGACCACTGTAAATGATTGGCCGACTTTCCGTTGCACATTCTGGTATATTAGAAGTTCCAAGTTAGTCTCAATTTCAACCTCAAGAAGTCAGGTCAAGGGGTGTGACCTATTCTTGGTGTGACACAGCACCCGCCTTTTGGTCGGCGGGGGCTGGCAGGCGGGTCGATTACTTCTTGCCAAGTTCGGAGTCGGCGGTCGTTGGCTATGCTGGCGCGAGCTGAAAAACCACTTCAAACGATTTTACAACGGGTACAAACCTGAAACGCGTGCAGGTCCGTTTCTCAACTCGAAAATACCTCAAAACGAAAACAAGAACTGGAGTATACCTGTGCTTTCAATTGGGACGATGAGGCTCTTCTCACCCTCAGCAAAGCCGTTAACACCTTCTCTGTTGTCGATAATTCTGATTTCTTTCGGGAGAGCAGTATTGGCAGCAGAGATAAAACGTATACCATATGTATCTACAAGTAAAGAAACAACAAAAGCAGAACAACAACCTAGCATGGTGCACAACGTGGATATCTTGAAGGATGAAGACGAGTTTTGGTTCAGTCGAAACGTACAAGAAATCACTTCTCTGCAAGAAATTGCTCCTACTTCTAGTCCAACAACTCTATCACCATCTGCAACACCATCAACTACACCGACTGGTTGCAGCTATTTGATTGACGAATGCCCATCGAAATGTTGGGAAGTGAACGAAGATGAGCGACCACCAACATGCGCTTCGATTGGACAAGCCTTTCCTTTTCTATCGAACTGTAATTCGCTTCCCTTTATGTTCACGGAATGTCCCGAATGTTGTCCAGATGCATGTTTAGACGACAATCGAGATAAGGAAGGTTGTGATCCAACGCCCATGCCGTCGCCTGCGCCTTCTCCGGTTCCGACTGGATGTAGTCAGTTAATTGAAGCATGTCCCTCGAAATGTTGGGAAATAGACGATGATGCACGACCCCCAACATGCGTTTCGATTGCAGCAATCTTTCCCATGCTACAAGGTTGTAATTCTCTTCCTTTTGATTATACTGCATGCCCCGAGTGTTGTCCAGATGAATGTCGACCAGACAACCCCATGTTCGATCCATCACCCGATGGAAGTCCTCCAGTATGCTCTCCAACGACAATGCCATCACCGATACCGACACCGGGTCCATCAGTGGCACCAACTTCGGATCCATCATCAGAACCATCCCCATCGCCCAGTATGATGCCGTCGGAATGCTCTGATTTGATTGAAGGCTGCCCTTATGAATCGTGTTTCCTAGCACAAAAGGACCCATCACGGCCACTGGATTGCACTGATCCCAGCATTGGAAGGTCGGAATGTGATGCTGTCCCACCACCAGAAGGGATCAACTGTCCAATTTGTTGCGCAAGTGACTGCCGAGCTGACCATCCAATGTTCAGCCATTCCCCTGATGGGTCACCACCAGAGTGCTCACCAACTATGATGCCATCACCATTACCATCACCAGAGCCATCATCAGAGCCATCGCAAGATCCATCACCAGAGCCGTCGCCCGCGCCGACACCCTGTGCTGAAATTCTGGAAAATTGTCCGGTTACGTGTTTCAGTGCTGATTTTGATATCCGCCCATCCAGCTGTGCCCTATTACAACGAGAAGATTGCGACCAAATCCCACTCCCAATGGACTGCCCGACATGCTGTCCAACGCGTTGTTTGACTTTTGATCCTGATCATTGTGGAGCCCCGACACCCTTGCCATCACCAGTCCCATCAGTTGTACCAAGTGATATGCCATCCGACTGTGGGAAAGTCATTGAGCAATGTCCATTTGCATCATGCTTCTTACCGTACAACGATCCTATGCGTCCAGGTGAATGTTCTAGCTCGCAGATCCGTCGTGAAGACTGTGACGTTCTTCCATTTCCCTCAGGATGTCCTGAATGCTGCCCTTTTGAGTGTCGGCCTGACCACCCCATGTTCACAGCCTCAGAAGATGGATCACCACCAGTTTGTTCTCCAACAATGATGCCCACGACTAATCCATCCAGTACCCCTTCCAATGTTCCCAGTGCAATGCCATCGGACTGCGCGGAAATCATTGATCAATGTCCGCATGATACATGTTTCCTACCATTGGACGACGAATCGAGACCACGTGATTGTATTGATCCAATGGTCGATCGAGAAGATTGTAATGTGCTACCTTTTCCAGATGGCTGTCCAGTATGCTGTCCCGTTGAATGCAGTCCCGAACACCCAATGTTTAGTGATAGACCAGATGGAAATCCTCCGGCTTGCTCACCTACCATGATGCCAAGCCCCATTCCGACGTCAATACCATCAACCAGCCCATCAGTTGTACCATCATCAGTCCCATCCATTCAAGCATCATCTACACCATCAAAAAATACAGATTCGCCGACAGCTGTATCGGATGGTCCAAGTGTGTCACCAAGTGCAATGCCTTCCGACTGTGTGGACGTCATTGATCGATGTCCATATGCAAGTTGTTTCCTACCTTTCGACGACCCTGCTCGACCAGCGGAATGTACCAGCTCAGAGATCATGAGGTCAGATTGCAATGTTGTTCCAACTCCGCCAGAGCTTGGATGCCCGGAATGCTGCGCATACGAGTGTCGACCGAATAACCCAATGTTCACAGACTGTTCACCGACAATGCTACCATCACCATCGCCCAGTTCTAGTCCATCGACAGCACCGTCTCTTGCACCTTCGATGGAACCTACTATAATGCAGTCGGATACACCATCGTTAGAGCCTTCGCCAGCCCCAACGTCTTGCAGCTACTTGATTGATGAGTGTCCAGAAGCCTGTTGGAACATAGATCCCGCGCAACGGTATCCAGCATGCGTGGACTTCAATCGACCTGATTGTGATGATTTGCCATTTGACGCAGAAGGTTGTCCAGAGTGCTGTCCAAATCAATGCCTCAACCCAGAGGACAGAATCAACTGCAGTCCAACACCAGTGCCATCTCCGGTACCATCTTTGGCCCCTTCCTCTGTACCTTCACCGAAACCGTCATCAACGCCATCGGCAGAACCTTCACCAGGACCTTCGCTACAGCCCAGTGCTATGCCTACATCTTGCAGCCATTTGATTGATGAGTGTCCTACTGCATGTTGGGAAGTAGATCCAAGTGATAGACCGGCCAGCTGTGCATCAGTTGGAAGTACAGTCTGCAGAAATATTCCAACGCCAATTGGTGTCACCTGCAACTGTTGTCCAGATGAGTGTCTCGATCCTCAAGACAGAGTCAATTGCAGCCCCACACCACTACCGTCACCATTTCCATCTGGTGATCCTACACCAATGCCTACAGCAGCGGCTACATTATTGGAAAGCCAAAAGCCAAGTAGCAGTCCCAGCATGAGGCCGTCAGAATGCGCCGATGTCATTGAACGTTGCCCATTTGATGCATGCTTCCTTCCATACACAGACTCTAGCAGACCTGGCGATTGTACTGGATCACAAGTTCGACGACCAGATTGTGATGTATTGCCATTCCCTGATGGATGTCCAATGTGCTGTCCACTCGGGTGCCGACCTGACAGTCCAATGTTTGATATCCAGCCGGATGGGAGTCCTCCTATCTGCTCACCTACCATGATGCCATCACCCTCCCCTTCGTCTGAGCCATCAATCAATGCTTCCCTTGGTCCTTCTGCTACACCGTCAGAGGCGCCCACGGCTTGCAGTCACTTGATCGACGAGTGCCCAGTGGCATGTTGGGAGACTGATTCCAGTGACCGTCCACCAAGTTGTGCATCGACTGGAGATACATTATGTAATGTGTTGCCCCTTCCAATTGGGATACCCTGTGCGTGTTGTCCAGATAGATGTTTGGATCCTCAAGATCGAATTGACTGCAGTCCGACGCCGCTGCCATCTCCTGTACCATCAGCAGCTCCATCAGCTTCACCATCTTTGGTTCCATCTATGACACCTACAGACCGACCATCACCGATTCCATCACCAGGTCCAACAGTGCTACCATCGCCACTACCATCTCCTGAACCAAGTGCAACGCCAACATCGTGCAGTCATTTGATCGACGAGTGTCCTACTGCATGCTGGGAGACTGACCCCAACGACCGTCCTTTGAGTTGTGCATCTATTGGAAGTACTCTTTGCAGAAACATTCCACTGCCACCAGGCATCGTTTGTGACTGCTGTCCGGACGAGTGTCTTGATCCTCAAGACAAACTCGATTGCAGTCCTACCGCACTGCCGTCATCAGTTCCATCTTCTGAACCTACTATCACTGGAGTCATTTTATTTGAGACAATGAAGCCAAGTAACAGCCCGAGCATGATGCCATCAGAATGTGCAGATGTCATTGATCGATGTCCATTTGACGCGTGCTTCCTTCCATACTCGGACACCAGTAGACCTGGCGACTGTACTGGATCACAAATAAGACGTCCCGACTGTGATATGCTACCATTCCCCGATGGATGTCCAAGGTGTTGTCCGTATGAATGTCGCCCCGATAGTCCAATGTTTGACATTCAACCAAACGGAGAACCTCCGGTATGCTTGCCTACCATGGTCCCATCGCCGTCGCCTTCATTGGAGCCATCCATCGAAGCTTCTGTTGGTCCATCGGCTACACCATCGGATACTCCCACAGCTTGCAGTCATCTGATTGACGAGTGTCCAGTGGCGTGTTGGGAGATCAACCCCAATGACCGTCCAGCAAGTTGTGCGTCGACTGGAAATACGATCTGCAATCTATTGCCACTACCAGCTGGAGTCAACTGCGACTGTTGTCCCGACCACTGCTTGAATCCTCAAGACAGAATTGACTGTAGTCCGACGCCATTGCCGTCACCAATTCCGTCACCTGGTCCAACAGACTTGCCATCCTTGGTTCCATCATTGACGCCAACAAATATACCTTCTCCTGCGCCATCACCGGAGCCAACACTTTTGCCTACCAGCCTACCAAGTCCTGTTCCATCAGCTATGCCCACCGAATGCTCATACTTGATTGACAAGTGTCCAACGGCATGTTTCCATGTTGATCCCTTTCGACGATATCCATTATGCATTGATTTTGGACGTCCAGATTGTGATACCTTACCATTTGATGAGGACGGCTGTCCGGACTGCTGTCCAACAGAGTGTAATGGAGCCCGTGACCGGGTTGACTGTAGCCCAACACCCCTACCATCACCAAAACCATCATCAAGGCCTTCCATTCTACCCTCCATTCGACCGACATGGGAACCATCTCCAGATCCATCCACTTTGCCCTCCTACAGTCCTTCTGAAGATCATTCTCATGGTCCATCTGTGGCCCCATCAGACTCGCCAACAAGTCGTCCATCAATTATTCCCTCAAAAAGACCTTCTGGATCCCCAACTATTTTTTCGTCGTCAGCCCCAACATTGTGTGGCCATTTGGTTGAGCAATGTCCCACCGCTTGTTGGGAAGATGATCCTAGTGATTGGCCAGCCAGTTGTGCATCTATTGGAAGTACCCTTTGCAGAAACATTCCAATTCCAGTTGGTGTTGCTTGTAATTGTTGTCCAGAGGAGTGCCTCAATCCTCAAAACAGAATGGACTGCAGTCCTACACCGCTACCATCACCAGTACCTTCCATAGAACCAACAGTACCAGGTGTGATCATATTGGAGACTCAAAAGCCAAGCAACAATCCAAGCATAATGCCTTCAGAGTGTTCTGATACCATTAAAGGATGTCCATTTGAAGGATGCTTCCTTCCATATACGGACGCGCAAAGACCGGGAGACTGTACCGGATCGCAGTTCCGAAGACCTGATTGTGACATGCTACCGTTCCCTGATGGCTGTCCCATGTGTTGTCCATACGAATGTCGACCTGATCATCCAATGTTTGATACCCAGCCAAATGGGGAGCCCCCAGTGTGCTCGCCTACTCCGATACCATCCTCATCACCTTCCTTTGAGCCTTCAATTGCGGCCTCAGAGGAACCTTCTGCTACTCCTTCGGAGATGCCTACATCATGTAGTCATTTGCTTGATGAATGTCCAGTGTCCTGTTGGGAAATCAATCCAGATGACCGTCCAGTGAGCTGTGGTTCTGTGGGAGATACGGTTTGTAATGTGTTGCCGCTGCCAATTGGAGTACCCTGCGCCTGTTGTCCTGATAAGTGTTTGGATCCCCAAGACCGAGTCGACTGTAGTCCAACACCACTACCATCGCCTGTACCATCAGCAAGCCCATCAGCTTTGCCATCATTGGCCCCATCTTGGTCACCAACAGATCGGCCGTCATCTATACCATCTCAAGGTCCAAGCAAGCTCCCAACACAGATGCCTTCCTCATCACCTTCCTTTGAGCCTTCGATTGCAGCCTCAGAGGAACCTTCTGCTACTCCTTCGGAGATGCCTACATCATGTAGTCATTTGCTTGATGAATGTCCAGTGTCCTGTTGGGAAATCAATCCAGATGACCGTCCGGTGAGCTGTGGTTCTGTGGGAGATACGGTTTGCAATGTGTTGCCGCTGCCAATTGGAGTACCCTGCGCCTGTTGTCCTGATAAGTGTTTGGATCCCCAAGACCGAGTTGACTGTAGTCCAACACCACTACCATCGCCTGTACCATCAGCAAGCCCATCAGCTTTACCATCGTTGGCCCCATCTTGGTCACCAACAGATCGACCATCATCTGTACCATCTCAAGGTCCAAGCAAGCTCCCAACACAGATGCCTTCCTCATCACCTTCCTTTGAGCCTTCAATTGCGGCCTCAGAGGAACCTTCTGCTACTCCTTCAGAGATGCCTACATCATGTAGTCATTTGCTTGATGAATGTCCAGTGTCCTGTTGGGAAATCAATCCAGATGACCGTCCAGTGAGCTGTGGTTCTGTGGGAGATACGGTTTGTAATGTGTTGCCGCTACCAATTGGAGTACCCTGCGCCTGTTGTCCTGATAAGTGTTTGGATCCCCAAGACCGAGTCGACTGTAGTCCAACACCACTACCATCGCCTGTACCATCAGCAAGCCCATCAGCTTTACCATCGTTGGCCCCATCTTGGTCACCAACAGATCGGCCATCTTTGGTACCTTCTATAGGTCCAAGCAATTTCCCAACTCTGATGCCTTCTTCTGAACCAAGTTCAATGCCAACATCCTGTGGCCATTTGGTTGAGCAATGTCCCACCGCTTGTTGGGAAGATGATCCTAGTGATCGGCCAGCCAGTTGTGCATCTTTTGGAAGTACCCTTTGCAGAAACATCCCAATTCCAGTTGGTGTTGCTTGTAATTGTTGTCCAGAGGAGTGCCTCAATCCTCAAAACAGAATGGATTGCAGTCCTACACCGCTACCATCACCAGTACCTTCCATAGAACCAACAGTACCAGGTGTGATCATATTGGAGACTCAAAAGCCAAGCAACAATCCAAGCATAATGCCTTCAGAGTGTTCTGATACCATTAAAGGATGTCCATTTGAAGGATGCTTCCTTCCATATACGGACGCGCAAAGACCGGGAGACTGTACCGGATCGCAGTTCCGAAGACCTGATTGTGACATGCTACCGTTCCCTGATGGCTGTCCCATGTGTTGTCCATACGAATGTCGACCTGATCATCCAATGTTTGATACCCAGCCAAATGGGGAGCCCCCAGTGTGCTCGCCTACTCCGATACCATCCTCATCACCTTCCTTTGAGCCTTCAATTGCGGCCTCAGAGGAACCTTCTGCTACTCCTTCGGAGATGCCTACATCATGTAGTCATTTGCTTGATGAATGTCCAGTGTCCTGTTGGGAAATCAATCCAGATGACCGTCCAGTGAGCTGTGGTTCTGTGGGAGATACGGTTTGTAATGTGTTGCCGCTGCCAATTGGAGTACCCTGCGCCTGTTGTCCTGATAAGTGTTTGGATCCCCAAGACCGAGTCGACTGTAGTCCAACACCACTACCATCGCCTGTACCATCAGCAAGCCCATCAGCTTTGCCATCATTGGCCCCATCTTGGTCACCAACAGATCGGCCGTCATCTATACCATCTCAAGGTCCAAGCAAGCTCCCAACACAGATGCCTTCCTCATCACCTTCCTTTGAGCCTTCGATTGCAGCCTCAGAGGAACCTTCTGCTACTCCTTCGGAGATGCCTACATCATGTAGTCATTTGCTTGATGAATGTCCAGTGTCCTGTTGGGAAATCAATCCAGATGACCGTCCAGTGAGCTGTGGTTCTGTGGGAGATACGGTTTGCAATGTGTTGCCGCTGCCAATTGGAGTACCCTGCGCCTGTTGTCCTGATAAGTGTTTGGATCCCCAAGACCAAGTTGACTGTAGTCCAACACCACTACCATCGCCTGTACCATCAGCAAGCCCATCAGCTTTACCATCGTTGGCCCTATCTTGGTCACCAACAGATCGACCATCTTTTGTACCTTCTGAAGAACCTACTGTAACAGCCTTTCAAATGGTGCTGACTGAAACGCCAAGTTACAATCCAAGTATGATGCCTTCGGACTGTGCAGATATCATTGATCGATGTCCATTCGATTCATGCTTTCTTCCGTATTTGGACGCCAGCAGACCCTTAGATTGTACTGGATCTGGACTGAATTTGCCGGACTGTGACATGCTGCCTTTCCCTGATGGTTGTCCCATGTGCTGTCCATCTGAATGTCGACCTGACAGTCCAATTTTTGATACCCAGCCAAACGGAGATCCCCCAGTGTGCTCGCCTACCATGTTGCCATCGCCAGTTCCGTCCTCTGCACCATCTGTTGAGGCCTCTGGTGGCCCTTCTGCAATGCCTTCAGCAATCCCATCTCTTCTGCCGTCACTTGTACCATCTATTGGCAAAGCTGTTGGGTGTGGTCTCAATATTGATATTGATGATAGCTGCATGGTCGCATGCAACTTTGATGTATGCGTGGAGCGTCCCTTTCGCATGCAAATGCAATACATTGGAGGTGGATGTGAAGGCACATCATTCAAGCGTTGCCCAAGCGATGATCCGGACACCTGTTCCTGTACAAAAGAAGAGGTTACATGTTCCATGTGGAATGAAAACAATTCCTGCGAAGATTTTGATGCAGAGGGGAACGTCTGCAATGATCTTCAGCAGATTTGTGAAGGTGGAGCTACCACAGCGCCGGTTTCAGGTTGCGGGCCACCACCTTCAAATGAAAATCACATAGTACACATTGAAGCTTTTGGTGGGGACGAGTTGTACTTTGCGGGTCCAGTCATTGTAAATACCACTTGGGAAGCAGTGACAAGGCAGGTTGCAGTTGAAGCTTACACCGATATTTTCACTTATCAATGGGATGATAGTAGAGGAAAAGGGCGTCTAATGCAGCATGTAGTTTTTGATAGCTCTTGTACAAAAGAGTTAGTCCTTGGTGATCAATTTGGGTGCCAACAGCTACATGAAATGGATTCCTACTGCCAGCCTTCCTGCAACGATGGAGGGTGTGAAGATATTACAGAAGGTGGCTCATCGTTTGGAAGAAGAAGGATTTCACTTCTCATGGAGACTACTGCGGAGATCCGTCTTGATAAACTCATTGGTTCCATTGCTAGATCTGGAACAGAAAGCAGTGTGCAGTTGGACCATGTTCTTGGACTTTATACTCCTGTGGACTTCAGTGCACCTAGTGCTCTTTTGAATTTCAGCAAAGTGATGGGCCAAGTGGTACCTCCTTCTATTGCAGTTAGTCAAGGCAATCTTACAATTTCGCCACAAAAGAACTACAGCGTTGCTTCTATTGTTACGGGGTTCCTTAATTCTGACAGATCAATTCCATGCCAACAAATTGCCGAAGCACAGATTGGATGCCGCAGAGTACCCCAGCTTCCGTGTCAATGCCCACCATGTCTTGCAAGCCAGCTATCTACTTTACCTCCAGTTGCTGGATCGCCACCGTCAGGAGAGGGCCCACCACCATCAGGAACTCCTCCAAGCCCCTCTGCACGACCTCCAACACCGCAGCCAACCACTCATCCAACTCCTCAGCCAACAGCTGCGTCCATCATTTCATCTACATTGAGTCCAACACCTATTCCACCTTCAAATGGGGGCAAGGGAAAGGCAAAGAGTAAGGGAAAGAGTGGAAAGAGTAAATCGAAAGGCGAAGGAAAGAGCGGTAAAAGCAAATCAAAAGATGACAGTAAGAGTGGCAAGAGTAAATCAAAAGGCAAAGGAAAGAGTGGCAAGGGAAAAAGCGATTCTGGAAAGAGCGCCAACAAAAGTACGAAGGGCGACGGAGAGACAGGTCAATTTGGAAAGAGCGATACCTCGAAAAGCACCAAAGGCAAGAGTGGCAAGAGCGACTTGGGCAAGAGTGATGATAAAGGCAAAAGTGACTCTGGCAAGAGCGCTACCAAGAGTGATGGCAAGAGTGACAAGAGCAACTCGGGGAAAAGTGATGATAACGGCAAAAGTGACTCTGGGAAGAGCGCCACCAAGAGTGGCAAAAGTGACTTGGGCAAGAGTGACCAAGGAAAAAGCGACTCTGGCAAGAGCATCACCAAGAGTACCAAGGGGGACGGCAAGAGTAGCAAGAGCGACTCAGGCAAGAGTGATGATGAAGGCAAAAGCGACTCTGGGAAGAGCGCCACCAAGAGTGGCAAAAGCGACTCTGGCAAGAGTGACAAAGGAAAAAGCGACTCTGGCAAGAGCATCACCAAGAGTACCAAGGGGGACGGCAAGAGTGGCAAGAGCGACTCAGGCAAGAGTGATGATGAAGGCAAAAGCGACTCTGGCAAGAGTGACAAAGGAAAAAGCGACTCTGGCAAGAGCGTCACCAAAAGTACCAAGGGGGACAGCAAGAGTGGCAAGAGCGACTTGGGCAAGAGTGCCGATAAAGGAAAAAGCGGCTCGGGAAAGAGTGCCACCAAGAGTGCCAAAGGTGGTGGCAAGAGTGGCACAACTGACTCGGGCAAGAATGATGCTACAGGCAAAAGCGAATCAGGCAAGAGTGCCACCAAGAGTGGCAAGAGCGATTCAGGTAAGGCTGATGATAAGGGAAAAAGTGACTCTGGCAAAAGCGCCACAAAGAGTGGCAAGAGCAGCTCAGGAAAGAGCAACTTGGGAAAGAGTAATGATACAGGAAAAAGCGGCTCAGGAAAGAGCGCCACCAAGAGTACCAAGGGTGACAGCAGCAGTGGCAAGAGCAACGCAGGCAAGAGTGCAGATAAAGGAAAAAGCGACTCAGGAAAGAGTGCCACCAAGAGTACCAAGGGTGACAGCGGCAGTGGCAAGAGCGACTCAGGAAAGAGTGCAGATAAAGGAAAAAGCGACTCAGGTAAAAGCATCACCAAGAGTACGAAGGGTGACGGCAAGAGTAGCAAGAGCGATTCAGGCAAGAGTGCTGACAAAGGAAAAAATGACTCGGGAAAGAGCATCACCAAGAGTACAAAGGATAACAGCAAGAGTAGCAAGAGTGATTCAGGCAAGAGTGCAGACAAAGGAAAAAGCGACTTGGGAAAGAGTGTCACCAAGAGTACAAAGGGTGATGGCAAGAGTGCTAAAAGCAACTCAGGAAAGAGCACCGGAAACAATGATTCTGGGAAGACCGACAAGGCTGACTCAACCAAAAATGATGCTGGAAAGTCAAGCAAGGATGATGCTGGAAAGACGGATACTGGCAAGATCGGGAAGTGGGGAGGAAAGACTGGACAAAGTGATACCGGAACAACCGATCCATTTGATCAACTTGGTGGAAGTGATGCAGACTCCGGAAAGACTGGCAGTGGCCCCAAGGGATCTGGAAAGAATCCAGTCTCACTACCCACATCTGCACCCAAAGATTCAGGGAAATCCAAAGACAGTGACAATGGCAAGGCTGGAAAGAATAACTCCGGCAAGAATGATAGTGGGAAGACCGGTAAGGATGATTCCGGCAAGAACGATGCTGGCAAGACTGGCAAGGATGATTCTGGAAAGACTGGTAAGGATGACTCAGGCAAGAATGATGCTGGGAAGACTGGCAAGAATGATGCAGGGAAGAATGATAATGGGAAGACCAGTAAAGATGACTCTGGCAAGAATGATACTGGAAAGGCTGGAAAAACTGACACTGGCAAGATCGGGAAGTGGGGAGGAAAGACTGGACAAAGTGATACCGGAACAACCGATCCATTTGATCAACTTGGTGGAAGTGATGCAGACTCCGGAAAGACTGGCAGTGGCCCCAAGGGATCTGGAAAGAATCCAGTCTCACTACCCACATCTGCACCCAAAGATTCAGGGAAATCCAAAGACAGTGACAATGGCAAGGCTGGAAAGAATAACTCCGGCAAGAATGATAGTGGGAAGACCGGTAAGGATGATTCCGGCAAGAACGATGCTGGCAAGACTGGCAAGGATGATTCTGGAAAGACTGGTAAGGATGACTCAGGCAAGAATGATGCTGGGAAGACTGGCAAGAATGATGCAGGGAAGAATGATAATGGGAAGACCAGTAAAGATGACTCTGGCAAGAATGATACTGGAAAGGCTGGAAAAACTGACACTGGCAAGATCGGGAAGTGGGGAGGAAAGACTGGACAAAGTGATACCGGAACAACCGATCCATTTGATCAACTTGGTGGAAGTGATGCAGACTCCGGAAAGACTGGCAGTGGCCCCAAGGGATCTGGAAAGAATCCAGTCTCACTACCCACATCTGCACCCAAAGATTCAGGGAAATCCAAAGACAGTGACAATGGCAAGGCTGGAAAGAATAACTCCGGCAAGAATGATAGTGGGAAGACCGGTAAGGATGATTCCGGCAAGAACGATGCTGGCAAGACTGGCAAGGATGATTCTGGAAAGACTGGTAAGGATGACTCAGGCAAGAATGATGCTGGGAAGACTGGCAAGAATGATGCAGGGAAGAATGATAATGGGAAGACCAGTAAAGATGACTCTGGCAAGAATGATACTGGAAAGGCTGGAAAAACTGACACTGGCAAGATCGGGAAGTGGGGAGGAAAGACTGGACAAAGTGATACCGGAACAACCGATCCATTTGATCAACTTGGTGGAAGTGATGCAGACTCCGGAAAGACTGGCAGTGGCCCCAAGGGATCTGGAAAGAATCCAGTCTCACTACCCACATCTGCACCCAAAGATTCAGGGAAATCCAAAGACAGTGACAATGGCAAGGCTGGAAAGAATAACTCCGGCAAGAATGATAGTGGGAAGACCGGTAAGGATGATTCCGGCAAGAACGATGCTGGCAAGACTGGCAAGGATGATTCTGGAAAGACTGGTAAGGATGACTCAGGCAAGAATGATGCTGGGAAGACTGGCAAGAATGATGCAGGGAAGAATGATAATGGGAAGACCAGTAAAGATGACTCTGGCAAGAATGATACTGGAAAGGCTGGAAAAACTGACACTGGCAAGATCGGGAAGTGGGGAGGAAAGACTGGACAAAGTGATACCGGAACAACCGATCCATTTGATCAACTTGGTGGAAGTGATGCAGACTCCGGAAAGACTGGCAGTGGCCCCAAGGGATCTGGAAAGAATCCAGTCTCACTACCCACATCTGCACCCAAAGATTCAGGGAAATCCAAAGACAATGACAATGGCAAGGCTGGAAAGAACAACTCTGGCAAGAATGATAGTGGGAAGACCGGTAAGGATGATTCCGGCAAGAGTGATGATGTTGGGAAGACTGGCAAGAGTGATGATACTGGGAAGACTGGCAAGAATGATTCCGGAAAGACCGGTAAGGATGACTCGGGCAATAATGATGCTGGCAAGAATGGCAAGACTGATTCTGGGAAGAATGATGATGGGAAGACCGGCAAGGCTGATTCAGGGAAGACTGATGCTGGAAAGAATGGCAAGAATGACCATGGAAAGACTAGTGCTGGGAAGACAGGCAAGAATGATGTTGGAAAGACTGGCAAGAATGATTCCGGAAAGACTGAAAATGGGAAAAACCCAGTCCACCCTCCAACGCTTCAAGGTGTAAGCATTGCAACTTTGCAACCGTCGTCATTGAACATTGTGAATCATCCAATACCTGCTTCCAGTGTTCGGCCACCTGTCATCAACACAGACATGCTTTCAACGCTTAGCCCTACAGCAGTGGCTCAATTGATGGGCCAGGCTCCGCCTTCTTGCAACTTAGACCTTACCATTTTGAACCAGTGCATCCACGAATGCGGCCATGAAGTATGCACTGAGACACCATACCTGATGCAAATGAGATACAATGGTGGAGGTTGCTATGGCACAAGTTTCAAGAGATGTCGGGGAAACAATGTTGATTATTGTTCCTGTGACAGAGACGAGCTCCCTTGTTCCGAATGGAATTCAGCAAACATATGTGTGGACTTTACCATGGATGGAAGAGTATGCAATTCGGATAATGCAGCCTGTGCTGACCAGAATAACAAGAACCCCACGCCTGGATGCGGACCGCCAACGTCAACTGAAGCCCACAAGGTGTATATTGAAGCATTTGGAGGGAATGAACTATACTTCTCAGGACCAGTCAGTGCAGGCTCGACTTGGGAGTTGAGCACCGAGGGCGAGAAAGTGGCAGACAACACCGACATTTTCACATATGAATGGATTGATGGTATTGGCAAGGGCAGAATACTGCAGCACGTTGTCTTCCACAGCTCCTGCTCTGATGATATGTCTGCCGGTGATCGATTTGGATCGCAACAACTACTTGGATTTGATGCATTCTGTGATGTTTCATGCAGGGATGGAGGTTGCAAGGAAGTGACAGAGAACGGGAACACATTTGGGCGTCGGCACACATCCTCAATCCTTGAAGATGTGTCGTCGCTTCGACTTGGCTTGGGTGCTGGCTCTATGCACAGCAGCGTGCAATTGGAGCATGTGCTAACAATGTATACTCCAAGCGACTTCAGTGCACCACCACAAATCTTCAACTTCAGCGATGCAACAGGGGACATAGTGCAGTCGGCAATACAACTTGATGCGTCAGGCCTGCAGTTGTCTCTTGGAAAGAACTACTCGGCCGCAGCAATTGTTACTGGTTTCTTGAATGGTGATAGATCTGCTTTATGTCAACAGGTCGCTCAATCGCAACTAAGTTGCGAGAAAAGGGCAACCCTGCAGTGCGGTTGTCCTCCATGTTTGGGGGAAAGCTTGGCAGATCTTTCCGGTGCAGGAGGTAGCCCAACACCAAATGCACCATCCAAGACCAAACCGTCAAATAAGTCCAATAAGGACAAGGATAAGGGCACTGATAAGGGTAAGAATCCACCACCAGCACCCAAGCCAACGAATGCGCCATTGATAAGTCCTCCGATTTCAAGGCCAACAGCAATGTCAGGAAACCCACCTCCTGTGCCAAATAAAGGCAGCGGAAAGAACTATGTGCCGGCCAATACCAAGGCTCCCAAAGATTCGGGCACGGAGTCGAGTGGAAAGGAAACCAAGAAGATGACTGCCATTACCCGATCTGATGGCAAGTAGAAACTTGCTGTACATATTTTACATGTTAGAATATACTTTTACGTATTGAAATAGAAATTGTAGAGACTGTGTTGGTTGTTTGTATATGTACTTTCTCACCATCCGTTTAGGGGGTGGTGAATGACTTGCAAAATGATAAATATCAGCGATCGTTCCTTCGGGTTGCCAAGATAGTATTTGTTCTACTGTCTTAATCTATGTTGTCCTTTGTATTTGGTTTCCTAGGAAGCGATTGTGTTGGAAGCGATCATATGTCATTGCAATAAACAATAATTGGACAAAGTATTCAATTAATTATGCGCCTGCATGAAACGTCATGTGATGGAGGTGAGGTTTTGATCAGTGTACGTTATGTCCTACATTGGTAGCAGTATGTATGCATCTTCTTGTAATGAAACTATTTCCACATTGCCATTAACATTTGTTTGATGAATATCAGTGAGAGTCTGAAAGGTAAAATCGATCCGAAGATGACAACTGAAAGCAGCTGCGAGCTACAGTATAGTGATGTGGAAACTCTGGTGAATGAATCGATCAATGGATGGAGCAAGCAAAGTGTGATAGACTTGACTTGATGTTTTTGGTAAAGGTATCTATCCCTCTCGTTGTGATTAGATGGAGCTGCCATTGCGGCAACTGTGATGGTTATGGTTTAAGTTCAATAAATTTGTCTGATTGCGCGGAAAGAGAAAAAATGCTAAAAAAAAGTGGACAAAAGAATACAACAACTGGAATTCCAACGTGGAATAAAAAGTGGACAAAAGAATACAACACCTGGAATTCCAACGTGGTCCCCCACCGTAGTACTAACCAGGCCCGAGCATGCTTAACTTTGGACAAAAGACTACAACACCTGGAATTCCAACGTGGAATAAAAAGTGGACAAAAGAACACAACACCTGGAATTCCAATGTGGTCCCCCACCATAGTACTAACCAGGGCAGGTATTCCATAAAATAGGTGATGAATATTTGAAAATCGTCGTATTTTTCATACTACCCCTACGATGACGGCACATTTCCACTTGGAATAACCAAAGATCAAAGAACAGACGAATATTATTTGATTTCAAAAAGTAGAGCGGCTAAGCGACCCGGATATGACTGTAGTAGAGGCATTTTTTGTCCGTTTTGGTACCGTTTTTGACGGGAGCTAGTTTCATGTTGAGATGCATCGTATCAAACATGTTGAGGTCAAACGAATCGCACCGCGAGTCCAATAGATCGGACTGGTGGCTTACTCTGATTGGGTAACTCTCACGATCATTTGACACCTCAGTTCTTCTCCCGAACTACTCTCTACGTGTATCTACTGCTGGATCCTCTGCTCAAGTTCAGCAGAGCAATCCTCACTTTCATGAACTATCATCAATAAGAATAGCAATCCTATCTCTATTACAACTCTATTGTCTAGTTTCCTCGACTGTCCCTCAAGTCCCTTTACAGACAATCCTCGCAATACATAGTGCGTGTCATCATTGTTTCCATCGACAACACTTCGATCACGAGCCTCCAACGAGCAACAAGAGCAATGGAGCAGGACAGCACACGACACTGACCACAACAGACGCTAAATAGCCATGATGCAAAACAGCCAGGAGGCAGAAGCATAACATCGTATACATCAGGGGCATCATCAATGAAGAAGCGATGAGTTCCAACGAATCTGCATCGGCGCTCTCGATCTGAGTAGGTGCCGATTGATTAGAATGAAGCAATCCAACAATCCACTAGAAAGCAAAAGCGGAGTGGTATTATCTTGCTACTGCACTGCTTCAACGAGATTCGGAATGTTTTGCCTTTTCGATGGTCGGTCAAAGCGTTTGCATTCAATACAGCAGCAAAGAAGACAAGAAGGTATCGATAAATTCGTCGTTACCTGCTTGTCGTTACCTGCTTGATACAGTAGTCTTTGAAGAACAAGCGACTCGAGCCAACAAATCAGCAACAACATTATGAATTCGGCAAGAAGAATGCAACAATCCACATTGTTTGAAAGCTGATGGAGCGGAGTGTGATTGATCTTGGTCTGTACAGCATAAATGCCTATTCTATGGTCACAGCATTGTTTGCATTCACTACTTCGTCTTTTTAATCCGGTAGGGCCTTCAGTCGCACATCTTGGGAGTGCTTAAGATCAAGGACAAACGAGTTGAGCCATAGGCGTGGGAAGAATCCGAGCGACCAGGGCGGTTTTCACCAGTCGCTCGCATTCCAAGTGTCACCATATACATGGATGGAAGATACCGTAGTAATGAACTCGAACTCTTCTAATTGTTGGGCCCACCATCGCCCCTGTTGGGGTCCTCAAACGCACCAAAACTGGTTCAAATTTCATGTTTGGGGCGAAATATCAGCAAGAACGTCAGAACGAAATGGCCACTCACGGATCTCAAGTGACAATGAACCAATTGGAAGCTAACGTTGGCGACAAATCCCAAAATATACCACTTCTTGTCAACGTTTGGAATGTTCAATAATTCTCAATACTAGACGATCAGAAATCAATCATTTGGGTCAGAATGCTTCGTAGAGTAGCTCAGATGGAGACTATCCAACATTTCCAAGATACCATTAATCGTAGTATGAACCGATTTGGAGACAAGTCATTGTGCATCTTGCATTGGATAAGTCATACTGTCCTACTTTCAATGGATTTGGGTTGAGAATTCAGAATGGTGCAAGAAGCCGGCTTGTTTGTGAAATACCACAGGCAAAAAATCTGATTCTTCGACACAGAGTGCTTTACAGATGTATTAGAGACACACTGGTTGTGAGTTATCTCGCCTTCTTATAGTTTCTGAACCATCATTGTGCTTCAAACTCTCTTACCATTTCAAGAGATCACAAAATATTTGAGGTACTGCGAAAGCTTCCTTTGGATGAAGGAAAATCTATGACGATGTGTGTGGTAATGCTGGTATGATTATTCCCAGGCAGAGTGTGCAGTGGTGATTCCAAAATGAAAATGAGTGTCTGATACCGACGTCGTAGAAATGGCGAATCGATTATAATCAGTTAGTTTATTTCCTGCTTTATCAATGGTGGCCTATGATCTCTTTGAGGAAATACCAGAGTCTTTTCTCCCCTTTTTAAAAATGCTACAGTACCGGTATCAGAACGAAAGGGATAATTTCACAACAGGATATGCCAGTAATTTTTTCAAAAGTAGAAATGTGCCAGCTAGTTGGCTCCATATCAAAGATTCTTTCATTGATTTCTTGATAGATTGAAACATCTCTCAGATCGCTGCTGTATCACCAGATATCAGGGTGCTTCCGAAAGCACACGAAGTCTAGTTCAAGTTGTTTTCCAAGTGAGAGATGCAGTCATCAATGAAATTCGATGTTGAATGGGAAGCATTTGTTTCCACTTTGCCTAGCCAAGTGTCAAATCAAGAAGAATGATAGTGGCACCATTCTATCGAAGCTATAAATATCGAAATGGATAAATTCATCAATCGCATGTGATGAGGAACACTAGCTGTGGATAGCGTAGACTGGGGCTGGTTGTCGTGATCATAGAATAGCATCCAAATCGGAAGATCTGACGCAAATCCTTTTTGGTGAAGCTACCGCGGGTAGCACGGCATGTTCATGTCATCTGGGAGGTCTTGCTGGATTGAAAAAGGCTTGCAACTGGAAGGCTTCAAACTGGAAGGCTCCTCGAATGCTGCGTCCAGTTTCAAAATTATGGATAACATATAGACAGTAGCAATCCATCTTCCTCCTGCACCGTACACGTATCAAATGGTGTAGTAATTCATTGACTTCTACCATGTCTTTGGAGCTGAGTTTAAAACATGCCGTATTGCACTTGATTGGTTGTATCTATTGCTCTTCATCCAAGCCGGCATCTCCCTTGTGACTGGCTGATCTGGCTCCTGCTGGTATGGTACGGTGTGTCACCCGCATTGAATTGAGAAACCACCGTTTCTTCTTTCTCATCGGGGTCCCGTTGGACGTTGCAGGCAGAGCCAATCTCGGGTTTACATGTATCGTACCAGCAGGTGGTACCGGTACACGTGATTTTCATCGAAAGGAGAGCACACGAAACAGCGAAAATCCACCGTATGCGGTGTCCTCTAGGTAGCTGTTGTCTGAAACGACATTGGTGCGGCAGTTGAAAAAAACCTTACTTAAAGGATTCGCGTGGCCACCTTCTTGTAAGCGATCTATTAAAATCGCCGATTTGTAACGTTCCAACGTGAAAAAGTCGACAGTTGAGTGCTTTCGTAGGGATGAACGTGCACATGCCAGCTCGCTTTCTCTCGCCAACATCCTCTTCACAAAATACCGTCAAATCAATCAGCTACCATTTCTGATTCAACATCAACACCACGATGAGGTTATTACTCTTAGGATTGACAGTCCTTGCCGCAAAGGCTGATACCGTCACTGAAGGTTCACTACGAGGAGTGCTAAACACGGAGGATGAAGCATGGTACGATCGAATGCTTCAAAACGACATTGGCAGTCTCCCTACAATGATGCCGACACCCTGTTCCAACGAGATTGAGAATTGTCCAGTTCCTTGTTTCGAAGTAGAAGTAGGAGATCGTCCTCCTACCTGCTCCGCTCTGAACAGACCCGATTGTCAGACCATCCCTCTCCCTGATGGATGTCCTCTTTGCTGTCCCGAAGTTTGCATTGATCCAAACATTGAGGACTGCGCCCCAACCCCTCTTCCAAGTCAAGCTCCTTCGGACTGTTCCGAAGTCATTGAGATCTGTCCATTTGACAGTTGTTTCTTGCCTTTTACCGATCCCTCCCGTCCAGATACCTGTAGTGCTAACGATCAGTGCAACATGTTGCCCCAGCCTACTGGCGTTGGATGCTCTTGTTGTCCAGATGAGTGTGCTCCAGACAATCCAATGTTCAGTCCATCTCCTGATGGAAGTCCACCTGTCTGTTCTCCCACACCTCTACCAAGTCAAGCACCTTCGGATTGTGCTGAAGTCATTGAGATCTGTCCATTCGACAGTTGCTTCTTGCCTTTTACCGATCCCTCCCGTCCAGATACCTGTGGTGCCAATGATCAGTGCAACATGTTGCCCCAGCCTACTGGCGTTGGGTGCACTTGCTGTCCAGATGAGTGTGCTCCAGACAATCCAATGTTCAGCCCATCTCCTGATGGAAGTCCACCTGTCTGTTCTCCCACACCTCTACCAAGTCAAGCTCCTTCGGATTGTGCTGAAGTCATTGAGATCTGTCCATTTGACAGCTGCTTCTTGCCTTTGACCGATTCTTCTCGTCCACCTGAATGCCCCGCCGGCGATCAATGCAACATGTTGCCTCAGCCTACTGGCGTTGGATGCTCTTGTTGTCCAGATGAATGTACACCAGAGAATCCGATGTTCAGCCCATCCCCGGATGGAAGTCCACCTGTCTGTACACCAACGGCCATGCCTTCGCTACAACCTTCCAGAGAATCAATTACGATCACAGACCCTCCTAGTGCAGCACCTTCGCAGTGCGCTGAAGTCATTGAGATCTGTCCTTTTGACGAGTGCTTCTTGCCTTTGAATGACGCATCCCGTCCACTTAGCTGTACCGCCGTCACCGGCGGCGAAGGAGCCAGATGTGATGCTTTGCCACAACCATCTGGCTGCACTTGCTGTCCAAGTGAATGTAGTCCAGAGAACCCCATGTTTGATCCCAGACCTGACGGAAGTCCACCAATTTGCTCACCTACCCCGATGCCAACACCATCGCCAAGTCAGCAACCTTCCGAATGTGCTGAAGTTATCAACATCTGTCCTTTCGACGAGTGCTTCTTACCCGATGGTTCTCCTGGACGTCCAGGCGACTGCGCTGGAACCAACGCAGCAGCCCAGTGTGATGTCCTCCCGCAACCTGCTGGATGTTCATGCTGCCCATCCGAGTGCCGCTCTGACAACCCAATGTTCCAGCCGAAGCCTGATGGCAGCCCTCCTGTCTGTTCTCCAACAGCCATGCCAAGTCCGGCCCCTTCGCCTCCACCAACTCCAGGTCCAACTCCAAGTCCAACTCCTGCACCAACTCCATTCCCTTCGCCCCCACCAACCCCATCGCCAAGTCCACAACCTTCGCAGTGTCAAGAGGTCTTGGACCTCTGTCCATTCGACTCTTGCTTCCTACCAGTTGGTCAAGGCCGTCCCCAATCTTGTGCCTCTGCCAATCCTGCCTGCAATGTGTTGCCCTTCCCACAAAACGCTGGATGTCCAGTATGCTGTCCTGATGAGTGCAGCCCTGACAATCCAATGTTTGATGGCAACATTTGCTCGCCAACACCCATGCCTACTCCAGCACCGTCGCCTGGTACACCAGAACCAAGTTCGCAGCCATCTGTCTGTCAAGACGTTCTTGACCAATGCCCTTATGATGAGTGCTTCCTGGCATTCAACGATGGCAACCGTCCACAAAACTGCCGTGACACAAACGCCGCCAACATCTGTAACATTCTTCCGCAACCATTCGGATGTCCTCGCTGCTGTCCCGATGAGTGCAGTCCCGACAATCCAATGTTTGATGGAACCATTTGTGCCCCGACTGCTCTCCCATCCCCAGCACCGTCTTTGTTCCCAACCGAACCAGCATCCGAGCTTCCCACTACTGTTGATTGTGGTATTGATGTGGACATCAACGTTGCATGCTCGACTTCGTGTGAATTCGAAAACTGTGTCGAGCGTCCATTCCGCATGCTCATGTTCTACCGTGGAGGTGGTTGTCAAAACACTAACTTCAGACGTTGTCCATTGCGCAATCCTGATTTGACTCCCCAGCTTCCCAACCCTGATCCATGTACTTGTGACAAGCGAGAGCTTCCTTGCAACGAATGGAATAACAAGAATTTCTGTACCGATTTCAATCCCAATACGGGTCAACCATGTAATGACTTGACCCAGTATTGTGCCAACCAATCGAACAAGAATCCTATTCCCGGATGTGGACCTCCCCAGAACACCCAGCCGCATGCTTCGTGGATTGAAGCCTTTGGAAAGGACGGAGAAGCCTACTTCATTGGTCCCGTCAATGTGAACAGCACTTGGACTTCTCAGACTGTCAATGACCGTGTGCAAGCTGATACTGATATTTTCATTTATGAGTTTGGACCCGGTGGAAAGGGCCGTTTGTTGCAACAAGTCCGATTCCACAGTTCTTGTTCCGATGAGCTTTTCTTGACCGATCAGTTCGGATCCAATCAGCTCATTGAATTCGAGTCCTTCTGTGTGGATGATCGTTGCGATTCTTCTTGCTTTGGCGGACGTCGTGTCATTTCTCTCTTCCAAGAGTCGATAGGAGACTTCCAGTTCAGTTTGCGGGCCCGATCGGATGGCCAAGCACCGGTGACGATCAGTTTCTTTGCAGCCTTGTTGACTCCGATCAGCGATACCTTCCCCTTCTTTGGTAACACGACTTTCCAAGAGTTCACTGACCAAGTTGGACGAACCATTCCACCACCAGTGACTGTCCAACCCAACTTCAACATTCGTTTGGATGACGAGTACATTCTTGCCGCTGTGATTACCGGTCAACGTGCGGGTGGATCTTGCGATTCCTTTGGACAAACTCAGTTCCAATGTGAACGAGTTCCAAGATGCAGTTTGGTTCCTGCCGATTGTGGCTGCGATCCTTTCGTCCCACCAGATGGCAAGGGCAACCTGGCATTCCCCGAAGATGAAGATGAGGAGACGGATGGAGAAGCAGAAGAAGTGACTTCTACCAGTGCCTTGGATGGATTCACCCGCTTCTTTGGAAACTAAAAAGAGAAGAGGAAGACAAAGAGGAAGACCACGCCCTCTTTGCCTCGCGCTATTTTTTTCCATTGTCGGGATCGATGAAAATCCGAGGAACTTGCTTGTTTGTATTCATATTATTAGATCCTTTTCTATTGCTGAAAGGAATTATCTGTAGAAAAAGTTACCAAAGACTAAATTATTATATACATTTACAGAATGAAAAAACTAGAGCCGTAATAGAGCGGAAGATGTAGTATTGTAGAGCTTGGTTTATTGTTGTCTTTCTTTGGAGAATGGATCAAATCGACATGACGGCTTCTAATGTGAAGTTTTCCTTCGGAAGGTTGGTCATGTATGGCTCGACAGCATGGTGGTGTAGTTTCTTCGCAGCAACAAGTAGCAACAAATACTAGTGTCAATAAGATAACTCTGCTGTGAGTCGTTTGTCGTTGTTGTTGTTGTGAACTTTGATAGCGACACGACATCGTTTGACTTGTGGCTACATACGAACAAAACTCTGATAGTTTGAAGCAATTGACGTTTTCGAAAAAGCACCGCAAGATCATCAAGGCATTTGGCTATTCAGATCTCTCGAATTAGCAAACGAACGAATGGATGAATTAATGAAGGAATTGGCATCTTCCTGCCTTGCTTCTTGTGTGAGTTGGTTTGGGATATGCAATGGAACTCTTTACTTCTTTCGAGATCGCCATCAAACGAAACCGTTCTCATCATCGTGGAACTTGAATACAACTAATAAATAGCAGTCAATTGCCAATAGTTTGAATTGTTTGTACAAGTTATTGTCAAAAGAACAAAGACGATGGTCAAGAGTTCAGTCAAGAGGCACTCCAAGAACGTCAAACATGAGAATGGTATAGAAGCACAGAACGAAGTACACGCAAATAGCAGTGCACTTGTATCCATCAATAATAAGCAATGATAGCAACTGCATGCATCCAATAGAGCACTTTGCGCTCCCTCAATCCTGGTTTATTGTTCCGTAATAAGATTCAAAACTAGGAAAACGAGAAAGAGACGAAAGCACGTGTTACATTATCCTACCCGGTAGTGGAAACGACGTATTCCGATCGAATCGATAACAAGTCACGCTTGGGTTCCAAACCGCCATGGTTCCTATTAGAAGTCTTGGCTTTCCTCCAAACGATTGGATCGGAACCGGGATTTCCTTCTGCCGGTGTATTTACAGCACTTATAGTGAAGTGCCGACGTCAAATGCCCGAACATATAAGTAGGGTTGAATCAAAGGGGAGCTTGGCTTACCGGTGTAGTACGTGAGCGTCTCAAACCGCCAGCTAATTTACTTGTATTTACGCGTGACAGTGGTACCGGTGGAGCGTGACGGATAACTACCGTCTAAACTTTTCGCACGAGACATTATAAACGCGTGTCGATTTTCAACGGCAAATCCAAAGGGATATGTTCATGTATATAAATTAATGTTCCGAACCGGTTTGCAGTAAAATTTAGATCAACTCCGAGATTTAAACACGACTCTGGGAGCAAGCCTTCCTTTCCATTCCTTTGGAAAACCTCGAATTGGCAGTGAGAGTCCCATAATTTTCACTTCGCTTTCGATTGTTGCTATCACTACTACTACTTTCAAAATGTTCAAGTCCGTCCTTACCTTCGTTGCCCTTGTCGCTGTTGCCTCCGCACAAAGTGTCGCCCCAGCTGCCTCTGGATCTGCTGTCCCAGTTGCCGTTCCTGTTGCCGTCCCCGTCATGGTCCCAGTTATGGTTCCTGTCATGACCCCAGTTATGGCCCCAGTTATGGCCGCAGGAAAGGCACCCAAGGCTGCCAAGAAGGCCAAGACCCCATCTGCCTCCAAGGGATCCAAGTTGTCCGCTTCTTCTGCATCCTCCAAGTCTTCCAGACGTTACTTGACGCACTTGCAGTAAGCGCTATGCGTTGCTTTCAGTAACCTTTTTCATCTGAAGCAGAGGTGATTCTTTCTTGTCAACCAACGGCGCCGAGACGGACGCAATGCATTGAATGCAGTGCGCACGCTTGAGGAGCATTTGGCTGGCAAGATTCATAAAACTACTCATTGTAATGATGTTGCGGCTCGGGACTATTCCTTTTGGAGACGCGAAACAGGCTTGACTTTCTTGTAATTTTTCAATAGGAAGTTTAAACTAAATCCGGTGTATATTTGTCAATTGGTCGATTGTACTGTCAATAGTTCAGCATTATCTTGTCATTGACTGTATTCGCATTTACGTTTTGTGTTCTGATGTTGTCTGAACTTTGTTTCTTCTTTGGCACCATCTGATGGCCACAACGCACCTCCATTGTTGGATGCCTTCGGAGGTGCCGTTTTCCAAGACAGGATGTCATTGGCGGGCAATGATAATCGAATGAATGAGAGAAACCAACATAACATGCCATGACATGACGAACGGATGCGCATTGCATGACATGGTGGGAAACTACATTACTACATTACTACAGTACGATGGCCTGTGAATGATGATGTATTATATAAATGTCTTCGTAGTTTTACACCTTGATTGATAGATTGATTCATTTCATCATCATCATCTTCTTCTACTACAAGTCCAAGGACGCAGTGTCGATTTCCAGCACCTTGAATTTCCCTCGGTCTTCTGCCAAGCGAAAATCCATGGACGCAATTGTTGCTGGGTTCTTATTCACCAATTCTTCAATGGAAATAAAGTCACTCATCACATCCGAATCTGGCGAAGGTTTGAACTTTTGTTGGGGATAAGTCCGGCCTCTAGCATCGTCCATAAAGTGATGACTGCACGGCGCTTCATGGGCCCGGACAAACCTCCAAAATCGAAATCCATTGACCACTGGAAACAAGAAACTGGCCCAAAAGAGATAGGTTCCCACTTGGGCGGGTATCGTCGTTTCCACCACGGCGTACGGCAAGGAGGAAAGGGCCAGGGCCACAAAAATGGTGGAAATGTACAAGTTGTTGACTTGAAATATGGAATGGAATCGGCTGGTCCCAATCATGGTGGGCAAAAATACGACCACCGACAAGGCTAATGTGGCCGAATTGTTTAGGTAATCCACTGCTTCCACTTCCATCTCATTGCCATTCCGTATGGCCTTGACGGCATTGACGACATTCAAATGGTTCATGGCCGCAATCAGGAGCATGGGAAAGACAATTTCAAAAAACTTTTTCATGCCATCTTCCACCAATAAAAACTGAATCGAGTATTTGGGACAGTACTTCTTGGCACTGTTGTCAAACAAATACGTAATGTTGGGAAAGGGCGAGACAAAGTCATAAACATACGACTTATCAATCTTTTCCTTGGCTTGTTCAAAGAGGGCAGTTTCTCTGCCACTCAAACTCTGATAGACAGCCACCGCTGGATGTATTTTCTTACTCTTCTTACTGGAGGAAGCATTGGGATCCTTTTGAATCCCAAACATGATGCGTTTTTCCTTGCGGTGGACAATAATGTTGGGTCTCAGTCGAGTTTTGCAATCCGAGCTGGTAAAGGTAGACAATTCAATCATTAAGGTAGCAGTCTTGACTTTGAAGGGAAAGGCATCAAATACAACATCCAATTCCAAGGGTGCTTTGACTTGTAAGGTATGTCGATAGTCCTTGCCCAAGTCTCGTGTCTCATGGATTTCCGTGCGTCTCAAGTCGAGATTTTGTTTGTCTGCTTTTGCATCATTGAAACGATATTTGAACATGATGGGGGTTTCTTCTTTGGCATCAGCATGATCCAAGGTGTCCAGTGAGTTGAGATCCGTGGAATGATTGGAACCCCCCGCCGCCAATCCAAAACCAAAGGAATGACTTTGAGTGTCCTCAGCAATACGTCCCACGGCATCATGGTAATTTTTGGAGGTAAAGACATCCTCTTCCATAGCATCTTTGCCTCTGAACACATGCTGGACCATGGTTCCAATCAAATTCAATTCATCTTTGGCTTCCCTATCATCCACAATGTGCTTTATCAGAAAGAAATTGTGGACATTGAGCTGTTTTTCCTCTACTGTTCTTACTGGCATCTTCCTGTACGGTATGTATATATTGTGTATGTGTGTATTGTGTATGTGTGTATTGTGTGTGTGTATTGTGTGTGTATATTGTATATTGTATATTGTGTGTTTGTTTGTGTGTTTGTGTGTGTGTTTGTTATGTTGTGAGTGTATTACAAAAGGAAAAGAGTGCGATGGGCATAGTAATAAAAGTATAATAGAGATCCAAAGATAATCTGATTCGTCGTGTGTTTTATTTATATTTTTTAAAATATAATAAAAATATGAATGACAAAATGACCAAAAAGACTCCAAATGCTTGAAAAATGAGCATGAGTGTACCGGTATACCATTTGACCTACAGTATTGATTTTAAAATCTTCCTTAGTTCCACATTACTTGGAGACCTACAGTAGTAGTCCTGTTGTATTTTTAATCTTCCTTATTACTTCTACATTCTCCTATACTTTTATCCCTCTGCAAATTCTTGAAGTTCCTCTTGGAATCTCGCTTTTGCAGGGTTTGGTTTATGTGTGAAACTTCGTCTCCTCGTCCCAACTTTTTCAATATTTTGCTCATCTTGCTATACACAAAGAATACAGCGGGATGGTGGCTACCATTCCGACGTTCGGTAATGCTCAAGGACTTTTCGTAGACTTTGAGTGCTTCCTCCAGCTTATTTTGTTTCTTCAACACATCGGCAATTCCGTTGTACGTAAAGCACAAGGAGGAATGCTGATCACCATACATTCGTTTGCTAATGTCATGAGACCGCTGAAAGAGCCTCATGGCTTCGTCTAGATTGCCTTGGTATTTGTATATCCACGCCATGCCGTTGTAGACATAGGCGACCGAAGTGCAATCTTCTCCATTCTGCTGAATGTCGATTTCGACCGCCTTCTTGTAGAGTTCCAAGGCTTCTTCCATTTTTTCCTGTTTTCGATAGATCGCGCCCATGCCGCCGAGAATGTAGGCAACTTCGTAGGACTCTTCTCCCTTGATTTGCGTGAACAGATCCACCGCTTTTTGACAATATTCGAGAGCCTCTGTCAGTTTGCCTTGTTTCTGCAAAACTTCCGCGAGATACTTACAGCTCTCTCCCAAGGATGGGTCGAGTTCGCCCAAGGCCACCTTTTTGATTTCATACGCATGGTGGTGAAGAATCATGGCTTCGTCGAATTTTCCTTGCTTGATTAGGACGCTTGCTATACGATCATAGGTGTATCCAATTTGCACATGGCGATTGTCTCCATTATACTTGTCGAGCTGAATTGAGAGCAACTTGCCATAGACGCGGACCGCCAGATCAAATTCGTTCAGATGCAAACGAAAGAGTCTTCCCAATCGAACCAACCGAGATTCCTCTTTGGACAATTCTGGCCTTTCTTCGTCGTTATCACCCTCTTCTATTACTACTTCTTCTTCCGTTGTTGCCTCCTCCTTTGATTTCCCTTCCAACAGAGCATCCAAAAAGGCATCATCATCGAAACCATCTTGCAAGGAAAATCCTTCGTCAATCAGTTTCAAATCATCCAATCGTTCTTGCAAGGAACTCGTCGCACCAGCAAAATAGGAACGAAAGTACTCGTAGTATTGGTGACTGTGCACTTGCTTCTCCAATACTTTTAGCGCTTGATGATGCATTTGAATCTCGCAAATGTGGTGAAAGTCATTGCTCGTGACCTCGTCATCATTGTCATCATTTGTACTCTTCACTTGGATGCGAATGTGAATATTCCAGTCTCGATAACCGGAAAGACCAGGATTTCGAAACCGATTCTTGGCCTTGACGATATGAATCGATGGGTCCTCCTGTAGGACTTGTAGAGTAGCGATCATTTGGTCGGCCGAAGCAAAGAACAGACTGCCGCGGACAATGTCAAAGAGCCAGGAAACGCCTGGATCAGGCGTTCGTTGGGAATAATCATCTCGGGCTTTTTCTTGGGCTCGATCCTTGCCCTTGAGAGGAGCAAAGGTAAGTTGGATATCATCATCATCATTCGTACTTTGGTGGTGAGTATGAACCTTATCAATGAGGGAATGAATCAGATTTTGATAGACAGGAAAGGCAACTTCTGCCGCTTTATATAATTCGTTCAATGTTCGTACTGCTTGTCCATGGATACTTTGTTGTTGGTATTCCTGCTTGAAGCCAAGGGAAGGACCATGATTTCTGACATTTGGATTGCTCATTCGAAGTGACCTAGTAGTAGTTTGGTTCTTTCCTTGATCATCATGATGATCCAATTCGATGCCTCCGGAATCAATGCGGAGATTATATTTGGCCAAGGTTTCTAATTCATCAACTTCTAAATACTTGGCATCCATTTGTCTTCGGCAATCCAAATACTTGTGCAAGGTTTGAAGGAATTCTTTGGTTTCCGCACGGACCAATCGAGATTGCGGCTGCTCCGAGTCTACTCTGACTTGATTCTGATCCAAGACAGGGTCTTCCTCTTCTTCATTACCATTACCATTATCTTTATCATTTATATTGGTATTGGTATTGATGTTACTGTCACTGTCACTATCTTCTTCAGCAGCTTGAACAATGGAATATACCAACTGGATTGGATCTACGTTCATAATGTCGGCTTCATCAGATTTCATTTTGTAGTTGCATGAATCTCTCTCTCCCTATGCCCTATATCCAGCGAATGAGAGGACTTTCAAACTTCAGTCTCGTATGTGTAGATAAACTGTTATGTAGAAAAGGACGTTCTCGTCTATGGAAGACAGTGCAATGTTCATCCACCTTTATGAACACTGACGATTCCAACAGCACTTCCTTCTTGCATGTCAATAGTATGCGTTGGATGTGCGAAAGAATAATAATTCTTCCTATACTACTGTATGACAGTGTAAAATACTCGAAAACAATATCAGATCGGACGTGCAAAATACGGTCGCCCTACAGTACAGTACAGTACGTGTACCTGTAGACGTACCGGCACCAAGCGCATTCTTGCTGGCACTGTCTGTGCGGTGATGTCGATGTCCATGGAGTAGAGTTGACTGTCACTCGACTCGAAGGAACCCAATTCAACGGTCGTCTTAGTCGATACTCTTCTTACTACATGCTATGCTATATGCGCTAGAATAGCTAGAGCGCTGATCCTGCGGATTACCAGGCGCCGCCTCCACTCCATGACTCGAGTTGAGCGTGATTGGCCTAGGATGAGTGCCTACTACGAAAAGTACCAAATGAGATAGTGCCAGTCCTTCATAGCAGTAAATGTAGGTTTGGTATGACCGGACGAATGAATGAATCAATCAATCAATCATTGAATGAATCAATCGAATCGAATAGTTTGGAATCGAATGTTCGACCCAACGGACTCAAATCGTGACACAAAGAAAATCAATCTGAAGGCTATTATTTCAGTTGAACATCAGTTCCTGCTATGGTTCTTCATCGTCTCGTGGCGCACTTGCCAAAAATAATGCTTGCTATCCACCGCCTTAATCCTCATGCCAACTGTCCTTCTCCCGACCTCCTGCCCAGTGATTCCGTTCGCCATTACTTCGCTATGCAGCATGATGGAAGCGGCTTACTGACGACATTGCCGTTTGGCGTGAAGGTCTTAACGTGACAACGTTGTGCTCCTGGCTCTCATCGTGGAGAGAGCGTACTAGTGCATTGATGTAGCTACTGTTGGGCATGATAGACGGTGATTGATATTGCTATTGGGGTGTATTTACGGGGGTCT